GGTAGCTTCTCCCAAAGTCTCGTTTGCCCACTGTCGTTTAGTAAGGCGTGTCTTCCATTTGAACTGATTGCGTAGTTGGCGAATCTGTTGGATAAGGTCGTGGTCAGCAAAGCCTGTATCTATGAGATATTGTCTAGCCCTTTCACGAGTCTCTGCAATGCGATTGAGTGATTGCGTGAGGTCAGGAGTCCACCATGGTTTTGCATGTGTACTAGATTTGCGGGTGGGAATTGAGCTTTCCGTTGCTTGAACGAGTGCATCTTGAAGCGCTGTGGTTGTTCTTTCAATATCGTCAATATTGGGACATGTTGAGTCACGTAGCGGTATCCATGCATCTTCTCTACCCATCAATTCTCTCATGAACGCTCCTTTCCATGCGCTGATCGTGTCTTCGTCGATATCTTTCCAATTGAACCGTTGAGCTGTGATGTTCTCGATAGGGACACGTTCATGGTCTAGTGTCCATGTGAGCGCCGCGTGGTCTGATCCGTAGGCTTTATGGTGGTCTATTGACCAGTCTTTGATCGTGTCGATTTCGTATGCTTTATCATTGATGAACGTTAGGTCAAGGACCGATGATGATTCACCATCGTGGGCAAAGTAAGTCGTTGCTCCACGTTCGTTTAGCATTATAAAACCCTGGTTAGTTAGCCAGTCAACAAAAGCTTCTGCTCGAGGGTTGGGGTTCTCAGCTGTGTTTGACCACATTGGGTGGTGTAGGTTCATATCTCCCGAGATGATGACCGGCATTCCGTTTGGTAGTTCGATGTTGAATAGACGGTCTGATGACCAGTTCGATGGATCCTCGCCTGCTCTCTGGTTATACATATTTACAAGTATTGTCGGTGTATGTGTCCCTTGGTTGATCTGTAAAATTTGTATGTCAGCATCCATTGCAAGATCAGAGCGAAGTGTAACCGTGAAATCAGGTCTGTTCTTGATGTATGCCATGGCTCGAGGAATGATGTTTGTGGGGACAGATGGTAGTGGCAGAATTGGCTGCCAACCGGCCAATGATACTGGGCCGTTTGTGCCATTTCCAATGTCGCCATACCATGGCTCCGTTATGAGCAGGATGTTGTATTCACGAATAGTACTGTTGAGCAAGGTGTGACAAACTACATTTGAACAGTTAGTGTTAAGTTGGATCATTTTTATGGGCTGCGTAGTATGGACTATCATTGCCATCCAGCCATAGTGTCGTCGGTCATTGGTTGTGGCGTTGCAAGATGAGTCTGAGAAGTTGTGGGTGGGGTTGAAGTCTGGGTCTCTGTAGGCGCTACTGGATTGTTAGTAATTTGAGGTCGGCGCGTGCATTGTCCCCCTTGGACACTTGGTCAAGAGTCTCTCGCAGAGCCTTTGGTTAGTATATGCATGGGGCATTTAGTCGAGTCTGCCATGTGCGCTTCTCCACAGTTGACACATTTAATCGGTAGGTGGTTGCATCCTTTTTGAGCCTTGGCCGTGCTGGGGCATGAGTTGCAGGTGTGCATCGGTTCAGTGTGATCGCCTGCACATACTCGACACCTAGGGGGGTTAGGACATTTGGACGTATGATGGTCGAAAGACCAACATCAGGTTGCACTGACGGACGGGTTTCAGATCTTGGAATCGTGAAAATGAGGCGTACCGTCCATATAAAAAGACTCCGCTGATGTGTTTGAGGAGGTAATCGACTTCTTCCTGTGACGAGACCGTTAAGAGCATAGTTGAGTGGTATTTGTGTTCGAGGGTCTCCGGTTTAGCCATCCATGAGGGTTCTGCTTTGAAATTGATGTTGCGTACACTGGGGTTGTTAGTTTTCATCTCATAAATTACCTCTGCTCCGGATCGAGGTTCAAATTCCATCATGTCTTCAGGCATCGGATTTTCCAGTGTCCATGCTGTTGAGGAGGACACGGAACCATTCCTTGTCTGGTGCAGCTGAGTAGTTGGAGTTTCCTACAATTAAATCTGCGAACGCATCTTTGAATGGAAGCAAGTCATCCGCTGTGTAATCAGGATGTGTGATGACGATACAGTTATCTTTGGTGTTCCATTTTACGCCATTAACCGTGACTTTGGTGACCTCCTTGAGCCTTTCGTTGATAGCTTCTACTAATCCTCGGTCCTTTTGCCGTTGCATAGGATCCGGAGGGGTTTCTATGTGAAGAATGAGTCTAGAGGGGTGGTGTCGGGTTAGCGGATTGTTTCAGGCGTCAGGTTCTCTTGTTCCGTGAACTTAGTTGAGTTTGTCTTGGTCTTCGGAGTGGGAACTATGGTGGGGCCATTTGCGATTTGAGTATGAGGGTTTTGACTGGTTTCCAGTTTACTGCCTTGGCGTAATTCCTGGACGTCTTTGACGAGTTGGTTGAGGATCGGCATTATGTCGTCAGGATTGTTCCTTGGTGTTTCAACCGGTTTAGGGGGTAGGATGGCCTGTGCAATTCTTTGAGCAGCGGCATACATGTTATCTGGGAACTTAGCATGGATTGATATGTTGTCTAATGCCTCTGCAGCTTTGATAAGATGGTGGTTTAAGTCAGCAATCCATCCTTGCTCCGAACGGGTTTCACTGTAGATGTCCGTCTCCATTTCTGAGTCGTATTCGCGTTGGTCTACATCGGTTACCATAGCCACGTGTTCTGTAGGACAGTGTTTGGTCTGTCTCGCGGTGTTTGGTGAGGCCGATGGAGAAGTGGTTGTTTCCAGTCGACGTTTGTATCCTAACCCTCTACGTGTGGGTGTGACTGGTGTGTAATTGGCATTGGTTAGTCTGTATGGGAATTCCGGGGGTGGGAGGGGATCGTTGGGCTCCGACTCATCCCACGTCCGACGTGGCTGGGACTCCTTCATACAGTGTCTAGTGTTGCTAAGGGATGCTGCTTGTGAATATGATCTTGCTGGTATACGATTGTCAAGGTTTCTAGCTATGCTTATACTGCCTCCTAGCTCGTCGCCCATGTTCTGTTGAACCGTGGGAAAAAAGCAGATGGTGGCGGTTAAAGGTCAAGACGCGTTTTGTGTCATGTGGAGACTTTCAGTCAACTCGAAGCCGGATAACAATCTCCAGGGAAACTGTAAACCCGCGAAGGGAACTGTACAGCCTTAGACGGAGATATCATTGCCGAGCATAAGGTGCCTTTGTACGAGTGATTATTGTTCGTCAGATTCTTGAACACCCGACTCATGGCGTCCGTCGACAAACGTTGCAGGCGGGCCATATCGGGTCAATCCGGGCTCAAATGATCCTCTTTAGGCAACTTCAACGTCGACGTCATGAAAGAACAATTAAAAATAGGCATCACTTAAAATGAGATACTATGAACATATAAATGGTGCTTCGTCACAGAGAAGTGCGGAGTATGTGGCACGATGCACTCGCTATTTGATTGCACTAAGGAGCATCACTCAAAACTATGACGAGTCACTCGTCATAGTTTGTAAAGAAGTTTACTAGATCAATAACAACCGGTTCATATCTCAGATCGAACCATTGTCATACTCCGAGGGACCATTTTCTGTAGGAAAATATTCAAATTCCAAAGTCTTGTGGAATGTGGCGTGCTACGGAAACGTTGAAAGTGTGATGAGAAACAGTGAAACAGTGAAACAGTGAAACATGGTCAGGAGAGCACATTTTGCTAGCTACGAGGAAGGTCATTGACTCATCGAAAGAAAAATATGGCGAACGAAACTTGAACCACATACCAAGGTTCATGTATTTAGACCGTATAATAGCAATCAGCATCTATAGTCACTGTTGGACTCGGGAAGCATAAATTTACACGAGAACAAGTTTTCAACACTCAACACTCAGAGATGAGATCGTTTTTGTAAAGGGTTGCAAAATCGTCGTGTCTGATAAAGTCAGGAGAGAACGTTTCCAGTGTATATGAACTAAATGGTGAAATCGACAGTGCTTGGTCCGATTTCAGGTACTAAACACTTTTCGTGCACTGATTCGATCCTGCAGCCTGTGAAGTCCAACGTACAAACAGCCTGGCACAGCTGCTGCTATAAGGTTCAAGAAAAACGCAAGTAAACTAGCAAAATGACCAGAAAGAAAAAGAGGCAGTGGGAGATGAGAAAAGGATATAGATGGGCCGACGCTACTGGTGGAGTCACGCTACCTGTGCACAAGTCAATACTTCAGTAATCAGTGGCTGTGCCTATTGTCACATTGCAACTTTGTCAGGTTGGGCGTTTGATCGAATGCCGCATCATGGCATAATGCAGTTCGAGCGCCTTCAAGCACTGGCTCTCCCTGGAAGTTCACGAACGCAACGACTCTCCTGTGCTCATGATGTGGAAAAATTCCATCAGATCGCTTATTGTTAATATCATCCTTAGTTGCCGACCTTAGTCACTCGACGGCAAGTCAAGCCGCAACCTAGTCATCACCGTGCACCGCAAGGGTGTTAGGTATGTATTATATTGCAAGGCAATGACAGCTGATCAGTGACTGATCAGAAACGACATGGGGTTTCTAGGTTTTCATTTCCATCAATGAACCTAGGAATCACTACTTGAATTGGACAGATTTGTGGGTCCAAGATACTGGTTTGAACAGTTGGAGCTATCGCGCAGTGTCAATACGACGGGCCCCTACTCCTGGACCCTATGACGCACTTGCTTCCAGGAGAGGCCGGAAACATCTACAATATTTTTTTTCGCCACGTATTCCGATATCATGGCGTTGTAATGGCGTATCTAGACTGGAACCCTTCTTCCAGGACCGTCTATTGAAGCTTGAATGGCGGGGGAACGATTTCCCGTCCTGCTAGCAGCTTCCCCACTGTAGGTCGATGTAAACCAATGGTTTACGGACTTATATAAATAACTTTCAAAAGCTCGCGGCTCCACAGTCTCTGCGTTACCGAGCACAATTAATATAAACTAGTTCTTCGATGCCCAAGTGCTTGCTCGGGTCAGGTTGAGGAACAAATTGTCCTGCTGTGCCTTTCGGGGCCCTGCTGTCACAGGTCTCCGATGCCCGACGGTATATGACTTGAGACGTCTTACAGTATAGGGTCCTTCCTGTTCGTGAACCAGTATTCCCAGTATCTGTTCCTAGTTTTCATCACAAAGTGAGCGTAAATCCGATTAAGACGATCATCTCGGGGATTAAGTTCCAACTTGATCATGAAATGAATGCCACGATTCTTGTATATGACAAGGGTTAGATACATGGTATATGATAGCGCATGGTGGAAAGCGTGACGAGCCATCACGAGGTGAGATTCAGTACAAAGATAGTTGGGCGCCTTGAAACCGAGGCGTTGGATCGAATAGCTGTCTTTCTTTGACAGACCATCAAAATAGTACTTGTCTCGGAGCCAATCTACAAGGAAGGATGAGATGTTGCATGATAACGAAGCTACACAGATAACTCACCGACTCGCTTGTACCGATTTGGTGCAGGAGTATTGTAATACATGTTCCAAGCTGCACCAGAGCTATTGTTATGAGAAGCGGCCCTCTTGACCTGTTCCTGCAACCTTGGAGGGAGAACGTTGAATTCTGCCTCCGTCACATAATTCTCCGTGTACCTGAGTTTGCAAAGTTAGAATCGGACGCCAAGGTAGCTGACAGGTACTCACTCTTTCCAAATCGTGCTACAGACATCCCCCATCGTTACCCCGCGTTCATTGTGCACCACCGTGCACCACGGGCTGGATTCGGTAATGATAATGAGATCTTGAACACGGGGAAGGGTTGCAGGCTCGTCTTTGGCAGAAAATGGGATATCGCGATCTCGGTCATTGGGATTGAAACCACCAGTGGAACCTTGATTTCATGAATCATTAGCTTGACCATCATATGTATTCCGAGGTGGCATACCAGTAACGAGGTTGAACATGAGGTGGAACCCATGGCTGCCGCCAGCCATGATCGGGTGTAGTTGTAAGTCGGTATTGAGCAGATAAAGGTCAGTCTGCGAGAGAACTGGACCATCTAATTGGGCGCATCTATCTGAGAACAGCACAAAAAGCCGAACGATCGTGCTCACAACCAACTCCTGCAGACCACTTGTTCACGACAGAATCGCCCATTGATGCGAGAGTCGTGGGATATGATGGTTGTGATTTTACAAGATGATAAGGTGGTATTGGAGATGCGGCACACAGAATTCAAGAGTGTGTCGAGTTATAGAAAGTACTGGTACAGCAGCGCTTTAAGTAGTACTGCTTAACGCTGTGCAATTGAATGCACACCATATGAGATCGTGGCTGTGTCCTTGGTTCTTCCAAGTTCTCCGCTGGTGTTTTACTAAATTGGGCTCAAAAACCAGCCTTGCTTATACTAACTTACCACGGGTGCGGGTTCCCAATAGACTCGTCTGCATTCTTTCCAAGTCTGAGAGCATGAGGACCAGTCTGTTGCGGACACGGTAGCATCACTTCATATTGTTTACATGCTCACTCTGAGCCAATGATAGTTCATCCCCCAGTACTGGGGAACAATTACAAGGTTTATAAGGACCCGGGGAAGCCTCATCGTGGCCTGCGAGGGGGCAGGAATCCATTAGTTCACGCTGTACTGCTTGGGGTGCTGACTTGGGTAGGTTCCTGGCTTCATCAACTGGTGGTGAAATTTAAATGAGCAAAGACATCAGGCAAACGAGAACGACGACCACTCACGACGACATAGAGAGCACATGACATAATGATGACCGCACCGATAACTGACAGTAGGGACGGTACAACTCCGAATATTAGGCGTTCAAGCACCACAGCGAAAAGCACCTGGATATACACTCCGGTAAGACCACGCGACACAGTTTCTCGCTGCAGCCCCATCGTCAAAAGAACCTGGTGTTGTAATGAATCACCAGCGGAAAATGGAAAAGTCACTAGTGTACTGACCTGCGCCACGAAGCCGAAGACACCATTCATGAGCAAAAGAAGCGTCCATGTCCATGATCTACTTGTTGGATATACGACTGAAATATTGAAGGCGATCATCCTGTTACGCAACGAATAATCAATACAACACGTAAAATGCAGGGATGTATCTGCGAACCCCAAAGATGCCATGATGGTGCACCCCAGCGAAAAAGATGTCAATATATGCAGCGCATGAGCGCGCTTCCCAATTGCACGAATCGAGGTATCTGTGGAGAACAATTTAGGCGGTCATCGACTATGAGAAGGTCAATCACGATACGCACATGCTGCAGTGGCTCCAAGCACACTGACCATAGACACCCTGCCGAACATAGAATGTTGAATTGAATGGTGCAGCGTGCAAACAACGATGCTCACCCAACACCTGCCAGCCTCTGCACCGGGGTCGGTTCTGGCAAGTAGTGTCCTTCAGGGATGGCAGCTGGTAGGGAGACAAATAGAAACGGGGGCCGAGCGATGAGGACAACACCAAGTAAACTGCAAACTAGCGACGCCTCTATAAGTAATCAAAGACAGAAAAAGTCACAGCATAACTCTCACCTCCCGCGACAGCTTGCTTGATGGAATATCTCTCCTTCAGGAGGACGCATCCAGCAACTGCTGTTGTCAGAGGTTTCAAGAAACCCAGGACTGTCGCATCTGCGACAGACAAATACTGAATTGACAAATACAAGCCACATAATCCGAAAAACCTGAACCATAAAATAATCATCAAAACAGTGAAGTCGTGCGTGTAGATCAATGCACACCCGGTGATCCCACGAATGACCAGTAGCGTTCGAACACCTTTTGGACCAATGATCGGATTAGGGATCCTCATGATAATCCTTCGTACGCGTCTTCAGTCGCGGATTACTTCTGAAGAAGCAACCGACATACATGTATATCGCACAGCATATGAACGTGATGCCCTGTGGACAAAACGATATTCAACTCGAGTCAAATCGTAGAAACTGTGACGCACCATCCTGACTACAATGATCTAATATACATATCGAGATTCAGTTCATTCGAGGAACAAAGACAAAGAAAAGGCTAACCTGAAACGCGTGAACCGGAGGCTCCAAGTTGTTCAGCATCTTCACAGAAATGTTCATGCAAGCGAAGAAGAACTGGGAGGAAATGATGAATAGCATCCCAGCATTTCTGGCAGTGAAGCTAGGTGGTTCGTTTGCTATTGTTCCATCGACTTGACAAGTTGAGGTGGGTTGTGTCGAGCCATAGTTCTGTCCTACAGTGTGAGTGAGAGCCTGAGGAGATCCGGTATTTCTCATGTTCGTCGCGCTGTCGCTAGCTATACGTTCAGATGATCCTAAATAGCCTTGAACCAACGGGGTGGGTACGGCAAAGCGCCTGGCTGCATGCCAAGCCAGGATTAGATATGTAGTAATATTTATCTTGCACGACACTATCTTTACGTCGATGCTGTAAGACTAGCAACGTAATAATACAACTTACAAGGTACGCTGATTAGATTAGATACTGACTAACGATGACCACTTACTTGCGACAACATAGGACAGTAGGGACAGTATGACTCCGAATTCGAGCGCCACAGCAATAAGGAACTTGATCCGGTAACACCATGCGATACAATTTCTCGTTGCAGCCTGGGCCATCATCAAAAGAGCCTGAAGTTGTAATGTGGACATCTTAGAATCTCGAACGTTTGAATATATAGAATACGACTGAGGTACTTACGACGCAGTTTGTAGTCTCCTTGTAAGCTTGAACATAGAAGCCATCGATGACAGTGACACCACGGCTCCTCCCGTCACGGGCGCTGTTTACTGGGCGTCATGGATGCATTTTTGGTCTGCACTGAGCCGCTGGAGTTTACGCATTAGATGATGGTACATATGGAAAATCATCGTTGTCGAATTGAGAAAACTCGAGCGCTCAAGATCCAAAAACGGCACTTGTGGGAGTAGTAGGCAATGAAAGTCCATGCCAGTTATAGAAGAGGACTCGGATCTACTAGCTTCGATGTCCTCGAGAGCTCAGAGCATCTAGGCGTGAAGGAAGTGGATACAAAGACGTTAAGGACGTGACTACCCCCTTATTGCCTCCAATAAATCCCAGAACCCATGTGACCATAGTCTCCCCTAGGCAGACCAAATAGAATCAAGATAGTAAGAACGCTCCTTGTGTGTTTGCAACTAGTATCGGTCGAACTTCCAGTGAAAAAAAAAGGCAGTCGTAAACACAGAGCAGCTACAGACAGATAAAATAGAATCTATATGTTGCTCTAATACAAAGCACTTAAGATAGACCTCGTTCATACACCGGTTTATCACATGATCTAGCGTGACATTTGATGAATTTACACCTAGCTCCATGTGTATGAACTCTGAGAAAATTTCGTTCTATGGTTATGTGCGGAGAGTCTGTAGCAAGACATGCATGTACTTTTTATAATCTAACTTGGTGAACTGAGAGACGAGTAGTGTTTGTGAGTTCAAATGGTCTCAAGTGAGGTGACTGAGGTCACATATCAGGTCACGATGGTAAATTTGCCACGAAAATGCCTACTCCTCCCTCAAGTTGCTGAAAATAAACATTCTAAGGAGACAGCACTAATACCATAGTCCATCCTCACAGGATCATAAGATAGATTTCGCTAATTCTCATCCGAAGCAGAGTTACAAGCCAAAGAATGCGTTCATGGCCTAAAGTCACGTGATGAACCGGTGTATGAACGAGGTCTATCTTAGTAGTGTGGCTGCCGGTCACTGATCAGTCCTTGTTGTAGTTCCCGACAGTGGATTCGAGCTGGCATTGACCTTGCTCCGCAAGGTGATATTTTGTTCCACGCCAAATTGCCAATAGACCTTGCTTCACAAGGTAGATCTTAGGTGGCAATCTGCTGGCATTGTAGATATTAGATGTTCGAAAGGGGATTTCAGATGGATAACTTCTTCAGATAAAAGTAAGTCGTCTTCCTACTGTCCCCTTCACATTTATTTGATCCCGTATCACATCCTCACAAACAATGCGTTTCTCCTTCCTCACCGTTGTTACTGCCTTGACAACATCAATATCTGCATCATCAATACCTGTCAGCGACGCCGACAATCAACCATGTCCTACATTTTGCTTCAATAACTACTGCTGCCCTGGGGAGGGATGTATATGGCTTGTGAGTATAAGTAGTTTGCGTTCTAGATTTAACCACATGACTCACCGGCGCGGTAGGTCCTCTGGGTATGTGTAAATTAACGAGTGAGTCGCGACAGTGAACTACAGTGAGTCATGTTTCTGCTTTCGTATCGGTGCAGCGTGACTGATGATACGACGCGTGAGTTACTAGTAGTGTGTTGCTGAGTTGATCTACGTGTTTGCTTCTGAACAAATTTTACTGCCGCTTGAGCAATGTAGATCTTGGAATAGAGGAAATCTCGAACACTTGAATACATAGAATGACTGAAGTACTTACGACGCAGTTTTGTGGTCTCGTTGTAAACTTGAATATTAATATAGAAGCCCTCGATGATAGACTGCCCCCTTATTGCTTCCGATTCTAGATGACATGCCGCGACCAGGCGTGCGTTGCACGAAGTTGAAGAATGCGAGTATGAGTAGCTTCCTTTGCATCCTGTATTCATTACTCAAGTACCCACCCCTTGCGCCTTGTAATAGCCTGTCGGTGCAAAATTCTGCAATACTTCCTAGTCCCATGGGCTAGCATCCTGAGTGGCACGTCGGGACAGTGGGTTATGTTAGTGCGGTGGTTGATGGCACAACGAGCTATTCTTTGTTGATAATATGGTCGCTCTTAGAGTCTCGACTCTTGAGGGGTTTTTTTTGGCCGCTTACTAATCAACCTGCTACGTTTGGCTTATGACGAGCCGTGCGGACAAACATACAGTAACGGATTGTTGGGAGCGAAGAAATGTCCTGGAACCCCAGACTCGGATGTGACGAAGCAGTAAGAGTGTGGATGCTTGATGATAGCGCTCGACTGAGTGTGAATGCATGAAGAGACCGGCGCACGTTCGACTCCAATGGCAGCTCGTTTGGAAGACGCTGGAAGGTCGAAGTAGTTAGCAGTAGGCGTAGTTATGCGTAACTTGGCAGCAGTGGTCGCGGCAGTTGCCGCAGCAATCACAGCAGCCGGGCGCAGGATTTTCCTAGCGCCCTAATTTATTCCAACCAACGAGCGACCTTACATTAAACGATATATCTGATTCATCCAAGTGCATAGCTACATAGCTATAGGGTTCCAGCTCCTCACCACTATTATCACCGACCACCCCACCTGTCGAGGTTGAACGTTGATTTGGGACAGGAACACAGCTAAACAACATCGGATCACGGCGTACATCCCGATGTAGCAGGAAATACTCCATGGCACGTACCAAATCCCAAGGCCACCATGTCTGGAGCCGCCTGTTATATGTGCACCATCCTTTATCGCAATTGCGCTTGTATTCTCCGCGATTTTCTTCTTCGTGTTCACGGCAATATCATACCGTCACCTGATGGGCCCTGAAACCGAAGCCTGCGCTCGTCACCTCACTCGCCCACACGTCCACTCACAGATGCGAGGTGCGAACTGTAATATGATCACATGCATATACTCACGTACAGTCCGCACCTCAGCATCTCAGAATCCTTACTCGAACACCCGAAGAAAATCACGGGGAGCGGCAGGCTAGGCAGATTGAGGAAAGCTATTATTCAGATGCGAATCATTGATGCAGCAATGAATAACACCGTGTATTAGTACTCTGTTAACACATTTTTGCAGTAGTTCCCGAGCTGGTATTGACCTTGTGTCGCACGGTGATATTTTGTTCCACGCGAAATTGCCAATAGACCTTGCGAAGCAAGGTCAATCTTAGCAATCCGCTGGCATTGCAGATATCATCTGTTCGAAAGGGGGATAGGTTCTTCACATAAAAGCAAGCCGTCTTCCTGCTGTCCCGTTCAGATTTATTTGATCCCATATCAATCCTCACAAACCATGCGTTTCTCCTTCGTCTTCGGCGTTATTGCTGCTTTGACGGCATCAATATCTGCAGCATCAACACCTGCCAGCGACGCTGACGGTGAAGATTGTCCTAGGGTTTGCTATTTTAATGACTGCTGCCCTGGGCACACATGCATATTGATTGTGAGTATGAGTGGTTTACGTCTTGGATTTAACCATAGGACTCACCGGCGTGGTAGTTCATCGTCTGGGTATGTACTACATGAATGAGTGGCATATCGCGACAGTGAACCACTACAGTGAGTCGTGTTTCTGCTTTCGCATCGATGCAGTATGGTTGATGGCACAATGCATGAGTTACTAGTAGTCTGTTACTGAGTTGATCAACGTGGTTACTTCCGAACAAATTTCACTGCCGCTCGAGCTCAATGGAGATCTTGTAATAGAGAAAACCCTGAACACTTGAAAAATAGAATATCCTACGACACATTTCAAATTTGTAGTCTCGTTGTAAACTTGAACATAGAAGCCTCACCTCAGGCACTCGGTGCCAATAGGGTCTTTCAGACCTGGCTTCTATGTCATTGGAAACTGGTCTGAGAGACCGAGCAGTCGATTAGGTTGCGCAACCAGATCTTTTTGCGAGATATACAGGTAAAACGACCAAGTATCAACGGTTGGTTCAGTATATTTTGCTTGCTCCGCTAAGCATTCACTCTGCTTTGGATCCCTGCTTCCGCTCGCCCTTGACATCTCCCGCAAACTACAAAGCTATGAAAAGGAAAAATCCGACACTCGTGTTGATGACTCCTGTGTCATACGAGCACGCAGCGCTCAAGAAGCGAGGGTATTCGTCATGTCTCGGCGGAACGATAAGGACGGACGGACGGACGTGCTCGATAAGAGATATGAGTGGCTGATTAGGAGGCGATTAGTTTGGGACGTCGAGACGAAATAAACAAGTCATTGTTGACTCACCCGTTCCTCTTCCAGTTCAAGACAAACTTGAAACACCGTGTCTGTCACGACCGCGGAACTGGACCTGGTATGTACCAAGGGATCCAGGGACAGGCTGCAGAGAGGTACAAATATGAGGGTCGAGCATCGTAAACTCCAACTGCAAGTCGTCGATACCGCTGTAAGGCTTCCACGTCAAGGTCTTGCTGTCATATGAAGAGATGTGCGCCGTGTATACCTGATACAAGACATCATACTATTACAATCCACTTGAAACCTGCAGGCAACCAAGCTGGGATTGACCCATTTGGTTCGGAAGGTGATAGTTTGTTCCACGCCAAATTGCAAATAGACCTCGTGTCCGAGTCACAAGGTAGTGGTGGAACGGGGCCATCTGCTGGCATTGAAGATATCATCTGTCCAAAAGTGGATTTCAGATGGATGGGTGCTTCACATAAAAGCAAGCCATCTTCCTGCTGTCCTCTTCAGATTTATTTGATCCCATATCGCCAGTGACCGTGACATCCTCACAAACAATGCGTTTATCCTCTGTCCTCGCCGTTGTTGCTGCCTTGACAGCATCAATATCTGCAGCATCAATACCCAGAGACTCTGACAGTGAAACATGTCGTAGAATTTGCGAGTCGAATTTGGGGGGCTGCTGCCCTGGGCAGGGATGCTTTTATCTTGTGAGTATGAGTCCTGTATTTAACCACATGACCGTGACTCACCGGCATGGTAGTTCGTCTTTATATGTATATGAGTGAGTGGCATGTCGCGATAGTGAACTGTGAACTACAGTGAGTTGTGTTTCTGCTTTCGCATCGGTGCAGTATGGTTGATGGCATGACGCGCAGTGAGTTACTAGTAGTGTGTTGTTGAGTTGTGCTTGCCTTGTGAACAAAGTTTACTACCGCTCGAGTTGCAATTGAGATCTTAGAACAGAGGAAATCTCAAAGCGAAAGATTAACAGTGAAAATCGACAAATTACTTGCTAATTAGCGTAAATTAGCAAAGGTGCAAATTAGCGTTAATTTATATAGGTTAACGTCACCCCTCGAACGGCCACTACAAATTAGCAAGCACTGTTATTGTGGGCTAGGACCAAATTTACCGTACACTACTTGAAATTCTCTCAGATCTCCTGCAGCAAGACATCAACCTAGCCCCATGCACAGGAACCCGTGCTACTCAACAAATATTATGAGAGCCTCGCTGTTGTCAGTTTCACAGTGATAGTGCATTTTTCCAAGTCTTTTTTCCTTGATTAGTTCTTTGATGGTGCGTTTTCGTACCGGTCCCGTTGGTGTAACATCTTAGCTTTTTACCATCGCAAACGTCGCCGTGGCTGACCAATCTAACATTCCACTCGACCTACCGCTACCTAAGCACAAAACGCTTACAACGCTTCAACGCCCACCTCTACTAGCGTTCTCCTCGACAAACTCTCGCAAGGGTACTCACACGCCTCTCCTCTACCGGACCACTATCTTCAGGCTCGCCGGGCTTGTTGGTCGCCCTCAACATACTTTCCAAGTCTGCACGATCCCAGAACTCAATATTCTGGACATGCTGTACCACTTCCGAGCTCGCACAAGTTATTAACATCAAGAGTAGCAGCCCGATGGGTGAAGGATAAGGATGAGGATACCTACAATTTTGCGCTTAAGGTGTATCCTGACAGTGCCAGTGGCTGAGTGCAGTTCTGCCTGCCCCGCATGCACATAAGGAACCTGGTGAGCGCATTGTCATGGGACACATAAGACACGACTCCTCATACTAAACCCACTTTTGCGTGGTGTTTCGTGCAGGTTGAAATGTACATCCACGCGAGAAAACCTTGCATGGAATCGACTCAATCAGGGCTATCGTAGTGACTGATGTAGTACGCAGCCCACCGTCGTGAGAGGAATACAGGCAATATTATACATTGATATCTATTCCTTCTACGTTCTACGGCCTGAGAACATCATACGGGCGTGTACCGTACTGTGGTGCTCGCAACTCATTTGAGGGCCAAGACTTGATTCTCTCCGTGTTCCTATGACAAATAGCGTCAGTGGGGTCAAAGTCAAACTGCCGTGGATGCTAAACCATGGCTCAAAGGTCCTCTTGTAGTTCGGAAGAAATGGGACGAATATGAGTATAATCTCGCAGACAAGGATTCGATCATGTGGGATGATGGTGTCGTTGTTCCCCACCCACCTATCAGGAGGTCTCTGAAAATCACTAAAGCAGCTCTCTAGAAGGCGAGCCATAAAGGGTTTCCCCATTTAACCCCTTTGCTGAATGGTGCTCAAGTAGTGGCGGCTGGTGACCGGAAACCAAATATCGCAGTAAGCAGTAGTGTCTTTCACTATGCCTGCCTATTGACCGAATAGTATTGTACAGCGGGACATCTGGAACGCCGCTTCTGCATCACGACCTCTGCCACAGGGGAGTTAATGATTGTATCAATGAAGCTAGATGACGCGGATCCCGCGGATCATGCAGCAGCATCCTTCCGTCCACAGAAGGCCGGTATCATCGCATACCAGCTCTGGCAAGTGCAGAAGTTGCGTCAAAACATCTGGAAAGAATATCTATACCACTGGGAAGCAACTGCGTCAGAGACTTGGGCAGGATGGCCTGTTGACGCTATCATCTGTCGGGTCGCACCATTTTCGGCACCTCCTCATGGGAAGCACGGGTCAGTGTCTGTAAATGGGAAGTGTGGAACTGTCATTGAGAAACAATGCGCAGGCACGCCGACTACACCGTTTGGAATGTGCTCGACTATCCCGCTGCAATTTTTCCTGTGACTGCTGTCGACTCAATTGTCGATGGGCTTGAAGGAGCCTCGTCATGGTTTCTATGACGTTTCGATAAACACATTTACGAAATGTGTTAGTGGTGCAAGCACTCAACAACCTCTCAGCGATTTTCTAATGCCCAATACTTCATTCAGATCACCCGGAGAAATTCAAGGACGCTCCTATTTGTTTGCGACTTGTCGGCTGGGCTCTGGAGGAAGAGGCAGTCATACTAAAATGACAGAAATTGTCGATGCGGCGCTGGCAGCCACCAAACAAGTCCAAGGTATACCTTTCGAAACAGAGCGGCTACAGACTAGAAATGGAATCTATAAGATCCTCCGCTACAAAGTACTTGGTAGTTTGACTGTTGAATCCCGATCGAGGACGAGTTGACCAGTCCTTGTTGTAGTAGTTCCCGATAGCGGGTTCGAGCTGGCATTGGCTTTACTTCGCAAGGTGACATTTTGTTCCAAGCCAAATTGCCAATAGACCTTGCTTCACAAGGTAGATTTTAGGTGGCAATCTGCTGGCATTGCAGATATCATCTGTTCGAAAGGGGCGATAAGATCTTCACATAAAAGTAAACTGCGTCCCCTTCAGATTTATTTGATACCATATCACATCCTCACAAACAATGCGTTTCTCCCGTGTCCTCGCCGTTGTTGCTGCTTTGACAGTATCGTTATCTGCAGCATCAATGTCTGCCAGTGACCCTGACAGCGAAGGTTGTCCTAGAGTTTGTAATCATATCGCCTGCTGCCCTGGGAAGTCATGCGTATTTATGGTGAGTATGAGTCCTGGATTTAACCACATAACTCACCAATGTAGTTCCCGACAGCGGATTCGAGCGGGCATTGACCTTGGTGATATGTTGTTCCACGCCAGATTACCAATAGACCTTGCTTCGTAACCCAGGTCTTAGGTGTCAATCTGCTGGCATTGCAGAAATCATCTGTTCGAAAGGGGATTTCAGGTGGATAGGTTCCTCACATAAAAGCAAGCCGTCTTGCTACTGCCCCCTTCGAATTTATTTGTCTCATATCACATCCTCACAGACAATGCGTTTCTGCTTTGTCCTCGCCATTGTTGCTGTTGCTTTGACAGCATCAATATCTGCAGCATCAATACCCGCCAGTGACCCTGCCGACAGTCGAAGTTGTCCTATCTTTTGCTATAGCCAAATCTGTTGCCCTGGGGAAGGATGCATATTTATTGTGAGTACGAGTCGTTTGCGTCCTGGATTTAACAACACGACTCACCGGTGTGATAGTTCCTCTGGCTTTGTTTGAATTAAGTGATCAGTGAGTGGCATGTCGCGACAGTGAACTACAGTGAGTCGTATTTCTGCTTTCGCATCGGTCCAGTGTGGTTGATGGCACGACGCGTGAGCTACTAGTAGTTTGTTGGAGCATGAGTTGATCAATGTGCTTGCTTCTGAACAAATTTCACTTTCACTCGAGCAATGGAGATCTTGGAATAGAGGAAATCTCAAACATTTGAATACATAGAATATGTTACGACGCAGTTTTATAGTCTCGTTTTAAGCTTGCACAAGTTGCATATGGAACCCCTCGATCACACCACGCCCTTCGACCCCCTTATTGCCTCCCATAGATCCCATGAGTAGTTTGCTTTGCATCCTAGATTCATTACTCAAGTACTCACCCTTTGCGCCTTGTAATACCAATACTAGCCTGCTGGTACGAAGTTCTGCAATACTTCCTAGTCCGATGAGCTAGCATTGAGTCATGTCTCTGCCTTGACTCCCGCGGTGAAAAGCTCGACAGCGTCGTCGAGTTGCCCATCAACGATCAGTTACTCATCTCCCGTATCACTAGCCGTCTCACTCACCCGGCTTGGAGATGACGTGAAAAAGAAACGGTGGCTTGTTCCCGAACCATAGTACTATGGATGTGGATCCCAATGGACTCGTCTGCACTCTTTCGAAGCTCGGAAGAATGAAGATGAGTCTATTGCAGACCCGGCAGCATCACTTCATATTATTTACATACTCTGGGCCAAAGATAGTTCCGCCATTTCACGCTGTACTGCTTGGGATACTGACCTGGGTATGTTCCTGCTTCATCAACTGGTAGTGAGATTTGAATGAACAAAAACGTCAGGAAATCGAGAACGATGACCACTCACGACGACATAAAGAGCACAGGACATAATGATGGCCGCGCCGATAACTGACAGTAGGGACGGTATAATTCCGAAGATTAGGCGTTCAAGTATCACAGCAAAAAGCACCTCGATATACACTCCCATAGCACCGCGCGACGCAGTTTCTCGTTGCAGCCCCATCGTCAAGAGAGCCTGAAGTTGTAATGAGTCACCAGTTGAAGATGGAGAGTAACGAATGTACTGACTTGCGCCACGAAGCCAAAGACACCATTCATGAGCAACAGAAGTATCCATGTCCATGATCTACTTGTCGGATATACAACTGAAATATTGAAGGCGACCATCCTGTTACATAGCAAATAATCAATACGACGCGTGAGATGCAGGGATGTATTCGCGAACCCCAAAGATGCCATGATCGTGGACCCCAGCGCAAAGAACGTCATTATATGCAGCGCATGAGCACGCGTCCCAATTGCACGAATCGAAGTATCTGTGGAAAATCATTGAGGCGGTCATTGACATGAGAAGGTCAATCACAACACAATACGTACATGCTGCAGTGGCTCCAAGCACATGCATCATACATGCCCTACCGGATATAGAATAGTGAGTGGAGTGGAGCAGCGTGCAAACAACGATGCTCACGCAACACCCGACAGCCTTTGCGCCGGGGTCGATTCTGGCAAGAAGTGTCCTTCAGGGATGGCAGTTGACAGGGAGCCAAATAGAAACGGGGGGCGAGCAACGAGGACAACACCAAGTAAACTGCAAACTAGCGACGCCTCTATAAGTAGTTATAAACAACAAAACCCAAAGCATAATTCTCACCTCCCGCGACAGCTTGCTTTATGGAGAACCTCTCCTTCAGAAGGATGCATCCAGCAACCGCTGTTGTCAGAGGTTTTAAAAAGCCCAGGACCGTCGCATCTGCGACAGACAAATACTGAAGCGACAAATACAGGCCGCTTAATCCGAAAAACCTGTGTCATGAAATAGTCAAATTGAGGTCGTGCGTGTAGATTGATGCGTACCCGCTAATCCCACGAATGACCAGTAGCATCCGAACACCTTTGGGGCCAATGATCGGATCAGGGATCCCCATAACAACCCTTCGTGTCGTCAGTCACAGATTATGTCTGAAGACGTAACAGACATACATGTATATCTCGCAGCATATGAACGTGATGCCCTGTGGACGAATCAATATTCAACGCGAGTCAATTCGTGAAAGCTCTGACGCACCATCCTGACTACAATAACCTGTATGACAGATTTGAGATTCACTCCATTCGAAGAACAAAGCAAAAGAAATAGCTAACCTGAAACGCGTGCACCGGAGGCTCCAACTTGTTTAGCAACTTCACCGAAATATTCATGCAAGCGAAGAAGAACTGAGAGGAAAAGACGAGTAGTATTCCAGCATTTCTGGCAGTGAAGCTAGGTGGCTCGTTTGCTATTGTTCCATCGACTTGACATGTCGAAGTGGGTTGTATCGCGCCATAGTTGTGTCCTACGGCGTGAATGAGAGGAGATTCGTTATCGCTCATGTTCGTCGTGCCGTCGCTGGGTTCAGAACGGTACACTGATACTAAATAGTCAACAGGGTGGATACACCAGGGCACAGCGCCTAGACATTTGATCCTCGCTTAGCAAGCGAGTATCAGATATGTAATAATATCCATCCGGGCACTGGAGTCGCTGGACCGTCATCTTTACGTCGATGCTGTATGTAGCAAAGTGTGTAACGATAAGGACACACAAGGTACGCTGATTAGATTAGATAGTACTGACTAAGTGGCCCTTTCAAGGTCCTCTGACTTGAACTTCTTGATTACTTATACTACGTTGATATCCGCAACTTCAAAAATGGCTCCCAAAGGTGGAAACGCAAAGAAAGAGAGTGGTCGAACTAAAAAGGCTGAGAACGAGGCGAAGAAGCAGGACGCTGCTGTTGCCGAGAAGGTACGTCCATCAGTACCACCGCCAACCTTTTGTACAGGTCGATTAACAGGTATTGACAGGGAAAAAAGGAGGCAGAAAAATGGGAAGACGGAGCCAAGACAAACAAAGCCAAGGAGGAAAAGGAAGCAAAGCGTCTCGCCGAGCTCGCCCGCAAAGCCGAGAATGCGCGGCTACTTGCAGAGGAGGAAGCTACGCCTGCGAAAGCCAAGCCGACACCCAAAGCTGCTGGCAAGAAGAAAGATTCTAAACCAGCTGGTCCCGGTGCGATTGCAGCTGGAGGCGACCCGAGTGCTGCAGCAGCCGAGACGGAGACAAATCCCAAGGATGAACCGCCTAAGGAGATCGAAAGCTATGCTGCAACCGGCATCGATAATGCACTGGATCTGCTAGAAGTAGTAACCGCGAAGATGGACAAGGCCAGTGTAGGGCAGCAAGCTGCAGGTCTCGAAAGGCACCCAGAGGTAAGATTAGTTGCCTTCTTCCCGAGGCTATACATCTGACATATTACTGATCACCTAATAGCGACGATTCAAGGTGAGAATTTACATCACGACAGGCTTCCGATAAACTCGTGTTTATCATTCCCCTAGGCTGCGTTTGAAGCCTACAAGGATCGCGAGCTGCCAATTCTCAAAGAGGAGGTACAGTCACCATTCCCGCTGTGTGAAACGCAAGGCTGACAATCTATCTCCGAAACCGCAGCATCCAGGGCTACGCCTGCAGCAATATCAGGTCAGTGCTGCTGTCAGCACGCGTTTCGAGACGTTTAACATTTGATTTTTTTTACAGGATCTGCTACACAAGCAGTTCCAGAAATCGCCGGATAACCCGTGAGTCGTCAAGGTCATACAGCCTTGTCGATGTGATGACTGATCAAAGCCTATTCATCGTTACAGCTTTAATCAGGTCACTATCGCTTACGACGCCACGAAGGATGAGAAAGTGCAGACACTCAAAGAGAAACAAGATGCTGTGCAGAAACGATTGCGCGCATAACGATCGTGATGATGCCATACAATTAGAAGCCGTCTTGGATACGGTTCCTGGAGCCTAGGCATTGGAAGTCGGGGTGTATGATAGTGCTGGTTTTCTATCTCCAAAGGAGATCTGAGAACAAAGAGAACCTTCTGTACACATACTCATAATAATTCAACACTGCACGGTGGATTGTTCAGGGGGCTGTGAAAGCACTGAATGTTCTTTGAGAAGCGTCTGATACAAAGAAGCTCCTTACATCAATCGAGAGCACAGAGGGACTGCGAAGGACTGCCCACAACACTGCAATCCGTTGACAATACCCTGTATACCGCAAATGATAACCTGTGTTCATGCAGCACCGTGAGTGGTTGGTCCCGGACATCATCTTCTTCCGGACAATCGGTGACCAAAGGCAGTGTGGCTGCGTATTAGATTATGTAATCACAGATGTTTTTTTTTGAGTATAAGTTAGCGAGTAGAGTCGAGACTCAACAGACAAACAACCATTCCCACCTCGAGCACGCCATCGACATGCCAGATATTTCCATTCTAACACAGCGCTCAAAATCTTTTGTATCCCCCAAGTCGATTCAGGCCACAAACTCGCTTGTGATCACGCAAGTCCCTCGAAACTTCTTCCAACCTTTGATCCTCGATGCTTTGCGCGACCATTTTGCTACGTACGGCGAGATCAACCAATGGGTGCCGATAGCATCATTTTCCCGTATCATCCTCGTATATTATTCAGAGGATTCTGCTGAGTTGGCGAAAAACACGTGTGATCCTCTTATTTTGGCGCCCCCACACAGGTATGTGATTTTGCGCGACAGTACTCATCATTCTTTCTCATTATCTCGTGTAGAACGCCCACGGTTTTAAGAGTATATCGCTCCGAGCCAAACCCCATCTTTTCACTATCATCACCAACGCCAGACGACAATCTACTGCGCCCTCCGCCGATCGAAAAGAATTTCCTTATCTCCCCACCTGGATCCCCACCAATTGGCTGGGAGCAAATTCGCGAAGAGCCACCAAATTCTTCACCTCTTGCAGATGATCTCATAGCTGCACTTCGCAAGTTGAAAATGCAGGAACGGCGCTCTAGCCGAGAAGTGCTATTGGAACCGGAAGATGGTGTGGGAGTGGGGGTATACGTCGAGGACTGTGATATGGCTGACGATGACGCGGAGGAGGTGGATTGGGAGTACGGTTGTCCATCCCCGGCCCAGCTACGATGGAGACCCATGGCAACCGCAATGCCACCACTCCGGGTGCGATGAAAACTGTAAGTCCTATGTTTCAATATTGTTTCCGGATGATACATTTCAGACCTGTTCCGAGACCTACATGCGGATATCTTCATATTGCCTTTTTTTCTGACTCTTGTCGCCTCGAGTAGCATTTGAACCTGGCGCTAACTCTTTCTCTATAGTGTCACACTGCTGTACGATATTCGACAGACACTGTATTTGATTATCATGTGAGCGTCTTTTCTTCGTGCCTTTCTCGTGATGAAACTTCAGACCTGTTCTGACCCTTGTGGAGATAACTTCTATTGCCTTTTAATTTCTGATCTTTCTTTATCGCGGCTTCGAACTTGACATTGACCTATCCTCATTTTCTAGGTTGTCCGTCCTTTACGATGCATTTTTCTCCGGTTATTTTAGCATGATCTCTTAGTCATTTGTAGCGGACTGTACAACAGCTTTAACCACATGCCTGGACTCCTGCAGCTACAATGGTATTACGAATATGAATGTAGTTTGGATCAGCTGGAATATTATGTAGGCTTTATGTTGTCGTGAATATACGGAATCTCCTTCGTGCTTATCAGATTCAGAACACACCGGCTTATGTCGGGACTGCGCAGCTGATGCACTCGGACCCTTACCTGGACCGCAGTCCAGGGTTGATGTTGACACATCAAGGGACATTCTACGTCCAATGCACTTTGCGTCATACAAATCATAACGGCGCTCGGCCGCGCCAGTTCCCACTCCTGATTGAATACACTCAGTAAAGTCGTGGGCAGATAGCTGGCTATACAAAGTCAGACAGGACACAGCCTTGGATGACACAGAAAACCGGGCCCCAATACAGTGCAATGACACCAGAGGCACAACCGCATCTGCTGGACAGACATATTGGTATCATATGCACAGGAAGATTTTATTCAAATCTGTTCTGTAATTCTACTGAACATTGAATTTTACATATATATGTTTATTATACAACATTCGGACAGATTGGGGGGTATAAATCCCTAAATCTGTTGCATTTCATATCTAAACTTTGAAATAAAATCTGTTTCGCTCTCCAGCTTCGACTGGCTCGAGAGTTGGTGACACGATCTATTAGGTTGGGCTGGACCGAGGGTTGGCTCTGGATGAGACGCAAGCAGTTGGAAGCCGCTGGTAGGGCGGGACAACTGCTTACGAATTCGATCATGTCAAATGACTCTTCGAGTAGCAATAATTGGGACGGTAAAATGTAATTGATAGAGCAGACTATAAGACGCATGACTAGATAAATCATTAGGAGTAAAATTACGGTGTGACAAATTAAAAGGGAGTAGGTGGGCGGGTATAAAGAAAACTGTTCGAGCGAGTGAGGAGTGTAATGAACGACGAACTCGATGTCGTGGCGGAGAGGAAAAACGAATGGAGGAAGCGAACAGCGCAACCGCCCAGCTAGACCCATGGTGCCGGGACATTACCCGGCACCTGGACATTGCCAGATATAGAATTTGAGCATGAATATCGTACCTGATCAATTTTATTTATAAAGTTTGAATATGCACCACATACATATTGGGATTGCCAGCTTCCCAAATATTGGTCAGTATTTTGACAGATTCAGCAAATCCGCCACTGTCTCAGGTGTGAGAATAAGATGCTGAATCAGCGAAGTGTGCGCGACTGAATGTCATATGGAAACCATCCACGCTGACGCACAAACTGACACTATCAAGACGTGCGATAGAGCGAACTGCATTTGAAACATAGCTCGCAGTGAGAAGTTAAAGATGATTGAAACTAGGAAGTTCGGAACAGAAGTTTTGGGTTGATGCATTAGGTGAGGGCATGATATTGTGGATATTAGAGGGCATCATGATATAGATGGTGAGATTGAACGGCATGGAGAATGCCATACGGGGATAAGGATTAATATCAAGAACACGAAGGACAACCGAAAGTCGTTTGGAGGGGAAGCTCGACATCTACCGCCGACGGCGAAAGAGCCAGCTGGAAAAAAAATGAACGCAATGCGCACTGAATCAGACTGCTCAACATATTTGGGCGGAATGATGAGGGTCCGGGTGATATGCTGAACTCATGTTCAAAGACTGTACAGTCCCTGTCAAGACCACCTGAAAAATCTACCTACTGCTCGTGGTACTGGTGAACGTTTGCGTCTGGCAAAACTCTCCCACTGCGGATATTACTTCCATTACACGTGATCCCACACGGCTTCAGAAGGAACGAGCTGATCAAGGGGGGGCTGATCGGTCCTTGTTGCAGCACATAGTCCCCGACAGCGGATTTGAGCTGGCATTGGCACCTTCGCAAGGTGGTATTTTTGTTCTAGGCTAAAGTCCTAATAAACCTTGCTTCACAAGGTAGATCTTAGGTGGCAGTCTGCTGGCATTGCAGATATCGTTTATTCGAAAGGGGGGGGGGGATAAATTCTTCACATAAAAGCAAACCACCGTCGTCCTACTGTACCTTTCAGATTTATTTAATCCCATACCACGTCCTCACAAACAATGCGTGTCTCATTTGTCCTCACCGTCGTTGCTGCTTTGACAGCATCGATATCTGCAGTATCAGTACCTGCCAGTGACCCTGCTAGTGAAGCATGTCCTAATTATTGCTGGAATCACCCCTGCTGCTCTGGGTACCGCTGCAAGTGGTGGGTGAGTAAGAGTGGTTTGCGTCTTGGATTTAACCACATGACTTACCGGCGTGGTAGTTGTTCATTGCTTTTTGTGAATGAGCGAGTGGCATGTCGCGACAGTGAACTACAGTGAGTCGTGTTTCTGCTTTCGCATCGGTGCAGTGGTTGATGGCACGACGCGTAGTAGTTTGTTGGAGCATGAGTTGATTAACGTACTTGCTTCTGAACAAATTTCACTGCCGCTCGAGAAATGAAGATCTTGGAATAGAGGAATCTCGAATACTTGAATACACTATGTTACGACGCAGTCTTGTAGTCTCGTTGTAAGTTTGAACATGGAAGCCTTGATGACACCACGACCTTCGACTAAGTACCCCATTATTGCCTCCGATCATAGATTCCAGATACGCATGCAATTCACATATTGATACATCAAATAGATTGTAATTATAGGATAAGCATATCAAACTGGTATTGAATGACTATCAAAATAATGCGGAATGGAGTATCTAGATCTCGGACTTCGAAAAACATTTGCAAAACATAATCTAGATGAAAAAACAAAACCATAGGGCGTGCTATAGAGTATAATAAGGTGACATTGTGCGGAATATCTCGGTCAGCTGAACACAACACAATTTGGGTGATCTACTGCCGGTAATTTACAGTAGGAAACAACGCTCTTAGAAGAGATCAATAACGAATAAGGATGTTAGTGGCTGCTGGCAATATGCACTCCGGTAACACTGCGCGACACGGTTTCTCGTCGCAGCCCCATCGTCAAAAGAGCCTGAAGATGGAGAGTCACGAGTATACTGACCTGCGCCACGAAGCCAAGGCACCAGTCATGAGCAAAGAAGTGTCCATGATCTACTTATCGGATATACAACTGAAATATTGAAGGCTACTATCCTGTTACATAGCAAAGCTGCGATGGAAACCCATGGCGACGTGGTGCCACCTGGGTCCTGCTGCAAGTGATGAAACTGTAAGTCCTACTATCCCTTCCGGTGCAATCAGCATCCCACAGAAGTCGGCAGTCACGACTTTTCGCAGAGTTTTGTGTGACTGCGTGTGACCAATTGAAACAAAAGTGTCACATTTTCCCGCCAAAATCACCTGGGTTGCCCAATAGGTAAGCATTACTATACTGGGCGATCAAGCGCCTCGCTAACTATTATATGGCTTAGTTGCGTTAAATCTCAACAGTGTTGCCGCGAATTGAACTGAATCGAAACGAGGTGGGAATTCGTTCCAGGTTCGATGGTCGAGGTGGAACGAACCGAAGTGTAACGAATACGGCTCGAAGCTCCAGCCAATGAGAATTGTTTGTAAAGTGAAGTAGATATGAAGTGGCTATGTTTCATTCTACGTTATCGTCGTCGACATTTTGTAATAGATCAGCAAGCTCGTCGAACTTCCCCGTAACTATCAATTGCTCTGCAGCCCTTCGTGTCACATAAATACTGTCCGAGATAATGAAGCATGAGCTTTCATTATCACTGCCTTTTGGCGTAACGGTTAAGGGACGACAGTCTTGACTACTTACACAAACATGCAAAAACGGCAAGCCATAAAATCACAACTCGGGTTTGAGATCAAGCGTGGTATAAGTTTCACGTCGGGAAGCTCGTCGGGGCATGCAAGTGATGCTACAATCATCAAAAAGTGCCAGACATCAGTCACCGATGCCCGGTATTGACGACGACCATGAGTAGACGAGCTCTTCGAGCTGCCTTGTGCAGTCATTGAAGGATCTGTGTATATATGCAAAGGAGGGGGAGGTAGCTCCGTAGTATCTGTGTGCGTCGGCGCAGTCGATGGGCCAACACCACATACAATTGCTGTTTGAATGTTTGAAGTCGTGTCGTCGTTCTTGTGTTTCTTCGCGCGGGATTTCGGTCCTGTCGCAGCCGCGTTTTGCGTTTTATCGTAGTAGTAGTTGGAGCGGTATTATTGACAGCCGTAGGAGTGATGTCGGCAAATGGATTTGACGGTGTAAAGCTTGCTGCAGCTGGTGAATAAGGGCCTTGCACAAAGTGATGCATGTTTGCCAATGCATTTGCGACAGGCAATGGATGTGGGAGATGCGGAGATGCAGAAGTGTTGTTTGGGAGCCCATATGGTGAGTGAGGGTAAAATGGTGGACGTGCATGAGCGGCGGACCATGCCAGACTTGTATAGCCTGGGTGAGGGTGATGATGCTGTTGCTGAGATGCCGAAGGGATAGCAGAAGCTGCAGAACTGTTCCACTGGTGAAAACTCATGTTTTGGGAATATAATACTAAACTCACAGTACGACGCACGAATTTATACGATGACCTATACATCCGTTGCCTAACCACGCTTGAGGATTGCTCAACATTTGTATTGTATAGCATTGCAGGCGCCTGTCCTCTGGCGCTAAAGCAGTACTACGGTCCGACGAAAATATGTATAATGATGTTCTATACCAAAAGGTTCGAGGACGGACAACGGAGGAGCAGAGTACATTGAGAAAATGCTAGAGATGTGAGGTTGCTGGAGTACTACTCTAACGAATCACCAAGTCACAGGCCAGATTTAGCATTTCATTTGGCAGTTCGTTCCTAATTCGATACTTATCTACAACGAGGCGTAAACGAATCGAGTTGTATCGAACTGCCTCAATTTCGAACCGAACCGAAGTTACCTCGAGGTCACCTTGGTTCGACGGCAACACTATCTCAACACCAGCATTAAAACCCGCCCCAAATACTCTTTTACCTTATACCTGGTAAGTTCACCTATTACTCCCACCTTTCCAATATAGTAAAGCGGTACTTAAGACGTCTGCTCACCCTTATATTAAGCCAAAAAGCATTATTTGTGAGGACCAGCGGTCCAGACCAGCAAATTGAGTGACTTAGACACTAAGATATTGTAGCTCGTATTACTAATGAGGTAGACCGCGTGAACGGCTACCCAAATCAGTAATACCGCGCCACACACGTTGCCGAAACCTTCGTGCTCGCTGTGGGCAACAGCGAGCTCAAGTATTCTATCAATTCAATGTATTTTTACCTAATTTTTTTTCACTGTACCATTGAATATATCATTAAATAATAGTTTACTTAAATTTTGAGACCAAGGGAAGGCTATAATAAGTGTACATGACATATGTGAAAGGTAGGGGGGCATGGTGGCTCCTACACCTCCTCCAGAGGCCCCAGTACATTGCCCTCTGGTCGAAAATATTTCAATTATATATAATAATATGTCTATATAACAAAAAAAGCGAAATGAAATCTCCTTAGAGCCAGGGAGGACATTCTGGTAAGGAAAAATGAGGAAAATGGGGGAGGGGAGGGAGGAAGGACTACATGGCCACTAGCATCACAATATCACATATGGAGGTGTTATAGACATCAGGGAGCAAGGGGAGAGTGAATAGAGGTACCAGGAGCACAAAAATGCGCCCCAAACCAGGAGGATTACTGTAGCTGGCACAGAACTTGATATAGCTACTCACCAGTGGAACAGGAGCACAAGCGGCGTTAATGGAGTGTATTTTGACCATATTAGAGTCATATGAGACACTGTAATTGGCGAGGAATTGATTAGTAGATATACAAGGGGAGAAACAACATAAAACATGAAAAATAGAGAGGAGACTTACCAGAGGGTCTAGAGCGAAAGTCCTGGTACTCTAAATAGTATAAGGCGTCTATATGATTGACTGGAAACAGTTGAAAGGGTAGGGATAAGGAGGAAGAAAAGTTAGAAACAAAAATCACCAAAAATGCGAACCATGAGGCTCACCGAGTCTGGGAGGTGCCCAGCATCTATAGTGATGGCAGGAAGGTCATAAGATAATGAAGGTGGTCCTAAATGAGTATTAGAACACATGGGAAGTGCTGCGGAGAAGGGTAGGGCGAGTTATTGAGTCAATGTTGAAGAGGGGTGAAAAAGCACTCACCTTGCCACCAGAGAGGCCCCGGGTGTGTATATGAACTAAAAGGCATCCTAGAAGAGTAGAAGACACTTAGAAATGTTGGTACAGCAAGTTTCAAGACCAACCAGTGAGTTGTGGTCGTGCTACAGTGAAAGTGAGTGATAATTGGTATAGTTGAACTTCGGTCAACATATTTGGGCGGAATGATGAGGGTCCGGGTGATATGCTGAACCCATGTTCAAAAACTGTACAGTCCCTGTCAAGACCACCTGAAAAATCTACCCACTGCTCGTGGTACCGGTGAACGTTTGCGTCTGGCAAAACTCTCCCACTGCGGATATTACTTCCATTACACGTGATCCCACACGGCTTCAGAAGGAACGAGCTGATCAAGGGGGGGCTGATCGGTCCTTGTTGTAGCACATAGTCCCCGACAGCGGATTGAGCTGGCATTGGCACTTTCGCAAGGTGGTATTTTTGTTCTAGGCTAAAGTCCTAATAAACCTTGCTTCACAAGGTAGATCTTAGGTGGCAGTCTGCTGGCATTGCAGATATCGTTTATTCGAAAGAGGGGGGGGGGGATAAATTCTTCACATAAAAGCAAACCACCGTCGTCCTACTGTACCTTTCAGATTTATTTAATCCCATACCACGTCCTCACAAACAATGCGTGTCTCGTTTGTCCTCACCGTCATTGCTGCTTTGACAGCATCGATATCTGCAGTATCAGTACCTGTCAGTGACCCTGCCAGTGAAGCATGTCCTACTTATTGCTATAATCACCCCTGTTGCTCTGGGGACAGCTGCAAGTGGTTGGTGAGTAAGAGTAGTTTGCGTTTTGGATTTAACCACATGACTTACCGGCGTGGTAGTTGTTCATCGCTCTTTGTGTATGAGCGAGTGGCATATCGCGACAGTGAACTACAGTGAGTCGTGTTTCTGCTTTCGCATCGGTGCAGTGGTTGATGGCACGACGCATAGTGGTTTGTTGGAGCTTGAGTTGATTAACGTACTTGCTTCTGAACAAATTTCACTGTCGCTCGAGAAATGAAGATCTTGGAATAGAGAAATCTCGAATACTTGAATACACTATGTTACGACGCAGTCTTGTAAGTCTCGTTGTAAGTTTGAACATGGAAGCCCTGATGACACCACGACCTTCGACTAAGTACCCCATTATTGCCTCCGATCATAGATCCCAGATGCGCATGCAATTGATACATCAAATAGATTGTAATTATAGGATAAGCATATCAAACTGGTATTGAATGACTATCAAAATAATGCGGAATAGAGTATCTAGATCTCGGACTTTGAAAAACATTTGCAAAACATAATCTAGATAAAAAAACAAAACCATAGGGCGTGCTATAGAGTATAATAAGGTGACATTGTGCGGAATATCTCGGTCAGCTGAACACAACACAATTTGGGTGATCTACTGCCGGTAATTTACAGTAGAAACAACGCTCTTAGATGAGATCGATAACGAATAAGGATGTTAGTGGCTGCTGGCAATATACACTCCGGTAACACTGCGCGACACGGTTTCTCGTCGCAGCCCCATCGTCAAATGAGCCTGAAGATGGAGAGTCACGAGTATACTGACCTGCGCCACGAAGCCAAGGCACCAGTCATCAGCAAAGAAGTGTCTACGTCCATGATCTGCTTATCGGATATACCACTGAAATATTGAAGGCTACCATCCTGTTACATAGCAAAGCTGCGATGGAAACCCATGGCGACGTGGTGCCACCTGCTGCAAGTGACGAAACTGTAAGTTCTACTATCCCAATCGGCATCCCACAGAAGTCGGCAGTCACGACTTTTCGCAGGGTTTTGTGTGACTGCATGTGACCAATTGAAACAAAAGTGTCACATTTTCCCGCCAAAATGTGTGACCTCTGCCGACTTCAGTGGTGTGCCGATTGCACCAGAAGGGATAGTATGTTTCACCATTGCCTTCCGGATGTTGTACTTCAGACCTGTTCCGAGACCTACATGCAGATATCTTCATACTCCCCTCGAGTAACGTTTTGAACCTGGCGCTAACTCTTTTTCTCCACAGCGTCACACTGCTGTACTATATCTGACAGACGCTGTATATGTGAGTGTCTTTCCTTCCTACTTGATGAAATACTTCAGACCTGTTCTGACCCTTGTGAAGATAACTTTTATTTTTGATCCTTGTTTATTACAACTCAACGCTGTTGACCATCCTTTGCGATGTATTTTTCTCCGGTTACTTTAGCATGATTTCTTAGTCATTTGTAGCGGACTGACCACATGCCTGGACTCTTGCAGCCACAAATATGAAAATAGTTCGGATGAGCTAGAATATCATGTAGGCTGTATGTTGTCGTGAATACACGGAATCTCCTTCGAGTCTCTACAAACAACGTTCATACTTACGTCTGAGCTGCGCAGTGATGGGCCAATTGTCGCGGATTACCAAATAAGGAAATTTTAAAATGGATGTACTATTGTTCTTTGCAGTTTTATTGTTCTCTTGCTCGAGCGGCAACCTACCGACCTTATTCTTCTAAAATAACAAAAGGCCACACCTCCAATGTCTTTTCCCGGCAAAGCTTCGCTCTTTCTTTCTTTACCACTTTCTTTCCTTCCCTTGCACGTTCCTTAGCTCGGCATGTTGTCGAGCATCATTGCTGCTACTTTCGCCTTCGGCGCGTCTGTCGGTGAGTGTCGAACTAGTTAATATTGAACCGGACACGTCTGACCATCTCCATTGTTCAGTCGCGCAATCTTCGTCTTCTGTTGTATGCGTTGCAGGCCAATGCCTTCAAGGTTATTCTAATACCACTTGTGAGTCCAAATTTATCAGAGTATTCATCGTCATTCTCATCGTTATAACCAGTAGGAGCAACTCTCTCAGCATCTGGAATATCAACCGATGTTCTTCTTCTTCCTGGACAGTATACGTCTACGACGAACCCAGAGCTTCTTCATGAGTTATTGACGTCCTCCTCTGCTTCACTTTCTGCATCTACCGGCTTTGGCAACTCGAGCACCGGATCTTCAGTTTCTCTCCCACTTAATATCGCACTTCAACCAGGTCTCGCAATCTATCCACAAGCTTTCTATTCAGGACAAGGCTCATATTCTAGCCTCCCCACGTCCCCCGTTGGAAATGCATCCATCCCATCCACTGCGTCCTCAGTAGCCCTCTCAGGGAACGTATGGGCAGCTGTATCAGCTGGAAGCAACAGCCGTGTCATATTGTGGAACTCCATTCCTGACGTTAGTCAGCTTCCTGCGAGCGCATCAGGGTCCCTGTCGTTGCTCAACCTGCAATCAACATCCTGTTCGCCGCCTTGCTTCCGGGAATGGCGTTTGTTCGGCTTCGGGGACGTGTCAATGTCCGAGCGGATTTACCGGTTCATCTTGCGAGTCGTGCGCCACTGGTTTCTTTGGACCCACGTGCCAGCCATGTCCTTCAGGATGTACCTCTTGCGATGGCGGAATATCTGGTACGGGCCGTTGCTTGGTGCCAGTAGTGAATAACTTGCCATCGAGCTGCAATTGCATCAACGGGCAATGCGGTTCCAACGGACAGTGTACTTGTATCACCGGCTGGACTTCGGCATCAAACGGAACCCAGTGTTCTGCATGTGCGTCAGGTTTCTTTTTAGACACAAACGGGAACTGTGAAAGTGAGTTACGACGTGTACATGCATCTCCCCAGTCTCACCTTTATCTTCAGTTTGTCAGCTCGGCTGTCAGCAGTGTGCCGATAGCAGCGGGGACTGTATCACTTGTAAATCAGGCTTTACTCAAGATGCTAACGATCGCACCAAGTGCGATGCCACTTCGCAAACTACGTCAACCGGCACGATTTGTCCCGATGGAAGTTACAGTGCTGGGTCTTCTTGCGCAGCTTGTTCGCCCCTTTGCCAGACTTGTAACGGGCCTACTTCGAACAATTGTGTCATTTGTGGATCTGGCACATACTCGTTTAACGGGTCATGCGTGTCGACCAGCACTGCGGGTGTTTGCCAGGGCTTCGAATTTGATTGCCAATAATAACAAGCATGAATGTGACAGTAAGCGCGTTCCACATTGCAACTCGATTGTGTGCTAATATATGATTCGCAGCTTGTGGACCAAAGTGCACGACCTGTCAAATATCCAATTTCAATGTTGCATCTACCATCGATCAAGCTCAGTGCACTGGTTGTCTTCCTGGTTTCTTCTTGTCGCAAGGGAAGTGTGTGACAAGTTGCCCATCGGGTACCTTCCTTTCTCCTCAAGATAATTTGACGTGCACAGGTGCGAACTGCCTCCTTAATTCATTACTAAAGTTGGCTGATGCAATTAATCAGTTCAGCTTGTTCTTCGTCCTGTACTAGCTGTGCAGGAAGCGCTACCACCTGCTTGACATGCGCGAACAATTTGCTAGCCTCGAACGGGCAATGCGTCAATTCTTGTCCTTCCAACACATTCAGTTCTTCTGGAACCTGTGTTTCCTGTCACCCGGACTGTGCAACATGTTCAGGCGAATCCTTTAATCAGTGCACGAGTTGTAACAAGGCTCTCCCAGTCCTTACTAGTGGACGCTGCCTTGCTACTTGCAGCCAGAACCAGTATTTCGACACCACGTCCTCGACATGCAAGTCTTGCGACAATAGTTGTGCCAGCTGTTCAGGCGCTGGTTCAAATAACTGTCTCGCCTGTTCAAGTTCCAGTCAAGTTTTGCGTGGGGGTACTTGCACTTCAGCCAACTGCACAAGCGGTTCAAGTATTATCCCAGGCCTTGGGGCATGCCTTTCAGAACTCGTACTCGTCCCCTCATCCTCCGGCACGAGCTCAGGCGCGCTTCCTTCGATCACTGGGCTATCGACTCCTATCGCAACCACATCCACTCAACGATTGCAGTGGTGGGAGATTCTCCTCATGGCGCTTGGATGTGCTTTCATCTTTGTGGCCTTTTTGTACTGCTGGCGCCGCCGAGCTCGCAAGCAACGAGCAAAGGACACAGCCGCATTTGCGTCTGCTAAAGCCCTACCTCACAAGCATAACTGGAGGTGGCGACTTGTGCACTTTGGAGAAAGGCTTTTCGGGTACAACCGTAAGCAGCCGCGGCCTGAGACCGAGGAAATTGCCTTATGGAAACTGCGCGCTGCAGAAGAGGCGCGGCACCACACGGAAATGGAGAAGCTCGTAGGTGCATATGAGTCGGGATCGAGCCGGGCTCATTCGCCTCTCCCTTCGCTTCCTCGCTACAAGCGGCGTGGGTCTCACGATTACTCAGACGCGCACAGCTCTAATAGGCTATCCGCGGCTTCTATGTATTCCCAGGCAACAGGGATGCCTCGTACGGGACCTGAACCTCGGCAGCCTGTCAAAACGAATCCTTTGACGTCTCGGTTTTCATCAACGACGCTTGGTTCTGCGGTATACAAGAAACCAAACACGTTACAGTCTAAGCGCAGGCCAACACCCCCCAAACCGCTGACTGACGCTGAGGCATACGCCACGTCCGTAAGGCAGTCATCGGAATCTGACGTATCGTATTGGATAGCACCCACGAATACGGGCGGATCCAACACCAACCCTTTCCGTAAATAAGCTTATGCTTTCTCATAATATTCTGCATGGACATCGAGGATTAGACTGGATCTTTACCCAACCCATCTTTACAAGTTTATATCACCACGCACATTGTACACATTTCTTTCGTCACGATACTGTAGCTTACGACTTTCCTTCGGGCTCTAATCACGCAGCCCTATATAGAGCGTAATGTAGCACTTTTAGGTTTAGCTGTCTCTGTACAATGAGTCTGGTTCCAAGCATTAGCTTTACATAAGCTTACACCTTAGTCGCAACGGCCGTCCTCTCATGCTCGGAGGTTTCCCTGTGTGCCTGTATTGCCTGTCGAATGACCGCGCGAAACTCCCCCTTGGGCCAGGATCATAAACACAGCATTGCGGGAGTTAACTATTTCCCGACATGTCCTGGGTTGAATTGCCAAGGGTGAACCATCTCCGTTCTAAACGTCCAATGTGGTACCACGGCGACGTCTGACGCCACGTGTATGTGCACGACTCCAAGGACACACCAAATTTATTGATATATGTCATCAATCATTGAACTTTAACGCTCAGTCATGCACATGACAGCAGTGGATGACTTAAAAGCGGTCCGCCAGCCACACAGCACGGTGGGGATTCCACTTCCCCACATTTCCCGTCCGCTTGCTTCTTCCGTGACGATCGCCGAATCATGGATGGAATGTCGGACAGCTCTGAGCTGTCCTGCGAAGCTGATCCCTACTTCGTTTGCCTCCTTTGGCGATATCCCTGGAAACTTGTGCAGTCCTGCAGACGATTGGCCACGTCCTTTCCGAAACTTGGGCCATGATGCTGCCTGGGAACGCCTAGCGGCAGTCTCCAATCTCCATAGCGTCAAATTTGACACCAATGGGCGGTGGCGGGCAGATGCCCTCAATTTCCAACCTTGCGCCGAGACCCCCTCGCAAGATCGTTATGCAATCCAGCAGATACATATCCAGGGACGCATCTGGACCCTGTCTGCGGTTTTTGATGGTAGGAGCGGTTTTTGAGGGTGTGCTTGGCCATTGTCACTAGGGATTATTTCACAGGTCACCTCGGCAGCCATACCGTTGAACATGTGGCTCATCACATGCCCGTCATTGTGCGGGAACACTTGGAAGTGATCACTCAGAAACATGGCGACCGTGCTGTACCGCCGCCGTTAGTTGCAGACATGTTTGCGATGGCCATTCGCAATTTTGATGACGCCATCGCTAATGACGTCCTGGAACTTTTCCCGGGTGGTTTATCATCTTTGTCTCGCTTGTCGGACTCACAAATCCAGGAAGTTCTCGACGATCAACTTTCTGGAGGGCAAAATTACACAAAGGCGAGGCTGTGCATGTATGGTACTACTGCGCTCGTAGCTCTTGTTGACCCTGATCATAAAAATCTATGGCTCGCCAATTTGGGTGACTGCCAAGGACGTACGTCGAGCGTGACGAAGTTGCTCATCGTGACGACTGACTTTTGGGTTTAAGTGGTGGTCTCGGAGACTGGTCATCAAGGGTGGAATATGGAAGTTTTGACGCGACTTCATAATGGAGAGAATCCACTCGAGGTTCAGCGCGTCATGAATGAGCACCCTGGTGAGCCGGAGTGTATCTTGGATGGCCGTGTGCTTGGAGCTATTGCACCCTTTCGATGCATGTAACATTCATATTTGCAAGGTTTTATTAATCGCTGACTGCTCGATCCAACAGGTCTAGGAGATACACCCTTTAAACAACCACCCGAATTCACCCGGCGTATACTCTATAATTTATACCCTGGTCAGCACGACACATCTCCTTGGGAAGAATTCCTGATGAGGAGCCACACGCCTCCCTACATTTCATCCACTCCGGAAGTCACGCATTATCCCCTCGACCCATCACCCCAAGCGCCTCGCAAATATCTTATCCTGTGCTCAGATGGGTTTACGGACATATGCGGCACGAATCAACGTGAAATTGTCGATCAATGGGCGCGTGCAGCCGCACGTAGTAGCTCAAGAGAGCTAGATGAAAAAAGTCTGGCGCTCCGACTACTCTGGCAGGCGCTTGGTAATGATCCGAAGAGCGTATCTCGTGCTCTGACTTTGGACATGGACTCACCTTGGTTGGATGATGTATCTATTATTGTACAGTGTTTATAATTGCCTGAGGCAACGACCTGAAGAGTCTTATATGTTCCTCGTTCTCCGAAAGTACTTGCTAACCCACATTTGGAATGTGTAGTGTTTGAGTTACATATTTTATTTGCAATTTGTTTGGTTTAGAAGGTAGATGACAAATAATCATAAATAACGCCTCTTACAGGCAGCTGCCGTACAGGTCGCCGCAAGACCATATGCACGCCTCTTCATAAATCATTATTTTGCCTAGGGGAGATTGATGGCGAAGTCACTGCATTCATCTGCGTCTACTGATTCCTCCGACCTCTTCGGTCCCGATGATCCTGAATTTCTTGAGGCTCTTAGAAACGCGGTGCTACCCGGAGATCCCCCACCGGATGCTGCGTCACTGAGTCGAAAGCGTCCTCGTAATGAAAGTGACGAGCGGCAAGTTGAAATGACCTCGCATGGAACAACCCATGGACTCGGTCACACCGAAGACAATCCCGAGATCTATGGGGCATCTCGCTTTGGACATTTTGGAGAATATATGCATCGCAAGCGTGCCAAGCTCCAGATACAGAATGCAGACCTCGATGCAAGCCAAGATATTGGTGAAGAAAGCAGGATTTTCAGCGGTCTTTCAATATATGTACGTATCTCTCATGTTGCCGTCAGAAAGCAAGGCTTTAGCTTCCATCTCAGATTAACGGGTGGACCAATCCTTCGGTTCAAGACCTACGGCAATTGATAGTGACGCATGGGGGTGTGTTTCAGCCTTACCTGGATAAGAAATCCTTAGTGTCTGCACCTTCTTTATCATTCCAGTAGATTCACAGAAATTCATCGCCCCTTATGCAGGACCCACGTCATTACTTGCTCGTTGACTGCTGCGAAGATCAAAGATTGGAAGCATATGAAGATTGTCAGGCCTGAGTGGCTGGTGGACAGTGCCGCTGCAGGAACATTACTTCCATGGAGGAATTACATTTTCAAACCCGGGGGCAGGGTTGAGCAATCTCAAGGAGCGCATACGCCTCAAAGTCATCTGTCCACAGACTCGCGGACAACAGCGCGCTCCGATTTGCGTAAACCTGAACAGCCACTATCAGGTGACCATGTCCCCGCAACAACGCCTGATTCTGACACGGCAGGTGCTGCCACCGCTGAGGTTGATGATCCAGGGTCCTCGACTTCTTATTCACATCGACCGCTCTATGTTACAGATCCAGGCACGCGCGAAGACGCCGCACGCGTCCCTGGGTATGCCTGCTCATACATCGAATCCGCTGGCCGAGTGCGTTATGGCTAATCCGCAATGGAGAGCCGCACACACCTCCGTGGCACCAAATTTCATAGAAGGTTTTTACAAAAACTCACGACTGCACTACCTGTCCACATGGAAAGCTGAGCTGAAAAAATTAGTCCAGCAAGCCTACGAAGAAGTAGAAAATGGGCTGGTACATGAGTCCTCGTCAACTATAGGCAGACTTCAGGACTGTGGCTGGCAGCGGTGATGTAAATATAGGAGCACCAGCTCGTGACGAAGTCTCCATCAAAAAGGAAAGGCAAAGAAAAGGACCCAGGCCTGAAGCGTATTATTATGCACTGCGACTTCGATTGCTTTTTCGTTTCCTGTCGGCCTTCTGAGTCACCCTGAGTTGCGAGGCAAACCGGTTGTCGTTTGTCACTCACAAGGTGGTACAGGGGGTGCATCTAGTACCAGTGAAATAGCAAGCTCAAGCTACGAGGCCAGGTCATTCGGGGTTAAAAACGGCATGAGGTATGAAAGGCTCGTTTCAGGTATTGATCTACGAGTGACAGTTTTCTTCAGCCTTCAGCAAGGGCGTAAATTGTGCCCTGATCTTATGACTACACCATATGAATTCGAGAAGTATGTATTCATCTTTCCATTCCCTATACTCTACTCAACATGAGATCAGATATAAACAGCTGTCGTTGCGTTTCTACACCATTTTGATGCGTCATGCGGATGATATCCAGGCCGTCTCCGTTGATGAGGCTTTGATAGAGGTTACAACAAGCGTTGCCAGATGTGCTCTTCGGCCATCGTCCCTAGCATTTGTGGATGATCCTGCAAAGTCTCTTGCAGAACAGATACGGTCCGAGGTCAGAGACGGAACAGGTTGCGAAGGTACGCACATCGACTATGTCCGATGGCACTTTCTGACCTAAGTCGTAGTGAGCATTGGCATCGCAGAGAACATACAACTCGCTCGCATTGCAACACGCAAAGCCAAGCCTGCTGGATCCTTCCACCTAAAACCAGAAGATGTGCAAGAGGTTCTCGCGCCGTTAGATATCGATGACCTCCACGGCTTCGGACATTCTACACGCCAAAAAGCGAACGAGAAGCTCGGAGCCACAAATCTCGGCGAACTCGCTAAGAAGAGCAAAGGTGCATTGTGTGATGCCCTTGGCAAGACCACTGGCGAAACTCTGTACAATGCGATTCGTGGCATCGATGAACGAAAGCTCGAGTCTGACAAGCCGCGAAAGTCTGTATCGTGCGACATCAACGTGAGCTGCTGATACTTTTTTTTTCGTTTACTGAGCACTGACCTGGACCTAGTACGGGATACGTTTCGAGAACAACGACCAAGCCAAAGCTTTCATCTACCAGATGGCCGAGGAAGTTTCCCGAAGATTGAATGCCGTCAATATGCGTGGGCGTTCTTTGACTCTGAAGATTATGAAACGCGATCCAAATGCGCCTGTTGAACCACCTAAGGTATTGAGGATTGTCGACAATATGTATCCGAACCAGGTACTGACGGGTGTCCTCCGTTGTAGTTCATGGGACACGGCATCTGTGAGACATTCAACAAGCAAACTGCATTTAGCAGCGCAAACGGCAAAGCTACAAGCGATCCCAAGGATATCGGTGACCACGCATGGAAGCTACTGAATTCTTGGGCATTCGATCCCAAAGAGCTACGTGGAGTAGGCATTCAAATACAGAAGCTAGATATGACGTCGGTAGCTGACACCGCCGATCCTGGGCAAGTGAAGCTGCCATTCCACATCAAGAGCTCTACGACCGTGCAGGAAAACACTGAACAAGATGACCTTCCAGTGCCTAGGATCGTCACTGAACCCCCTTCTCAAGATGACCCACCTCAAAATGAGGTCGGTCCTTCACATGTAGACCTTCCCTCTTTCTCCCAGGTCGACAAGGACGTCTTCGACGCATTACCGGATGATGTTAGGAAGGAGCTAGAACTTGAATACCAGCGCAGATCACATTCGCCAATGCCGGTGGAACAACCCCCTCGTGATGTCCGACCGAAAATCATGGTCAAAGGCGTCAACGTCAAAAGAATCACCCAACAACTTGCGCCGAAGAACAGAACGAGCGTATCGCCCCGCAAAAACACGCTCTTTGCGAAACGTGATGGCCCATCGTACATGCGTGTGTCTGACGAAGAGCTTCGTAAACTTGATATCGACCCAGATGTATATGCTGTCTTGCCTGTGGACTTGCAGCGCGAACAGTTGATCATGGCTCGGCATGCAAAAAGTGGAAATCTCCTTCAAGAACGCAAGATCATTAAGGCTTCTTCTGGTCGTGGACCATCTGTACCTTATCGCAAGAAACCTCCTCCTCAAGCTAAGCACCCGCAGCCGCCTCTTCTGAAACAGCAGGGTCAGCAGCCAGGGGAGAAACTGTACTTTGCCGAAACTGAAGATGTTCAGACCGTCATCGAGTCATGGGTCAAGGGGTTCACAGATCATCCCCCGAACCCAAAAGACGTCGACTATTTCAGCAAATTTTTGGTGAGGAGTGTAGAATCGGCTGATACAGGCATGGAGAAAACCATTGCTGTAATGAAGTGGTGGCTTATCCTCTTGAAGAGAAATTGGGAGGTTTACGAACACGCAAGCAGCGCGGAGGAGAATCATGATGGAGACGCGAAGGCAGAGGACATCGGGAGAGCTTGGTGGAAAGCATTCAGGGAAGTGAAGGCCAAGGTTGATGCTGCTACCAGACGACGCTTCGGTGGTTCATTATCTCTTAAATGATGGTTTTATTTACATAATACAGTTATTCCAAGTAATTCAGGCTTCAGCGACTTCCTTGGTCCCAGAGGCTAAGAAGAACTGGATAGGGTGTCCTTGTTTCTTTGCCTTGCCGGCCGTCACAAATGCAAAGTTAATCAGTCCAGCACCCTCAAATACGGCTTTGATGTCTGCCTCTTCAAAGCCACCCCTGTGCGCGACAATACTGTGTGCTCCGGTGGGAAACAACTCCTGTGTGGATTCTACAGAAGATGGTTTCATCAAATCTGCGACCAAGAGCGAACCCCCTGGTTTCAGGTAAGATGCAAGAGCCTTCGTCACCTCTTCGATAGAAGGAAAATGGTGATACGATGATGCACACTAGTGTTGGAGTGTGAGTGTGGGACGTTGCGGGTGGTCACTAGACTTACCACAACCACATCAAACTTCATTCCATCCAGCTGGTTTGAGGTAGCGGTAAGGTCACAGCACACAGCCCTCATCTCCTCGTGTGGTATACCCTGATTTGCGACGCTCTGATTGTATCGATCGACCATGCTCTGGCTGATGTCCACGCCTACGATGCATTTGGCATGCGCAGCGAGTTCTTGGGAGATTAAACCTGGAGTACCATAGAGAAAATCAAGGGAGCGCTACGAAACCCTCCATACATGACCAACCTGTGCCGCAAGCATAGTCCAGAACCAACGTTGAGTCCTCATTGAATGGATAAGCGTTGATCATAGCTGCTCCAAATCGCCGAGCAAGCTCATGCGTTTCAGGATCATTGTACTGATGAGCATGCTCATCGAAATATTTCGTATTGGATTCTGTGAGATTATGCTGATCCTCGTGGACATGGTGAGGGCCATGGGGATGGCCATGATGACAGTGGTGTTGAACATCATGATGGTGCTCAGCCATCGTATGAACGCTTACTTATATAAATATGGTTTAGGTTCTTGAGTCTCGACGTTTCCCCTTTTGGTTTATACCCTTCAGCCGAGTCTATGCGTTGCTGTGCTCTGATCCGTTTTTTCTTTGGCCACAGGAATGCGGTTCAAAGTATAGCAGGCATAACGTATATCATATCCCCGCGGGGTCATATACCAGTGGGTACAAAGAGGCGTGACAAGCATTAAGCTGGAAAATATGATGAGTGTGTCAGAAGGATTCTCAGAACAACGTGACGTATGAGCCTTTTCGGGGATATCAAATATCACGTGAACTTCTGCTGAAGCCTTTGCAACGATCGCGACGTTCGAGTACACAGACTGCTGCGCAGCTTCGTTCGACGGTCGTCGCTGCCCCATGTAAATAACTTGTTCGTTCGTTCGGCTAGCTATTTTTATTTCTATTGCTCTATTTTTCTCTTTATTCTATCACTTTGGTCACTGCAGCCTGCAACTATGATCCTTAGCTCTTCAATGATTCTGGATGGCGACTTCAACCGCTCCGTGGACTCTGGGTTCGTCGATATCACAACGGATAATACACCAAGCGTCTCCGCTACCATTTCAGCTTCTCCGAGACTCTCACCACACGACCGTATCAAATCCGTTCTCAAGATTCTGCGAGACGGTCGCATATCACCCCTTGATTTCATGCGTCAATCCTCGATCCATCAGAGATCCAATTTGACATCAATCGCGACCACATATACAACTATTCTAGGCAGGGAAATGGAAAATGCTACGGGGCAGTGCACGGATGGGAAACTGGAGCAGATGCTTGTCCGTTTGTTCAGACTCACAGGATCGCGCTCGGATGTTGAAGTGATTCCATCCTCACGATATCGACTATATGTCTGATGTTGTCAGCACCGAAATGGATGCTGTCAAGGAGAACCTTCGCGGGACGCTTGACATCATCATTCCAGAGTTCCTTTCCAAGTGGGATCTTAACTCAATGATGCAAGACGCAGTCGCACCCAAGGCACCGGTCCTACAGCGTGTTCTGCGCTGCGCTGCTCAAACAGATCGCGCTAGAGAAAAGAACAAAATTAAGGATTGCAGTACCGCATGACGTGCCATGTTTTTAGCATCCTTACATCTTTTAATTGATGGATCTCTTTTCATCCAAAGGCGTGTAACGTCATTGTCACGCAACTTGCCTCCCAGCATGGCCTGGAGCCGTTTCAGTGGTGAAATTGTCATGCTCAGTGCCTGGGCGGAGGAGGATAGGAATTATGATACACAAAGTTTTTCCGCTGCATGTGTCTAGCAGGCACTGGTAGCTAGGGGTAATGTAGTGCGAAAACAATGCACCGAATGCATCCACAAATTGGGCGAATACATTTCGCGCTCAGGTGAGCCCTGGGGTGTTGTTAATTGGGGTATGCTCAAGCTCAATACTGGAAGAAGAACAAGGAAGATCAGCAATACTTCGACTAGCATTGTTCTAATGCGTAATCATTCGTGCCCCATATGCATTGATTTTTTCAAGATGACGCCTCAACGATCGTGCGGAGTGTCTCCACCTCCCGATGGAGGAACTTGATCGTATCTTCCATATTACTCATCTTTCTCTCCATGCTTCTCAGCTTTGCGGCTGGGGATTCGGGGGCTCGCCCGATCTCAAGCCGAGGCACTAACACATAGCTCATAACTTTGGGGTTGTTAGCGAACTGCGTGTTAATCAAGTGATGCACTTACCTGTGAGTGGTCTTCGACGCACCACTGAGGTGCTCTCGCCGCGTGGGGAAAGCGACCGACGGCGGGCGGACGTTGACCGTGCCCTCGCCCTCTCTGGTGATCGTGAACGAGGCTCACCTCGCACGCCCGACTTTGCTCGCAGTCGATCATCAACTGAGGGGCTCCTGCGGTGTCGGGAGGGCGACCGATGGCGAGTGGATTTGTACCCTGCCCTCACCTGTGATGGGGAACGAGGCTCACCGCGCGCTCGCTGTCTGGAGGGTTGGTTGCCGAATAGCTGACACCTGACCTTCAGTCGCCTGCATTCAGTGCAAACCAACCGGGGGCCAGTCTTGCCAATGCCCCTTATGCAGGTCTTGCGCTCCCTGGCACACCGAGGACAGGGGCCGATGGCGCCGACAGCACCCGATGGTCCTGCCAAGGGATTGGCCTGGGAAGTGTCACTGTTAATATGTTACTAAAAGTCAAACATGTCAGGCTCACCGAAATGCCAGCCGCCTTAGATGAGCCTGCCGGTGAATCACTCTGTGGCTAGTGTGAGTCTGAGATCACTAGACTATTGTCAGTAACTTACATTTGTTTCAGGGTGCTGCGCACACGCCACTCCTTTCGGCACATCTTCGACCATCTCAATGACGGTATTGGACCTCTCGTTGGCACGGATTCGTTTGTGCGATCCATCTTCTGCAAGCAGTGGTCGGGACTCGGATTCACTGGTCCCCCGTTTCTTGGACTCCCAGTGCTCGGGGCGGCCCCTCGCCTCTTCTACAGGTGGTGCTCCCACATCCTTGGCCATCCCTTTCGCATGAGCCTGTGACATATGAGCAAAGACATGCGGCTGGCGTTTGCCAACTGCGCCGAAAGCAGCAGAAACAGCATTATTGATAGGTGGGAGAACAGCATCGGGTGTAACAGCGGGTGGATCGGCGATCGGCCGGGCAACATCTGGGGGGGCCTGCAACATCTGCTGATTCGAATTAATATACCACGTTCTGTGGATCAGGGGGTGCTTTTCGATCCTTGGATCATCCTCTGTGATGTTTTGCCAGTTGGGTAGACCTATCCACTGCCTATTCTTGCAGATGGAGGTTATCTCCACTACTGCCGACAGAAGAATGGGGTCGAACATTGTCGCCGCTTGCACGAGGGAATGGACACGAGGGGTGAACTGCAGGATCCCGGTTGTTCAGTGCATAACTGCAGGAAAAATTTCAAACTTACCAACAGATCACCAAGCAGTCGTCGGTATTCGGCGTGCTTTGGGTTATCAGGTTGGAGCTGGCGAGCGCACCTCAGAAGCTCCCGAATCCTATCGGCCTCCACAGCCAACGCCCTATTTTGTGGTGAAACCATGAGCTTTGCAACGAAATGTTGCGCAAAAGTTGCGGAGGTCATGGTGTTGCGATGGCAAAGATAAGACTAGTAAATGCAAAGGTGAGAAACAAGGTGAAAGAAGCTGGAAGCCTTTTGCAAATTTGCTGTAGAACGCGTTCATATGGATTTCCGAATTTCAAATAGCGCGCGTCCCCCTGTCACGTGACTCAATCAGTAAATACTTCCGCTCGTGCCAAAAGTGCACGCGTTAATTCTGCGCTAATTCTGCGAGACTAATTGCTAGTGCTGGCAATGCTAGCCAAGAAAGAGGTAAGTATCTGTATACGTGTTTCTTGTGAATGTCTCTGCAAGTGTCCATATTTTCCGTTTGTGTACATAAAAGTCGAAGAGCTAGCCAAAAAAAAACTCGTTGACTAAAACGAAACAACCATTTGCCCCGCACACCTAGCAAATTGGTGAGTACGACATGCCTTTGACAGCGCTCAAGATGTTATTTGCTCACCCTAATTTCATAGTTTCACAGACCACAAACGCTAGCAGCGACTTGGGTGGCCGTAACGCTGACACGCCCCAAACTCGCAGCCTGTCCGCCCGTGAGCGCGTTCATGGCTTCCTCCGACAAGTTGAACCCTTCTCGTGCCGCATCACCGACATCAATGGCGGTCATGTGGATTGTGGTGGTCCCGTAAGTGATTTCCCAGCACGAGCCACAATATGGCGAGTTCCAGCCTGTGATCTGGGGCGCACCCCCGATGTAAGGGAAACTCGGGATAGAGCCGAAAGTGGTGTAGCCACGCGTCTCCAAGCCGTTGGGGCCGTCTGAGCAGGCCACCGTGTTCAGTGAGGTGGATCCCGCATCATAGGTGGTATCATAAGAGGCGGTGAAAGTGGTAGCGACGGCGCATGTAGCAAGGGCGATGGCGGTGGAAGCAGTCAAGAACTTCATCGTGAATATGAAAGTAAATAGAAGATTAACGTGCTAAACAGCGAGGACTCTTGGAGTGGGCTAGCAGTGAATTGAATGGCTTACCGAAAATATGAGAGCCCTTTTATGCACCAACGGCAACTTAGAATTAGACTGGCCCGCCAGAGCCGGCGGGTTCAAATTTCCGAGAGTCCCAGATCCATCTCTTATATGGTGTCTGTATGTAGTGAAATGGTAGGATCAAGCCAAGTGCGGCCGATCTTCACCGACATATGCATATTGACACCTACCTGCATGTACTGCTTCTCGCGAAGAAAGGAAAAACACACGAGCACCGGATCACGCCAACAGGGTAAATTCCCCGCACCCGCGTTGTGTGGCGAATATATGTTCCGAGGTGCTCAAAGCTCCATGAGTTGATGAGCCCATGGGTTAACTGGCATTCCTGTTTTGAAACCAAAGCTATGCACCCATGGAAACAGACCATCAGTGCGGATGGCCAGTTGATGAGACGTACAACAGAAGTCAGAAGACCCGTTTTGCAGCCTTGTGACGGATGGCTCTCGATACCAGTATATCACTGTAGAGCAGAGGAAGATCTACAGATGGTTTTCCACTAAAGCAAACCATGTCAGATCGTGCCAAAGTTTGTTCAATGCGGCAAGTATGGTCTATTGCAATCACATGGCAGACATTAGCGGCGAGAGTCTAACCATTTCAGATCATGATCTCGGTCGTCGCAGCCCGTTTATGCACACGAGAACGCACCTCCTGTCTTCGGCGGAGTAGACAAATCATTCTAATAAGCCAATAACAGGAGATTGCGAATGGGTCCGAAACCATCGCTCACTAGACCATGATACTCCAGGATACAGCCAGTACTAGTCTCGCGTTTTCTATAATGCGTGTATGAATGTGAGTGGGGTAGTATGTCGCTTATATAGTCTATGAATTAAATGTGCCTAGGTCGTGGTGGGCTGTTCACATCGAAATGCTTCAGTATGTAAAAAGAATGCAAGGGGAAATGATTTCAACTCACGACTGAATACTATGATCACCGCAACTAAATGTTGAATCCGAGTCCTCGCATGCATTCGACATGCTTCTTAAGTAGCTCTGCACATTTGCCTTCCTCACTGCCATTCTGGAGAAAACAAGCATCACGAGCAGATTTCGTTTCTGGGCAGGCGCAGCATCTGTTTACGCAGAAGTAGCTCAAGTCAGTGGGCACGGGAGATAAGAATGCCTATACTCACGGTTTAAGACCTTGTGGGTTGAGAGGGTTCATCTTGGGGTTTGTGGGATCATACTTTTCTTTTGGTACCAGTGCCGGCGCCGGCGACGGTGACCACCAAGACGAAATCTAATAACTCGGACAGTTAGAAAGAGTTCAGACTAAGGGAATGAAGGAGACTCACAGTTTCGAACATACTTACAACTGTAGGTCCTACTAGGGCTGTCACGGTTAACCTAAGGGTGGATGTCAAGTAACGGATACTTCCGGAACGGACTTTCTCTGTGCAGGTCCCAGGAACGGTTTTGCCAAGTCAGACTCATGACACAAGCAATCTGAATATTGTTTATGCATAATGAGCTGGCAGTGGCAAAATAAAGGGTCCAATGACAACTTTGCTTGGTAGTTGCTACGTCCAAGGATGCCGCTAGTGCTAGTGGTACAGAATCGTAGGCTGCATTATCTCTCCTGCGTCCTTCTCGTCCTAGCTTTTTCAACCAGCGTCATCGGGCAAACATGCTCGAACTACGGTGAAACTTCTCCATCCAACGCCTCGAGCTGTCTCTGTCCTCCGGGCTTTGGAGGTGCTACGTGTACCCAACCAGGATGCGGTGGTACCATATTTGATGGTTCGAGTCGCTCTTTAGCTCAACCATCTGCGTCATCGGCTGGCTTTGCAAATTTGACCGCGTCCGATTGTACCTGCGAAAACGGATGGGGAGGAGTAGGCTGTAATGTCTGCGCTACCTCTTCAGCATGTCAAGTCGCATATGCCGCGGTCAATGGCAATGCAAGTGCAATCTCGGGGCTTGACGGTCTATCTGGTTTAAATGACACTATGGTTTGCAATACTGCCCCTACTGTATGGGCAGCTGGCGAACTCAGTTGTCAAGTTAATGTTAGTGCAGCATCGTTGAATTCGAGTATTTAGTATCTCGTGTTGACTTACTGTTCTATCTAGAATCCCACCTTAGAGGCGATATATCCTCTCCGATCTACTCTCAATATTCTCCGTACTCTGAATGGCTCTCTATCACCATTGCACAACACCAGCGGGACGTTATTGTCGCCCTCCACTAACTCCTCTATCTATGCCCAACTTTTTTATGATGGCGTCGAGCAGTTCTTTTGCACTGCTTCGCCGTGTACCCAGACGCTATCCGACTCCACCACCAGTTCGGGCAATACCACCCTGAACACTTGGACGTGCCAAAATCTTTCATGTGACTGTATCCAAAATGCCACATTCTGCGGTGGTGTGCCGGTCTCGAACCTTACAAGCACCATCGGCGGACTCTCTGGAACATTGGTAATTGCGTGCGATAACACCAATACCTGCCATTTTCAACAGGAAGTCATCAACAATGTATTCGGAAGTGGGGGTTTAGCCATGGAAGGATGCGTCTTTGGTGAATGTGTCACTCAGGCCGTCATTGACACAACAAACGCTACTTCTTCCACTGCAGTTGCGTCGGGTGGAACCCAACTTAGTGGAGGAGTTATTGCAGGACTCGCTGTTGTCGGGGCAATAATTTTGTTTGGGCTAGCAGTTGTCGCGTGGGGCTGGTATGTCCAACGAGTGGCGAAAAAGTTACCTTTCAATGGAGGTCAGAGTGGTGGAATCAGCGTTCGGTGGTCCGACGTTTCGTATATCGTGCAATCCCCCCAAAAATCGCTATCCTCCCTGATTTCCAAGCCACATATCCGCGGGGGAAAGACCGTCCTCGATGGTGTCACCGGGGGCATCGAACCAGGCGAGCTCATGGCAATCCTTGGCCCCAGCGGAGCAGGAAAGACTACTCTTGTCGAACTCATCGCCGGGAAGACAAAATCAGGCAAATATACAGGGTCTATCACGTTCCCTCCTTGTGCTCCTGGACATCGTCCAAGGGTAGCATTTGTCCCGCAGAACGACATCCTTCCTCCGATGCTGACTGTCCGCGAGGCCCTTACGTTCGCCGCTTCCCTGCGCCTCCCCGAATCTCTTCCAGCAGCCTCGAAAGCAGTGCTTGTCTCTACCGTCATTTCCAAGCTAGGTTTGGATGGCGTTGCTGAGACTAGAATTGGCGCGACTGATGGGACTGGTAGAGGGATCAGTGGTGGAGAAGCTCGTCGCGTAAGCATTGGGCTTGAACTCGTTGGCTGCCCGGATGTACTCGTTTGCGACGAGCCGACCAGCGGACTAGACTCTGTCAGCGCGTGGAGGGTTGTCAATGTGTTGAAGGAACTTGCACGTGGAGGTGGAGTTGCTATAGGTCATCAAGGCCCACATGGACATCGAAAAGGCGTGGCGGTGATCTGCAGCGTGCATCAGCCGAGTTCACGGCTTTACCACACCTTTGACTCCGTTCTTCTCCTTTCTAATGGGCGCGCGCTGTACTCAGGGCCGGGCGGATTAGCACCAGCACAATATTTCATGCGCATGCGAGAAGGGGGAGGTGCCGGGGCTGATGTCCCACCATACGAAGAGGGCTACAACGTCGCAGATTACCTACTCGACATTGCGAGCGAGACTCCTGACATCCCCAGCATGTCACTAAGTACCGACATATCTGACGAACCGAAGGCAAGCGTTAGCGCCGAGGAGAAGAGCGACCCAGGAAAGGACGTTGAAGCCCTCTCTACCCAGAATTTGGAACCGGGCATGTATGCGGCGACATTCCTCACGCAGGTACAAGTACTTTGCGGGCGCGAATGGAAAGTTTTGAGAAGGTGCGCGCTATTCTAACCTTTGATCTCGGCGATCTCTTAACCAGTCAACTTCTGCAGAGACAAGACCTTGTTTTTCACGCACGTGGGTGTCGCATGTGTGCTCGGCGTATTTTGCGGTATGTATGAATGTCTATTGTTGTTGACCATGCTAAACATAGTGGCAGGTGGTCTCTACTATCAGACCGGTTTAACTATCGCCGGATTCCAGGCCAGAGTCGGGTGCCTTTTCTTCATGGTAAGAAGCTATGATTTGCTTGTGGTCGGACTGGATATAACACTGCTTTCAGGGATCTCTCATCGCGTTCTCATCCCTCAGCGCCCTCTATAATATCGTTGAGATACGACCGCTGTTTCTTCGGGAGAGGTCAAACTGGTATTACAGGTTCGTCGATTTTTCTCGATGGAGATTCTCTCCTCATCTGCCCTTTGCTAGCCCAACAGCTTGGCTTCTTTCACGTCTGATATTCGACGTCATACCCCTTCGTATTATACCTACCATCACTGTGTGCACCATGTAAGTTACTTGATATCCACGATCCATATCTGTGATCTGATGTACGGATCTCAGCACATACTGGATGGCTGGGCTAGCACACGACGCCGTTCATTTCTTCAAGTTCCTACTCATTATCGTCCTGTACACGCTAGTCATGACGCTCTTTGTATGTCTTTTTTCTATCATACCCTACGCCTCTGATTGCTGGCCGGTCGTATCACGCAGAACTTCCTTCTAGGAACGCTATTCCGCAACGGCGGGATCGCAATTCTTCTTTCCGCTCTTTCTGCCCTCTACCAGATGACTTACGCTGGTTTCTTCGTCCACCTGGCTTCGATACCGCCTGTGTTGCAATGGCTGAAATGGCTTTGCCCACTCAATGTGCGTGTACTTGGCACATCACATTACATAGATGTTTAATTTATCCGCCAGTATGCCCTTGAAGCTATTTCGGTAAATGAAGTAGGTTCAGGACTGATGATCCAGGATACTTTGCAAGGCGTACCCGTCAATGTATCTGCGGTTATCATCATGCAGCTGGTGAGTACTACCTCGATATCTTGCCCTTTGCATTACTGACTGATCATTGCAAACAAGCTGTTTGGTTTCGGCTTGAACAATTACTATAGAGATGTTCTTGTGTTGTTTGCTTTTATAGCTGGGCTTGGAGTCGCTGTGATTGCTGTGGTCTGGTTGAAGGTGAGAGAGAGGCGGTGATGGTCGGCTTTGTGAATAAGTTGCTTGCATCCCTTTCGACATATGTTAGATCTTATTGACTTACTTTCGCGACTATTTATATGTCCGTTGCTAATATTATGTGGTTTCGTTAGACCGTTTATCTAGCGTTCATGATATTCTGTGGGAAGCGATTGAATGGTGCATCTTGACATTTTCCTTTTTCTGGTGAGATGAGCACACAAACAATCAGCATTGGAACGATAAATCTACCTCTTCTGGCTTGCATCGTCAGCCTCGAGTTGTTTCAGAGTGAGGGAGTTTAGGAGCAGCAGAACCTCCCCAACTTTCCACGGACTTCAAGGACACAACCAGATTTATTTATCTGCTGGTGAGCAATATCATGCAGTCAAACAGGCGGTATGTCAGTGAACTCCCACAACATAATTATTTTGTGCGAGTCATCCCTGTAACCAGACAATTTTCCCGTAAGGCGTCTTGGCTTGCCCTTCCTTCTTCCTCGAACTAACGAGGAACGCAACCTCCTCAATGCCTTCGCCTCTCTCAATCAACGTCTGGCGCTCGTCCTCTGTCTCTGGTACGCTGATGATAAGTTGGGGGTTTCCTCCAGCGACATCTGCACTAGGTGTGTCAAGCACCCAAGTCGCTCTTCGCCCTGTGTTAGACACAGGTGATCTACCAACGACCGATGTCATATCTGCTGCCATATCCGAAAAATCGACATCTTTAACCAAAATCCGGATATATGCGACCCCAAGGACTCCAGATGGATGCTGTGCATTCGAAGGGGGATCAAGTGGAACCTGAAAGACCCGTCGATCTGAGACAGCGCCGGATAAGTACATATTGAACATGGCACGTACCCTCCATTCCCTTGGCGTGACATCTCCGCAGAAGAATGGAGTAGCTCCTCGGCCGTTATCCTGGGATGGCGCAGAGATCTGCCATTTCAACACCTTGCCGTCGCTGCGCTCCCTCCCTCCGTCCACCTCTAGATCATACCGAATTCTACTCTTTTCCTCCTTGGCTCGGGCGTTTATAAGTTCTGATATGGAGGTGCTGGAAGAACCGAGGAACGCATAGTCAATCCAACCAGGTTCTTTCCAGGCCCAGGGGTTGGCATCCCGTTTCTGGCGGTCAGGCGATCCTGGTGGGTAATGTGATGCTGGGTGGGTGAAGGAAATGAGTTCAAGGTATGCGCCATCTTGCAGTACCTGTGCCCAAAAAGGTTAGTAAATATCACAGCACTATATTTCAAGTTAGGCGATCGTACCACAAGCACATTTTCTGTCAGTCCTCCAGCGTGTACACCTCCTGGGATGACACTACGAGTCGAGTTTGCTTCGAGATATTCTCAAAAGTTGAGAGGTGACGCACTGGAAACCAAGGTCTTGGAACTGTCGTGATACCTCATTCACTGTGCCGGGAGGGGTTAGATGCACGATGTGATCGAGAGTCTTGGTTGAGGGCGTCGACATGGTTTCGTTCAACAAGACCAAGCAGAATGAGTATCAATTCAGGTGACGAGAATTATGTCGTGGATATTAATATCGCTGGTGAGAATCAACTTCGTATACTATAGTCCGAGATCTAGAAGAAGTCCTTGCTAAGTCCGAATCGTAAACGCCAGTCTCGGAAACATCCTAGTCAATGTCCTGTTCGAGCGTGATTTCAATACAGTCAAGCAAGCGTTACCGAAGCTCATGCAAGCTCCGCAAAGCCAACTCTGGAGTTTCCAACGTCAAAGACGTTGTACAGGAGAAGCCACCAAGAATCCAGAGATCTGGTTACGATAAGTCAGCGAGGGGAGCTCTAAACAATCCAAAACGGTGGTGTTTGCTGATGTGTCAAAATTGAAGGTTTCCGCGGAAAGGACAAATGACGTCCCGCCAAGGGTGACGCTGAGTCCTGACATTTGGCATGGCGGCACATAGTACTTGAAACAACGGTGAGACAAACGTAACAATGAAGCTGTCACTCCCGATTACTTCTAGCACATCGATAGTTGCGTGGAGCTGAGTCACTGACTGACATAGGACATATCCCCCAAGATCAATGTCGTCCCAGTGTCGACAATGGCGGAGATAATTGATCCCGGTGGCATCACCGGTGACATGCTAGTACCCCTGATAAACATACGAGTGATATCCGAGCAGCATAGCTTACAGCGTGCAACTAATGGCTCACCTGTTCGGTAATTGGAGTATACATGGGAGGAATGAGAATTAGGTTTAGAGCGTCATCTCGGATCTGGGATGTCAGCAGGGAGAGGAAGTGTCGCAGGAAGTCCCCGTCTTGCGAGAATCGATTTCTCGGGCCCATCGCAAGTGATTGCCGCCGAAGATATTATCCCTTTGAGGCTTTGATCCGGCGGAGCAAAGCGCGCATATTATTGACTCACTGAACAGTCAAAGGCGATGGTGTCAAACTGGCGTGAATAATTTTCACGACGTGTGCAATCGGAGTCGGGGTGTCTCTCTGTGTCTCTGAACTCTGGCAGCTAAGTAAAACTCCCCATTGATTCGGAGTAAGTACTAGTGTGAGCGCTACTGGTGTGGTCCGGCGGGCCATGTTTGGCTTTGTTTCCGAGTCTCAGGCCTCCGAAGGCACCGCCGTGGATCATTACTTTGCTTGAAGACCTGAATTGATGAAACAACTGTCTAGTCCTTTCTAGTAGCGGGAGACTCACTTTTCCAAGTAAAAGGATCTATCAATGATCTCATGTTCCTCCTTGCATGCGTTTGCCGCCCAGCTCTCCTGCGTCCACAGAATTTTACTACTCACCTCACCAGCATCCATGAACAGTCAAACGGTCTTATCGTATCTCCAAATAAGCAGCACACTTTCGGCAGAATGGAAAAAGACAGTGGGTCTTGTGAAGCACCTCTATTAGTTCGGATGGGCTAGTTCCTCTAGCGTTTGGCTCTGTGTATGTATATATAACTAATCTGTGAATCCCTCGATGCGATTTACCTATCTTTTTCCATGCAGCGATACATCTGCACCCCGAAAAATATACGTCGCCGTCAAAATTCTGAGTAGACATGGGACAGCATGTATTGTGGGCCGCTTCTGCGCCAAATACGAAGCCTTTAGGCGTATCGAGTCCGCTAATCCGCACCACCCGGACTTTCCACGCTGCCTTACCATAAGCCACTGTTTTATCACACAAAGCTCTGTCGGTGGCCATATCTGCTTTGCCATAGACGTATCAGGCTCGGATATGGGGCCCTTCGATTTTGCAAGCCAAACGAAACGTTTCCTGTGTCAGCCGCGAAACGCATAGTCAAGCAAGTCCTTCATGCCGCTGATCATCTTCACTGCGAGTGTGGATGTGTTCATGCAGCTAATTTTGTTATTTCCTGGCTCATTCTCAGTGACTTACAAATCATGTGTAGACATCAGAGCAGACAATGTCTTAGCGGCACTGTCTGACCCGATTGTGCAAATAGACAGGTACCTTGAGGATCATCAGTCGATAAATTCACGACCGACTCCAACCTTGATCTTCGGCATCTCAGGGTTCGGCTCATTGACTACGGCGCAGGTAGGACGTGGTGGACCTTTAATCGACCCTTAATACGAATTTTCGTTTGACGTAGCCTCCTTTGTTGACTCGGACAAGCGTTCTCACAATGAATGCTACCAAGCCAATATTATTCCCGCGCCAGAGGTCATACTTGGTCACCCATGGTCAGCTCCCGTCGACATCTGGTCAATTGGATGCCTCGTAAGTTTTACTCGGCGGTCCTGTGAATATTATTCCTACTGAAACTCCTCTACCAGCTCTTTGAGCTCGTCACCAACTACCACCTTTTTGGCCAAGAAGGCCCCTATTCTGCCAATATTTACCTGCAGGATATGGGTGAGTACATCAGATCGTCCCCTCCACAATTTCTCGAGGCATGCAGTCGTCGGGCTGAATATTTTAATGAAAATGGTCAGTGTTGACTTTACCCGGTTTCTGCTTTCTGACTGACATGATGTGCATGATGGTGTCCCAAAGGTTCACTTCTCCGGGTCAGCGATTTCACATCAAGAAGACATAATATACACCCTTGGTACCGTACAGACAGATGATGTACCAGGTGTAGCCGCGTTCATGCGTCGTTGTCTAACGTTAGATTCCGCTTCGCATGCGAGTGCGCTGGAACTTCTGAATGACAAGTGGCTCGAGGATGTGTAGTCACCTACTTGGCGTATGATTCTATTTCACCTTGCTTCCAAGGTCATACGCCAGGTCACCACCGCCGGAGCGACTAATGGGTCATTAAATAACAATCGCTTTCTCGACCATCGCTGGAAGTTCGTCCTTGCAGGATGGTTGAGCCTTCACGTACAGGCAAGGTGTATATCGGCAACGCCCGAACCTAGTTGTGTGTTCAATTCCTTCCATGTGATCCTGACGTGCAATATTAATGTTGTTCCTTCGCACCGTCATCGTCATGTTTGAAAGTGTGAGCTCTTTTACATGAACAGATATTGCGCCTGCCTAGAACCGAAACCTGCTCGTGATGCAAGCTTGTATTCTCGAGAATCGCAGCGAGGAAGGCAAATATGCTGTACTAATCCAGAAGCATGTCAAATACATGTGACTCTAGCGATATAATATACTACAGGATAGTCCAAGAAAAAGTCCTTGTTATGTCCGAATCATAAACATCAGTTTCGGAAACATCCTATGCAGTTCATGTAGTCCAAAGTAATGTCCACGGAAGCTATGTATTGTCCTATTCGAGTATGATTTCAATGCAGTCATTGCTAGTCAAGCGAGCGTTACCGAAGCTCATGCGAGCTCCGCAAAGCCAACTCTGGAATTTCCGACATCAAAGACGGTGTATACGTTTCTCAGGAAGACGTCACCAAGAATCCAGAGATCTGATAATGATAAGTGAGCGGGGGCAGCCCTAAATAATCCTAAACTGACCTCCAAGGCCATCACTGCCTGCGATACCAACAAGGCAGGTGTTCGCTGATGAACCATACGTGCCAAAATTGAGGCTCTCCGCGGAAAGCGCAAATGACGTCCCGCCAAGGGTGATGGTGACATTTGGCATGGCGTCACATGGTACTTGAAACAACGGTGAAACAAACGCAAACAATTAAGCTGTCAAGTTGCTTACGCGAGTATACACCTCCACCAATTTCTGTCGCATTGATAGCTGCGTAAAGCTGACTGACGTAGGACGTATCGCCCATGATCAATGAGGTCCCAGTGTCGACAATCGCGGAGAACCCATTGACAATTTCTTTCCCATTGATCCCAATGCCATCACCAGCAATTTGCCAGTATCCCTAATGAGTGCGTGAATGATTTTTGAGCAGCATAGCCTACAACGTACAACTGAGAGCTCACCTGTTGGGTAACTGGAGTATACGTGAACGAACCTTGGTATAACGCAGAGTTCACGCCACCGATGCAAAGCTCAGAACCAGAAGATGCGAGTTTGAAAGCAAATACTGATTCTGGGACAGCTCCTTGTGCAACCAAAGTCTGGAAAACGGAGTTTGCGCCAAACCTGGAAATTGACTCGAAAGCCATTCCCATCAGCCCGTCCGCACCAAAGTTCTCCAAAGAGAACCCGTATGAATATAACGAGGCAGCTCCAAGCGTTTGTGCAGTGGCCTAGGGCATACTTCATGGATCGAAACGAAGGACAACAAGAAAAACACGCACTTCGAAGCCAGCAAGTGACACAGTATCCGCATATAGATCACCTGTAGCCATGGAACCATCGCCGTACTCAACCACGAATGACCTGCCAAGGGGCTCAGCAGAAGAACTACTATTAGGATTGTACACTTTGTGTCCGCTGCATGCGTCACCACAGCTTGGTCCAGGTAGAAAGAAGTCCGTCGAACCAGTGTCACAGTCGACTGGGCGCTCACATTAGTGCATCCTACATGGTAGGATCAAATTAGAAATACGAACTGGTGAAAGTCTGCAGCGGAGTGCCGACTTCGACTGTTCCATACCAACGTTCGTTTGAGTCGTCAACAAGCGGGTCAGAACCTGACGCATCAGCACGCTTGGTGAGGGATGAGAAAAGGGCTACGCCAGTGTTTCTTTCGAACGCAGCAGCGCCCCGCCATAACTTGCTAAAGATCTGATAAATGGGGAGCAACACTGAATAAGAGAAGCCACCTACGCTTCTGTGCTGGAAATATGAGCCCTAATTGAAGCAGGGTCAACATGTCCGTCAGAGGTACTGAGAGTAGATCTTTTCGTTAATGATATTGAAAGACTCGGAGGGAGTAGCTGCGGCAAAGCAACCACAAACGCCTGTAAGGCAGCGATTAAGCACAGAGATAAAGAACGCATTGCAGGGAGTGAAATAGGGTATATTCAATGGAGGTCCTCACCTCACAGGACTGCCTATTATAATGAGAGCGCAACGTGCAAATGCGCTGCAACCACGAGGTCTACGAAGCCATGCAACTACGTTGTCTTGTGTACGAATAGTTCACAAGCCCTATGACCGGAACAATAGCTGAAAGCCTCGAGGTTTCAGTGCTGTACAATTCTGATGCATGAATGTTGCAAGTGAAAGTTTAACCAGTGACTTTCAAGTTGACTGAGTAAGACAACTGCCTTCTTCAATTCCGTGTTCGGCGTAAACGACGACGGCGTTCGCTGGCAGAACTTGTTCTCCGCCGGTCAGCTACTAGAGCTAAGAGGCTCCGCTCTGATTGCATGGCCAGGGTTTTGTGACCAAGTACTGTACTCATACTAATTGCTCGGTCAAACCGGGACTTCTCGTCCTCTCCACCAATGAGAGCGCTCGCTTAAGGTTGGCGAAAGCTAGGGAAAGCTTCAAATTGTCAACGTAAAGAGAGGCTCTCTCAGATGGGCCGCTAGTTCTTACTCAATGCTGTACGAAGGTTAAGCCCTAGTTCGGCTCTAGCCTCTCAGCCTCGTTTTCGCCTCTTGCTTCAGTTGCTCGTCTCGCTGTTGTTTTTGTCGTCCTTCCCGTGCCCTGGGCTGGAGTTCACTTTCCCTCAGCACCCTCAGTCTCGGTCAGACCCCCAAGGGTTTGTAAGTACCTGTAAGTACTCAGTGGTCGCCCACTTAATACTCGGAAGGCCTGTCTTTTACGTTTCTTCTTCTAGGCTCTTCCTTCAGACATACCGAAACTGCTTAAAGGAGCACGAGCATAAGTACAAGCGGGCACGAACAGTGGCTGGCCGGCTCGAGACGACCTGAACTCCAATCCGTTTCCTCAACTCTCTCATACTGGATTCCAGTAAATATTTCTTCAGCTTACCTCGACTTGCACTAACCTCGCGTCTAAGCACACCCCTCATCTTTTGACAATGCATGGAAGAGTCTATGCAATGTCGTAGATTACAGCGGCATTTTCGATTCCGAATATCGCCAGCCTCACTCACGATGCATGGAAAACACGCGTGTTGCGCTTCGGGAGAGTCTACGACAAGTCCTCGATCAACGTGACCAGACGAACGTTTGGCTCAACGGTCTTGCCGGCGTTGGAAAAACATCCATCGCGTTCACAGTAGCTGAGGAAATGAAAGCAGCGGAAAGGCTTGCTGCTACTTTCTTCTTCTCGCACAAACATGCACAAAGTGGTGCTGCCATTATTCCTACCATCGCATACCAGTTAGCGCTGGTTTATCCACGTATTCGACAAGATATCTTGAAAGCTATCGTGGACGACCAGATGCTTCTATCTGCTGGAAAATCCCGCAATGATCAGATACAGAAACTTGTCATCATGCCACTAAGCGTGTTGAGATTCCGTCAGGAGACTCCTTATGCCATCATTATCGATGCTCTCGATGAATGCCTTTCCGCTGAAGAGGCGACAAGACTGGTCACGCTGTTGACAAAGGCGCTCTCAGGCCCGGACTTACCCATCATCCACCTCATATTCACAAGCCGCCCTGAGCTGAATATCCGCATAATAGCCATGGAAGCTGGTCTCCATGAGATCCCCCTCACCACTAATGATACAGACACTATACAGGATGTCCGTTTCTTTCTGCGAGCATCACTGGATAAAATACGGACAAGCCGTCCTACTGTTTTCGGCCAGCCGCCCAAGCCTTGGCCATCAGATGGGGAATTTAGGACCTTGGCCTTTAAAGCAGGCGGTCTATTTGTCTATGCTGCGATGGCCATGAATTTTCTATCCGCCACCGGTTATCATCCGCAGCAGAGGCTAGATCTCTTAGTTCGCGAAAAGTCGACTGTCAGTGCCGACATCGACCAGCTCTATCGCCAGATTATCGCGACTACGGAGAATCCAAGTCTGTACTGCCAGATGTTAGCGTTCATCATCCATCTATATTATCCATTGAGACTCGCAAAACTCCAAGAACTCTTTCACGCAAATAACGAAGACCTGGCTGTTATGCTAGAAGTATTTTCACCCGTCATCCTGAATCCACCCGATGGGATCGGAACAATTGAGATCTACCACGCTTCGCTCCGCGACTTTATGATGGACCCTCTCCGCTCGAAGCAATACTACGTGGATAGCGCACATGCCCATGAGCATCTTGCATCCTGCTGCTTTGATCTGTTGATACGAAGACGTTGCTGGTCAAGGCCAAGTTTTGATGACACAGCCAGTTATGCCTTTGATCAATGGAGCAATCATCTCCGTGTGGCCTATCCTAGCAGCAGACTTCGGAATCTCCTGCATACTATATTTGCAGAGCATCAATTTTTGTTCCCAACTCATGCTCTGGATGATGCATTATGTACTTGCTTATCGGTGAGTGTTCTGGTTGTAATGGAGGAGCATACTAACCCAAAATCAATTAGAAATGGTTCAGGACGTGGTCAGACATTGCGCTTTCCTGGCATATTGCTGAAGCAAGTATGACGAGAACTACCACGTAAGCTCTGTTACAAGTGTTGTTAGGGTCTCCCGGGTTCTTAACGTTTTCCTGACCATTTCAGTGACGATTTCGATAACTTCTGGCAGTCAGCGACAATGTATCAATCCACGTGGCGAGAGTTGACACCGATGCTAGGATGTTTGACAGTATTACCACTATACCGGTGTACTGTGGTGCGGTTCTCTATCTGGCTTCATACTTCGCTGCCGGCTGGGACCCCGCTTGCCTCTTTTCTCGTTGTGCCTGTCTCTTCTTTCGTTGTGCCTACCTCTGTTTTCGTTGTCCTTGACGAGTGCGAATGCACTGTCCTTACTATACTACTTTCATATCATCCATTTGTCTTCTGCCATGTTCAAGCCGTTTTGTACCGAAACCTGCGTACAAAAGGCTGGGGCCGTGTTTTGCTGATTTGCTATATCGGGTCATTGGTAGTGGCACTTCTTTTGATACCATTCACGTCTTATGTCCTTCGATTGTTAGTCTCCCGTTGGCAGACCAAATAGAATGAAGATAGTCGTTCCTTCTAATCATGTTCAATTATAGAGACAGACTACTGAACTAGATTCGAAAGGATCCAAGGAAGAGTCATCAGAGTCAAGGATACGTATATACCGTACTGGATATACGTAAGTTACATTCCAGTACTAAGTACTGAGTAGAAGCTGATTATGATCACAAATTGACGGTCCCGCTCAAGCTACTTCGATATAAGCGCCGCGTGGACCGTCAATTTCCTCGTGCTCAGCTTCCGAATGCGTTCGCTGGCAGTTCGGCCCGGTTACTAGATCACCCGGACCACACTCTCACCGAGCCTGTGTTTCTCCTCCCATGGAAGTTTTGAGCTAGGCCTTCTCTTACTAAAACCATGTCCACACCTGGTACTTCAAATTTGCTGGCACACATGTAAGATACTGATATTCGGTGCTTGACCAACTGTAGATCTTTCTGTTCAATCGCTGTTCGATGTGAAGGGCAAAATCGGTATGTATGGCAGTGCTTTCGCATGATTTGGATCTCTAACTAACGTATGTCACCAGCCCTCGTTACAGGCGGCGGTACTGGTATTGGCAAGACCATTGCCTCGGCACTCGTACAAAACGGCGCAAAGGTCTACATTGCTGCAAGGAAAGAATCCCAATTGAAGGAGGTAGACGCACCACCCCCCAAGCACGGTCAACGTTCTAACAATACATAGGCAGTGGCAGAGCTTAACGCCAAAGGCCCTGGATCAGCGGACTACATTGTAGCAAACCTCGGCGTATGTAGCGATCCCGGGATAATATCATCTTATGGTACTCACTCACAATACCCAAGTCGAAAGCTGGCACCGATGCTCTTATATCTGCTCTGGAGGCCCGCGAACCTGCAAAGAAATTGCACATCCTTGTGAACAACTCAGGTGTCTCGTGGGGGTCATCCTTTGAAAACTTTCCAGAAGACAAAGGGTGGGACCATGTCATGGCTGTGAACGTGAAAAGCTTGTTTTACTGTGAGTGAAAGTTCTTTCTTTTCGATGGTAACCGCTGAGCTTTCGTATATCTAGTGGCGTCCGGGTGAGCGTTCTTTTTGTACCTGATGTTTTGAAATGCTCAGAGCTGGTAGGCTATCAACCTGGCTTGCAAAGGATGCGAGCGCGCTCGATCCCGGCCGCGTGATTAATATCTCATCTGTTGCAAGTGTGTCACCACATGTGGAAGGCCTGGTTAGCGCAGATGGAAACGGGACATGGAGCTGTGCGTTACTGTATTATACGACGTGATGACGCTGATGCGATGCTGTCTTGTTCGATTGTAGACAATGTCAGTAAGGCCGCAGGTACGGACGTATCTACGGAGATCGTGTTGGGCGATGCTGAATTCTCCTATAGTGAATCACCTCACTTCAATACTGGCCGTCAAGTTGGGGCCTCAGAAGATCACGTACGTAGAAACCGCAGTTCATATTGTCCACGCCTGACCTCTGTTTATAGTGTCAACGCGATTTGCCCTGGGTATATACCTAACATATTATCACTTGAATTACGGCTTATTCCTTCAATAGGATATTCCCCACAAAGATGACAGCCTTCGGATTCAAGAACGTAGGCGAGGCAACGATCGCATCACGACAACCCACGGGTCGTGTTGGTCGGCCTTCGGACCTCGCTGGTCTCGCACTCTTCCTCGCGTCGCCTGCCAGCGCGCATGTCACAGGCGCACATATCCTCCTGGACGGTGGTGCAACGCTGTCAAACCAAGGGATTGCACCAAGAGTTAAACTATGATTCATTATTGCACGGGATGTTTTCGTTCATATACCTGTACATCACGCATTGACATCGGTCTGCCGTGGAATCTCCTGTTTAACATTCTTGCTACAGCCGTAGTACAAATCTAGTTGTCCATAAAGTCCTTGTTATCCATGACCAAACCAAGCGGAACAGCCAGAACGGGGTATGATGCCAAAGTTGTAAAGAGTCCTCGACGCAAAACCAAGCAAACTCAAGGTACAAGTGTTCCATCGCCTTCGATCGTAGTGCCATTGGATGATGTCCCGGTGGGTCCCGACCAACCTATCCCGCGCCATTTCCCCAGAGTTGCCTGTTCCAAGACTGCGCGATACATCACAGAGCTGAATCCCACACATTGCAATCCGATACACGCGACACGAAGGGCGCCAACAGCATACAACTGTCCAGTTTCGTAGACGTTCTGGGGTGAGACGTTCTTTCGGCCAGATAGAGTCTCCTTGATAAGGGTTTGGGTCGTCTGTGCCCAAGTTACGATGATAGGAATAGCGCAAAATGATGTTGGTTCACCTCGGTTGATAGAGCTTCCCACTCTTGCATGGTTAAGTCGTCCATCCGAAAAGCCTTGTATACGCCAGCGTAGTACCACTTTCCGTCCTTGTTGTAGAAGCACTCTAAACCAGATCGAGAGTGACATCAAGAAAACAAGATCAAATGCAAGACAACAAACCAGTATGCTTGTTCATGGTACCAATTACGTCCACTGCAGTCCACCGATGTGCTGTTGTTATACGTGGATTGGTGTTACACTTGAAAACGGGGGTGAGAAAGTAGCCATGTTCTTCGCGCTCTGGACACCAGTATGTTGTCAGTTGGCCGAGGACACGATAGTTTGACAAGCTAGGAAAAGACATTCATCACCCTTGAACCGGGTACATGAGTTGTATGTCGTCTTACGAGCTTTTGAGAGTCTGTATCAGATAGCGTGAATAAACTTTCTCGGGCATATATATATAGGACACTGACACCAGAAGCATTACCCAAGAATTCATGCAAAGTGTACGGCGGAGGAATGAGAATTGGGTTTAGAGCGTCATCTGGGATGTCAGCAGGGAGAGGAAGCATCGCAAGGAGTTCTTGTCTCGCGAGAATCGATTTCTCGGGTCCGTCGCCAAGCGTAAGTGGTCCGTGGATATTCTGAGGATGAAGTTATTTGATTTGGCAGAACAAGGCGCATATATCGACTTACCGGATGATCGAAGTCGACGGTTTCAAAGTAGCGTGAATCAGAATAATTTTCAAGACGTGCGCAATAGTTTGACTGAAAAGAGGGACTGAAAGGAGTAGAATCACACTGGATTTCTGGGCGGGAATCTGGCGGGGGTGTGAGAGATAGACCTGTGGAAGGACTCTTCGGGGTGTCCTGGACAAATAAACCATCGGTTAGGTTCTGCGCAAGTCGAAACGCTTTGTCGTACAAGAGGCGCTTGCCAAGGAAAAACTTGAGCTGATGTACTCCCATAATTACCGTCCCTTGGAACTGGTTGTGCAGTCTCGGGTGCAATGATAGTGTCTTGCACTGGAAGCTGAACGCATGAATCATGCTCTCTCGCCACAGATGTGGCAGAGGTAGACGGGCGCCTCAGATCTTCTAGCTCACGCTGAAGTCGATCAATCGTTGCTGCCTTTTGTCGAACAGAGATGTAAGCGTCTTCGAGGCGTTCGACAACGGTGTCTCTGGCAGCTAAAACCTCCGCCACGCGCATTCTTTCCATTTGAATTATGAGCACTAATCCAGTAGCCTCGGATGTATCCTAAAATGAACGGATAAGAACAGGAGATTTGGGTTAAATCAGTGTTCAAAACAATGGGTTCTCAAGCACGATTTGGAGGTCACCATTCGTTGTGCAAATTCGGTTACAGTTTCTACATAGTCATGGTTGTTGTACAAGAAAGATTGGGGAGTATCTGAAGCGTTCCGCGTTTCTTGATTGCTGAATGACATTGTAGTTGGTAACAAGCTTGTGCCAAGTTGTATGATGAATTACTTAAGAAAGGATTACTAGTAAGGAAGAACGCTATTTGGCTTGTAATTGGCTTGGACATGTTTGTTACCTTACATAAATAATAGGGGGCACTTGAACGAGCTCACACAAGTTCCGCCTTGCACTGGTTTTTCGCCCCGCTCTCCTGCGCCCACAGTATTTATATTTAACTCACCCGCACACATGACTATCCTATCATCATCTCCAAATACGCAGCAGACTTCTGACAGAAAGGAAAAAAAACCGTGAGGCCTGTGAACTTGTGTGAGCAAATAAGGAACTCGATGATTTCCTGATGCTGTATACAATGTCCCTGCCACTGAGATGTGTTCCAGAGGTTCACCGCATCAAGTTGCTTGAGCAGTCTAATGACACCAAAGCACCCTTGTGACACCGTCTCTATTGCGGTTAACTCGCAACTGCGACAGGTGACACACACTATTAGATACCGGATAGATCTAGAGTTGCAGTTATGTGTCGTTGCTGTAACCATTGCTACATGAATTAGGATATGAGGGCCCTTCGATTCCGCCAGCCAAATGAAAGGTTCCCTGTGCCAGTTGCGAAATGCATAATCAAGCAAGTCCTTCGTGCCGTCGATTATCTTCACCGCGAGTGTGGGTATGTTCATGCAAATTTTGTTATGATGTCCTAGCTCATTCACAATCACTCACAAATCACGTTTGGACATCAGAGTAGACAGTGTCTCAGTAGCACTGTCTGACCCGATTGTGCAAATAGACAACTATCTTGAAGATCGTCAATCGATGAATTCACAACCCATTACCGACTACAACCTTGATCTTCATCATCTCAGGGTTTGGTTCATTGACTACGGCGCAGGTGAGACGCGGTGGACGTTTAATCTACTCTTGATAAGTATTGGGGTTCGTTTAACATACATCAGGAAAAAGCTCCCACGCGAAATTCGCAGAATTACTTGGTTTTAGTCGACTTTCTCAATTTTATCACATATTATTGTGGAAAGATACATATTCACGGAAAATACGGATGTATATTAACCTACATTGAAGTAAGTATACGTGTCTTTGAAGACATTCAAAAAAAACAAGGGGGAAGTATCAAGAACATCTAAGCTCATCCATTCTGCAGGAACAGCTCCTCCCCACTTAGGCAGTAAGTGAGCACTTCGACAAATCAAAGATACAGGCACGATTGACACTTGGCGTTCGGTATCGCGAACCAGCCGTCTGACCTTGTACAGCCCAGAGTGTGTATCTGGTAAAGGACTGAAAGCCGAAAACCACTCCACATAGGCGAAATGCTGGGGTGGGGGGTTCTGAGGGTTGAAATACCGCTTCACCACTGTTTGGGGTAAAGAAAAGACTGCGTGAACCTGCACAACACGTAAATCTACATTTCTATATCAGCGAGTCATCTAAAGTGAGTTCAGGCGAGCGGCACACGAAGCGGGAGCTAGTAGAATAAATATATCTCAGGCTCTATGAAAAGACCTCTAGTAAGAGCGGGTAAAGTACCTAGTAGAATAAATATCTAATGGTATGTTAGCTCTTTAGAATAATGCGAAAAATATATGAGACTTACATCTCAGGCTCTATGAAAAGACCTGAGATGTTCTAACAACTCGTTCAGTCCTTTATAGTACGGATAGGATAGATAAGTAAATGATAAGTAAATTGTCCGTTACTTAGAGATAGACATTCCAATATCGACGAGCCTCGGCCGACGTCAACGCGTCGCCTCGTCGTACTCACTGGTTGCGTTCGTACTGTTTCACTCTCATCTTCTACGGTCCGTCTTCCATTTCCTTCGTCTCGTCGGATTCCAACACTCCCCCTCGAGCACAAGGCTCTAAGCTCATCCGAGCGCGTAGCTTCTGGAGGCAGGGACAGGGTAATGCTTTCACCTGATGTTGCTGGATGGATATATCCTTTTGGGCTATAGCCCTAAAACTAGGATACATCATTCAGTTAGATTATCCATTATCTATTATCCAGATGGATGTATCCCATGGTGGATCCCATCTGTTGCATACACAGCCGCATTTTTCGCATTTTTGAAACTCAGCTGTTTGTCATTCCAGGATATATTCATTATTCACAAAACATATCCCATTTTGGTCACCTCCTCATTGTCAGGTCTTCCCACATTATTCCCACACATCACATGTTCGCATTTTTCAGCCACACAGTGTGGGAATTACCCCACAACACCAAAAACATCGCCCATTTTGGGAATCTCCACAATATCAATTGTTCCCACACCCTCCCCATATCACTGCAGCTTCACCACCACACCACAATTGCTCCCCTTTCATATATAAGTAGTAGTTTGGTTTATATATGTATAATATAATATAATAGACCGCTTTTTTTGTCTATTTGTGTACTTGCTCCTCCTCCAGGACCCTTTCAAAATGATGTAGGATACAAAACATTTTCGCACTTTTGCCCCTTCGACAAGGAAGTGTCCTAGGGTATTCAGAACATGATTATGAGTGAATATGAAGATATTCCCAACTTTATTTGACCCTCTGAAGTGTCCTACATCAATAAATATAACACATATACAGAAAAACACAAAATATGTTCCCATTTAATTACTTGTAGATGGATAGACTTGTAAAAATGATTCCCAACACATATTCAGTAATATGAACAATGTATCAGGATCCTAGGACCATAGGACAACCCCCTGTTGCATGGTGTGCCCTCCTTCTCCTGGTGGTTTACCCCCTGTGAATTTTTTTCCTGTAGGACCGGACCTACATTGAGGTAGGGGGTCTATTTCTATATATATTTGGAGTATGTCTGTCATATAGCTAGCCCTGGACACACACAGGATCCATCTACAGGAACAAAAACATAAAATATTGTATGTTTGGCATTTTTGATGTTTTTTAGTATATTACACTTGCACACATGGTCCACCCTGCTCATTTATAATCAGTAGTACATGCATACATGTGTTCTACACTAAATACCAGCTAGATATATGGCAAAAACATGAGATCTGATGTAGAGGGGGTATTTCTACTGATCAGAAGCCTACATGGTAATCAAGCCTGTGATAAGTAATCAGAGACCTGTGATACCCCCAATATATATCCCTTATGATGTCCCTAAAGGCTTAGAAAGATCCATGAAGGATTGATGTAATGACAGGCAAAATGACATATGTGTGAAAAGTGACAATTGATATCTTTTTGCACAAAGTGTCATTTATATATGATAAATGTCAAAGATTTCATTTAAAATATGTAGGATAGATTGTAAACTACCTAAGGAACCTATACTACCTACTGCCCTGAGGGTAAAGGGTGGAGGGAAGGGATGTAGTGTAAACATGAGTTGACCCAGCATTAAAGTCTGACTACTGCTCAACTGACCATTTTCGATGTTTTGGGTTTGTGAAGTTTCCCACACTTAATTTCTTATCTATTTCACTTCCTCAGCACCCAATCATTGTTGGATTGTTCTATACATTTATATATATGATGCTGTATATATTCCAAATGTACTCCAGGTTTCTGATCATTAATATTTGATGTTTTGAAGGCATGGGCCCCTTATCAGTAGAAATAGCAAGCATATACACTAGCTCACAGCTCCAGCCTATTGTGAGCCGATCTTGGTCATAAAAAAGCAAGTATATATGCTATGCTCATTATATATGAACAGGTTGTATCATAGATGCAATGGTAAGATACTGAAACACATCAAAAATGTCAAAAATGCGATTTTCTATGTTTTTGTTCCTGTAGCAGGATCCTATGTGTGTCCTGGGCCAGCTATATGATAGACCTACCTCAAATATACATAGAAATAGACCCCCCACCTCAATTGAGGTCCGGTCCTTCAGGAAAAAAATTCACAGGGGGTAAACCACTAGGAGAAGGGGGGCACACCATGCAACAGGGGATTATCCTATGGTCCTAGGCTCCTGATACATTGTTCATATTACTGAATAGGTGCTGGGAATCATTTTTCCAAGTCCATCCATCTACAAATAATTAAATGGGAACATATTTTGTGTTTTTCTATATATGTGTTAGATTTATTGATGTAGGACACTTCAGAGGGTCAAATAAAGTTGGGAATATCTTCATATATACTCATAATCATGTTCTGAATACCCTAGGACACTTCCTTGTCAAAGGGGCAAAAGTGCGAAAATGTTTTATATCCTACATCATTTTGAAAGGGTCCTGGAGGAGGAGCAGGTACACAAATAGACAAAAAAAGCGGTCTATTATATTATATTATACATATATAAACCAAACTACTACTTATATATGAAAGGGGAGCAATTGTGGTGTGGTGGTGAAGCTGCAGTGATATGGGGAGGGTGTGGGAACAATTGATATTGTGGAGATTCCCAAAATGGGCGATGTTTTTGGTGTTGTGGGGGTGAACATGTGATGTGTGGGAATAATGTGGGAAGACCTGACATGAGGAGGTGACCAAAATGGGATATGTTTTGTGAATAATAAATATATCCTGGAATGACAAACAGCTGAGTTTCAAAAATGCGAAAAATGCGGCTGTGTATGCAACAGATGGGATCCACCATGGGATACATCCAATGGATAATGGATAATCTTACTGGATGATGTATCCTAGTTTTAGGCTTATAGTCCAGTTTGGATGTATCAATATAGCATTATGGACTCATGCTTTGGTAAAGGCGTCTGCAACATTATCTTCCGTCGGGCAGTACTCGAGTGCGAATGTGCCGTTCTTGACATGCGCACGGATGAAGTGGTATCATAAGTCGATATGCTTGGTACACGAATGAAACTTGTTGTTTGACGCAAGAGCTATTGCAGCTTGGTTATCGCAATATACGGGGGTGGGAAGTTCAACTGGTCTGTAGAGTTCGTCAAGGAGTAACTGTAAGTAGAGCACTTCTCGTGCTACCGTTGTGAGCAGCGATATACTCAGCTTCTGCGGTTGACAGCGCTATCAGCGGCTGTTTGCGTGCGCTCCATGCTACAGGTCCTCCGTTTAGCATAACAACATAGCCCGACATCGAGTGTCTGTGCGGCTGGGATGCCCAGTCCGCGTCAACGTATGCTTCGATCCCAGCATCTGTGCCTCCTAAGGTGAGTCCAAGATCGGCTGTACCTTTAAGGTACTGAAAGACGCGTTTGTTGGCTTCCCAGTGCACTCGTCCGGGGTTGCGCATGAATTGAGATAACGTAGCTACCGAGAATGCGATATCGGGGCGAGTACTGGTTGCAGTGTACATTAGGGACCCTATGGCCCTCTGGTAAGGTACGTCTTGCATGGCTTCGTGTTCGGCGTGTGTCGCGGGGCACTGGTCTGCTGACAGGACGGTTCCTATGTCCATAGGCATTTGCGCGGTTTTCGCATCGGTAAGGTAGAACCGTTCAAGGATAGTGTCGATATATGCTTGTTGAGAAAGGGTGATGGTCCGTGCCTCGCGGTCGCGGTCGACCTTAAGTCCTAGAAGCCAATTAAGTTCTCCCAGGTCCGATATCTCGAAATGATCGCGGAGTTGGGCTTTGAAGCGCTCGATATGGCTGAGATGGTTAGATGTGACCGCCATGTCATCCACCGATACAGTGACGACCATGTGCTGGGTCAGGGAACGCTTGAAGTACACAGCTTGGTCGACTTGTGAGTGTGTGAATCCTATCTTTGCGAATACCCCAGCTAACTCTTCCGCCCATTCAAATCTGGCTTGCTTCAATCCCGGCAAACTCCATTTCAACTTCAACACCTTTCTCTCATCTCCGTCCTTCAAGTACCCTGGTGGCGCCCGCATGAAGATCTCCTCTTTAACGTCCGTGTAGAGGTAAGCACTCTTTATATCAACTTGGTGGATTTCCCAATCCTGCTGGGCAGCCATTGTAAGGACGGTGCGGATTGTTGACATGTTGGATGTGGGCGCGAAAGTGTCGAAATAATCAACGCCATATTGCTGACGCTGTCCGTTAGCTACCAACTGTGCTCACAGCTTCAACTTCTCGCCTCCGGGACCTCTCTTCATCGCCAGAACGTAATGGCAGGGTATAAGGTTAGCGCGGGGAGGTGCGTCTACTATTTCCCATGTTCCCAGCTTCTCCAACTGACTTATCTCATAGTCTATCGCTTCTTGCCATTCGACCGCGTCTGGGCCATTGAGGGCTTGTTGGAGAGTCGGTTCGGGTTCTGCTGCAGCTGTGGCGAATTCGTCCGCTAGGTCTGCTTCTGCAGGGTGGAAGACCAAGGATGCACTCTCCCCCTGGTGCAGGGTGGTGTAGTATCCAGGCGGAGGTCGTGATCAGGTCGCTCTGGGGGCTGGCGGCGGTTCGAGTTGTCGTGGCGCTTTGGGCGGTGTGGAGGGTGGTTGGGGCACGACGTTCTGGACGTTACTGTCGGTAGGAGCTGCTGGTAGCGTTCTGGACTCCCCCTCGTCCGGTACGTCTGCTGCCACAGTCACACTCACCAGGCTGAAACTAATGTTTCTCTCGACCGACACTCACCTCTTCCCTGGCCAGTATACTCGATAGGCCTTGCTCTCCTCATCCAGCCTGACAAACAGTCCTTCCTCGGCCCTAGCGTCCAGTTTCCCTCCTGTCATCATGTGAATGAACACAGTGCAGCCGAATTCGTGGGCCTGCGAGAGCGATGGTCGTCGTCCATGGACCAAGTCAAAAGGGGTGTGGTCAGGAATAGCACGTGAAGGTAAGTGATTCTTCAGCCAAGTGGCGTAGTTAACCGCCTCTGTCCAGAGGAAGTTCAGGAGATCACGGGCAAGGAGCATAGCATGCGCTAGCTCTACAAGCGTGCGGTTGAGGCGTTCGGCCACTCCGTTCTGTTGTGGTGAGTCGTGCACTGTTAACTGCCGCTGAATCCCCTCTTCCTTCAGGTACTTGTTGAATTTTCGACTCAAGTATTCTCCCCCACGGTCAGACCTGAGGGTCTTGACGCGCGTCCCATCGCATTGTCGCAACAACCAGGCTTCATATGCCTTAAACGTCTCTAGCGCGTCGCTCTTGTGCGTGAGGAAGCTGACTTTAGTCTGCCGAGTAAAGTCATTGGTAAAGGTCATATAATAAAGGCTACCGCCTAGGCTCTCGGTTCTGGCTGGACCCCATAGGTCTGTGTGGATGACCTCACCGTACGTCTTCGCTCGACTTTCAGATTCCTTCAGGAATGGCTTACACATCGCTTTAGCCTTAGCGCACATGTCGCAGAACTCCGGCTTGGAGTTTGGGTCTAGGTCAACGCCGTCAATCAGGCCCTTTTTTACTGCCTCTAGAACCGCGGTTTGAGAGACATGTCCCAGCATTCGGTGCAGCTCATAGATGGTAAGTTTTGTTTGTGCGATGTTAGCGTGGTGCTGATGCCGTCCAGCGACGCTATAGAGACCTGTGATCTGGGGAATGGTGGCGATAACGCTACGCTTGGGGGCAGGTGACAAAATCTTGCACATCTTGTCCTCGAAGTGGACAGCTAAACCTCCCGCAGTGATCCTATTAGTTGAGATGAGGGTGAAGGCCATCTTGGGACTGTACAACATGTCCTTGAGAGTGACCCTAGTGCAGTCTTTGCTGTTTGGTAAGTCCAACACGACGTCTCCCTTGCCTATAGCGCTAATGGTGGATCCGTCGGCCGTATGCACGTCCTGCGCCTCTATGGGGACATAGTTGACAAACTTGGACCAATCCGGGCAGAAGTGAGATGTGGCGCCTGAATCAATGATGGCGCTGCGTCGTTCTATGGGGATGTTCAGTTCCTTGGCTATGCTAGCCAAGTTGGACGTTGCAAACGTGAAGTTCTCTGGTGGGGTAGGTTCGGAGGTCACTGCATTAGCTCCCTCCTTAGGCGAACGGCTACCTTTCTTCTGGCGTTGCTGATTCGGCCCTTGGCCCTCTTTGCCCCCTCCAGGTCTCCAACAGTCACTTTTATAGTGTCCTTTGCATTCGCAGTTGAAACATGTTACGTCTGTGCCGGCTTGGTTCGTTCCTGAGGGCTTACGGCCCTTTCCAGGTCCGTTCTTGGCCATCAGTGCCACGTTTGACCCTTTCTTGGAGGTATGACGGTCCGTGAGGAGATGATGCTTGTATTCCTCGCTAATGATGGTGATAAGTTCATTGGGGGTGAGTGCCTTCTGCGTGATCTTTGCAGCGGCATTAATGGAGGATAGGAGGGGTCTATAGGATTCGGGGAGCGAGACGAGTAGGATCACGTGAAAATTGCGATCCTCAATTGCCAAGCCCATGCCTGCCAGGGATTTGCGCAGTCTCAAGAGTTCTGAGAAGTGGACTTTGACGTCACCATTCTCTTCGCACCTCAAGTCCTGCAGCCTGCGGCGGAGGTCAATCTGGGCCAACTCGGTCTTACCTTCATGGATATTGCAGATTTCCTTCCAAATCTTCGAGGCATCTTCGAGCTTCTGAATGCGCAGTAAGAGACAATCCATGATCGTGCTGAAGATTTGCTGCTTCACGAGTGAGTCCTTCTGCAAATATTCGTCTATTTTCTTCTCTATCTCCTCGATCTCCGCTGGCGTAGGCATCGAGCCATCTGGCTTCTTGACGGTGCTCGTCATCGGGTCGATACTATATCATACTGGTCTCATGGCACGGCCATCTGCATGTCGCATCATACCTCTAGCACTGATCGCGGTCAACATCCGTTCCTTGTAGGTAATCCAATTGCTGCCGTCTTCGGCTAGCTTGGGGATGTTGAATAGCGCAGAAGTGGTGCTGGGGAGCGAAGATTCCATGGCCGTGTCAGGGCTCATAACCTAAAGTGAGTTCAGGCGAGCGGCGCACGAAGTGGGAGCTAGTAGAATAAATATATCTCAGGCTCTATGAAAAGACCTCTAGTAAGAGCGGGTAAAGTACCTAGTAGAATAAATATCTAATGGTATGTTAGCTCTTTAGAATAATGCAAAAAAATATATGAGACTTACATCTCAGGCTCTATGAAAAGACCTGAGATGTTCTAACAACTCGTTCAGTCCTTTATAGTACGGATAGGATAGATAAGTAGATGATAAGTAAATTGTCCGTTACTTAGAGATAGACATTCCAATATTGACGAGCCTCGGCCGACGTCAACGCGTCGCCTCGTCGTACTCACTGGTTGCGCTTGTACTGTTTCACTCTCATCTTCTACAGTCCGTCTTCTGTTTCCTTCATCTTGTCGGATTCCAACATCATCTTGATGTGAAAGCGGCATGCGAGGTCAGGAGGTTGCCAATGTTCGACAGGACAAGCGGTGATGACGTCTGAGTTTGCAAATTGCGGCAGGGCAGTACAGGAAATAGACTGGGAAGGAAAGCTATTGAATGTAAACTGAAAAGGAAAGTGAACAAGGTTCAACATGTGACCCTGGTCGGCTCTTGAACTTTTCAACTAGACCGTGACCTTAGCATTTTACTTTCTTCTTGTTCAAATTGTGACCCCCACCTTCGTTGACATCTACCAGAAACACGGACCAAGATGGCTCCACGAAAGTCATCAAAAGTGCATGCAGCGCAGTTACGGGAAACACGCAAAGCAAGAATGCAGACCCAACTTGCAAATCTGGCCGAAGCCAATGCGGCATCTGACAAGAGGGAGCTAAACGAACCCAGTGCAGGACAATGTGAGAACACATACCTTCTATGTGTCATACAACACTAACAAAACATTTTGAAAGCAACTCGTGCAGCCAAAACTGCGGCGCTCACAAGACCCAGTCAGTACCAATTCATAGCAGCAATAATATATATACTCACATCATGTTCTAGATTGGCCGATAAAGCAGACACGAGTCAGAGGCCTAAAAGAGCCGTCCAATAGCTCCAGCATAGTACTGGCACCTGCATTGTTCACCGCATTCACCTCTGCCGCACTCAATTTGGGAAGGCAGTCAGCCAAGCTGTTATGAGCGTCCTCGATCTTGCGACAAATTCGGCAGCCAAGAACACAAAACTTTTAGAAGATGTCAACTACATCTACCCTTGGTCGGCCGAGGTCCGTGCATGTATGATTTTTGCGCAAACCTTGAACTTATTTTTTGTTTCAGAAAGATAAATATGATACTTCAAAGCCATTCCAAGCTGAAGTGATCAAAGAAGGTGTTCGAGCCGGCTTCTTCATCACCAACCAGTACAATGATATTGGCCTCAAATTTTCTTACCTCCTTACTTCTTCGCTCTCTACGGCTCCCGATGAGTTGGAGGTTGTCGACCACATGATAGCCGGTGTTGCTACTGCTGTTTGTACTTGGTTGTTCATTGCTGCCTCAACTCATTGTGTACCATCTCAGGTTGAAGCCAATATTCTGGACTTTAATGTCAGCAAGAGCAGCGAGTTTGTTGGTCCGAGTCACGACAACACTTTCAAGGCGCACATGCTCCTTCTTCTCACTATGAAACAGAAGAAGCCACTCGAGTATCATAAGCTGGCCCATGGAATCTATCGTGCTGTCATGTACGCAGTTTTCTTAATCGTTTGTGACCCCCAACTCAATTCCCTTCCGGTAACAGTGGAATTCGTAATGTGGGACCCGCACGACTTTCGAAAGAGCAGATTATTGCACGGGTTGACTGGGTAAACATGGGTAGCGAGTCTGATTAGTGTTTTTTCCGTCCTATTTCTATCCGTCTGCTGCCACTACTAGTACTGAGTCTAATATGCTCCTTCATGTCTAGCGATTTTTTCCATCTTTTGCTGCTACTAGTCCGCTCCTTCGTGTTCAGTGAAACCTCCCCGCTCATTAGTCGTTAACGTAGTATCGTATGTCGAGTCTGAATGACAATATAATGTTTGTTTCACCTTCGTCATTGTGATATCGCTTGAGGATAATCTACTACAAAGATTTATTAATACTGCACACTTGATTGCATTTTATTGCACTTTTTCCCGCTTTATTCCAATAAAGGCGTCGGGGGGCTGTTGTTTAGTTCATAAATGTCCCTAATGTGAAACATGACGATAAAATCCATTAAAACCCAATAAAGCACCGTCGTTTACACAAAATTTCCCTATTTCTCAGAAGAGGTTTTCCCTGATGTAGCTTCCCACATTGACTCGGACAAGCGCTCTCACAATGAATGCTACCAAGCCAATATTATTCCCGCGCCAGAGGTCATACTTGGTCATCCATGGTCAGCTCCCGTCGACATCTGGTCAGTTGGATGCCTCGTAAGTTTTACTCAGCCGTCCTGTTAATATTATTCCTACTCAAACTCTGCTACCAGCTCTTTGAGCTCGTCACCAATTTCCACCTTTTTTGCCGGCTACAATGGCCCCTATTCTGCCGATTTCCACGTGCAGAATGTGGTTGAGTACCTTGGATCGTTCCCTCCACAATTTCTCGAAGCATGCTAAATTTTTCGATTAAAATGCTCAATCTTGACTTTAACTGGTTTCTGCTCTCTGACTGACATGTCTCAAAGGTTCGCTTCTTTGGGCCAAGCCTGAAGATTTCAACCCAAGCAGTCTTGAAGACATCCTAAAATTTCTGGAAGCAGACGACGTAGTATGCTTGGCTCCATTGATGTGTCGTTGTCTAGCGCTAGATCCTGCTTCGCGTGCGAGTGCGCTGGACCTGCTGAATGACAATTGGCTCCAGGACGTGTAGCAGTCACTGATACAGTCACATAGTTAGTATTGTATAGTGTCAGAGAAATCCCATCATGTTTGCAGCGCTGACGTCACCCGATGACTGGGCGGGACGATGGTGCAAAGAAGACAATTAATTTGCACAGACTTCCTGCAGATACGGGCTCGATATAAGACCTCTGATATTACTTGAGCTAGTACTTCTGCGTGAACAAATATTGCGCCTGCCCAGAAACGAGTTCTGCTAGTGATGCTTAGAATGGTCATTGGCTACGAGCAAAACGGTACTAATCAAGAAGTATATCGAATGCATGCGAGGACTCACCGGTCCTCACAAACCACTTGAAACAAAGCTTTTCACTTAATTAAATATAGAAGCGTGTAAACAGCTAAGGTACCGCTCTACTAATTTAGAAAGGTGGGGGTACTAACACTAGGTAGACGAGCTGATCAGGCTTGTTGCAGTAGTTCCCGACAGCGGGTTCGAGCTGGCATTAACCTTGCCAAGCAAGATATTTTGCTCCACGCGAAATTGCCAATAGACCTTGCTTCACAAGGTATACGTAGATCTGAGCTAGGTGGCCATCTGCTGGCATTGCAGACTCGGATATCATCTGTTCGAAAGGGGGGGGGATAGATTCTTCGCATAAAAGCAAGCCGTCTTCCTACTATCCCCTTCAGATTTATTTGATCATATATCACATCCTCCAAACAATGCGCTTCCCCTTTGTCCTCGCTGTTGCTGCTGCTTTAACAGCATCAATATCCGCAGTATCAATACCTGCTAGTGACCCTGCCAGTGAGGAATGTCCTGCATATTGCTTTACGAACAACTGCTGTCCTGGACATGAATGCAATTGGCTTGTGAGTATGAGTGGTTTGCGTCCTGGATTTAAACACATGACTCACTGGCGTGGTAGTGGGTCGTCTTTATATGTGTCAATATATCGAAGTGAATAACATGTCGTGACAATGAGTCATCTTTTTGCTTTCACATCGGTGCAGTATGGTTGATGGCACGGCGCGTGAGCTACTAGTAGTTTGTTGCCGAGTTGATGAACGTGCTTGCTTCTGAACAAATTTCATTGCCGCTCGAGCGATGGAGATCTTGGAATAGAGGAAATATCAAATACATGAATACATAGAATTATGAATATGACTGAAGTACTTACGACGCAGTTTTGTAGTCCCTCGACTACCCCCTTATTGCCTCAGATGGGTCCCAGATACGGCATGCGACCAAGGCGTGAGTTGCACGAATGTGAGTATGAGTAGTTTGCTTTGCACCCTGGATTCATCACTGTCCCCACCCCTTGCGCTTTGCAATACTTCCCAGTCCGATGAGCTAGCATCGAGTCATGTTTCTGCTTTGGCATCAGTGGTGCTGTGGTTGATGGCACAATAAATGAGTTGTTCTTTGCTGACTTGGTCAATATGGTCGCTCTTGGAGTCTCGACAAATTGCACTGCTGAGGTTTGGGCAATAGAGGCTCCTGGATAGAGGAGAATCTCAAACATTCAATATGGTATTGACATGACGTATGATTGTTTTTTGTTCTTCATTGAATGTTGAAATTAAAGCCTCATGATACAGACATGACGAGCAACTCACGCCTCGGAATCCCATGCTATCCAGCTCTTCGACGTCTTTCCCTAGGTTATCTTGCCCCACAGCCTCTCTCTGACTGCTGATCATTACCTTCAAGTCAACAGCACATTTACTACAGAATGGTCTTTGGCTACGAGCGTGGTGACACGAGCCCACAGGGAACAACCATGGTGCTTGGAAGTGCACCAAGGAGATACAGGATGATCTTGATGCACGAGGAGTGGCTGTTCGTTATGGTCACTGTGCCACCGTCCCACGTACGGGTTTTAACAAACCGTCGCATGCCTTTGTAGACACACTCATGCGAATTCGAGGGTAACGATCTGCGGTTAAGTTGATGGATATAATTGCATCGGTGAAGGACAATGGTAGGCTGGCAATCGTCATCAGTCGCAGCCAAAGCGTCGATGTGTGCGCGCAGGATCACTTTCTCTGCTCCGATTTGACGCCGACTTCCTTCATAGAGATGATGTTATATCCTAGCAATTGCAGGTTGTCGAGAGTATCTGTGGTACTAGGATGAAATGGTCATGAACCCAATATGTGTTAGGTTGCTCGTCAACCACTGATGTGTGTACGGTCGAAGTCGCAAACTACCATATTCTCGTCGACATCAAGGATTCTAGGGCGGGACAGTCGAGTGTCCGACGCGATGAGTCGGATGCATTGCAGGTTAATATTTGACACTATTTGGCTTGACCTGTTTTACTTCGTCTTCTCAAAGGTCTGATCTTCCTTCCGAATCCTTTCTACTCAAGTGCCCGCCACCTTGGATGCGGCTGGCACAAAAGAGGCGGCGAGTAACGACAACTAAGTGTGTAATACTAATAGACTATTTGTCATTCTTTTCCTTAAACTCTAGTTTAACCATCAACAAAAGAGACTGAAGCATATGCTGCCCGAAGCATGTATGTTGAAATATAATGCCTAGTGTATGTTTTAAAAGCTAAGAACGACATGTATGCTTCGGGCTCTTTTGTTGATGACATGACATCCTTGCAGTCCTGAAACCCTGCAGGAGTCTGATGACCCAGGATCCAGATGCACGAGCATTGCTTGATCAATGATCAAGCTGCTGGCTCTGTAGCATTGAGCTCCAAGAAGTGCAGCTACTGGTTGTACCTCAATGCCACAGAGGCAAGAGTGGTCGTGTTGCGGGACTTTTATTTGGAGCTCGTGGCGGATGGATGAGCGCTGCGCACTGCATTGGTGGATGCTGCCTCCTTGAATGTCTTGGTAAATCATCGACTGCTTCTAAAGGAGAGGCTTAATAATTAACGCCCCATCTCATGATAGACACATGAATTGAAATAAATATGACATATATATGGGACGCTGAAGGTGATGGCGCAACTATGGAGTTTGGATTGACCTAGCCACTAGAAACGTAAGGAGGAGAAACAATCCCCCTCCCTTTCTTTTTGATCACCCATCCATCCCAACCTGTCCTCGTATCTCGATCCACCCTTGTGTCTATTGTCCTCCCCGCGAGTACAAAACCGACATCATCCACTCTGTCTATGACTGTGGCAACAATCAAAGCTGCAGCCATGGGCGCCCAATCTTCGGCGACACAGCTCAGCCCGCCGTGTCCGAAAGCAAGCGGTTTCATCTGGGCCGCATGATCGTGCTGAGGATAGAAGCGCATCGCACTGAAGGTATTCGGATGCTCGCCATATACACAAGAGCGATGTGCAGCTCCGATGTCAGCCATCTCCTGCGGAGCGCAGAACAGCCGCTTCCACCAAGGGTGTCCGCTTTTGCGCACGATGTACCGCATGGGTGGGTGCAACCTGAGGACCTCGTTGATAATGGCTTCTACACTCGGTCGAGTGTTCTTGACCTTGAAAGTACGGAATTGCTTTTGGGTGGGGTTCTCACCGAAATCTAGGAAGGCATTGTGTCTGTCTTGATCTTCACTCGCGTAGGCCAACGTGAGAGCAACCAGGCGCCACATAGACTCATATGCAGGAAGAATGGTTTCCAGGGCCTGAAGGGCACGGTGACTGCCGACCCATCTACAAACACGTTCCCTCATGGAGTAAATCTCCCCGCGATAGAGTGGACTTTGCCGTGAGGCGTAGTCCGAGTGGTGGTTGAGTGTATTGGTCATGAAGGCGACATCGACAGGGGAAAGGGCTCCAGGATCCACATTATAAAACCCAGTAACTATGATGCACAGAGTAACGCTTTGTATGAAAGCGGTGAAGTCGACCTCCCACCTTGGGAGGAACATCTCCGTGGATGTCTCCGCGCATTTTGCAAATCTTTTCCATCCCTCCGGACGTTGTAGCGGACTGACAGAATCAATCAATTTTTTGGCGTCTTGAACGAAGTTGTCGTGTAAGGAGGGGTCGAGTACTGCACTCGAGGATGTAAGAGCGAAGTGTTCATGAGGGTGGATACGGGAACGGATGTCGGCTGCATGATCGGTGTTTCGCGGTCTCAGCATCGCCATTACAGCTTCAGCTGTGCGGTGCGTTCGAGTTCGGGTGAGATGACATGCCCCGAGAATCATGATAACCAGCGACCAAAAAGCTGCCGCTACCACTATAGAGACTACCATGAGTGAGTTCTGCATTCACCAGTCCGTTTCCGCTGGTTATGTGCGAATGAGACGATCACCCATGCGGCATCCGCGTGTCCCAATATTCCGCCGCGGCCACTGCACGAAACACCTGCCCGCAGGACTCCAGTATCCCACTTCTTTGGCCCGCCTCACCGACACCGCGACGCAGTGGATCGATGAAAACGTATCTTCCTTCGTGTGAAGTGAGTTATTAACACTTTTCGCTCTTTCGGATTGCAAAATGAGGCTGCTTTGCATTCGCTAACGAACTTTTTCCTTAGCCCAATTAAAACTACGTGGTTATCACGAGTCGTCAATGAAAGTGGCGCGTCATTGAGAAACTCTGCAATATATCATGTCTTAACCACGTACAGACAACCACAGTGCGACATTCATTGAAGCCAAAATTGGAAGGCCTGAGCTAGATGCCGGGGTCTTCTCGGAGAACTTTCTTGTGCCCTTCAATGGGACTCGGAGAACTGAATGGACCCTTCAATTCATTCCGACACGTCTGCATCCATGATACCAAGCGGGAAACCTGCTTCAATGCTTTATGTAGTTCGATTTGATCCCCAACGATCTCGGGCTTCCAACATTAACCGCGAGAGCTCCGCTTTTGTGAATTCAACAACTTTGCGTACTTCACCGCCAACTCTCGGTTGCTCTCCTCCTGCTGGCGAGCGAATGGAGTACGACGATATTCCACACCGTCCTCGGCTTCTGGACGAATCCTCAGTCCAAAGTTAACGGGCTGTCTGTCTGCAACCCTCGTAGACACGTTCCGCAGACACCAATCAAGGGCTTTCTCCGTGCGCTCCTTAAGGGCGTAGGCTTCCTCCGACTGGTAGAACGCCACAGGGAGACGATAGCTGAGCCAAAGATACAGCACGAGCGATTTGTGGAGTCCCTCAAGAGTGATGAGTGCCTGGGATGGTGCACCAGCAGAAGACTTGCCGCCAAACATCATGTCTTCTACACTCTCCAATAACTCTATATATGGACCGACTCGGAGGGCGTCCATGATGGGGACTCGGATCACGTCGTTGTATATCTGACATAGGCGAGCTGTGAATTCTATAGCGAGGGGATCTCGCCAATTCATGGGTGCACCGCCGATGAGGAGCTTGTCGTATAGCTTCATATTTTTGGCATGGGTTTCGACGAACTTGGATCTTTCCTCGACTTTGGGGGGAACGAAGGCACGGCAAGGAGGGCGGACGTTTGAGACATATGGAGCCACCTCCATTAATGTCTGATGTGAGGCATCGACAGGAAGTGCTTGGAGAACACTCTCAGCCCAAGGCAATGTAGGAGAGATGCCTGCAAACATGATAGGATCTGGTTGGCACGAAATTGCAGAGTGAAGCATGGAGAGATCGTGTGCATGGAGAGTGGTGACAAAGCCTCCAGGTTCACCATGCAGGCCGTAACGTCCTGCACGCCCGGCAATTTGCTTGATTTGGGAAACTGATAGAGGACGTTCGGTGGTGCCGTCGAATTTATGCAGGGTTTCGAAGATGATGCGTTTGATTTTGCTAAGCCGAGTGAGACGGGTGATAGGATGAAGGGTGTGGGGAACTCACAGATTAAGTCCCATGCCGATGGCATCACTTCCGATCATCACGTCATAGCCGCTGTGTGGATTGTTGAAGAGCGCAGCCTGCTCCGCACGGATTTCGGGAGGAAGTCGCCCATATGCAACAGCGCAACGCAAGCCAGTACTCCCTTCTACCTTGCGCTTCAGCGCGAATATGCCGCTCCTTGAGAAAGCGACAAGACAATCGCCCTTCTGAACTCTACTGAAATCTCCCTCCAAAGATTCGTCTTGAACAGTGAGAGGCGTCAGACGCTCATAACGATTGATGAAAAGTTCATCATCCGTGTCATTTAAGAGCGCTTGGACGATTGGGACGGCAACTTCTTCGCCACAGAGATGGAGTTCTTCGGCAGGTAGACCCAACACAGCAGCCGTCCATGCAGATCCCCGGTCTGGGTCAGCAAGCATCTGGATCTCGTCCACGACTGCCACTTCCACCGGAAGATTAAAAGACGTCATCTCTACTGTGCAACTCACGAGACCGGCATATTCGGAAACGATCCTAAACTCTTCTCCGGTACGGAGATTGCATTCTCGTGCGTACTTTGCTTTCCCGTCTTTCCGCACGGTCGGGCTGGACACCCCGTCTTCGATGATATCCATGTTCGTGCTGGTGTCTGGCTCAGAGTCGGGGTCTGGGTCCATCCCGAGGGGCACGATCTGGCCCTTGTTGAGCCGATCCCAAATTTCGTGGGCGAGTAGGCGCAGCGGACCAGAGTAGACGCCGGTCTTGGCTGCTGCAAGCGCACGTAGAGCCATATGCGTCTTCCCACTATTAGTAGGCCCAACGTGCATGATGACCTTGCGGCGCATAGAACGCGCTCTAGGATAGAGATCTGCAGGGTAAGATGTATCGGCGGTGGAGTATAGGTGCGATATTTGTTCCAGTGTACTCCGCTGCACTGATTTGAGGAGATACTCTTGTCGCTCGGGGTCAGAAGCCCACGAGTAGAAAAGTTGAGTGAGAATCTGGTCTAGTCGGAGTCCTTGATTGAGTTCTTTGGTGGTAAGAACAAATCTCTCCACATGAAACTTCTTCTGCTCGACTGGGTCTTGAAGGAGCCCGGAGTTGACTTCTCGGGCGAATATTGAGAGGAGAGGCTGAACGTCTGTGCGTGGTACCCCGAAGGACTCCAAGCGACGGTGAACGTGGGGAAGATCAGCCCATTTTCGCGCCTGTTTCTGCATGATGGAGAGTGTGTCACTGGCATCCCGTGCCGAGAAACCGTCGAGGATGTGACCCTTCTTTTGCTTCATGACGTGTTGAGGGTTGGAACGACCGACATTTTTGAAGCTACCACGTTGATTACGATTGTCGGGAAAAGGTGGTGTTTCTGTTTGTGAGGAATAATACGAATCTCTTGGTTGACGCGAAATATTGGAGCGAAATCGACGGAAGTGGACTTGGCTGGCTTCTAGCCAACTTTCAGATTTTATGGAGGTCGAAAGGAGAAGGCGACAGCGAGGTAACATATTAAATAGAGTTTAAATTGAAAACTTCTACGCTGGCTTTATGAGGCCATTGAATAAGGTCGCGTCTTGGAAAAAGCGGTTGTTTGGTGATGTTAGGATCAGAAGGTTCTTCGCTCAAAAGTTGACCTTCGAGCTCATAGCTACACCAGCCATGGCAGCCGCCGCCATTCGTCCCATGCGACTTGCTGCGTTAACGCAATCGCGCTGCTCCATATTCCAAACTGCGTACAACCCTACGTCAGCACGTACCGGAGCCAAATACCTTCGCGCACGACTTCGCGGGCCTTCTATGGTCAACTACTACACGCCAGAAGCCAATATTGCGCAGATCATGAGACAATGGTCTGAGTTGGAGATGAGAAACGATGCAGAGGAGGAAAGGTTACAGGATGTGGAGGACAAGAAGAAAAGAGGGAAGGGTGCACCGAAGAAAGCCAAGGAGAAAGGTAAGTTAAGACTTTATGGCGCATTTACACGATTAACATTGCATTTTAGGCGACAGTCGCAGAGCCAGCAGGAGGCGTTGATAGCCGCCTGTTACATTTTTCTCGGTTGCTGGTGGTGCTTCTTATAACATGCTCAAATTTAATTAATCACTGCACATGTCATGCATGCATGCAGTACCCATCTCTGAGCCATGATACGAAGACCAAGTATCATGAATCATCCCGCTGCTTGTCAATCCCATTCATTCAATCGAAATATCTCTCGGAATCTCCATTAAATAACCACAGTGACCCATTTCGGTTCCCGTATCGCTGGTTCATCGCTTCTTATCACTGACACTCATTCTCCCAAAGTCTGGTTCAGTACTAAGCCCTTCCTCTAGTACCGGCTCTTCGACCAACACTAAGTTATCACGCACAGTAACGGGGACATCGTCAGGATCCGAGAGATAGCACGCCCCAGCTAAGGTGATATAGTGGCAGCAGCACTCCACAAACCAGAAGTTCTATCCATTTTCGCAGCTCGGTATCCTGCAGACAAGCTCAAAGTCGACTTTGTCACGAAGCAAGAAGACATCTATGGGGCATTTGCTTGCACCCGTGAGGTGGACGGCTAGATGTGGTGTTCGATAATGCGCGCTATGAACTCTTCATGGAAGCGGAAGGCATGCCTATCGACAAAACGCGAATGATTGAGACAGTAACAAATATCACTTCCATCCATTACACGTGATCCCACTGACGTCGCAGTAGTTCCCGACAGCACATTCGAGCTGGCACTTTCGCAAGGTGACATTTTGTTCCACACCAAATTGCCAATAGACCTTGCTTCACAAGGTAGATCTTAGGTGGCAATCTGCTGGCATTGCAAATATCATCTGTTCGAAAGGGGGATAAGTTCTTCACATAAAAGCAAGCCATCTTCAGATTTATTTGATCCTATATTACGTCCTCACATCCTCACAAACAGTGCGTATCCCATTTATCCTCACCGTTATTGCCGCTTTGACGGCATCAATATCTGCAGCATCAATACCTGCCAGTGACCCTAACACTGAAGAATGACCTAGACTTTGCATTGATGGTAGCTGCTGCCCTGGGCGTGCATGCCAAAATCCTGTGAGTATTAGTTTGCGTCCTGGATTTAACCACATGACTCACCGGCGGGGTAGTGGGTCTTATATATGTGTCAATATATATACAGAGTGAGCGGCATGTCGCGTGAGTCGTGTTTCTGCTTTCGCATCGGTGCCGTATGGTTGATGGCACGATACGTGAGTTACTAGTAGTTTGTGCTGAGGATTAATGTGCTTGCTTCTGAATAGGTTTCACTGTCGCTCGAGCAATGGAGAGCTTAGAAGCGAGGAAATCTCGAACGCTCGAATACATAGATACTCTGTTACGATGCAGTTTTGTAGTCTCGTTGTAATACTAGTGGTTTGTGCTGAGTTGATCAACGTGCTTGCTTCATGAACAGATTTCACTCTCGCTCGAACAATGGGGATCTTGGAATAGAGGAAATCACAAACACTCGAATACATAGATACCATGTTCCGACGCAGTTTTGTAGTCTCGTTGTAAGCTTGAACATAGAAGCCCTCGATGGCAGTGACACGACAACGACTCCCGTCATAGGCGCTGTTTGCTGGCGTCATGGATGCATTTTTGATCGGGACTGAGACGCTGGGGTTTATCACGACCCCATAGATTGGTAGTATATATGGAAAATCGTCGTTGTCGAATTGAGAAAGCTCAAGATCCAGCAACGGCACTTGTGAGATCTGAGTAGTAGGCTATGATGCGAGTTATACTGGGGAGGACTCGGATCTACTAGCTTCGATGCCCTCGAGTAGAGTTGCAACCAGTCTGGACTAACGCCTTTGAGGTGTTGGGAGGTTGACGTGTGTCTGGGGACATTTGGGCTTGACCAACTTGAAGCAGAAGGAACGAGCTGATCGAGGACGAGCTAATCAGTCCTTGTTGCAGTAGTTCCCGACAGCGGATTCGAGCTGGCATTGACATTACTTGGCAAAGTGATATTTTGTTCCATACCAAATTACCAATAGACCTTGCATCACAAGGTCTATCTTAGTTGGCAATTTGCTGGCATTGGATACCATCTGTTCGGAAGGGGGGATAGGTTGATCACATAAAAGCAAGCCGTCCTCCTACTGTTCCCTTCAAATTTATTTGATCCCGCATCACACCCTCACCAACAATGCATTTCTCCTTTGCCCTCACCGTCGTTGCTGCTTTGATAACATCCATATCTGCAGCATCAATACCTGTCAGTGACCCTGACAGTGAAAAATGTCCTGGATTTTGCTTTACTCACGGCTGCTGCCCTGACGATGAATGCTTCTTGTTTGTGAGTATGAGTCGTTTGCGTCCTGGATTTAACCACATGACTCACCGGCGTGGTAGCCCGTCATGTTTTGTTTGTGAGTGGGTGGCATATCAGACTCTTGACCAGTCCTGTTAAACCTATGAGGCAAGCCGTCGATAGACGGTTTGCTTTTGAACGAATTTCACTGCCGCTCAAGCAGTGGTGATCATGGAATAGAGGAAATCCGAATACATAGAGTACCTGTGGCATGGTATCGACGCCGCCGAAAGTCCAGGCGTCGTTTGTGACAACCTACGCAAAGTGTTCCGGGCCCCACCTGCAAAGTCATGATATGTATATCGCACCCATACATACATTCCGCTTTAAAGTTGTTGCTTAGGTTGCACAACCAGATCTTCTGCGAGATATACAGGCGAACTAAGTATCAGCGATGGGTTCAGTACATTTCGCTTGCTCCATAACCAGGCGCCGGTAAGTATTTACTCTGCTTTGGCCGCCTTTGACGTCTCTTGTAAGCCATGAAGCTGCAAAAAGGAAAAATCCGACACTCGTGCTGATGGATCCTGTGTAGTATGGCCATGCAACGCTCAAGAAGCGAGGGCATTCATCATGTCTCGGTGGCACGATGGGGACAGTCATGCTCGACGAGAAGGATGAGGACCTGATTATAAAACGGTTAGTTTAGGACGTCGAGAAGAAATAAAGGCTCACCCCTTCCTCTTCCAGTTCAAGACGAATTAGAACACAACCGTGTCTGTCAGGAGCACGGAACTGGACCTGGTATGTACCAGGGGATCCAGGGACAGGCGGCAGAGAAGTGCGGATGTGAGGGTCGAGCATCGAAAATTCGAACTGCAAGTCGTCGATACTGCTGTAAGGCGTCCATGTCGAGGTCTTTCTGTCGTATGAAGACATGTGCGTTGTGTGTACCTGATACAAGACGTCATATTACGATCCACTAGACAGCTGGAGACAACTCACATCTTCGGAACCTCAGTTTCGTCAACACGGTTATGCTCAGTGCTGCGTCTGCGCCAGAGTCGTTGGTGTAATCGGCTGCGAAGCTCTCCGCGGGTGTGCGGAGGATGGGAACGAGCATTGGGGTACTGCCAAGCGCATGAGAAGCGCCGGAGAGCCAGACCAGGGGGATACCTGGGATGAGGACGCCATGTGAGATGACGGAGACATGGGTTGTGGTTTAAGTGGGGGTTGAGTCAGAGCGAACGGGGTGGAATGAGATGAGTGGAGTCGTATGTAACGTGGCTCCTCTTGTATGCTATTCTTGGAGGATGTATCAATCTAAGCCGCAGGCGCGAAAATGTGAAAGCCAACTTAAGGAAATGAGATAAATGGTACAACCTCGTTCGAATAAGCCAGCGAACTAGCGTTCGTTTTCTCCTTCCTCATCCTCGCTCGGAGGGGCGACATCTCCGAAATTTGTTTCGATCTCCTGACCAGTCCGTGCAATGTATCCGAATAGTGCCTTGAGATTGTGAAAGTAGAAATGAGAGTCCCAAGGTGCTATATCGGCAACATGGTAGGAGTTTGGACCGTACGGGCCGCGGCAGTGGGCAAAAGCACCGGTACCGTGACGGGGCACCCGCGCCGGTGGGCGGGTCATGTAGCTCAGCTCCGATGAACAAGACGCGACTCGCAACTTGAAGGCACTTTGCAAAATACAAATGTTACTTCCAGCCATTCTGCCATTTGCCACCGGCAGAAGTTGCCCCAAAACATTTCTGCTTCCTACACTAGTTGCTAACGAACACTGAACCGCGCACTCGCGGCGATGATTTTGCGGCAATTAATAGCGCTGTATATTAGTGCCACTTGGTTAATACATTTTGCAGTAGTTCTCGGCCGAGCTGGCATTGACCTTGCTTCACAAGTACGTGGCAATCTACCAGCATTACAGATACCACCTGTCCGAAAGGGAGATAGGTTCTTCAAGTTCACATAAAAGCAAGCCGTCTTCCTGCTGCCAATGTCCCCTTCAGATTTATCCCCATATCACATCCTCACGAGTCACAAACCATGCGTTTCTCCCTTGCCCTCGCCATCGTTGCTGCTTTGACATCATCAATATCTGCAGCATCGATACCTGCCAGTGACCCTGACAGTGAAAAATGTCCTATAGCTTGCTCTTTTAACGACTGCTGTCCTAAACAACACTGCATAAATCTTGTGAGTATGAGTAGTTTGCGTCTTGGATTTAACCACATGACTTACCAGCGTGGTAGATAACCGTCTCTGTATGTTTTTGAGTGAGTGGCAGTCGTGACAGTGAACTACAGTAAGTCGTCTTTCTGCTTTCGCATCGGTGCAGTATGGTTGATGGCACGGCGCACGATTTACCAGTAGTTTGTTGCTGAGTTGATGAACGTGCTTTCTCCTGAACAAATTTCACTGCCGCTCGGGCAATGAAAGAATAGAGGAAATCTCGAACATTTGAATACTTAGAATATGACTGAAGTACTTACGACGCGGTTTTAACTTTTGTAGTCTCGATGTAGTAAACTTGAACATAGAAGCCGTCCCCTCCCGCCTTGTAATACTAATAGCCTGCCGGTATAATGTTCTGCAATGCTTCCTAGTCCGATGACCTTACATCCTGGACAGTGACTCATATTTCTGATTTCGCATTGGTGCTGTGGTTGATGGCACACTGAGTTGTTCTTTGCTAACTTGGTCAATGATACGGTGGCTCTTGGAGTCTCGACAAATTCACTGGAAAACGTGAAAGCCAACTTAAGGAAATGAGATAAATGGTACAACCTCGTTCGAATAAGCCAGCGAACTAGCGTTCGTTTTCTCCTTCTTCATCCTCGCTCGGAGGGGCGACACCTCCGAAAACTTGTTTCAATCTCCTGGTCCGTGCAATGTATCCGGATAGTGCCTTGAGATTGTGAAAGTAGACATAGGAGTCCCATCGGCAACATGGTAGGAGTTTGGACCGTACGGGCCGCGGCAGTGGGCAAAAGCACCGGTGGGTTGCGGCTCAGCTCCGATGAACAACATGAGGAAATCGGCGAGGAGATGTTTTTTGTAGATATATTTGGCAAAATCAAATCAAATATCCATAGATTATATCCAAAGACAAAGTGATATATAAGTGTAAGCATAATGGCATCCAATGTTACGGTTATCCTTTTTCCCCTAAACCTCGTCACCATGTCACACCTTCACCATTTCACACTTTCACATTGTCACACTTCTATTACATGTACTTCTAGAACATTCTATCGTACAATTCTCTTTCTCGTTTTCTCATTGGCTCATTATTATTGAAGCTCTGCTTCTATTATTCATTCGCCTCTCTAATACTATTATATATACCTCGTAGCTACCTCTTGTACTCTTTAACTTGACCTACGCAGACCAGGGCCTGCAATCTACTCTCTTACTCGCCCGACTCTAACACTAGGGTGTTAGCTAGAACTTTCGACCACTTTTGATTACTGCTAAGACGTCTGACGATGCTGAGCGTAACAAAAGGTCAAGTTACTTTTCAGACCGCCTGTCCTCGACTATGGCAACCACCACGAACCCTTGACTTAGCATCCGCGGTTTATACTGCTGTTGCTACCCGATAAGTCAAAACGGCTACCCACGGAAAGCAGTACCCTGGTTTTACCTGGGACGCTCTATTAGGAACTTGGACTGCACCAGACTCTGACGGCACCGTATTCACCATCCACCAGTGGAGATCTTTTAGAAACAGCACAGCCAAGAAAGGAACACATTGGGACTTTGACACCCAATCCTACGTCGACAATGACTTCCCAGAAACCCCACTTGTCTCACCCCTTCCCACACACGCACCACTTCCCCCAGCTCAACAACCTCCCCTAGACGAAGAACCTGTCCCAGAACCTGTCCCAGACCCAGACCCAGAACCAGAATCAGATGACGACGACGATATGACCAAACTCATTGGAAACATTCCCTCCACCTTCAACGGCGACACTCACGCTGCCCAAGGATGGCTCTTACAGGTAGAAGCCTACCTTGATATCAACTCCTCCGTCTACACCATCGACAAACAGAAGATTGTCTTCATTCTATCCCTCATGACTAGAGGAGAAGCCGCTAAATGGGCGGAAGGACAATTCAAAGACGCAAGCACTACTAAAGTTTATGGAACCTACGAGAACTTTATCACTCTTTTCAAGAAGACGTTCCATCCAAAGAACGTCGTGGACATAGCCATCAGACACATCTCCACCTTGAAACAAACGGGTAGCATACCCGCATATACCTCCATATTCCGCACTATCCTAGCAGACATGGGGATCACCGAAGAAAGCATGAAGATTATGTTCTTTAGGAACGGACTAAAGAAAGAGATCGTAAACACAATACTAGCATTCGAGAATCTACCTACTACCATAGACGCTTGGCTTGAAAAAGCATTAGAAGTAGAATCTCGTTGTATCTTTACCGCACCTACCAACTACAGGTCTAAGGACCCTTACGCTATGGACATAGATAGGACAGAAGTAGAAGGAGAAGAGGAAGAGCGGCAGGTAAAAAAGGCATACCTGACCCCGCAAGAGAGAGAGCGTAGGCGCAAGAACAGCCTCTGCTTCAAATGCGGAAAGAAAGGCCTCATCAAGGACTGCCCTAATCATCCAGCGTTCACGCCTCACACTCAGACTGCCGCCAAGAAGGCGAGTAAAGATGACAATGAAGATTACAAGGAATTCTTGGAGTGGAAGGCGTTTAAAGCACGCCAGGCAAAGAAATCCGAAGAGAAGGATTTTGCTTAGAGGAGACTGAACCGGCATCAGTATCTCCTAGAATCGGACTAGTAGTACAATCGATTGGTGACTCTAATTCTATGCGTTTGCCCTTGACATTTGACTCTAGCATTGCTGAAGCCGCAGCTCTAATCAACTGTGGAGCAGAAGGGGAATTTATCGATTGGATGTTCATACAACGGAACTCCATCCCCACAGAAAAACTTAGAAAACCAATAAAAGTTAGGAATGTTGACGGGACACTCAACAAGCAAGGTCAGATCACACACGCTTGCAATTTATCTTTCCGAATCAAAGGAATCCATATGGAAAGATGCTTCCTTGTTACCTCTCTAGGAGGAGAGGACATCATCCTGGGAATCTCCTGGCTAAAGAAAGAAAACCCACAGATAGACTGGATGAAAGAAGAAGTAACCCTGCACGAACGAAGTGCCTATATCGAAGAAGTCGAAGACAAAGAAGAACAAACATTCATTGATGCACAGGAGACCCTAGATGACGAATGGGATCCTGCTACGGAAAGTATTCCATATTCCTCCGAAATACCTAAACTCCTTGATCCCGAACCTGCTGACGACACAGAAGAAGAATTAGAACCTGACGAATTCCTGATCGCATACTGCAAAGGCGATCACGTCATTGGAACTTACGAAATTTTTGAATCCCCTCTCACAGATGAACACATTCCCGCTGATCACCGATACTTCTCTACCTGAGGAACCTTAGTCAGGAAAGCCGATAACATTTCTCAAACCCTCGCCCAAGACGCCGCCAAACCGAAGAAAACATTCGAAGAGCTCGTACCCGAGATCTTCAGAAAGTATAAAGACGTATTCGGAGAAGTAGCTAACGGAACCCTCCCGCCAGAACGCAAGTTCGACCATAAGATCGACCTCAAGGATACCTTTGAACCGCGTAAATGCAAAATTTACCCACTTAACCCCGTGGAAGAAAAGGCCATGAACGACTTCATCGACGAAAACCTTGCTAAAGGCACCATCATACCTTCCGAATCACCCCAATCGTCTCCATTCTTCTTCGTTGGCAAGAAAGACAGTTCCCTTCGCCCATGTCAAGACTATTGTTACCTCAATGAACACACGGTTAAGAACAATTACCCGCTTCCGCTAATCTCAGATCTCATAGATAAGCTAAAGAACGCAAAGATCTTTACCAAGATGGACATCCGATGGGGATACAACAACGTCCGACTCAAGAAAACCGATCAATGGAAAGCCACCTTTGCGACTGGCTAGAGGACTTTTCTAACCTACAGTAATGTTCTTCAGCATGTGCAACTCACCTGCTACCTTCCAATCAATGATGAACGACACGTTCGGAGATATGATCCAAGAAGGATGGCTCATCATCTATATGGACGACATATTAATCTTCTCAGATGACTATGATACCCATCAGAAATGCACTCACCATGTCCTAGAAAGACTCCGCGAACACCGCTTGTATCTCAAACCGGAGAAATGCACGTTCAATGTAGAAGAAATAGAGTATCTTGGCATGATCATCAAACCAGGATCGGTAGCTATGGACCTGGCCAAACTAAAGGGAATCTCTGAATGGGAAACCCCGAAGAAGGTTAAAGAAGTCCGATCTTTCCTTGGATTTGCCAATTTCTATCGCCGCTTTATTGCTAATTACTCTACGATCACTCATCCCCTCATAGATCTCACGAAGAAAGATATGCCGTTCGAATGGAACGAAGAACGCGACACCGCATTCCGAAAACTGAAATCCATCTTCACTTCTGCTCCCATCCTACAAATCCCAGATCGACTCTCACCCTTCGCCATCGCCACTGATGCCTCACTATATGCTACCGGTGCAGTTCTCCTCCAAAAAGACCCAAACGGCGAATGGCTCCCGTGCTCCTATCTTTCCCAATCATTCGCCCCAGCAGAACAAAACCATCAGATCTACAATAGAGAACTACTCGCTGTTATCTGCGCGCTCAAAGCTTGGCGCCATTATCTCCTTGGATCCCCTTTCCCTGGTCGAAGTCCAAACCGACCACAAAAACCTCACCTACTTCCGTGACGTGCAAGATCTTAATAGACGCCAAGCACATTGGCAAACCTTCCTTTCTCAGTTTGATATTCGCTTTAAATTTGTACCAGGCAAAGACTTAACTATCCCAGATGCTCTTTCCCATAGACCGGATCACCTTCCTGACAATAGTGTCAAAAAGGACAATACTAGTATACAACTTCTCCCCAACTTCATGTTCATCAATTCCGCTTCACTTTCTGAACAACTATGTATCTCATCTTCCATTGACCCAGTAGTACAGACAGCGCTCGACGTGCTCCAGAATCCCTCTATCCCTCCTCCTCTCCGCTCTGCATTATCTGATTGGAAACTATCTGACAGTATTCTTACTTACAAAGGACTCACTTATGTACCACCAGGCGAACTTCGTCGAAGCATCACTTCCCTTCATCATGACTCCCCTACCGCCGGTCACCCAGGACATTATAAAACCCAAGAACTCCTCTCCTGGGACTACTGGTGGCCGGGCCTTTCTACGTTCGTCAAAAACTTTGTTGACGGTTGCAGTATCTGCCAACAGAACAAAGTAAACACACATCCGTCATCACCTCCCCTATGCCCCATTCCTGCTCCTATATCTAATCGACCCTTCGCTCATTGCTCTACGGACCTCATCACTGATCTTCCACCCTCCAACGGATATGATAGCATCATGGTCGTGGTAGACCATGGACTTTCGAAGGGGGTAATTCTCACCCCATGTAACAAAACAATAGACGCTGAAGGCATAGCAAATGTTTTCTTCTCTAAAGTATTCTCTAGATATGGACTTTACGATAAAATCATCTCTGATCGTGGACCCCAATTTGCCTCTAGATTCCAGATCGAACTGGGAAAACTCCTCGGATATAAGAACTCCCTTTCCACTGCATTCCATCCCCAAAGTGATGAAGAGACCGAATGAGTTAACCAAGAACTCGAAGTCTACCTCCGGATCTTCTGCGCTAATGACACAACCGGCTGGGCATCTATGCTCCCTCTTGCCAAATTCGTCCACAACTCCCAACATCACTCCGCTCGCGGTACCTCACCATTCTATCTCATGATGGGTTACCATCCCAAACATCTTCCAGATCTTCACCCTAAGAGCGATATCCCAAATGTCGAACAACGTCTCATCATCCTTAACAAAGCTTGTGACGAAGCTTTAGCATGCCCATGAATTGGCATGCAACACTATGAGACAACGAATCACATCCAAGTTTGTACCATTCAATAAAGGCAATAAAGTATGGCTCGAATCCAAGAACCTCCATCTCAGATACCCTAACCGAAAACTTGCACCTAAACGAGAAGGACCATTTACCATATCCGACGTCCTATCGCCAGTTACCTATCGCCTCTCACTCCCCACGCAATGGCATATACACCCAGTCTTCCATGTCGCCCTTCTATCCCCCTATAAAGAAAACGACATTCATGGTCCTAACTTTGTCGCACCACCACCTGACCTCATAGACGGCGAAGAAGAACAAGAGATAGAAGCCATCGTCAGACACTGAGGTTCAACCTTGCGAAGATATTATAATGTAAAGTGGAAAGGATTCCCGAGTTCCGAGAACGAATGGATGACGAAGAGACAAATGGGTAACGCTTCTGATATTCTTTCCTCTTATAAACATGCACATCATCTTTGATTTTTCTTCGTAGTACTCAGATTACCACCTAAAATGGAGGTAATGTTACGTTTATCCTTTTTCCCCTAAACCTCGTCACCATGTCACACCTTCACCATTTCACACTTTCACATTGTCACACTTCTATTACATGTACTTCTAGAACATTCTATCGTACAATTCTCTTTCTCGTTTTCTCATTGGCTCATTATTATTGAAGCTCCACTCCTATTATTCATTTGCCTCTCTAATACTATTATATATACCTTGTAGCTACCTCTTGTACTCTTTAACTTGACCTACGCAGACCAGGGCCTGCAATCTACTCTCTTACTTGCACGACTCTAACACTAGGGTGTTAGCTAGAACTTTCGACCACTTTTGATTACTGCTAAGACGTCTGACAACGCTGAGCATAACATCCAAGGACAAGAAAACTCTAATCCTGATGAAGTTTTGTATGTTTCCGCAACTATGATAGTTAGTAGATAGACCATTGAAGGAGTCCTGCATCTCTCCAAAATAGTGGTCATGTGCTGCCTGAGCTTGCCCCCGTGATGATTATCTGCAATGTCAGCCAGTCAGTGAAGCAAGAGCTACAAGATCCTCATAATATTGATGCAAAATGGGCATCACTCGCAGTTATGACGTGTCCAAGGTAATGCCTTGTCAATTGTAAGTAGCTTTCCACTAGAATTGTTATGTGCTGCCCGAGTTCGACTTCACGATGATTATTTGCAATGTCAACCAGTCGGTGAAGCAAGAGCTACAAGATCCTCACAAAAATGATCATCACTCACAGTTATGATGCATCCAAGGTAATGCCTAGTCAAATTGCTAGTAGCCTTCCACCAAATTGATCACCCGCTGCCTCAGTGGAATTTGCTGCTCGTAAAGTCTGCGGGATGTGATAGTGGAGCATCTCTCAGCCTTCAAAGCTTCACTAGTTATAGCTTCCATTCTGGCTCATGTTTGCGCTAACTCAGACCACAAGATTGGAAAAGTTGAGAGACATTCAATCAATAAATTCACATTAAGATATACAAACAAAAAACGAAGTAAATGGTCAATCAATGGTCCGCAGCGGCATGGGTTCTTGATTGAGCAACAGCTGGCACACCAGGCTCGTTTACTACAAGCACCAGCCACCCACAACCGGTGCCACGGCCTTTTTTCGTTAGCTTCCCACTGGAATTGCTAGTTCCCTGATAACCATCGGTGAATAGGATGATTTTTGTCTGGTCAGGTTTCGTATAGGTAAGGATGAAACCGCAGTTCTTGCAAGAGAACTTGACATTGTCGGACATAGAGCGAGTGCTGCAGTTCCAAGGACGAACACAGTTGCAGTCCAAACATTGATATGGTAGAGGGTTTCCCCAAGGATGCTGGTTCTCATCGAAGTATGTGTATGTCGATGTGATCATGGAGGCCTTTTCGTCGACATACAGGGCCCCTTTGTTGTATTCGGAGACAGTAGGCGGGTGATGACGGAAAGCATTTGTGATATGGACATGTATTATGGAACTGTGCATGCCGAGTTGAAAGGACGCTACCAGAAGATCCTGCATGGTGTCCTGTACCTCGAAGCCTTCAACAAGAACACAACTGACATAAGTGATGTTGAATGCCATGATAAGGCATGCATGAAAGTGCTCAGCACCGAATGCAAAAGCATGTTGGACTTCATAACTGTATGGAATTATCTCAGCACTGGGGCAACCAAGGCGTAACAACCAAAATATGCACCTTTTGGTACAAGCTTTGAAATTGTCAAAGGCGTCAACTTCGCGTACCATATGGCCGCACACCAACATCCACAGCGTGCTTCCCTGCAGAAAGTTTTCCATGCCATTGACGAAGACTAGCACAAAAAACTGCGAAGAATGAGTGAAATCAATAAATAGAAACGAGGGCTGACTCACATCATTGATTGCGTAGGCGACAGGTTCCCCTTGCTCACCTTTGTTCTTGCTGTTCTTGAACCCTCCCCAAAGGTCACCTTGCGTGGTCTCTGAGTGAGAGTGGACAAAGACCTCGACACGATCATAACAACGTGATCCTAGTTCATTTGCGAGCTTCGTCATTAACTTAGCATGGTTCTTGGCCTTGGAAACTGTTCTGACATCGAAGATGATTTCACGGTAATCTGCAGCAACGTATGGATGCAGTGCATCTCGCATGATGCGTGCAGGTGACCCAAGGACATCAACACCATCGAGGACAAAGTTGAGAATGAGAACTGGCATGGTGCATACCTCTGACTGACTGGTCAGCTCAATGTGGCCATGGATAGTGACAGGCCTCGCCAGCGCAGGCTTCCCTTCAGCGTCCTCAAAACCCTAATTGTGGTACAACAGGGTGTAAGACTGAGGATCGATAAGCACAACCCACTTACAGAGTACGGTGTAATGATGCCCTTCCTATTCCATTTATCGCGAACTTCGTGGCAACCTGGGCATCTGAAAAAAATATCGTCGCTGTCGATATACTCCCGCAACTCTTCCGGGATGGCAAGACAGCACTTGCATATGGTGCGCGGGCAAAATGAGCACTTGTACATCTGTGGAGCGCCATCGCAGCACAATAAGCACCACTGTCAAAAGTCAGTGTTGTACACTGGGGGAGTCAGCCGCGCTTATGATGTTCCAATGTTGAGGCTTCAGTGGGCCTTTAATCCCACTCGTTATCATCTTCGACAACCCACTTGGTAACGTGTTGGGATATACACTTTCGATGAGCACTTTGCCATTGTGAACAGGGACATGCCTGAGGGAACCAGGTAGTACACCACGTTTCGCAGGCCCTCCGGTAGACTTTATTTTGGTCCGCCTGGTGCGAGCCATATCTAGTCAATGGGGCGAGAGGGAGTTGTATCGGAGAGAAAGATGAAGGTCCAAGGTGCTAGACGGCAACCACAACAACTATCAAAACATACAACTTTAGCAAGAAACATAAGTACAAACACATGAGCCATACATACCTGCACAGAGTCGCAAAGGCAAAAGAGAAAGAGAGGATAGAAAACATTGTGCACCAAAAAGGAAATTGCATGCATTGTAGGTCATGTGCTGGGTTGCAACTAAAACAGATCCAGGTCTTAGGACTAATGAGTCGGGGTGGTTTGCGAAAAAGAATAGAAGATGGAATTGTGTCCGTCTAAACAAGTAAAGAAAATTACGGTAAATCCTCGCTGAGGCTAATCCAGCTTTTGGTAGATGTAAATCTGCATAGAAACTCATCCATATCTGCTTCTGATTCCTGGGCATTGTCTACCCCTAATCTCAATCATTGTTGTCGATTGTAGGTGTCCATGTCAAGAATATTGAGACAGTCCAACACCAAATCCCACATACACGAGTCAATGTCTGCAGTTCGGTAACGCGAAATATGACCTATAAAATAGTACTTCTTCTTGCCACATGCCTCGGCCTCTGTAGTTGCCCATGCATCCAAAGGGCGAGTTTCGGGGGGTAAGAGGACTCCCTTCCTGTAACGCAAGCAGACCCAGACGAGAACCCACATGAAGGACTCAAGATCGTGACAATACAAGTGCTCAACTTCGCCTCATAGACCTTCTTCGGTGAGAAGATTGAGCGCCATGAATGGCACTGTGCCTGTACGCTCGTTGCCTAGAGGCCCCTTTGTGGTCGCCAATGATGATAGATCAAAGTCGTTTAAGACACCCATAAGGACGCCTTTATCGGTCTTGTAAAACATCATGTTAGGAGGGCTGACATCTCGGTGATGAACTCCTCCTTTCCAGAGAGCAAGATGGCCTGTACATAGTGTCAATGGAGATCCGCATAAATGAAACAAACCACATACACAAGATGCATTGACGCCACACATCGAAAAGATGTTCGCCTTCGAGGTTTGTGGTTGGAGTCTGCGGAAAATGAGAACATAGAGCACGCAGCTACCCTTCTTGGGTTCTGGAAGGCCAAGTGCTTCTCGGATTGCGGAGGTAGGATTTTTCAACTTGTGGTGCCAAAGCAGGTGAGGTGTATGGCCTTCCACAGCCTTCTCCGTCTTGGCGATCTCTTCAACCTTTTTCAAGATCTCTGGCTCACTAGTCCGTCCCTCCTCTGCCCAGAATATTTTGGCCACCATTTCATCTTTCTGTACCTCAGGGTATTTCTTAGCTAGGTATTCGCTGGTGACCGGGACCACATTTGTGGCCCGTCCTTTCAGTCCGTAGTGAGTGACTCTTGCTTTGTCGCTGGTGTGGAAGAGAAGATCCACACCGTCGACTTCCAACATTTGAGAACTTCCTTCCTCGTCGTCCGATTGCAATATTTGCGAGCCCTCTTCCTCGTCATCCAATTTCAACATGTGTGAACCTCCTTGCTCAACTTCTTTGAAGTTCGGGTTTCGACCCCAATCCTCAAAGTTGAATCGTTGTAGCACATATAACAGCACCATGTATCATGGAAGATCATCAATGAAGTTGATGCCCGAGCATTGAATAGTGCCCTGTCGATCATAGTACCAGACCCAGATAATAGCATCTACGAAAGGTATGGTAAGTGTACAGACATTGGACGAACGAAGACAAATAAACTGACCGATGATAATAAGATTAAGGAGATGTTTGACTGCAATATTTGCTGCGAACATTTCAGCAGCATATAGTCCTGTTTGGACAGTCACATCTAGCTTGGGCTCCGTCTCGCTGGTCTTGGTTCGCTTGCCAGTGCATTGCAAAGGTTCCTCTGCCTTGCGCTTGGAACTGGAGTTACTGGTCGTGGCCGGGGACTGTGCAATAAGACGGTTTGAACGGCGTATAGCTGGGCTGATTTAGTTTGATCTCTGGAACTTGGATTGATTACTTACTTGGAGGGGCAGCTTTAGGTTGTTCCGCTTGGGTCTGCGAAGGGCCTGACGCTGGGGTCTCGGGGGTGTCGGTGGCAGGAGTTTCTACTCCCAGATATTCTGGCTTTGTAGGGACATAACTCTTCACGTCATACGAAGAGGGGACACGAAGATACTTCTTCGTCTTTCTCTTGAACTCGATTGATGCCAGCACGTTTTTCCAAAGGAGTTTTGCTTTTGGTTCCTTGATTGTATTCTTGAGGATGTGCTCTGTGTCTCCAAATATATCACCATCTCAGAAGGTGTCGAGTGAGCTTTGCAAAGGAAGTATGACGATGTTGGGCCACCGTTGCGATGTTGTGTTCTGGTGGGATTGGGTCATTTCGATATCATTCATCTGCAAGACAATATCTGGCTCGCCCAAAGTAGCACGCATTCCTTCAATCTTGATATTGTCAAGACAAGCCAGCGCAATGTTGGTGGCTGTGATGAAAGGCTCGTAGTAGTCCTCTTCGACTCCTTTCAACACACTTGCAATCGTTATGAGCGTGACGACACCTGATCACTGAAAGAGTACTTACTATTTGTCAAGGGCGTCCTTGATGCAGGAAGAATGAAAGTCTTTATCAGGGGCTTTACCAGCGGGTGTTGCAGTCCAATTGCAAACTGATAGAACGGCCTGGAGACACCTTCCCAGGAGGTCAGGCTGTTCAGTCTTCGGATCGAGAGAAGCGCGCTGCAAGAGGACTTCCAGCATCTTATCTATGTGGCATCTCTCAGCCTTCTCAATGTCACGCTGAACCCATGGGCGGACTTGATTAACCCTGCATGAACGTTAGGTGCCAGCCAGACACAAAAGGAACGAATCTCACCGAGTACCAACCAGGCCAATGTGTTCACTGACAGTAGCAGCCCCATGACTGTTTGGGGTAGTTTTTATTGAGCTCACAGCTTGAGCTGGTACATTGGGGCGTGGTGGAGTAGATGATGAGTTTGGCTGGCTCGGTTGTGCGCCACCAGGTGACATGACAAGTACTTAGTTGTTATCGCACAGCTACTGAAGTGGGAAAGACGGAAAGATTGACCAAGTATTGGTTCTGCTTCCCTTATAACCCTACTCAATAACAGTTTATTTCACCAGTTTATTTTTTTGAGCGAGCAGGATGAAATAAACTGGAATAAACTGTCAAGTAAGGTTTGATGTGCATTCGTGTTGCGGAGAGTGAAATAGGAGCCGCCGACCGACTTGCTGAGAGACTCTGCAAATGAACACTCATGGCGCGTGATAGCTCAGTGCATCAACAACGACATCGACGTCAGCACCAATGGATCAGTGAATAGTTTTGTGAGTGTTGGTGCTGATCTCGATGCTTGCGCGGAGAACGACGAATCCCAGTTATTGGGTCAACAGCATAGTTGAGTTCAGCGGGTGCAGAGAGCTGATCGGAAAAATCGGGGGTTTGCAAAAGAGAGATGTGGTCCCATGAAGCAAGCCCGAGTGCGAGCTTCTGTTGTCCGTCTTCGCTCCAGTAGTCACTCATACTCGATGCTGGTATACTTTTGCTCCTCATCAATCGTACTTCGGCTGCTCGGCATCACAATCACTCTCAGTTCACTCCGACAACTTCGCATATGAAATAAACTGGCAAATAAACTGCCATTCAATAACGCTGTCAGTTTATTTCCCACCGCTTATTGTTTGAGCAGCAAATAAACTGGTGAAATAAACTGTTATTGAGTAGGGTTTATATCTGGTCAGCCAATATTAACGTGGCATAGAGAGACACGTGACACATGACATGTTGATTAGTCACATGAGACATACCCAAGCAGACGTGGGGTCTCACTGATCCCTCAGTAGGGCTCGGTGAATAATTCATGGTCGATTTGTAACATTTGTTAATTACAACTCCATCACCTGCTGGTCGATGTGGGTCTTGCATGTCGGACCTGAGCATACAGCTTCAATGCGATTCATGATTGGATTGAATGTACCATCGTGGCGATGTTCAAGACGCCTGCTGGTTCACATGATGATGAATTTTTTTTGATATGTACTCATCATAATTGCCCCCAGGCCGCTAGGGAACCAACCCTGAGCCACAGATATAATTAGCATGTGCGCACCTCAATATTATGCAGGATATAGTACGGCATTGCAGATAGCATGGCACTGCAGTATATATGTGTATGTAGTCGATCGGGTATTTTATTGATGTGCTGTATGTACTATGTAGACGGAGGAACCAGACGAGGCTAGGATGGACTTTAATGTATATAGTGCTGGTCCATAGTAAGTTGAATATCATGATACAGTGGTAGATGTGATGAAATCATAGTACAATGGTGAGTTACTCAAATCTATAGCTAGAAGTGTTCTTGAGTGGTGCTTAGAGTTAAATAAAAATCACAACACACCTGAAATGCTGATTTCGCTTTGTTTATGGCGTGTAGGATTCGATCTTTGATCGCTGCAGTCAGACTGCGGGAGGGCGTCATGGGCGACACCACGGCTGCTGTGACTGATTCGACTTGCTGGACACGTTAGGTAAAGCCGCCGGCTGTAGCATTAGCCTAGTGAACTTACTGATGCCATCCAGATTTCGATTTGAGTCTGTTGTTTAAATTTAGCTACTTACAATTGATGATGACGATGGCTTACCATAACTTGGTTTCCGCCGTTCATGAGAAGCGGTCCCATTGAAGCAGTTTGCATTGTACGAGCCATGTTTGAAATGTATGATGTATATCAGATATGGTCAGAAAGGGGCTTTCTTGCTGTAAGATCACCCAGAGGCAATTGTGACTTGTGTGATTGGATGCTTGTTGGTTTGGTATATCAAATTACAATGTTGAGCGAATGCAACAAACAATGACAAACTATGCACATTGAAATATTATTATTATTAATATTCTCTTCCTATGTTTCACCTACAAGTGTTAGACCGAGGCCATCTGGCCCGCATGCAAGAGCTTCTGCTCCTGAAATTTGGGACCAATGTGACGCGCAGTAAAGGCCTTATGGCTGTTGATTGAGGGTCTCCTCGCTTAATACACCAGGATGTGGGTTGAGGCCATCTGGCCCTGTATGAGGTTCTCCTCTTAGATCTCATGTCCAACTTTGCGTGGTTAGGCCTTCTGGCCCTTGAGCTGAGGATCTCCCTGCTCCTATCTTCACCAGTTCGTGTGTTGAGGCCATCTGGCCCGCATGCAAGAGCTTCTGCTCATAAAACTCATGATCAACATGACATGCGATAAAGGCCTTCTGGTTGTTGAGTTGAGGATCTCAGCTCGCTCAGGATTGACGCCATCAGGCCTTGTGTGAGGTTCTGCCCTTAGATCTGATGTTCAATATGTGGTCGGGCCTTCTGGTCCTTGAGCTGAGGATCTTCTCGCTCCCATCTACATCAGTTCGTGTGTTGAGCTCATCTGGCCCGCATGCAAGAGCTTCTGCTCTTGAAACTCATGACCAACATGACACGCGGTAAAGGCCTTCTGGTTGTCAAATTGAGGATCTCACTCTGTACACAAGGATGTGGGTTAAGGTCATCTGTAATGCCCTGCAGGGCTTCTGCTCTTGAGTCTTATGTTCAACTTTGCGTGGTTATGCCTTCTCAAAATCTTGTGTTGCATATTAACCATATTCTATATCAAAGTACATCATCGAAGCATGAATCATCCACCTGCTGCCAAATTCTTTGTGAACACAAAGATGTGAATACCGCATTAGGAAGACTGGAACCATTGACAACCACCTGGATGATAGGTGTAAGATCACTCAGACGTTTTGGTCGCCTCTTTTGCGGGCACGTCTTTGGACAGAGGTTTTTTGTGTCCATCGGAAACACATTTGCGGCGCTGAACATGTATATGAATCATCACTAAGCTAAGAGTCATGGGGACACTAACCTTAAGAAAGGCAACATCTTGATTGCCTCTGTGAACCTGGCAAACTGGGTTGGGTTGGCGTACATCCATGTGAGTGCGAGCATAATGTCATGAAACACGATATTCAGGTTGCGGCCTGGCTTTTTTCGGCATGCACCAATTATGAAACGTATGGAATATCTGATAGAGCAATACAGGATTTGTTATTGCAACAACGAAGAAAACTTACAATGGTTAGTAATGTCCCCACTACACCCTTCTGTAATAGACCATTGGGCCCTCGGATTTCTTCAGGAAAGAAGTCTGCGATTCTCCCGTCACGATTGCCCTTGCACAAGCCGTTCATCAGTTGAAAAAGGGCTATCCAAAGAAGTTCTTTGAATAATTGGAGCTCCATGATTTCTGTAATAGCCTGCTGAACCTACATCATAATGAGTCATGAAGTCAAATGGTGTGGTGTCAAGTTTCTTACTCTTTCTCGATGAGTTGACAAGAGAAGTGTAAAAAAGTAATCAACTCTCGCATTCTGCTCCTCCATTGTGGAACCTGAAAATCCCGTGGGTGTTAATATGCAGGCCCGGACGGCTTTACGCATCTCCGAAGTTCTGTTCTCGATGTGATTACAGAACTGCCCACAATGCTTAGGAGTGAGCGAAGGCCCATACAAAGCAAGAAAAGCATACAGTTAGACGAAGCGTGTTCCATCTGACGGGTGAGGTTTCCTGACCCTTCACGATCACTGACCATACTCTTAGATAGTGACATGTAGAAATAAAAGAAGGTGCTCACCTGGGTTGTCTTCCAGATATTGTAACGTGGTGCAATCGAGATCTATTGCCATGAGCAAGCAAGTGCTAATCAGCCGCCTTCCTGCTGGTTCAGAAAGATTGAATGGGTTTGCTACTCCGACCCATAGAGAACCGAGGTAAAGGCACTTTGTCAAGAATAATACGTGATTCCAGAGGTATTTTCCCAGTGCGGCAGAAATAGCCACCCGGAGGTCAGATTCCAACTTGACATCCACACCTTTCCAGATCAACGCCTGGTGAAACACCACCTGTAGAAGCTATTCAGCAAGGATGTCATTGGTATCGAAGTAAACCATCAGATCCTCGATGGAACCAGCTGGCGCAGCAGTAACGAGTGGGTGATCACTCGAGTTCTCGGTGTAGCCGTTAAATGAGGTAATGGATGGATAATATAACGTGTATACAGACTGTTTGTTAATCGACGGAGGGGCGGAAGATATATGAAGAAGAGGTGCTGCCTCAATGGCAGCAAGAGGGGCAAATGGCATGGGTCCATAAGGAAACACTTTGTCAGTCGAAGGAAGGACTGAAGCCTGTGACATGTGCAGATGAGGAGCCGCCTCGGCGGCAACAAGGGGGGCAGGTGCCATGGGTTCATAAGGAAATACTTCGTCAGTTGAAGGAAGGGCTGGGGCCTGTGACACGTGCGGAAGAGGTGCTGTGGCAGCGAGAGGGGCAGGTAGTATGGATCCATCAGGAACCACTTCATCAAGTTCAGTCGAAGGAAGGTGTGATATGTGCAGAACAGGTGCAGGTGCCGAGTCTCCGTAGGGAAACAGTGCTGCATTGAATATGATTGAATGGTGCGACAACAATGTGACCTATGAATGGGCAAAATCAATCCGCAGCACATTGTGCTGAAAGCAATACTCACGGGCCACAAGGCACTGCCAAGCCCTCTGAAGTTTGGGCTGCAAAACGCAGTGTTCACGTTCCAAAGAAAATCACCGTCACCAGCCTATGTTCATCCTTTCAAATATGAAACTTCTGAAGCGATGGAACTCTCACCTCTTTTTCAAATACAGTGTGAAATACTACATCCCCCTGCTGCGCGATGGCCAACACCCCTACAGTTGGCAAAACAAGGTCTGGTGCGAACTCTGCGCACTACAAACCAACATGATGAGATGAGATGACCGATTTTGCGATTTACTCACGTAAAGTGGCGAAATCTGTCGGTAGATGTGCGCAAGATATCCTATGAGGAAAAGGTGCTCGGCGAATCCAATGAACAGCTGCTGAGATAGCAAGTTAGAGGAAAACAACAGGTGATAAATGAGAACAAACTGTAGTATTCTGGAGTAAAATCATCAGCGAACGATACACAAATAGTAGAGTCTACATACAGGTAGCTGGACAAGCCTGAAGGCCTGCTTCCGTTTTGACAAGTACACGTAAATCGGAGCAGGGGGAAGAGCTATTCTTGGTCAAGTTATCAATGAGATAGCATTGATTCGGATCGTGTTAACTCACCTTGCATGGTGATCAAAGAACTTGGAGGCAGCACAAAATTGGAGGGACCGATAAATGAAACTGTGATAATAAATAGCTATATGGTAGGGACGCTAACCCATTACTTGCAATGGCCAGCGATTGGCGAAGGTCAGGAATCATCAAATCGTGGCCAGTGGTGATGGCTAGGGATTGGTAAATTGGCCACCAGAAACGAGTAATTGGCCGCCGTAAACAAGTGAATTGACTGCCGGAAATGAGTGAATAGTTTTCTAGGAACAAGTGGCATTGGTTGTCAGTAATATGTAAACTGCTCACCAGTAATTAATATGTCATTCACCGATGGGGCTTGCAAGAAGCAACCACAAGTCATATTGGTGCCCAACGCCGTCAGATGGGGTATACAGTATGTAACACTAATTTTCATAGTCAAACACATGGTCAGTGAACATCTCGTCTAGTGCCTCGACGAGTGACTCCGAGCTGCCATTTTGTTCCTGCTCAAAGAAATTCAGTTCTTCGACTCCAACGTGATCTTCCTCTTCGTCCCCTTCATCGTCATTGTCAGCAGGAGCTTGCCAGTTAGAGGTCTCCACGAGGGTTTCGTCCCTTTCTGAACATTTGCTTGACTGTGGTGTGGTCTGTGGGACAGGGTGAGGTGCCTCTTGCGCCGAACAAGGGCATTCTGGGATTCGAGCCTCATGAGAGTACACATGCCCTACTCCAAGGCCATAATGGAAGTGCATGATGGTGTCTCAATCGACAAAGCTATGCAATTGTATCAGTAAGTATAGCCAAAATGAGTAGGAATACTTACCTGTTAACGTAATACTCGTGCCAGTCATGTTCATCTCCCACAACAGTGGAAATCCCGCATTCGCTGGGATTGCGCTGACCTCGTGAGAATGCTGGTATGATATGACATGCCCTGAGAATGACTGCTGGATCCACAAAACCAAATGCATGCCGATTTGCCAGAGGCATGAAATGAACGCGACCTAATCTGTGTGTTCCCCATGAGTGACTTTGGGAAGATTTGTACCATCGAACGAACAGAAATTCTAATCGGCAGGATTCATACACGTTCCCTACGCGAACAACATTAACATGGTGTATGCCAAGGACTTTGGCATAATGGTAGTGGCCCTCATCATCGTGATCGTCATGATGTTTGAGCAACATGATGTTGCAATGAGGTGTCTTGGGATTTATGACATCTTGAGCCCTTCGAACATCATAGGTGGTATAGTTAAATCGTGCGAGGTTGTGGTGATATATTCGGTTTCACTTGAAGAGAATCGAGTCATGATCTTGGTCAAGACTGGCCGATTTCTCCCCCGGCTTGAGTCGATCTAGAATATGGTCTTTCAATCGAGGCAGGAAGTCCTGAGCCGCATCTCAGAACGAGGATGATCAAATAAGATATTGCTCACCTTCATAGCGGGATCTTTCGCATGGCTGCGGAGGTAGTGGCCAATCTCATCATAAATCTTCTCACTTCGACCAATGTGATGGTGTAGTTGGGGATCGCTCGCTGTTTCGTTCACCTCTGTATGATGGGCTGAATGTTGTTGCCGTTGCTTGATGTGGTGTAGATGCGTTTGACGACGCTCGATCTGAGTCAGCTGGCTAACAAATGTCCTTCGATTAGTGCGACGGTATCTGCCTTTTGGCGTACGATGCTCTAATTCTCCCTGATAGAAATTGAGGTATGGCAGGGGCGAGCAGCACAATACAACTTACTGGTTCAGTGCTATATGAATCCGTTGTTCCAAAGCGACAGATGCAGGCCACATAATCCCCAAGCGCATGAAACTTGTAAGTTTGAAAATTGAACAGCTTACTCCTCCACGACTGCTCCGGACTCGCAGGCTCTTTCCCTTTGGCATTAGCACCTGCTCTAGGTTGTGGAGCTGCATTCCCTCACACAGCATCATTCGCCTTGCCTTTCCCTGCCCACTTAGCTGCCTCCTTTGCCTGTCGGCGAGACCGCGCATCGGCTTCGCGGTCGAGTTCCTGGGTGTGGTATGCAGTGCACACTTTCGTCTTGAACTTACGAAACTGTTCACCCAGATCAGTCGTTTGTTGGTCAAGTATATCTAAAGTCAGGTCTGAATGCATACGGAGCTTCGCAAGTCCGTGCCAGTGTGCCATGGTGAACAGGAGATCCAAAACGATTTTGTTGTGATTGCCAGGGAGAAGGCCATCGAAGACCGGGATAGAACACTTTCATAAAATTAGTCCACGAAGACCTATGTCAATTGTTTTGGAGACATACTTGTAAGAGATCTTCGAAGTTTCGTGCTGCCATGTTCAACATTTCAGAAGTGTTTGCAGAGAATCGCCTAATGGTCGCTGGTCTGAATGGGGGCACCTGCCTGAACCTGTAAAGTTCATGGATTTTTAGCCAACCCAGCCATCATCAGATAAATATTAGGCAGACCTCTTGTCAAGCTCATGGATGAGGTCCTTATTCAGGGTGCAAAGAATTCTCAATAAGTGAACTAAAAGCATGCGCCATACCCCAAGCTCAAACTCGTGTAGAAGATCGACAACGAGTGCAATGAACACATCGAATCCAAATGGACCAAGGCGGTCCGAGAACGCATTCTAATCAAGAATTAACAAAAGCAAGAAAAGAAACTGATGGTCTACTCACGGATGTTGGTACCCATGAATTAGGCTTGAGCAGGGACTCAACAGCCGTACTGTCTACACCATAGTTCTTCTCGTAGATAAACCCGCGTGCCGTAGCAACCAGCTGACTCCTCGAGGCATCGGAGCGTGCAAGAGTCGTACATTGTTGCCTATCACGACTCATTCCTAGATTGTGAACTCGTTCCATTGGTATAAGACATCGTGGACAAGGACAGCCTCCCAGCTGCCGGATCGCTGCGATAAGAACCCTGGTTTTCGTGAGTTGAGATATCTTACAGATAATGTTGACTCACTTCTCAGGATAGTCAGCAGAATAGGTAAATATTCGCAGGTAAAACCTGCATTTGACGCCATCACAACATGGAATCACAATCCCATGTTCATATGCCTCTAAAAACTCAGGATCAAGCAAAACACTCCATTGAGCTTGGAATAATTCACAGTGGCAATGTGTTGTGCATTCGTGGCCAACTCCTTTGCCTTGGGTGTAAGTACCTGCGAAGTCTTTGAATGAGTCCAGAAGCTGCCAGGAAGCTTCAATACAGAGTTGGAGAATGCATCATGATGACCATTGTACCTTTTGAAAGTACGCTACATGATTACCCAGATTGCAGGATGGTTTACACCGGCGGTACTTTGATTCATTCCCAAAGTACATGTATACCGGCCATAGTTTTGTATTACCGAAAGTTGTCAAATGGGTAGCATCTGACCAGAACATGAGTGCGATGACCACACGGGGTAAATCACATGCTGGCTCTCTAGGAGACTCCTGCAGTTTGCGGTGCGCATCCAAAAAGGCTGGTGATGTGTATAACTCACCCTGAATATTCACTTCATGTAGAAGATGCGGGGTGCTCCATCGCAGCTGGTAAGGCTCGTAATGGAAGAGTTCATCGTCCTGAGCATTCGAGAGCTTTACCTGAATAACAGAAACAAGAGGTCGATGGTAAAGATCTGCTGCAATGTAAGGTCGAGCCCCCAGCTGAGCTGTGGTCTGGGAAAAAGGAACGTCGATCGTCACTTGCGTTTTGAGCCAACCTGCATCATCATCCTCCCATTCGTCTCTTTCTTCATTCAGAACGCTCGCTCCCAATTGCGAGTCGATCTTGTTCCACTGCGTACTTTGCACATTGTCAGGATCGAAATTTGGACGTCCAACAATGTCAATCAGTTCCTTAAAGCTTTGATGGGACTTCTGCACACTGCCATTCCAGTACCAATGACCGAGCTCAAAAGAGGATTGGTTGGGGTATGGATGAAACGAAATATTGTGGGGCTCTGCGGGGATATCTGGTTTTTCTGGAGTAACAACTGGGATAGAACTGATATCTCAGAGAGTTACGACCTCTTCCGGGTCGTGAGAGGGGGGAGCTGATGAGAAGAACTGGCACACTAGGCCAAAAACATTCCTCGCTGTGCGGAAAGGAGGAGCTCAGAACGATGTAGGAGGCATAGTAGATGTATCGCTGGAATTTGCAGGTAGGTTCAACTCAGGTTGTTGGGCAGTACAACTGGGGGGAACACTCGGGGGAGGCTCCGGAAGTACATCATCATGCTGTCTATAGCGCAGTGGCATGAGGATGCCAACATGTCAGCTCCTCCGCTGCACCAGCGATAACCTCTCTTTGTCCATTTCCATGGACACCGTGCCAAGAATGATATCAGGTGCTGAATCGGATCCATTGTGCGATGAAGGACCTGCACACAATGCTTCCTGCATCACTGATGGGGTTGAGACGTTGGAAGACTCTGCATTAAATGTCTCGCCAGATGACGACAACGGTACTCGTAGAGGGTGAGTCAGAGTACTCGAGAATTGCCTATCACTGTTATTAGCCACTCGGGAACATTTTACAGAGCCTAGGAGATCTTTTGCTCTGGACAACGCAGAGAACAAGCATTTCTTGCCTTTTGCACACGAGCGCTGATGTTTGGTGTAAGCGCTCTCCTGTGTAAACTCCCGAGCACAGGTGCATCTGAAAGGGCTTGGACCTGACGCTGAATCTACCAGGTCCATGAAGAGCTATGGAATGTTGGAATAACGATAAGCTATGCTCAATGCCCGAAGATCGGATGAAATAACTCACCACTTTCAGGCAACATAGAACATATAGGTAACCGTAAATTTCCACAGTTAAACAGGCTTATCAGCCGCCAGCAGGATTACCCGAATTGCCATTGCAGCGCCAAGTTCACAAGCCAAGACTTGAAGAACCTCTGGCGGCAAGGCTGGTGCACTTTATAACGCCAAGAAAGGCTAGACGAGTCAGTGGTTAAAAGCCTCAGATTCATTAATGAAGGGGAGAGGACGAATCCCCATACTAAGTCACCGAATGGAACCGCCATCATCACCCTCTTCTACCATCACTAACCCACCCTGCTATCATGAAACTGCTCAAAGGTTAGCAAAATTGATTGTGGAAGCTATGACTTGCCGCCTCGCCCTCCTACACTATGACAGTGTCTCAAAATCGATGGTTGAATGGTGTTGGTAAGCTGCCACTTGGACATTGTGCGAATCCTAAGGAATGACACTGCTCCAAAAAATGTAGGCCTGCTGATGGTGAGGGAAGGAAGATTCGACCGTCCGACCTAGAGAAGTACCGCAAAGAATATGATATTAGATACCCATGCTGCCTATGCGCTGATGGCAGTGGAAGAGGTGCGTATGTAGAGGCGGCAGTGTACTGTTGGTGGAATACTACCATGAGGAAGACTTATTGGATTGCGAGATGTGCCTCTAATAGGTGCGGATACCAAGGTTAGCTTCATTCTTCATATTCAAGAGGATCAAATACTGATGGTCACCTAGTAAAGATAGACAAGTACTTCCAACTGGCACCTATGGCCACCTTCCAGTACCGGTGAAGAGGTATGAACACGCTTCATTGTAATACTACTTTTTCATTGATGTGTGATAAAGAACACCAAATCCCACCTGTTCAACTCGAGTGGACATTCCGGGAGCAAACGGAGTTGTTGAACAAGCTCGACTCATCTGTTGGTGATGGGATTGCTGCGAAGGAGTTTCATGTTTTGTTTAAACGCTGCAAAAAATGCAAGCGAGTAGGAGCGAGACCAGCGATGAACCACCATGTCTGTTCAGGCCGGGTGCAAAAGTGACGAGGACGATCGTTATTGCTTTGACCGACGTCAGTGACGTGAGGTCGTGCAATGTGTTACTTACCTACTGGATATTCACATACACTTTCATGTCCACATAACCTTGACACACCGATAAGTTTGAGTCCAACACCACCCACTTTTGAACTTGGCAAGAAAAGAACTTTCCATCACATGAGGTCAGATTGGTGCACTCATACTAAGTGAGCAACCTATGGTGGCTGTATTGAGATGATTCATTAAACATGTTGACGCATTCCTGCCTTTTCCCTGCTGGTGTCTGGTGTCTGCCTAAGGCAGATTGGTGTAAGATAAGAAATGCTACAATTATGAACAATATAATATACCCGTCCAGCCGGAAGTAAGTATAAGACTTCTTGCAGAAGGCTTCAATAAAATTGAGAGTTCATGTGCAGTATGAAACAATGATGCATCTTTCCTGGGTGCGCTATACTAAGTCCCCCCTCACTGTAGGATGTCTATAGGACTTCTATGGTTGATTATATGATGTCCAGGACAGTATATTTCGCCTCCTCCCCTCTCTTGGCCCTATTTCCTCCCTCAGAACACCTCCCAGCACCTTAGGTGATTTTATTTCGCATTTTTACTTCATGGGAATTTTCTTGCAGTTGATTGGAGTGTTTTCGACCGGGGAGCGACGCTCTGGGGCCCATAGATGAAGGTGGAGGAGCTATAGTACCTCTGCAGCACCTATACATTCATATAGACTTATTTTATTGTCATCAGGCTTTTAAAAAGCGAAATAGATGTTATCGAATGTGTGACTACATAGGGTAGTGAAGAAAGTATGAAAAAATACGTTGAAATCATGGTATACTTGAGTTCGCTGTGTGCAACAGCGAGCACGAAGGTTTCGGCAATGCGCGAAGTGTTGTCTGCAGTGTACTGCATCAAAGCCTCATTAGGCTGGGAGAGATGTGTGTTCACCCAGCCTAATAAAGCTTACTTGTCGGGAAACCCAGCCTGCAGGTGTTGTTCTTCCGTGTATAGTAACTCAGACTAGTCACACTCATGTCACATCATGTGACGTTGGTTGGATTTACATGTCGTCTACCAAGTTCCTATTTCTCTCCCAAACCTCCCAATGATCTTGGTATTGCACTGGCCTTCTGGCTGTCTTCGCAATGGCCTTCTGGCTGTTATTGCAATGGCTTTCTGGCTGTTATTGCGCTGGCCTTCTGGCCGTCTTCACAATGGCTTTCTGGCCGTCTTCGCACTAGCGTTCAGGCGAGATACATAACAAGTACTCTCAAATCCGAGAGGAGACCTCTTCCTATGCAATACTGTCCAACTGCTGCTGGCGATCGGTGACGATGATATCAATACTCGAGTCTCAAGTCCTTCCGCCAGATGGCAGAATGGTCGGAATTGAGAAGTCTGGAGTGAGTATGCGGTTTCAAGGTCTGGAATCTGAACATCGTCGACATGTTGTTGTGATGCGCTGACTCAAAATAAATATACAATTACTGATACTCATGAATGTGTGAGCTGAATCGACGGTTATTATTTTCAGACTTGAGCACTGATAGAATCTAAGAACTGAAAACTTACGATGCCTTGCAGGGCACCGATGAGAATTGAATCTAAAGACCAAGTGACATTTGAGTTGGCTGCTCTTCCCTTATTATTTGTTTACAAGTTGTGTAAGTCTCATACATGTGCAAGAACTTAGGAAAGCAACAATATTATGTCCGGCAGCATTCCTTATCAAAAGAGGAGAGCTGACGAAAGCTTGAAGAACAGCCGACTTTGCATATTCGGCCACATCCAGAGATACGTTAAGGAGTAGACATGCGTTGTTCTTCAACAGATACCCCGCTATCGTGCGGATTCGGTCGTCCTCTTGGGGGAGTGCGGTCAAGATGTATGCCAGATATGCAATATAATCCGGTACACGTGTAAAGGTGTTCAATTTCTGATTAAGTCAACGCACAGCAGATCATCGAAAGGAAAATTCACACATGGGTGATGGCTCGCTGTACGTTGCCTTGTGTATCAGTTGAGTTGCGTATAGTCTGTATGATCTCGGAAAATGATAAAGCGAGAATTTGATACTAACTGAATATAAGGGTACATGGTCTATGTACTCAACTAATTGGAATGTGGGAAATTTGCACAGCTTTCTGCAAGGTTTTTGGGTGATGGGAATCTGTTTGAAGCCCTCCTCTAGTAACATAGGAGTCGGGGAAGTTGTGTGTTTGTAATTGTAACTTTACCATTAGTACTTTATGCTTTGCCTCCATTGCAACACATTGGCTCACTAGATATAAAGGAAATGGCAGTGGCCATCCACTTTGCCTTTCCCATCGACATATGGACAACATTCAGTCGCGCCATGCCAGCCAGCCTCACAATAGTAAGTTGACGCACAACAGGTTCTTCATGTACTACTCACTCCGTCATGTACTAATGTACTAGTTCATTCTGTTACCTCAATAGCTGTGGGGCTGCTGTTGTCAGTGACCTCCACAATACAGAAGGAACGACTGCCTACGGGCCCAGGCACACTTCTCACAATATTAATCTCAAGGGCTCAAAAGTGACGTCCTGCGAAGTTACCATTCTACAAACCTATTTGTGATGGGCATTAGGTGTGCAAAATCCGCTGGAAATGTTCATTTTATTATCATGTTCGCATCAAGAAAGTCCCCCGAGGTTGGTGGGTGCTCTTTTGCTGATCGGGGTGTTGTCACGCTTTGAACGATTGCATGGAGTGTATCACGGAGTCGAAAACGTATACTGCAAGTCTTTCATTGAAGTAGCCAATGTCACGCTGATTAGTCTTGAAGGTATCAACATCGACCGAAATTCCGAATGTGTTGCTACTACACGACGTGGAAATTAACCAGAGTGATATACCTATGTAGTATGTTCCAAACCCAGAGAGATGTACTCAAGTTCGAGAGAGATAGTTCGTCCCCCTCCTTTTTTAAGGATGTTTCACTCACGACTATCAGGAGCTTCACTTATGAGTCTGCTCCACGCATAAATTCTCAGTCGATTTCTATCAGCGACAGGCTGGTCTTTGTTTTCTGTTGATCCGGCTAATCGCGATTCACTGCTCAGTTAAAAGGTGATGGGCACAGGCACTTTTAGGCATGAGTTTCATGCATGGCCTTCAGCAAGCAAAGCTTCTGCGAACGTAGTCAGATTGATACCCTCTATGAGTCCCGAGACCTGCCCATCAAAAGTGAACTTCAAACACTTTGATGGCCAGTTCACTTTTTGATGGCCAGTCAGAAAAGGAGTACTTGGTAAGGAAAGTAGTATGTTTTAGGGATTCAGTCACCGCTATAAATAGTATAAGGGCACAGTATGGAGTATATACTCCCACATCCCTTGTCAACAATTAGTGTTCTCGATGTCAACATGCCTCTCACCTTCGGAGCTGTTTGACAATTCAGCCGCTCGTACAAACATTCTTCAATTCTCAAACTTACTAGGTACTGGATTGCTGGACGCCTACATAGGACTCATAGCAAATGTCAAGGCCAGTCCATAATTTCGCGTCATCTCGTATATCCTGATTTTTTTTTTTGCGATACAGCTCCAGACTGAATTGAAGATTCTGTCATTCTTGCTAAAAGACCGAGTCTCTCCTGGCGATCTTTGGGAAATTGTTGGGGAGCGCACTATCGAAGCGAAACAGGAGGGAATATTGCGCCAACACCAAAGCAATTACTTTGCTGAATTTCAGGGACAAATGCATGTAATTGTAGAGCATATTCTTATGGAGGAAAGGAAGAAAATAAGTCAGATGGAGGTGTCCTTGTACTGTCAGGCTATCGAACATGTGCAGCAGCACCGGATGCGTGAGCTTCTTCAACTTTGGCACACAAATGAGTAGTCTGAACCGTGTTGCTATAAAGCAGTCCATTGTTTTGCATGTCCAGTCAAGCATGACGTCAGGTCTCCCTCGACACGCTCAGCCTGTCCGACAGTTACGTGAGAGAAATGTGAAGCTTGGTTAGGGGGACAATACACCCACCCCCTCTCAGATGCCCCACCTCTGATGGGACATTACTGTTTTTTACATGCTTCCACTCATTCAACATCTGGTTTCGTCCCTGCACACGACGACAAACGGACATCCATCATTCTAAATGTCAGTACTGTAATTGATCTGCTCGGCTGCTCTCATTGTCTCTCTGAAGTGTGTCGGCGCTTCATTATCCCTGTTGAGCACATGTGTAGCCGTCGATGTCCAAGAAGCCTTCTACGATGCATTCCACGCAGAACAAGCCTGCCAGGCAGGATTAATGACACAGTCTTTTACTGTTAATGGCGACCTATATCATCGCGACATCAGGTTGGAGCTACTTATCTTGCAGGCAAAAATGCGCCACGCCCAAGCAGAGATAGACCTCTATACGGTGGCCATCAAAAATGCTCGTGAATTTGACTCTTGTGACAACATTAGTGGGCATGCTCGTCATGTTTTCTTCAATTGCTGATATCTTTCCAGGCGTGTCGTCATCTTCCAGTGGTTCTAATCCTCCACCTCCGCCTCGACCAGACGAATTGTACTACTACAACGTAGACCGTGATGATGTGACGGATGACTTTGATAATTTCCAATTTGAGTAATGTCATCAGGCCTTGCCTGTTGGATGGATCGTCACAACTCGGTGACTTCAGTCTTAATATCTAATATTTGCATGAACCGTTGTGCTGACAATCTAAAGTAGTATGTACTACAAATGTACTACATACTTATGCCATGGGTGCTTTTCACGAGCTTAATGTACATTGCACAGCCCACCTCGAGTTTGGTGCTGTTTCCAACCGCATGACTTCACGCTACTACTTCCAAAATGATGACCTATGCAAATTTATCAATGTACCTTCTTGGCTCAGATTCTGAATCAATTGCTGCAGAAGGCGAGTGTTTGACGATGCATTACGCTTGTTGCTATTTCGCTTTGTCCTGCAGGTTATAATTATCGGGAGTCCTCGACTTCTCGCTGGCCGATGATACTGGCAGCAGCTAACGACAACTTGAACACCGTGAACAAGATTATCTTGCAGATGTGCCACAAGGAACCCTGGATGAAAACTACGAGTTGGAGCAAAAGGAGTTGGAGGATATTGCTAACCCCATCATCCAGAACCTCTACAGCGGCCCTCATATTCTGTCATCACCGTGTCAGAACTGTGTCCATTATACCAGTGATGGGCGTTGGTTAAGGAAACACGGTTGAATAAAGAAAGCCCCTCTCTGACCATATCTGATATACATCATACATTTCAAACATGGCTCGTACAATGCAAACTGCTTCAATGGGACCGCTTCTCATGAACGGCAGAAACCAAGTTATGGTAAGCCATCGTCATCATCAATTGTAAGTAGCTAAATTTAAACAACAGACTCAAATCGAAATCTGGATGGCATCAGTAAGTTCACTAGGCTAATGCTACAGCCGGCGGCTTTACCTAACGTGTCCAGCAAGTCGAATCAGTCACAGCAGCCGTGGTGTCGCCCATGACGCCCTCCCGCAGTCTGACTGCAGCGATCAAAGATCGAATCCTACACGCCATAAACAAAGCGAAATCAGCGTTTCAGGTGTGTTGTGATTTTTATTTAACTCTAAGCACCACTCAAGAACACTTCTAGCTATAGATTTGAGTAACTCACCATTGTACTATGATTTCATCACATCTACCACTGTATCATGATATTCAACTTACTATGGACCAGCACTATATACATTAAAGTCCATCCTAGCCTCGTCTGGTTCCTCCTTCTACATAGTACATACAGCACATCAATAAAATACCCAATCGACTACATACACATATATACTGCAGTGCCATGCTATCTGCAATGCTGTACTATATCCTGCATGATATTGAGGCGCGCGCGTGCTAATTATATCCGTGGCTCAGGGTTGGTTCCCTAGCGGCCTGGGGGCAATTATGATGAGTACATATCAAAAAAAATTCATCATCATGTGAACCAGCAGGCGTCTTGAACATCGCCATGATGGTACATTCAATCCAATCGCAAATCGCATTGAAGCTGTATGCTCAGGTCCGACATGCAAGACCCACATTGACCAGCAGGTGACGGAGTTGCTTAAGCGCGGTGTCCCTATCTGGCCAACACAGCTTCGGCGGTACACCGAATCATTTCCATGAGCATGCACCACAACCTTATCCACTGAGTACTGACTTGATTCAAACAACGAATGTAGGTAATCTCTAGGTCGTGACTATAACGTGCCGACAATGAAAACCGACCCTATCATTGGGTTTGTTATTCGTTTCTGACAGTGCTGATTTAACTGTAGCATTGATAGGCTCGAAGGGCGTGATGGTTGGGAAGAGTTCATTCACCCGTCAGGAGCTACGTATAGCTACAATGCAAAAATGGTGAGTACCAGCTGGTATCTTGGCATTACATCTCACTTTCTGAGATCATAGAAAACATACACCGAAATGAACATCAGGACTTGTTTGGATGAACAGGTCCACAGGCTCGAGTCTTGGATCGACATATCAAGGACCAAATTAAATGGACAAGAATGGTTGCTGGTCGTTGAGCCGGTGTTGGTGGGAGGGGAGGAGATCTATCCATATTATTATGTGGTCCCAGAGAAACGCATCATTACCTGGCTAGAACCGCTGGATGGCTACCTTCTTTTCCAAGAATGTATGGCGGTATGGCACTGGAATCACAAAAGTACGTGACTTTTTCGTGCTTCGTTTCTTGACCTTAATTATGCAGGACTTGAACTTGAAGCCCAATTTTGGTGAGCGATCGACTAAGGACGTCATCCTGGCCCAATCTAAACGTTTCTCATTGCTTGTCAAGGAAACATGTTGAATACTTTCCATGCAGGATCGAAATACGTGTCTCGGAAGTGAGAGCTTTGCGGATTCAAATGAATTGGTACTGCATTGGTAAGTTCTTTGACATTGTAGCACCAGATCAGATGACCTGAGCAAGAAACAGAAGCATTAGCATTGGAACAATCTACTGCGGCTTCAATATTCTGGACTTTGGACCAAATGAAGGAAATGGTCGCTGAGCTAGCCGTCACCAGTATGCACCTTGGCCTGAATCTGCATTTTCAAGTTGATGACCAAAGATCAGAAGAACTTGCAGAACCTGATGGGACCATGAAGGAGCAGGGTATCGCAATCTGCGGTGCGTGAACCCTAGAAAAAACGAGCGGTTATAAACTTATCTCTTTACTTCCCAACAGGCAAGTTATTGCATGTGCTCCATATGATACCGCTTTCTTATATCAGACGTCGTTGATTGAGTTGTCAAGAAGGTCATCACGAATACCTGAACCACCACAGTCAACCCAAAGCTCGCTTGATGCAAACGCATTCACTGGGCGAAAGGCGCACAGACCTGGAAACCTCTCCTTTCATGACTAGCATTGCATTCGCTATGCTTTACATTCCAACAATAATGCTCAGACGCATCAGAAATATTTATGTTGATGGTCTCATCAACGGGGTGGACATGAGGAACTTCATGGACGATTTCAGCGCCCAGGCCAAAGCTCAAACTACCGTAGTAAGTGCTATGTTGTAGACCCAAATGAGAACACTTACCACTTAATCTGTTCTAACAGGCAAGTGTCATCATGGCGGTCAATGCCAGCATCCTTGCCATCCCAATTTTAGGCTCACAACTTGCTACAAAGATGATGTGCTCCATCTCTTTCATTTTCAGCGTCAGCTGCATTATCGCATGCACAATAGCACAATACTTTGGGCACAAAATGAGATCACTCGACTTTGCAGTTTGGTTATCTTCATATTTACGCCTGCTGAGCCTGACATGAATAAATGAATAGGTGTATTACCTGCAAGGGAGGATGGTAAGTCTTGTGATCCTTGCAAGTATACCAAGTTACTTGTATCTCATGAGGTAACTCGACTTTCGATCACAACCACTGGGGTCACTCACAGGGATACTACAGTTTGGTTTTTTCCATTGTTGGATTTCTTGCAGGCATTTTCACAGTTGAATACGGGCTACCCTTGTCTGCAAGGATTGCATGCGGGCTAAGCCTCATTATAGGGATGGGCCTTGTAATTCCATTGGCGGTCGCTAGTCTTGGTCCTGGACTGATCCTGGCGATGAGGAATTGTCGCTGTCCCGAAAGTTAGAGCACGACAATGAGCGACACAATTTGGACAAGTTATTACTACCCACGTAAGCCATAAATGCGGCATAGCTACTAGTGTCACTATTTTTTTGTAGCCCACAACCAATCTACATAAGGTAGAAACTCTCCATTTCTACATACCCTAATTACATTCGCACTTGTATGCCTGCATTCTGATCGCTCGTACGGCTACAGGTGGTCGACCTTTTCGAAAATGTTACTTGAATGTATTGCCCTAACATGGCAGGCGAGTGCGTGACAATATGGATATGTCACACTTCTTTCTCTGCAACTCCCAGTCAGCAAGTCATATACATATCTCATTCTGAAGGCAGAGATCCCTTATTTGCAAATTCATTCAACAATTTCTAGTTGTTGGGATTATCGGGTATGCATTTGCAGTCTCCATGGACCTCATGATGGTAAACAATCCCCCGACTGCTTTGGCTGATGTAGAATCGTCCTATTCTATTCCGGACGGAAATCACTTTGCCGCAAGCGCATTCCCAACGCTGATGATTGATTCTCCCATCAAAATTTGGCTGACTGAGATTGTGGGTAACTTCTGTCTTAGATGTGCGTGCTAGTCAGTTCACTCAAGTTGGTACACAGCTGGACATCAGACTAAACTGTACAGGTCTGCCTGATAAGCTTTGTTTACACATGCATCAGCTAATCATCTTGTGTGCGTGCCCCCCTCAACTGCCCCCATTTTCTCTGCATCCCTCAATCCATATATACTGCCACAATTTTGCACGATGCTGCGATATGTATTTACTCAACTTCGTCATCATCATCGCCTGGACAAAACAGTCAGTTTGTTACAGGGAGGCGCATCAGATGTACTTTGAATGGGAGAAGGAGTGTCCCATGTGATCTGACAGGGAGAGTAAGTATTGATCCCGTGCAATGCGTATCCTTCTAACACCCTTGCACAATAGCTTTCCTCTAACCAACGAAGTCTGTACTTTTGGTACAGTTCTTGAGCCTCTTTAAGCCTTGAACAGCTGAATTCTGCAAGTTGCAGTTGCTCTTTGAGGTTGGCTATGGACTCCATCTCACCTGGTTCGTGGCTTTCCACTGGCAGAATGTGAGTCTCGTTGTTCCCCGCTGAGGGACAGCCGTTATGAACATCCACCTCACTAGTATACAATGAGTCTTGGAAGTGACTTCAGATGGCATTGACGGACCTTATACCATGACTGGTGAGCTCCTCACCCCTTTGATTAGTGCTGCACACTAACTCGATCCTAATGAGAGACATTCAAGTCAGCAGGGCCACCGCAGGGGTAGTGAGTAATCAGGTTTACCGCAAGCTTAAGTTTATAATATGTCCTTGCTGTTTGAAGGGCTGACACGAGGATTGTGGCATATTGGCAGATGTATTCTCTGTTAGCGAGTTATAGCAAGATGGTTTGTGTCCAGAGACCTTTTATCCCTCATGATGCTGCGCTTTCTTCTAGCCTTCCCCATTCAAGCTTACAGTGTTCAAAATATTTTGGTACGCAACCAATTGGGGACCAGGCTGGGCTGGTTGTCGCATCACCAATCTCTTAGGCGCTACTTGGCCGCCAGTCTCTTAGGCGCTACTTTGCCGCCAGTCACTTAGGCACTACTTGGCCGCCAGTCACTGTGACCGGGCGCTGGCCGTCATGAGAGTCAGGGTCGCTGTTTATATAACATAGCATAATGCAGCTCATAAAAGCTGGATTCCAACATCTGCGAAGCATACGCTTTCTTCTTCTCCAACTCTCATGACCATCAACGACTCCACTTCCAGAGCAAGCGTGGCTCGTCAGCCCTCCAAATGGGGCCCTGAAAAAAAATGTAAGCAACTCCAATATTGGCCATGGATTTTGCAATCTCATCCTATCACCCAGCTCCTCATCTGATCCACTTGTCTCTCACGGATGCCACTTTGGTCAAACAGTATTCACGCTATGCAACTACCCTTCCTTGCTCACCAATGGTATCTTGAGACTGGAACAGATGGAAGATACTCCACTGGAGGATTTTTCCGCTGAGTGAAGGTCATTTATCTTTCTATTCATTCACTGACTGATGCATTACACAGAGAGCGGCGAGAACATCGGGTCTTCGACCAGCTCTTAGACTCTTATCCCGGCCTTCTTGAGCGATTGCGAGACGGGTCTGAAGAGAATATCCTTCACATTGGAGAACTGGTGCACCATTCTCTACACGCACAGTCAGAGTTTTAGCTTACGATTTACAGATTGGCAAGGGAGCTGCAGGGGCGAGAGGTGACGACATGAAAACATTAAAGTCTGCAATACTTGATTGGATTTCCCTGAGAGGAGAGGCGATCCAGCCTCCTTTACACAGAAACTCAAAGGTTGACCGTGGATTCAACCATGAGCTTACAGGATCCCTACTTTGTCCCACCAGATTAGACTGGAGTGACTCACAGTATGTTTTGGTTTTACTGGTATCCACAGTCCTCACAATGTCTTCCTGCACTTATTTCTCAACAGGACCAAAGAAAACCTCAGAAGTGGCAAACTGTTGGTCTGTGGAGACCAATGGCCAGTTTTTTTGTATTCCCACCATACTTACAAACCCGAAGATCCAGTGGTGTGGTCTCCTTAGGAGCCATTTACTTGTATGTGTGGGTAACAAGCGTCATCACAAAGCCCCTTTACTAAATTGTATCCATCAGGCTTACAAGCACGTTTTCACGTCTCCAAGTTCGGTTGACAAGGAACCAAAAGCGACGCAATCTGGTAATGCTCGCCTCCATGGCATGAAGTCTGTCACCATTGCTTCCATAGCTTATATTGCAACCCAGGTTCGTCGCGCACCATATTTCTGTACATAGATGGTTGTAACATTGACCAAAGGTCCAATTCGCTTTAAGTTCCTCCTCGGTGTTTTCAAGGACCAACACAACCACAGACTTGGAGACATTCTACCATAGCCTCCTTGACCTACTGGAAGATCCTGACGAATCTGAGGAAGTTGAGGAACTGCTGACATGGTGAAATCAGTATTGTCATTGCTCTTATCATGTCGCCGAGGCTCATACATTGCCGTGTACCTAGCCAAGTATTTCCTACTTCCTCTGCTGCCAAGCGACCTCTCAGCATTAACAGCGCGTTGTCAAATATCCGACAGAAACACCTTGCTGCGAAACAATCTTCGAATCTGAACATAGCCTCTTTGTAGCATTCATTTGAGCATATGTAATATATACAATTTCAAGATAATACCCCATTTTTGACTCTCACAAGCAAGTGTGCCAGCTAGAGTGGTCACAAGGCAAACCCTGAAATTCTGCTGTGAAATGATAACAAGTTGCCATATTGTTCTCATTTGCAGTAATTATCCATACGAGCAGGCCCCACAACACAAGACCTGCGGCTAACATCCCGCTTGCGCTTGCATGATTGAAAATAACAAGCTGAAATTGAATGTGGTGATCCTACCTTGACTGTATGACAACGGAAGAAACTACTTTACCGATGATTAACGCTGTGGTAGCTTTTGTAGCTGTCTATAATGGAGTCTGGGATTTGGGACCGCTGTCCAGCTATGGCATTCAGGGAGATTTTCTTGAGAACAAATTCAGTCACACACTTGTATATGATGACCATACTTCAGTAACCTGCTGACAGAGGTAATTGCACTGTCATTGTTCCGCACCCTTAGACTAAAGGCAGCCCTCATCCAAAACAATCTGCCATTGGAAGACATTAGCTGACCCCGGTGTCTAGGGAGAGTTGGTGGGTGATAAAAGGACTCACTAACTCTGTATTCGGTGACCATACCTCATCGAGGTTGTGCAGGATGATAATATACTGCCGCTCGTCATACACATTGTATACTTAGTAGATCTGAGAAATCAAGGCTAGAGTCGCAACCACATACCTAACATCAGCCCCACAGGAATTCTTATCAAGGGCACAATGACAAACTCAGCTTGCAAAAGACAACCGTGTTGAAATAGATGGGTACCACATTGTGGACACTCGGAATCCTTGGGGCGTAGCCAGTTTTACTCCAAAGGAGTCTGGCCATATATGCCTTTATCTAAGACTGTCATCTGGTTGGAGATTGTGGAAGAGGTAAAATCAGTCAAAAGTTACATGCCACGACCAGAATTGCAGTATATTGCCACTGGTATTCAACTTGGCGACGACGGACACTCTCAACAACTTAATCTTCCGTTGCCACAGCTGGTAGGTGTTGCAATATTTGCCATCTCGGGGATTAGCTACAGGTAATTGTGACCAGACTGTCACAATGGTACATTTGGCGGGTTTCATCCAACTTAGTCCGGGTATTCAAAGCTTTCCCATGTGGAGTACAATTTTGATAAATTTTATGCAAATTTTATAGCAGATAGAGCTTTCTAAGATTTTATCGTTTTCGGGTCAATTACTTGATGAAGCTGACACAACGCGACTCGCAACTTGAAGGCACTTTGCAAAATACAAATATTACTTCTAGCCATTCTGCCATGGCAATTAATAGCGCCGCGCTGTATATTAGTGCCACTTGGTTAGTACATTTTGATTTTGCAGTAGTTCTCGACCGAGCTAGCATTGACCTTGCTTAGCTTTGTTACACGCCAACATACTTTGCTTCACAAGGTACGTGGCAATCTACTGGCATTGCAAATACCACCTGTTCGAAAGGGAGACATGTTCTTCAAGTTCACATAAAAACAAGCCGTCTTCCTGCTGCCAATGTCCCCTTCAGATCTATCCCCATATCACACATCCTCACGAGTCACAAACCATGCGTTTCTCCCTTGTCCTCGCCGTCGTTGCTGCTTTGACATCATCAATATCTGCAGCATCGATACCTGCCAGTGACCCTGACAGTGAAAAATGTCCTGCAGTTTGCAATGTTAAGCCCTGCTGTCCTAAACACTACTGCTTAGATCTTGTGAGCATGAGTAGTTTGCGTCCTGGATTTAACCACATGACTCACCCGCGTGGTAGTTAATCATCGCTGTATGTTCATGAGTGAGTGGCATGTCGTGACAGTGAACTACAGTAAGTCGTCTTTCTGCTTTCGCATCGGTGCAGTATGGTTGATGGCACGGCGCGCGATTTACTAGTAGTTTGTTGCTGAGTTGATGAATGTGCTTGCTCCTGAACAAATTTCACTGCCACTCGGGCAATGAAGGAACAGAGGAAGTCTCGAACATTTGAATACTTAGGATATGACTGAAGTACTTACGATGCGGTTAACTTTTGTAGTCTCGATGTAGTAAGCTTGAACATAAAAGTCGTCCCCTCCCGCCTTGAGCCTGCCGGTATAAAATTCTGCAATGCTTCCTAGTCCGATGACCTTACATCCTGGACAGTGACTCATATTTCTGATTTCGCATTGGTGTTGTGGTTGATGGCACACTGAGTTGTTCTTTGCTAATTTGGTCAATGATATGATGGCTCTTGGAGTCTCGACAAATTCACTGCTGCCTTGGCAATAGAGGCCCTTAAATCTCAAACACTCAACTTATGTAGTATTGATTTTTGTTCTTCGCTAAACGTTGAACACCTCATGACACAGAAACAACGCACACTGCAACTTGAACATACTCTCCTCCCTCCACAGAACACGATTGATCAAGGATTAGAACGAGATAACAAGACAGGGTGCGCCCATTTCGAAATTCCGATTTCCACGTCTTCGAATTCCTCCTCGACCGCAAGCTCAAAATGGTACCCTCAGATGACCTCGAGTACCTCAGGCACGTTGTGGCACAGATAAACGAGAAAATTCATGCACTCAAGGAGAAAGTAAAGGCTGTTGTTCCTTCGAGGAAGACGCTCTGCTCGACAGCTTAGGACTATTCAAGTCATGGGCCCTCCTGGCCGGTTCGCGTCGCTTTTATTGGAATACGTCACTGGAGAGCGGTTTGCAGGGAAGGGATATGTGGACTGACTGATAGTTTACAGGGAAGGGAAGGCAGGCCCCACGGATACGTGACGACTTCTGCGTCTGCCACCTCGCGACGGACGACATGCTTCGCAAGTAACTCCTCTCAGCACGTCCCTTCTATTCCTGCAGGATCATTTGTAGAACCATCATAAGTACCCATCTCTGACAACGTCTCTGAGAAAAGGTCATCGAAGCCCTGGAGAAGACCAGCCCTCTGTAACGCAATCTGATAGTCCTCTCCGTTCGTATCCAGCCTTGTCATCCACTCCTCCAGTCCAGCAGTGCCTGTGACGAGAAGGCTGCGTAACCTCGTTCGTTCTGTCTGACTTACAGGCGAGGACTGTATCGGTGGATCTCCTGGTTTGATTTGATCTACAGGTACAATGAGATCGACACCCTCGCCTGCAGCTGGATCCCAGACTTGATTCTTCAGCACTGCTGACCATGCTTGGTCAAGGTCATCCAGAAAATCTAGTAGCGTTTGAAGCTCCTTCATCTCTGGAGGATATCCCGGTACCGAATTCATGACGTCGCCAGTGAGGCGGAGGAGGAAAGTGGTGCGTAAGTGCGTGGATGGGTCTATGGGCGGGATCTGCAAGATAAATGCCAGCAGTTTCTGTGTGGCATCAAGATACGTTGTGAGAGTCGGGAGTTTCGTCATTGACGGTTCCGAGCTGTCCACATCTTTCTCAGTACTTCTGGAACTTGAACATAATGACTGAGCCGACCGTTTCTTAAATGCACCAGTAATTTCCATGAAAGAGTCTTCAACATACTCGACTGCTTTTCTTTCCTGGGTTTTGGAGAGCGCTTGTGGAATCTTTGATAACCCATTGTGGACGTTCTCTTCAGGAGACATCATACTATGTGAGGTCAGAAGGTGTTGCCAAACAACAATCAACACGCGTGCCCTCTTCCTGCCTTGCCTGACCTAGTGACTCATCTTGAAGGTGAATGTCTCTCTGCAGACATGTCTTGCAAAAGCCGATGCCGCTAGTACTTACTTACATGACAGTCTGGTGGCTCTAGTCATTCTGAAATCTTTGGCGAGTTATTGTAAGCCTATTGGCTTACCTGAGTTCCCATAATCAGCATAAATACTGTCCGAGATAATCTTCGAAGCGTGAGCTTTCATTATATATATGTAATACGTAGGTCAAGACTGTATAAAAAGATCTGAAAACATGGGAGAGTGTTGTAAGCCCGTTGGCTTACCTGAGTTCCCATAATCAGCATAAACACCGTCCGGCGAGATAATGAAATCATTATCACTGCCTTTTGGCATAACGGTTAAGGGACGACAGTCTTGACCTACTTACAGTTATCGAATAAGGATGGCATCATTATCTAAGGCTGAGAAGGCCTACATCCAATCCTCCTTGCTATCCGATCCACCATTACGCGCAGATGGTCGCGGTTTGACAGATTTTCGAACCATAGCCCTCGAGTCTGGAATTGCCCCCCTCGCAAATGGAAGCGCACGCCTTAGCATCGGTAGAAACGCGCACGATGGCGGTGGAAGCACCGAAGTCGTAGCTGCTGCAAAACTGGAAGTCGAGACCGTTGGCGATGGGGAAGGTGTAGATGGCGGAAGAGTAATTTGTTCTGTCTCTTGGTACGGTTCTCTCGCTATATTTCAGAAAGAAAACCTAGACAACTTGAAATAATAGCTCTCCGACTGCATACCCACTTCTTTCCTCGAATGCCCTGGATGACTTACAACATGACATGACGTCTATACTAAACTCTATCCTCTCTCATCCAACAATGCGACCAAAAAATCTCATTATCTTACCCGGAAAGAAATCTTGGTTGCTCAACCTTGATGTCATAGTATTTTCTGACGCAGGAAACATCTTCGACGCGATTTTCATGGCTGCACGTGCCGCTTTGTGGGATACCAAGGTGCCTAGAACAAAGAGCGTTCAATACCGGGCGAAGAAAGGCGACCGGAAAGACGCGACTCACGCGATGGACGTGGATGAACCAGGTCCATGTCGGCAGCGCACTGGATACGCGACAGACGATCCAAGTGGCTGACTTCGAGCTTCCTGACCACTTGGATGAGGGGGAACCCCTCGATGGAAGACAATCTTGGCCAGTTTGTCTTACCCTCAATTTGGTTTGTCGTTTTTCGCTCACAATTTACTGTAAATTGATTGACCATTGGACAGCTACCTACCTTACATTTCCTAGATGCCACGCTACAAGAAGAAGCTTCGGTTCCTCTCAAGCTCCTCGTGTTGTACTCCTTCCCGTCAGATGCAACACCACTGCTACGAGGCATGCGCTTGCTTGGGACAGGCACGTCTGACCTCACACAGGTCAAAAGCCTCTTGAAGGTAAGCATCCAGAAAATACCGTTATCCCCTTATTTGAATTCTCGCAGGATGGTGAAAAGTATGCTCGGAATGTGTGGGTTGCCCTTGAAGGAAAGCTCAAGGACGAAGACCTCAGACGTAACCAAAAAGCCAGAGAGAGGTTTCTTAATAGATAACCTTGCAATGACATGGCATTCTCACGGTGACTCAAGGGAGCGGACCGTTCGAGCTCTGTTGAATTCGTAAGCGGTTTCATGATCATTATCACTGCTGGAATAGCAGTAATTGCCGACTTGATGCTCCGGAGATCATTGACCAGTGATACATTCGTCATTTGAGACCCGCCTCTCCCTTTCCAGGAAGCTCCAGTGCGCAGACATCGGACAAACGGTCGATGTAAGGCTTGAACTGTCCTGCATGAGAAATCGGATTCAGGTGGAAGGAAGTCACGCGTACAGGCCGGTTACCTTCTAGTGTTCCCGTTCCTCAGTGGCTTGAACACTCTGCCCTGCAGCCAGAGCACGTGGGCCAAGAATAGCTTTCACCGGGCAAGCATGCACCCCTCCAGTCTGCTGACCCTGTAAGAGACGCCCAAAGTGTGCGGACATCTTATTCCGAGTGCGAGAACACTGCATGGCATGTTGGTCTATTTCGTGCGCGTGTTCTTTTGGGGTGACTGGCTTGGTATACGAAGCAGATAAAAGGAGTCGGTTCATGGTACATTTCTGCAGCAATTACCTTCAGCCAGCCTCTCGAAGCAAAACCTCTTACCACTTGCCCGTCATGAAGTTCACATCAGCCGTCATATCCCTCCTTGCTATCGCCCTTCCCATCCTCGCTGTAACCGAGAGCCTTTCATACGACACCACTTACGACAACCCCGATCTAGCTCTCACCTCCGTCGCATGTTCAGACGGGACAAACGGGCTCATAACCAAGGGCTACACAACCCTCGGCCAATTGCCCACATACCCCAACGTCGGTGGTGTCTACACTGTCACGGGATGGAATTCAGCTGCATGCGGAACTTGTTATGAAGTGACATACGGCACCACGACGATTGCAGTTCTCGCTGTTGACACTGCGAGTGAAGGACTCAATCTATCGGAGGAAGCGATGAATACGCTTACTGGGAACCAGGCTGTGTTTTTGGGGAGAGTCTCAGTGGATGTGGTTGCAACGAACGCCTCTGCTTGTGGCCTTTGAAGGTAAGAGGATCAGTTTTCCTAAATGTGAAGTGATTTAACATCATCGACAGATTGTTTATTTGGTTTTTGGTCGAAGGACATGTTCAGATTCTGTACTTTTGGGTGTGCTTATGGATTGGAACTGGACATTAATCATATATACATGAAACTGTATTTCGCTTCCATTGGAATGCACATTTATTGAGCTCAAGACATACACGCACCTACGCATGAACATCCACCACATCGCACTGCCCAAGTCTAGATTCTATACACCCAAGACCGAGTGAACACCGCCTCATACCGCTCCGCTAACGAAGCAAACACCATAAGAGGTTCTCTCGAAACCGTCCACAGACCTGCCAATACAGGCACCACCGCTGCAGCCGCAACGATCTTGCACGTTCGAGATCGCATACGGAACTTTTGAGAAGCGAAACGTGATGCTTGAATAATTTGTGCGCCTTCGACTGCATGTAGCATTACACTTGCGACTAGCCCGCCATACAAGACCCAGCTCCGCCACGGAAACCTAGCCAAGCCAGTCTTGACAAACTCGTAGTCCACCTCCGAGGGTCCTACCTCGAATATGGGTGGTGAAGGATCGGCAGGGAAGACGCGGTGGGTGTAGAAATGGATGGGAAGAAAGATTAGAAGAGTCGAATACGCCGCAAGGCTGTGGGTGCTCGTGATTTTGCGAGGAGATGCGGAACGCGGAGTAATGATCCTTTTTGCGATACTTGAAGCTACGTGGGCTGCCAGGGGTGTGAAGAGGAGATACCTCTCTCCAAAAGCAGTCTGGTAGTATTCCCTACCGAGAAGCTAGTAGTCGTGATTGAAACGTCATCTCCTTGGAACCGCTTTTATGCTACTTATCGTATCACGTACCATAACATTGGAAGACAAACTCGACCCTCCCACATTTGCAAGTGCTGGTGCGGATAGATGAACGACGAGGAAAACTGTAAGGAAAGGTGCAGAGATGTGGGCGACGTTTGTCAAAATTGCCACTGTCTGTCTTCGTTTTGACCCGTCTCCTTCGGCTGACATCGTTTTTTCGTCGTTAGTGGCCAAGGAATTACTGACCAATCCAAGAACGGTGCTGCTGAGATTGGTGATAGTAGTAGGCTCGAGCTCGAGGTTTTGTAACCGCTGCTTGCCGTTATAATTTTGACTTGACCGATTGACCTCAAACTTATGTAAAGTGACATTCTAGGCAATTTACAAGACTTCTGAGCTTCGTCTTCCTATTTTTCTAGCAGTACTAGCAGCATCCTACAAGGTAAGTGACCGAATCCATTATAATGCACATGAATTAATGGTAGCCGAGAGAAACGTGGATATGCATGGTGGAGAGGTGAGAATATTAATGGTAGAACTGGGTAGTAAGGGACTGAAGGTTAATATCGACTAGCCGTAAAGAAGAAGCGGTGTGAAGCATGTCGGACTATGGAAACAGGTGAGGATAGGGCTACATGAGACAGCACACGGAGATCACCTCCGCAGCTCAGGTTTTCAAGCTGTGCACAGGGTGCATCTCAGAATCCCATGATCCCGCGGCTTGCTCTGGAAAGAGTGCCGAGTATTCGATATCGCAGGGAATACCGAGCGCAGGGTCAGGATATGATTCGGGGAGGGGAGGGGGATGGGTGAAGAAGTCGAAGTTGTGTAAACCGAGGGCATAAGCTTCCAGAGCTTGTGCGCGCTCCATTTCTTCATATGGCGTCAATAACTCCTCTCGAGACGACATGGTTTGCCCTGGTATACAGGGGGGAAAGGGTTCGCCGTCCCAGCCAGAAAGGGAAGAGGCGATGGCTGTGAAGGAGGAGGGAGTATAGGTGAGTCCGCTCCGGCTCTCTGGGGATTGGTAACCGAGCTCAAGTGGCAAGCGCGAGGGACTGCCCATCGAGCTGTTATGCTCCTGTATTGCAGGACTTAGCACACATCGAGAGCAAAAGGTATCGGAGACGTACCCCAGTTGATGCATCGAAACCGAAGGATACGAAGGTCGATGCGTCGTTTGATGCAGCATACTGCTGAGGCTGCGCTTCCACTTCCTTGCCAAGCCGAGCATATGCGACCTGCGACACATGGTCCAGTGGACGCAGCGTCCAATCTCGTCCTTCGACCGAGCGAGACCTGCATAAATCGTCCTTCGGAGCATGAGAGGGAATGATGGATATCGGGAACACGTCAGGCAGCGGAACAGACGACGACCGTCGTTGATCTGCGATATAGTTCCCAGGAGTGCTTTTTGACGCAGAGTGTGCGGACGCCTCAAAACTACCGCTTCTTTCCTTCTCTACTGGCCTGCTGATATGCAGCACCTCCGTCCTCTTGCGGCTCGTCATCCGCATCTGCGATAGAAGTAGCGACTTGCTCATCTGAAGAATCCAGCGAAAAACCGCTGTTACTCATGGACAGCTCGTATTGACGTTTCTTCAGCCCGGAAATCTGCCGCCTCATAGGGCGAAAACGATAGTGGGGGTAAAGCCGGGCGTGCTCCTCCCTTTCCTTGTCTGCAAGCACCTTATAATGGTCCTTCTCAGAAGCAGACAGCTGCTTCCACGCCTCAGCCGCTCGCTTCGATAGGGTCTTGGCTGTAGGGTTCTGTGGCTCCAATTCCTCGTCGCCGTCTTGGGCAGCCTGACTGTGCGTGCGCGAGTACTCACAGCGAAAAATGATGAACGCGTTTCTAGGTCGAGGGATCCAACTGGGGTCCCGACTCCTGTTACGCTGCGCGCGCCGGTCAGAGGAAGGAGCCATTGGTTGGTGAGTGATACAGGAGGTGGACGCCATAAAATGTTTGGGTAAGGAATATGTTTGATCGGGAAGATGAACGTCATGGTCATCCTCCACGGATGGAGACCATCCGCGGAGAACGGGGTGGGCAGTGAAGACCATGGAAGACGAAAAGGGTTCGGGGGATACGCGGCAGGCAGGTGTTATGTTATATGAATGATATCAGCAAACCTGCTGTGGATCTCAGATCTGCTGCTTGCAAGAGGAGTTCGGATTTCAATTGTTTCAATTTCCTGACCGGCCCGAAGACAGGTTTCAATTTTGATCTACCTGTCGTTTGAAAACAACACGAGATTGATTACCTTCATGTGTCTGAGTTTGAATTCAGTTAAACTTGAACAACACGAAAGACGCTGGAAAATGTCCCTAAAACTTAAAATAGATTAATGACTAAGACATCATTCGATCCGTTCGATCAGCACGATCTAGATCTCTCCTAACAATAACCGAGGATAACCGCCGGTATGACGGATCAGTATACACAAATTGAGAGCGAACATCGACCTTCTTTCTCGCAAGGACAGCGTTAGCATCCCGTACGAGCGAAATGGTAGATCATCATACTTAGATGTGTATACATGCATGTTCATTAAGGAGACCACTCAGCCATGGACTTGCAACTCCTCTTCATGAGCGGGAATTACGATATAGACTTTGAGACAGATCAAAGCCTTCGCCTACGCGACCACAATGTTAGCCTCTTAAAGAGGGATTGGATTTTCCGTCAGAGCACCAATGCTTGCGCTTGGAACGGTTTTAGTCATGTGGAAGTAGGGCTGCGGCTTGAAGGATACGTATCGTTGACAGTTCTGGTATCCCATATTCGGTAAGATTGGTTTGGATGTCAGGGGGGTTCGACAAGAAGGATGTCATAGTGTACCCCATGGCAGTGCCAAAAATGGCGAAAACGACTGGGGCGGGGCGACAGCTTGATTGGCTTTGACTGGCCGTTCGATGGACGTATGACAACCAGGATCATCGGCGCTGATTCAAGACGGTAAGTTTCACTGTATGAGGAAATTCGAGAATGGTACTCCAATCTCTCGGTTGGCATGAAAGCTGGTGGCAACGAGAGGGTTCAAGAAAGCGCCTGACGCTAATGCTGAGAACGGGGGCGGACTCGACTGGGCCTATCGCCAGGCAGAACATTAGAGAACATCTTGCCAACAAATTTGAGAGAAACGAGGATCTTCGCGGTGAGACTCTGGATGAACTGTTGACGGAGGGGAAATCAGCTCTGAATCTAGCATCAGGTGAGTCTACGGCCGCCTTACTGGTTCCCCCATGATGTAATTGCCTACTATCAGCTCCTTGACTAACTTCTTTGAGGTTAATAGTTATTAAAGCTTTTGTGATCGAGCCAATCATACTTCCATTACTGCCGACGGCTATGTAGTGCATTTTTCCTGGACTAAGGTGCCTGGCTCACTGATAAAAGTAGAAGGTTCTGTCCTGAAGTTATCACGGGATAATGCATTGTTAGACTGTAGTTATATTTGTTAATGCACAGGTGGCTTGCCACTATCAGACATATCACCGCGAATAGGTGGTGCTAGACCCTAGTCGTGATTTGACTTCCACCATCGTCTCCTCGGAGTGTTCAATGGCGCGAGCAGCTCCACGGCGCGCTGTTTCGTCAAGATATGCCGCTTCATGACGAATGCGATCGAAAATTCATCCGCGGGCCTTTGAGGAATTCCTCAACAGCATCCGCGACATCGCGTTTCAAGGTCCCCGTGACCCTGGCTCTCATACGTTTTTGCGACCTGCGTGACATCGCTGTCCGTGCAGGCAGCGAGGATAGTAAGCAAATTTGAAGTGCCCGGGCGGTCCTTAGGGTCGTAGGTGATGCCTTGGATGGAATCCGTGACAGCAGCTCGGATTTTCGATTGGATCTGAGTGGCGGTATCGGTAAGCAAGATGCGGGACTGCACGTCGGGCGAAGATTTCGACATCTTGGATGTTGGGTCTTTGAGTGATAAAATACGCTTCGATGGGGCTGAGGGGATGATTCAATGGATATATATGCACAACTTCGGATACTTACTGTTGACGTAGTTTGGAAGGGGGAACAGGGGAGAAGTTCCTTTGAATGTTCGGTTGAAAATATCAGCGAGATCTCTTGTGAGCTCTATGTGTTGCTGTTGATCGTCGCCAACAGGGACGTGGGTAGCTCTTGCCAACGTATCAGTCGTGCTCAAAATGACCACCGCAAGAAGGCCCACTTGTAAACCAGGACGTCGGCGGCTTGTAGCACAGGATACATGAATAAGCCAGCATTGAGCAATGACTCGTCCACTTCGTCCTCTGATGCAGAATTTCGTGCCGCAGCTAATCTTGACTAGGGGGACATAAGGATTTGTTTGAACTACACTAGGAAGACCGCACCTTCCATGTCGTCATCCGGCGCAGCTTCCCCATAGGGTGTTATGCAGCTTAATATCCAGGAGAGTTCAGTATGGTGAGGATTCTAGAGTACTAGTTAACCAAAGGGCTGGTACGATAAAATGAATCGATACATGATCCTGGTGGAATAATATCGACCGGTTAGGATCGATACCTATGGCAAGTAAAACAGCCAGCATATCATTCCTCGCGGTCAATAACGCAGCAGGATCCTGTGGCAGAGTCAATGCATGCCATCCGACAATCGAAAATAGCAGTTTGTCCTCGGGCTCCGCAGATTTTTGCAGCTTGACCCAGTTGGACAGTGCGCCTAGGTAGTTCCCTAGCTACTGCTATGTAAGCTGTTCCGTGCCCAAATAATGAAGGCGATCTTACATGGGGGATACCGGTTGGTTGAATTCCCGACAGTATCACGCGTCGCGGGCGTATCTGGCAGACGCGTCGAGGAATGATCATGTAGTATGTTGAGCAAGTGCTAAGCGGCTTTAGCCTTTGAAAAGAAAGAATTTCAAACTCCGACAACATCTTGTCACTACTGAGTGCAGTCTGAACTGATACTCTGCTTTACTGACGTCGATTGCCGGCTCCGCGGCCACATGAAGTACGATCCCCTCGTGGACCTTCCTGGCGGCGACAATTTCCATGACGTGACGGCGTTATTTGAAGATGCTGCTGAAGGTGACCAGAAATGCTTGTGTTAGCCTACTTGCCTACTCATTGTCTAGACATGGAACCCGGGGCTCTCGTGCTGGCTGAAGGGTTTACTCTGCAGGATGCAATGTCGTCGTTCGAAGTAAATTTTCTTTTCTTAGTCTAAATCATCAACTAATAATGTCTCAAGATAGGCGAACCACGCTTCGACAGCGGCTTGGCGCTACTGGACAAAACTAAGCCTTCTTTCAATCCTCTCGCCCCGCTTACTCCGGAGGAAGTATGCTGGATCATTGATCGCTCGTTTTCCTGCGAGGTAAATCAGAGACAGCGTGCACTTATCCACATATATTCATTTGTCCTGTCTGGCGCCCAGATGGAATGGCACTCCGGTTACACTCTTTCGCAAACCATATTTTCATTCCTTTATGTTCACTCCTTGAAAGACATTGATCCTGATCTTATCCCCGGAGGCTCACCGCCACCCTCAGACAACTTGCGTCCGCCAGAGCTAATCTCAGTCGTTCTAAGGGCGGCTGTGTTCGGCCTTCTCAAGTGTTGTGACCTGTCCTGGAGGGAGCTAAATAAAGGGAACGTGCACGATGTTCGTCAAAGTACCGCTTGAGTTGCTAGCTATGCTTATCTGTGACCAGGCGGAGGACTGGCAAAGCGAGAAATGTGATGTTGCCCTCTCCGAGGCACTACCCGTCAAATACGTCTGCAAGGTGCTTGATGAAGCGTGTCATTGGCTTGAGACCTCGGCCAAAGGTGTGAAATGGCCCCCATAAAACGTTCACCAGATGTTCATGCGATGACTACCATAGTTCAGCAACCCTGGAAAGCTATGCTTGTGGATAGATTAAAGTTTAGGAAGGTTTGGAGTGTTCCATTTTTTTTAGACGACAGCTTGCTAATTTGTGTCAGTCGCTGATTGAGTTGTTTGAGACACAATTGTCTCAAGCTCACTCCAATTTGCTTCCGACGATGATCAATCTAAGCCTGCAGTTACTGCATCCTATCATGACAGCAACTCCGTCAGAACCTGCGCCAGACTCTCCGGCCCGTCTTGCATTTGATCCTCATTTTGCTCGTGTTCTTGTGTCGTTCATCCCCTTGCATGTCATAGAGCTACCCGATCAAGCTCATACATGGGCTTCGCTGGAGGGGCTGTTGACTTCGCTGAAGAACGTCAACAATCTGGCAAACACGGCTGAACTGTCGACATGGGAGGTATATACTATCATTGCCCTTCCGTTCATCGGCATTAAAACCAGTACCAGATTGCTGGTCATCTACAGTTGTGGTGTCCACGATCCCATAGTCGGTTTCCATACGTGCGTTCAATCACACAGGCAAGTTATTCTTGCACGACAATCCACCCGGTCGTGTCTCATGATAACCCCTAGTCTGCGTTCTGGGACGGCGTCCTTGTACTCAATAAATTTGCGATGAAGCATATCGTAGTCCAGTTTTTCCGTGAAACCCTGGACACTTCCTACGACGGCTTCACACAAGCTATCAGGACAAGGTGGCAAGGTCCGGCGCCTCCACCACTTGCACACATTGAACGCACCATGACGCAGGTTTGTTTGAAGTTACGATTCTCTGTATACTTGCTAAAGGCAAGACAGATAATGATGGCGCACATCAAGGCGCTCTGGTACAACCCACCACGGCGGCGCCGATTCTGCGCAAAGTCGCTATTTGACTGGCACGACCTATTCGCTGTGTTAATGGATGTGTCTGTGCACCTTGCGCCCTTGGTGAGTGTAGTACTGGAAGTAGTGCCCTCTAGGCTCAGTGGACGGTGTTTCTTAGCAAGACCAAAAGCATGACCACGTGCGTCGCGCCAAGATGGCCGTGCTGATGTATAGGCTGTCTGTAATCCGCGAAGTTATTTTATCTGGATTCCAACTGTCCCTTTACACAAACGAAGAGCGTGTATTTGCGTACTGGTATGTTGTGCAGGTGCTTGAGATGCACTTGGCCTGCATAGATCAACTTATGCCAGGCATGTCGCGTGGTATGTAGTTCGATATCTATAACGGCTCGAACTGATCCTTCTCATCTAGGCTCAAATGCCTACTGCGAGCTGAGGTATCAGTCGCAATTCCTCACGGCACTACAGTCTCTCTCAATCGCTGTCTTCTCTGTGAGTAATGGTGAATTTCATTCGATCTGGATCTTGACTCGGGAAAGATCACGGTCAAACAAACGACCTTCTCATGGCGACGTACGAGGCTCAACTTCTTGCGGCGCTACAAGTGGGCTTTTATGCCCGAGTATGAAGATCTTGATCTGCAGCCGTTCGGACATCCCAGCTTCACCAAATTTGCTGCTGCGTGCGAGGCCATGCAAAAGGCAAGCTGTTCACAGTAACTAGAGAGAAGTAACCGTTTAAATCGATAACAGGATAATCAATACCTCTCGTTGGACAGTATCGCACTTGCCAGAGAAGTTTTATCGTGTTCGTTAACGTCACCCTGATGGCTGGGCTGGACGATGGAGCGAAGAACGCAAAAAGGTGAGAAAACGTCTGGTTGCACGTACTGCAGATTCTGATCTCCCGCAAGTTCGTCCAGAAGCTCCTGGATGTATGCATCGATTTACAGACACAACTCCCTTCGACCGAGCAGCCCTTGACGACATGGGACGCGAAGACTTTTAAGTGGGATGTGGATGTTCACCCCTGGTTTCCAGTTATCTCTGGATCCCCTCCAGCGCCGCCACGATAGATTTGGTGCTGTTCTTTACCCGCTGAGGTTCCTACCATTTCCGCCACTAGTAATATGATGTTGAATCTGAGTGTGACGATCCGATTTCATCATAACGTCCTGCAAGGGTAAATTTTTGAATCGCAAGGGCCCTTAGTGACAGTCCGCGCTGAGACCCCTATCATCATCAGTTTGCAAACTGACTCCGCCTCAGCTCGTCGGCTTCTTTCTGCCTCTCCTGTCCCCTCGCTAGGTACGCACGTTTATAGGTTTGTTGATGGTGTTCTGATGTGAGTCTCCCGTTGCCACGCTAGTTATCTGAATCCGAGTCTTTACGCCACATATAGGCACTTGGGGCGTATCTGAGGTTTCTCCAGTTTGACGCTATCCAGTTTCACCTCTCGCAAACCAGGTCTCCTCATGGCCTCTACTTCCAACGGTGAAAGTACCCGGCAAGAAATGCATAGAAATGCCCCAGCGTAGGGTCCACGCATCATCCTTCTCTCGTTCACATGTCTCTCCCGTCAACGTCGAAGAACCCGGCCGCAGGTTACCCCACATCCATCAGCCGCCAGTGGAACTGCTACAACAAGTATTCTTGCTAGTTAACGACGTGACAGACTGTCCCAGTATCTTCTCAGTTGGAGAGACTGCCATTTTGGTCAATATTGCCAGCCCTCCCCTAGTCCTTACCAGGGTGTGCCACCGTTGGCGAGTTGTTGCACATTCAACGACAGGGGTCTGGTTGCGTATCCAGGTTGCACTCCCTGAGCGAATTGAACCATTTCTTCCATATTCCTTCCAGTGTTGGCTTGCCCGCTCTGGTAGTAGGCCCCTCATCCTTCGTATTGTTCAAGTTCCACTCCAAATCCACCACACCTGCAGCACACACCCTTGGCCAATGCCAGAGGCAGGGTCCCGACTTCTTGATATCCTCCTGTCTGAGAGCAAGCGTTGGGAAACGGTGGTTGTTATGTCATCCGATGTGCACGACTGGGGTCGTGACTTCGACACACCTCAGTTGAGTACCTTGGAGTGTTGCTAGGCAAATTTCAGCAGATTCAATGCACCTATTTTTTCTCGCCTACGCATCAATTACCTTGCGCACACCCCAAACAGAGAGCTGCACATTCCTACTCGCAAAAATCTACGTCATCTCCACCTCCAGACCGTTTCCCCGGTTGATACATGCCACACTATAGTGATGTTCCCTAATCTGGAGACCGTCGTTCAGCCGACTTCATCTTCCCATGTTACGGACATTGACTCTGGTAGGAGCACCAAGAAAACTAGAAGTTGATTGTATTTTGGCGGTCCTGAAAGAGACGTCTTTCCACGTGCCGACGATAGACTTTCGGAAGGACACACCGCTAAGGAAGGTTGATATGAATGATATTGAGCGGTTGCTCTCAGTTGTGGGGAAGGTTACTACGGACACACAACTGCGCAAAGTTAATATGAATCGTATTCAGCGGCTGCGGGGGAGGTTACTTTTTGTGGGTAAGTGCTCTGCCACATCGCCTTTCGTCGCCAATTCTGATACCCACTGGTTTGAAGCAAGTTTCTAGATGAGGCAAAGTTTACATGACTACATAGGGCGAAATCGAAGCTACCTTCGAGATAAGTACCCACCAAGTACGCGCTGATGAATTCTACTGTATTTCGTTACTTGAAGTTTCACAAATTCACATCGAGTTTGGGTTTGGGTAATGTGACAACCTTCAAGTAAGCAGCTGCCCACCTCAGGCAGCGCTTTTCGGTGCCTATAAAGGTCTAAGAGACCCGGTTTCTATGTGATGGGAAACTAGTCTCTGAGACCCACCCTCCCGCCATCTAATTATAGTTCATGCCCTCACATTGTCATCATCGCTCTCAGGTCTAAACGTTTCTTCTTGCAGTCTGTTCCAGTAAATTCAGAATTCTAGCGCTCGTAACTCCCGTGAGCGTGATGATATAGACAGTGCCAGTCGATACTGTCATAATAATATATTAAATACATGACAATTGTCATGTAATGGTAATACATAAATGTTGTGAGTGGTCTGGGCTTGCAGGCTGTAGGAGTGATATATCAGCGCAGATGCTCCCAGCAGGTACCAGCATCAGCTGATACATCAGCACAGATACATCAGCGCAGATCCTCGCGGCAGGTACAGCTGACAAGAGTGATACATCAGCATCGGTCCTTCCAGTAGGGCTGTAGGAGTGATACATCACCGCAGATCTCCCTGATCCCCCCAGTAGGTACAGATGACAAGAGTGATACATCAGCATCGGTCCTTCCAGGGGCTGATACATCACCATAAAACAACCCAGTAGGTAGTACCAGCACTGACTGATACGTCAGTGTGAACCCTCGGCCCTCAGCACTGCAGACTGTTGGACTCCGAAGGATCCGAATGATGAGTTGAGCTGTCCGAAGGATCCGAGATGTCAGTGCGAGCGCAATAAAAGGAGTGATGGACGAACGACGCTTTGACGTCGGTTCGTACCAGTCATATATTCCGTCTCTCGATCGTTTTATTTTTCGTTTCCATCCTACGTACTATAAAGTTACGAGCTGGTCCATACGAGCATCTCAGTTCTGACTACAGACTCGAAGGACGGTGAAGTATTACTGCTCCTTGAGGAAATACAGAGAGTCATCAAGTGGTAGGCGAAATGGTGTGGAAAGATGGTGGAACCGCAGCCGTCTTTGCAAAACCTGCTCATCAAGAAGGGGGTCTTGCATATGCAGCATAGCAAGCTCATATCCAGCTCGCAGTGGTCAAACATGTTCAAGAACTTTGGGTAGCTGTTCCCTCAATTGTAGAATCTCAGCTCCTTTCAGACAATGAAGAGAACACTGCGGAGACGTCTGATGTATTACTGACCATAGAGTCCCACCTGATGACATTATATAATGATGTATTACTGCCAATGTGATGACTGTCCCAATGCTGATGTATCATTGCCAGTGGGATGTGATGTATTAAGGTCTGCGGGATGTGATGCATCATTGGCAGCGGTACCTAGTACCAGTGACACTCCATCGAGTTTATGTATCATTGTTCCAGTGATAACTTGAAGGTCAGTTTTGATACATCAGAATGACACCAGCAGGTGACAGTGCTGTGATGAATGATGATGACTTGGTACAACAAAATACGGAGATGAAAAGATGTTGGTGTGGCACAAACAGACATTAGATGACTCCGAATGATTCGATCGGAAGGAGATAAATCATGTGACTGCCGTATTTGGAGAATGTCACGACTCCGAGTAACTGAGAGCGTAAGTACTAGTGTCAGAGTCTGGCCTTCCGTAAGTCCATTGTTGTGATCATGTCTTCGCCGCCTCGACAGGTGTCGAGGCCTACTACCAGACTCTCGGCGCGCGCAAGCCCATATCATAGTGCAGTCACTTTGTATGAAGCCGGAAATGCGGATCAGCCGTCAACGTCAATGTCTTCCAGTCTAAAACCGTCGAAGCGTATCAAGCTCGAGGTCGAATCCAAGTCCACAGACGTCTTAGACCCTGGAACACCCTCCACGAGCTTACGGAAGACGTCGCGAACTTTAAAGCTAGAAGAGCCGGTATCTGAAGAAGATACGGACTCGCGAGTGAAGTCCAAGTCCTCCAAGAAAACTAAACCAATACCACAGTCTCTGGAGACCCCACACCCTGCTCCACCACGCTGGAAGGAGGTGTATGATGCAATTAAAGCAATGCGCGCACAAACTGTCGCTCCTGTAGACACGATGGGGTGCGACCGAGCCCAGCACAAGGAGGACGATCCAAAGGTTGAGATTTTCTAAAATCCATGCAGTCTCATCCGATGACGTTCTTACTTTTTATGACAGAACCGACGGTTTGCTACACTAGTGTCTTTAATGTTATCTTCCCAAACGAAAGATGAAGTCACAGATGCAGCTGTTGCGAAGCTGCGAGCTGCCGTAGGAGGCACACTATCCGTTGCAGCCATCATATCTGCAGACGATGCTACAATCTCAGATGCAATAGCGAAAGTTGGCTTCTGGCGACGGAAAACTGGGTCTGTTCATTTTTTCCATGACAGGGTGAGTGGTTATATTCACATCTTCTATCCCAGGTATCTCAAGAAGGCGGCTTTACGGTTACGGGATGATTTCGATTCAGACGTACCAAAGACGGTGGATGAATTGTGCTCACTGCCAGGAGTCGGACCTAAAATGGCGTTTCTTACGCTTCACGTGGCTTGGAATCTGTATCTAGTGGTTTCACTACATCTTCGATGAACTGGCTAACACACTTGCAGCAATCTCGGTATTGGCGTGGACGTGCACGTTCACCGTATCACGAACAGGCTGGGGTGGCATCAACGGCCCACCAAGAAGCCTGAAGAAACGAGGCTGAATCTTCAGTCGTGGCTGCCCATCGAGTTTCATCGCGAAATCAACCACATGCTCGTCGGCTTTGGTCAGGTAGGTTTACGTTCGAGCTTCTTAGAGTCTCGTGGTAATCGAAATCTCTTTTGCTCAACAGACTATTTGCGTCCCTGTGGGGCCGAAGTGCGACTCATGCACTTTGAGTACTGAAGGACTGTGTCCAAGTGCCCGTACAAAAACCCCGAGAAGCCCGGTGAAGCGGAAGAGACGATCTTCTGCAGACCCTGAGTGCGAGTCTGGACCTAAGATGGATATTGCAATTGAGTTTTCTGGTTCATGAAGAATTCGTGACTATATTTTCTTCGACCCCCCACCTAGCGATACATGCCTATATTTTGTATTTTCCAGATCAGTACTATAATCACTCTGCCAAACTCATAGCTGATTCCCAAGATCGACATGCTTGTCTCGAGCAGAGGAGACAATTTACGTTAGACGCCGTGGGTAATTTGGGGAGAAGCCTGATCATGGAATGCAAGTTGCACAGGTAGTTCCAGCCTGAGAGGCAACAAGTCTTGTCTTCAGTGAAGTCTACCACTCTTCAAGCTATACTGACAACCTCAACTTTGATCACACATCTTGTTTCGAGGGCCTGGCTCATATTCATTGGCAGCTTGATTTGTACAGCCCTTCAAATCGGCGCTGCGTGGACCTCCACACGTAGTCAAAGTTACCAGTCTGGCAGGTGAGTGCTCGTGTTCGCGTGTTCCTTGCTAAAGTTTCTCTGGTACTATTCTGGTCATCCCCTTGTCACTGATCTTCGACTTCGACATTCGTGGAGCTCTTTATGTTCCCTGGCGCTCTATCATGGAATGGTTGGTATAACGTTACTTCCGCCATCCTATGTTCGGGGCGAGACATGTGTGCACTGTGTAAGAGCTTTCTGACGTGCTCAAGAAATTATTGACGCTTCGACCTGCAGCTATTACGGCACCGCCGGCCCGCGGCCATGGTTAAACGAAAGATTGTCGCACGCTCATCTTGCAGAACGTGCCCCAGGTAAGCTACTACTTGATGAGCCTCGAAGCAGTAAGCCACGATAAACCTAAATGCTAAGTACAGGTCGAGACTATCAATGAACCCACGATACCCACAAGGTTCTGCTGATATCGAAACGGGGAACAATGTGTAGAACGAGGTCCGACCGCGGAACAGTCCGTAGACATTGCCCCATGGCATCAGCTGAGCTTCGTATCAGAAGCCAGAGTGATGAGCGTTAAGCCGCGTTTGGCGCAGGCTGTGTGGCGGGTCTGCAAATGTTGCCAATGTTGCCAATGTGCCTATCCCGTTCGCCCATTGACGAGTGCGTTGCGAACTCGTGCAAGGTTGGTTCAAGTTCGATTCGCAGGAGACACTCGTTCTGATCAACGTCTGGGCTATGTACAGGTTAGTGCCACTTATCTGCGAAGAAATGAAGCACTGGCTGATCATCAGAAAACCCGTGAGTCTACCCAGGGTACTTCACGTCGATTACGGCGTTTTACATGACTTTATATGACTTTATATTCCAATATAAAGGAAAGAAGTTCTATATATGACGATACATCGTCATATAAGACTTTATCTGCGGCTCATCAGTTCACTGATGATGATGTTGTGATTTGCATCGCCTACTAACTCAGGGCTGTCGATGGCAGCAGTTTCATCTGTGAGATTGTTATTCCAGTAATGTATCAAGCTATCGCTATTTAATACATGGTTGGTTAATCTACGGGTCTCACCCACTCTTTCTAGTGATAGGCAAGATCTTGTCCATACTACACACACCCAATGTCGATAACCACTATCACCCCAGAGGAAATTCAAGGTTTGGAGTTATACCTCCTGGCAGCGCCGAACATCAAATACATCAGCCGTGAGCCCTCCAATTCTCGAAATCGATATGCTGACCAATTATTCGAATGTGATATAGTTGCTGCCTTGACGGTATTTACATGGGACTTAAGTGAGTGAGCCCTCTTTGAACCTTTATTCTGGACCGTTGACAAGAACTCTAGTCCTGACTTTTCCTCATGAGGTAAGTTTTGCCATTGAACTAAAACCATTGCGGAGGTTCATTAGTGACAGGTTAGATTATGGGTGCGTCTATTTGAGCGTACGTATTGGCTAGCAATGACGGGGGCCCCTTGCAGAATACCAAATGGACGCTTATAAAAGCTCTGTTCTTTGTGGTGAGAGTATGAGTATGTATCAATTGGGCGTTTTTCCTGATGTTTATTCTACTCAGAATCGATATTTCGCACTTGGGACAGCTGTCCTAATGACGTTCTGTGAGCTGTGCACCGGAGCTTGGTGTAGCAAGGTATCAATGCTAATCGCCGATCGCAGTGACGTTCGACATCACACCGACGGAAGCCATGTACGTTATCTCGCCGTTCTCTTCTAGCTTGTGCTCATTCGGAACAGATGTGAGCTCAGACACTCTTAACCCCTATCTCTCCCTCATGGAAATACCAGGTTCTGCAAATACGTTCTTTGCTGTCATTGGTATGTAGTATACTCATCAATGGAATCCAGTCTATTGTATTCTGACAATCCCTAGCTTTGTTGCTAGTGGCAAACATCGAAAGTAAGCCATCTGAGCCATCTGACGTACCATACATTCATCAAAGTCGAAGTGATTCTCCAACATCGACTATACGCATTGTACAGATATGGTGCGCGGCAAATGCAAATAATTCCGGTTAATACTTAAATGATATCCAGACAAAAGAATTGTCCTCCCTGTGTCGGCATTGTTCATCGCGGTCTTCAGTGGTATGATGGTGATGGCAGTGGTCATATACCAGTATGAGAAGAGTAAGCTTTGTCAAATGTTCCTAAGTATCTGAACTGACCAATATTTAGACCACGAATCCCAGATCTTTGGGGCATGCTGTTTACTTGGCTCCGTAGATTGGCTGTATCTCTTTTGGTACTTACTTTCGTGGACTATCATCGCGACTCTCCCCTCATTCTCCTCCTCAGGGTACCAATGATGGGCTTAGACTTCGTTCTTGTCGTGTTGGCAGGCTACAAATCCCTTCAGCACTATTTCCAGATGCCAGACAAGACCTGGTTCGGTGCGCGTCTTATGCGTACCTTTGCGCGGGACTCGATTCTTTATTTCCTTTGGTGAGAGCACACGCAATGCAGCGAGTCATTTCTAATCCAAGTACCGCTTCGCTATTTCCAGTAACTTTTTAGTATACCTGTTCAGCACCTTGCTGGGAAAATTCGGCCCTGCTGAGTATTTTCAACTAGGCGCGATCACAGTCACAGTTATTCCACCTGTATCGGCGAACCGTCTGCTCATCAACATGTATGACTTGGCGTACGCCGAGCAAGTGAGAGACTCATTGAGGTCTGTCTTCCACGTCTATCCTCTGACGATTTATTTGACATGACGTTTAGAGTACATCACAAGAGCACAGAGCTCAAAGTACACCACCAGGACATAGAGTTCGCATCCATGAGTACGAAGGGTTCGCTTGAGGTATCATCGTTGGATGATATCATTCCTGCCAAGTTCACATAGTTGATTCCAAGATCGCGATGATTATCTCGAACAGAAACGACGATTTACATCGGATCCTGTGGGTGATTTGAAGAGGGAATACTTCATCTGCAAATACAGATCAGCGGCTTCAGCCTGAGAGACAACGATACATGTCTTCCTCTTTCAGTGAAGTCCACCGTTCTGATTGAAGTATGCACCAGTTCATACAATCCTTGGGCATCGGTGCTTGGATCCTCATGAGTAATCAAGGGTTACTAACCTAACAGGGCAATGGAAGGCATACTGCCGTGGCTGTGTATGAAGTTCTTACTAAATGAATTACCTCTAGTACTATTTTGGCCGTCCCCTTGTCCAGCTTGTGACCCAATCTTCAAAGTTCGTCGAGCTCTTTTTGTTCCTTGGCGCCCACATGACGATCCAGAAATGGTCGTTGACCTTCCACAATATACGCGCTTTCTGATACGCTCAGAAAATTGTTGACGCTCAGGCTCTCGACCTCTACTCGTATATGTCGCCGTTGCATTATTCTTGGACGCTGATAGACGTCCACGAGATTATCGCGCGCCCATTCGGCAAAACTTTTTCCAGGTAATGTACTAGGCCTCGAAGCAGTGGGCCACAATGAACCTAAATACTATATTATGTATAAGGCACCGGAGTCGAACCGGGAAACAATAAGGTTTAGAACGAGGTTCGGCCAGTGACTGCTGCAACACTGATTCCTGAAATTTTTAGACATCCCATCATGGCGTCAGGCGAGCTTTACTTATAACTGCCTCAAGGATCCAAGTGATCGCACTTCCTACTTACGCTGATCAGCAGTTTCAGACATACTGTGCAACGATTTCAATTGCATTTTGATTTACATAAATCATGCATGAAGTGACAGCCAAAGCTGCCGATGCTGTAATAACGCAGAAGAGTTCGATCCGTGCTGCAACCTGTGTCTGCAACAACCTGTTGCTATTGGGCCTGTCCTCTTCGTGCAGGACTTACGGGCTTGTGCAAGGTTAGTCTATATGGCTATCGCAAGCCTGAGAGGCACTCATTCTGACATTCGTCTGGGCTATGTATAGGTTGGTGCTTACTTATCTGCAAAGCGCTCACGTATCTGCGACGAATCAATTATGGAACACGGAATGATGAGTTTGTGATCCGAATTAATCGCCAAGGCTGCCAATCGGCACCTTCATTTGTGAAACCGCTATTGGAGTAATAAATGGGAATGGATCAAGCTATTTAATACCTGAAATATTTAACCCTTGTACCTCGCCCGTTCTTTGCTCCAGTGACAGGTTATCCGTACTGCCCATGGCGACAACAACCTCTATTACTCCGGAGGAAATTCAAGGTTTAGATCTATACCTCCTGGCAGTCCCGAACATCCAATACATCAGCCGTGAGCCCTTCTGTTAAACAGTTCCTTGAAACCAATATGCTCACAAATGATTCGAATGACACATAGTTGCTGGTTTAACGCTCTTGACCTGGGACTTGAGTGAGTGTGTCTTCTTTGTGCTTTTATTCCAGCGCCATTGACAAGAACGCCAGTCCTCACATTTCCTCACGAGGTAATTTTTCTAATCAGATTGAAACTGTTGTAAAAGTTCAACGGTGACAGCTTAGATTATGGGTATATCTACTTAAGTGTATATGTTGGCTAGCAAAGTGACGAGGATATGATCTTCCAGAACAGCAGATGGACTCTCACAAAAACTCTATTTCTCGTGGTGAGAATGAGTGCATATTGATTGGAGATCCACCTCATACTTCTCAGAATCGATACTTCGCGCTTGGGACGGCTATCCTATTGTCAATCTGTGAGTTGTGCACCGGAGTTCCGTGCAGCCATGTATCGATACTGATTGCCGATTGCAGTAACGTTTGATGTCATGCCGACAGAGGCTATGTGCGTTATCTCACTGTTCTCCTCAATACCTCATGCTCATACGGAACAGATGTGAGCTCAGACACTCTTAACCCCTATCTTTCCCTCATTGAAAACCAGGTTCTGCAAATGCGTTCTTTGCAGTCATCGGTATGTGACATGCTCATCTATGGGTTCCAATCTACTCCACTCTGACCCGCCCCAGCATTGTTGCTGGTAGCGAATATCGAAAGTAAGCTTTCTGAGCTATCCAACGTCTCATATACCCATCGAAGTCTAAGTGATTCTCCAACATCGATTATATGCATTGTACGGATATGGTGCGTGGCAATGCAGATGCTTTCGTTTTTTCGGTCGGTACATAAATGATATTCAGACAAAAGAATTGTCGTCCCTGTGTCAGCGCTGTTCATCGCTATCTTCAGCATCATGATGGTGATGGCCGTGATCATATACTTGTATGAGAAGGGTCAGCGCTCAGCCCCGTCAATAGTCTTAGTATGTACACTGACCGAAATTTAGACCACGAAGCCCAGATCTTTGGGTCATGCAGTATACTTGGCTCCGTGGATTGGCTTTATCTTTTTTGGTATTCACTTTCGTGGACTATCATCGCGACTCTCCCCTCATTCTTCTCTTCAGGGTACCAATGATGGGCTTAGACTTTGTTCTTGTCGTGTTGGCAGGCTACAAATCCCTTCAGCACTATTTCCAGGTGCCAGACAAGACCTGGTCTGGTGCGCACCTTATGCGCACCTTCGCGCGGGACTCGATTCTTTATTTTCTCTGGTGAGAGCACACGCAACGCAGCGGGTCGGTTCTGATCAAAGCAATGCTTCGCTATTTCTAGTAACTTTTTAATATACCTGTTCAGCACCTTACTGGGCAAATTCGGTCCCCCCGAATATTATCAACTCGGCGCGATCACGATCACAGTTGTCCCACCTGTATCAGCGAACCGTCTTCTCATCAACATGTATGATTCGGCACGCGCCAAGCAGCCTACTTGGACAACGGTTTCGCAATTTGGGGTTTCACTGCAAGCGAGAGACACAATGAGGTCTGTCTTCAGCGTCCATCCTCAGAGGAAAAGTGATTTGACATGGTGTTCAGGGTACACCACAAGGAGATAGAGCTCGCATTCATCAGTGCGAAGAGTTCCCGATGGATGGAGGCGTCGTCGTTTGATGATATCAGTGGGGCTGTGTGAAAGCATTGTACAGTATTGGGATCTACAAGTTCGTGCCAAAAAGCGAGACTATCTCGAAGCACAATACGAGCAGTAGTTGCCCTACCAAATCCATCAGGGCAGAGTGGATAGGCAGTGCGTATGTATCGGGATCAAGGCCTCTGGACCACAGCAAATTGGTCAAAAACTGAGCTATGACTAATGACGTGAAGACCTGTCGTGAACTTCAGCAAACATCAAGACAGGGCGGACGGGAAACTCACAGCACAACAAAAGAATAATACCGATAATATGGCAAATATGATAGGTAGCCTTAGCCACCCAAATGCGCGTAAGATACAGAGGAATATAATCTCTATCGGGATTGTGATGAGAATTAACGTGACCATCACAAGTTTTGGAGATGGATCGCTTTTGTGCAGGGATGTGTTCACAGATGCCGCGTGAAGAGCAGTCGAGAGTCGGGAGATAAGTATCGACCCAACGCTGCCAGGAAGCCCTGTCCTCCTGCGTCATGGCAATATAACAGTAACATTCGCCCCACTCACCACTGATGACGATAGCAAGAAGAGGGAACCCTTGGTAACGAGAAGCAAACATATCAAGCACGATGCCAGTAGCGCAAGAAATAATCATTGCACCAAAGAGTGGAACCCAACCCTGGTAGATCAGGTCCTTGACATTACTGTTACGCCTCACTAGGAACACACATGACGTAGCGGAGATAATAGTGAGTATGCCGCAAATGAGAGGAATGGGAGAATTGACGACTTTAATGAGGATGGACGAAATAGCACCAAGAAGACTGAGTGTGACCAAGTCTCCAAGGCATGATGCTATCGGGGGCGCAATATTATCTGAAAATGGTCAGTGTACATGTTGGATACATCAAGGACGGGCGCAGTATGACTTGCCTGGGTCACGTCCATACCGTCGACAGACAATAACCAGGAAACACATGAAGGAACCGAGGGTAATGCTAGACAGGCATGTGGACATCATAGCTGAGGAGGCCACCATGGTGAATCTGTTATGAGATTAACTACCACGCGCTAGATATGAAACCACACATACTCGATCAAACCCGACTTCGGTTTCCCACCTGCAGGCCGCGGCGGTCTAGGCACCCTAGCAAAGAGCGATAAGGTGCCGTTTTGTGGAAAAGGGTCTACAGGCCCTGAAGATAGCTCTGGGACGAAAAGACCGAGAAGCATTGAGACACACGCAGCCACAAATGCGACAACAGTAGCTTGCACTTGTAAGAGTGCCAGATTACCAGCCACAATCTTACGTTTTGCGCTGCTGTCGTCTAGTTCGCCCATATTGGCTGCAGTTCCCAGTCTGGCAGAGAGATTCATTTCTAAGTTGCCTTTGAGATTCAGGACAACAGGAACGATCATTATCAGCTCATCGATTGTGCGCATTGCCCGCCAACGCTATAAGTAAGAAGAAACCAATGAAAGCGAGACCTTGGACGTCACAAACGTACTCACTGACACACGGTCAAGAAGTTCCCCGGTAAATAGGAGGCTAATGGTAGTCATAAGAAGCGTGGGTGCACACTTTTCAGGTAGTCAGGGGAATTACTGCTCTGCAAGTTCTAGCTACGCACTTCGACAACAATACTGCCAACTTGTGACCAGAGACTTCCCGTGCGAGAAAGTATCCGTTCGTTTCCCCTGGTTCCTCCACCTGAGCCCAAAAGAGCGGCGCTACCATCGCTTCTATGCTCTATGTCTTCGTCGAAGTCCTGCAAGTCGTATTCGGCCGTCCTGCAGCCTGCCCGAGGGGTGACCAGAATGTCCTGTAGGGTGTCTAACTCGATGTCGTCACTATCCTTGTCATCGACGCGCTGCGAAGACGACTCTATTTCATTTCTTGAGGGCTCTTGCATGGTTCCTGTAGCGAGTCCCAGTCAAGCCGGAAACAAACAAACGAAAATGAAAGTATGTGGTCGGGGCAAAGTCCACTGTCCACCGCTGAAAGTGATGATGTGGGAAAAGAGATTACGTAAACAACGACAAAACGCTTGGTATTGACGGTGTCAGCGTTTAAACCATAGCAAGGTCTGGTTCTCACCTGCTTGCTCGTCGCTAATCTGGCATACAGCATATCTTCTGTTCTGAATCGGTTACGCGCAAGGTTGCAGTAACCGGTCACTGGCTTTGCCCTGTGGTTTTGGCTGTCAAATCCTGACGTGCCTAGTAGCCACCGAATTCGTCGGAAGCGCTGCTATGTCGTTCAAACTGTCTCCCTATCGTGCACCTACTTCGGCGCCGTCTCTTCTCTTCAGGAATCCTTCGGAGGCTGTCCCCCTGACAGATGAACTCGTAAAGCTGCAGGATGAGCTTAAATTGCTTCGGCAGAAATCATTGGAGCGGGCTAAGAAGGCCGGAGAAGATTTGAAGACTATCGAGGAATCTATGAGGCGAATTAAGGAGAGAGAGAAAGGAAAGGCAAAGGCGATAGAAAAGGTCAAGCGTGAACGCGGTTGTATGTGTCTCTGTTCTATCCGTCTTAGCTTGAATTCTGGCTCACGAATCATATATCTCTCATCCCGGGTTCACACTTTTCGCTCTTCAATCAACGGTTGAAAAAATCTCAAAAATCCTGTACATGCACCGGACGACAAATTTTCGCTGTGTTCCGTTCGGTCTGACGAATGTCATGCTAATGCTATTACTTGGCGAACGTCCTCCCAATCTCCCATGTTCTCGCCACAATGATGTGATTATAGTCACCCCAGCCTTGGAAGCAGATGAACGCGATTTTTCTCCTTCTATCAATGGCACCATAAAGGTTCGAGCACAATCAATATCGGTTTCTTCCCTCCCGCCCTCTTCTAGGGCATCAATGGACCCTCGAAGACCGTAAGTCCAAAGAAGAAGCTCCGAATGCACAATCTGATCATGTTGTACAATTCCTGTTAGAATACCGGACGAAATCAAGAAGAAAAAGAAAAAGCGTAAACGAGATGAAGATAGTGACATTGAGCAGGGTAATTTACAGAGACCATCCACAGAGACCGTGATTCAGATTCTTCATACAGATTCCGTCCGTAGTGTGAAAACCTTGCCAGGTCCTTGTCTCAGTGTACCCCTCAAGCCGTCGAAATCGCTAGGATTTGTGGCAAATCACGTCAAGGTACTTCGTTTGTCTTCTCTTGCACTCCATCGCTTCATCGCTGTCCTAGTCTTCATTCGCACCCGACTTCGCACTTCCACCCCCCACAGTACTACTGCCCACTCGTCCTCCGATACCCCCTCCGCCCGTTCCCGGTCCCAGTAATGCTACGGATGTCACCGAAGATTTCAGTAAGCTCAAGCCGCCAGCGCAAACTCCTGTCAATACCTTTTACTCAAGCATCGAGCCCTGGATACGAGGGATTAAAGAGGAGGACATTGGCTTCCTAGAGTTTACTGCGGACGAAGTTGAGCCTTACGTGATACCGAAACTGGGCAGGCATTACTTGGAAGTATGGGAGGAAGCTGATATCACCATGTATGGTGGGCCATTGCCTGGATTTTCATCTGGTCGATTGGGTGAGAGCTCGACGTCATTACCGAAATGGGATCCGTCAACCCTCATGGAAGCGGACCTGTTGACGGAGGAGCGCAGTCATGGGCCCTTGACAGAGCGATTGATGAGTGCCCTTTTGTCAATGCCAGATTCGACAGTGTGGAAGGGTGTTAAGGCTGCCGAGGACGCTATGGAGGGTAGACCGGGCGGAACTGGTGCAGCAGCTGCGAAGAGGGAGAAAGTCAATGTAGTTGATTTGGAGGAGAGGGTTCAGGACACGATGCGGTTTCATGGATTACTTCACGAGCCGGTAAGTATGCATACTGATTTTATGATGGGTGTTTTACTCATAGCCCTGTCGTAGCCTGATTACTCGACGAAAGTCGACGACCCGATTGCGACGGCCCTCAGGCATGCTCAACGGCAATTACGGACCGTGGTAGCCATGAACAAGGCCCGGAAAGAACGTCTTGCTGCTATTGCTCGTGATCGGCTTGGTTATCAGGAATATCTGGATCTCCGCTCGGCCCTTGATAAAAGTATAACGAGCGCTTATTCGAAAGTCCAGAAGAAGGATGAACCAAAGCTGAATAAAAAGAAAAAGAAACTATCGGAGGTTAACGGCAGCGCGAACGGGAACATTTCTGGCGCCAGCGCGCCGAAACCTTCACCTGCAGCACTTGGACTTGGACCGGATGACGATCTTCGTCTTGTGGTGCCAGACCACCTGCAGCAACTTGTGGAGACCCGCCGCCAGTGGGTGGCTAGCGTTGGGGGTGTTTTTGACGAGAAGGAGAGGGAGTGTCCTGGTCGAATATGGGGCCTCCCACGACGAAGCATTTATGAAGGGCTTGAGGAATCTGTCCGTCACGATCTGGCCCGGTCGTTACTTCCAAATAGCACTTCATCAGGTCAACGGACTACCCAAGGGACCGGAGATGAGATGGATGTCGGATGACATAGGAGACAGTAGAGTTTTGCCTACCGTACTCTATCTTATTCTCTCCCGTGGATTACACTTGTTTCTTTTACACTGCGTTTCCACATTACATGCGCGTTTAATTACTCCTGTACTATTCAGAAGCATAACGCCTGAGATGTGATCATGATCTCGATCATATTGACTCTACTGTGTTATTTTAGGTTTCTTAACTGTGATTTTCTTATGAGATGTATCTCTCTCAACCTTGCGCTTCTTGCTTTTCGACTCCTTTGCCTTGTGGGGAGACCCTCTAAGATCGGTACCATGGTGACCGCCTTCCACTTGACCGTCGACGTCCATTCTCGCATGATCGGAATTTATTGAAAGTTTCGCTCCATAGGGCACGAAATGATGCTTAAGCAATTCTTTTGGATATGACAGGCGAGCAGGATTTTGGTGCAAAATGGATGGGTGCTCTGGAGGGGTTGCTTTCGATGGCTGGGCTGAAACAACAAGATGGCGTGTAATCTCTTTGGGTGCTAGTAGCGGAACGCTCAAAATTCATTCGTATAACTTCACAGAAAGAATGACTCACCCATGTACAGCTTGCCCGATTTTTTCTTTCTTGGAAGCAAACATGACAGTCCTCTCAATTCCTCTGCTCCAGCGAACTCCGTATCATCGTCACCCATCGACCATATATCATAGACAGTGCCTTTTCGCGACAAGCTACCGACCTGACGGCTCCGTGAGGATGAGGGCGCGTCAACCTCCAGTCCCTCAAAATGTTTGGGTTTGATCTGTAAGAAACATGCCATGAAGTTGCAGCTATGTATCCTGACGGACACCTACCAATTCTGGGACGCGTATTAGCCATAGTTCAAGGTCATCATCCTTCTTAATAGAGTCCCAGTCGAAAGTCTCGTTTGCGAATGAATGATCAAATAACTCAGTACCAGGCGGCGGTTTGTAGGCCCAATGCGGGTTCTCCCCTTCGTTTTTGCCATGGTCGGTGACGGTGACTGGCTGCGGCTTTGACTTTTTCCTCGATTTCTCCTTGATTTTGTTTTTGGAGGGGCTAGCTGCTGATTGCGTCGGTTCAGGAGATGACATTTTTTGAGAGCAGTGACGGAGCACGATTAGTCTTAGGCAGACCAGATATAAGGAAAGTTGTTCCTTCTTTATTATCGCAGGGAAGACACTGAAGCGAAGGTGATGACCTCTTTTGGATTGTTTGGCAAAGGCCTTGGAAATAAATAACATGCCGATCGGCCGAAAGTCGCATCTACTAGAGACACCAGGAGCATCATGACACTGGAATACCTGCCGGTCCTTACAATTGCAGGTAGTGATTCCAGCGGAGGGGCAGGCATACAAGTGCGCCTTTGTGTTACTTACTCTAGGAGGAATCCAAAACTCTTTGACTAAAGGCAGACCTGAAAACATTCACTGTTCACGGATGCTACGGTGCAAGCGTGACTACTGCGCTGACTGCCCAAAACACCACTGGTGTGCAAGCGGTGCACGGAGTACCTCCTGACTTCGTAAAGCAGCAGGTATGTAACTACTTAAATAGTATGTCGACCCCGATTCAGCTTGATCCTTTCACATAGATGAGCTCTGTTTTGGATGATGTTGATGTCAAGGCGATCAAAACTGGTATGCTCTTCGATACAGAGAACACAAAGGCAGTCGCGGAGATGCTCAAGGGCCACTTTAATGCCAAGGGGCACATTCCATTAGTCTGCGATCCCGTCTGCGTCTCTACCTCCGGCCATGTTCTCTTGCACCCAGATGCCGTGGATACCCTTATAGATGATATCTTCCCTCTTTCGGACCTCATCACTCCAAATAAATCAGAAGCGGAACTTCTTCTTAAACAACGCCATTTGCCTTCTCACATTGCAAGCTTAGAAGACATGATCAGCGCTAGTCGACGGTTGAGGACGCTCGGCCCACAGGCTGTACTTTTGAAAGGCGGTCATTGCGTAGTTTCGCTAGCGGATGTTACAAATATCTCCTCTGACGACACGCAGGTGATCCGAGAAGGTCTTCTGGACGATAACGCGAATATCCTCCGGATTCATGGAAGGAATGAAACACACGTCGACTCACTCGTGGTAGATGTCCTTTGTACATCTGACGACCGCGTCACTATTTTTGCTAGGACTAGACTAGAGTCGACGAGTACCCATGGCACTGGTTGTACGCTGAGTGCCGCGTTGGCCTGTCAACTTGCGAGGGGAACGCCGCGTTCGTCACCCTTCTTTAACATTTCCCCCCTCAACTGATAAAACATACAGTGACTGAAGCTGTAAGACTTGCGGCTGCTCATATCCATATTGGAATCGAGACCGCTAATCCAATCGGGAGCGGATTTGGCCCTTTGAACCACGTCCATTCAATTGCTCCACGTCTCATCGCGCCGTACGTGACTAGTATGGGGCACACGACAACGAATTAACTGCTCTGAATACAGGCGAACCAAGACAAACCCATACCCACTTACGAGTTCTCTTATACGGGGTTCAAGGGTAATTTGGAAAGAGTATGTTCAACACGAGTTCGTAGTATTACTGGGCAAGGGTACCCTTCCAAAGGAACACTTCCTTCACTTCATTAAGTGAGGACCTTGTTGACAAACAAGGGAGAACATTCTTATGACCACCAACAGACAAGATTATCTTTATCTCAAATATTATGCTCGGGCGTATGCGTAAGTAGTTGAATCATCCCAGCTTCTGTATTTAACATCTCCCTTCCAGATTCCTTGCAGCCAAATCGCATGAATTTGCACCCATATTGGCCGCTATCGAGGTAGTCTTCAGCATAGTTCGAGAAAGCTCGATGCACACGGGTTATTGTATCGAGTGGGGCATCACAGAGGACGAATTAATCAATACCCCCGAGTCTCCCGCCTTAACAGCTTATGGGGCTTTCCTTATCGACGCCGGATTGCAGGGTACAGTGGTCCATTTTGTTCATCTTCGCTTGCTGAGATATGGTTGTTAGGCGATCCTATGAAACTTATGGTCGCCCTTGCTGCTTGCCTGCTCGGTTACGGAGAAGTTGGCCTGTGGCTCAAGGAAGAGGCACAAGCGCCCAACTCGTGGGTTCGATTGGAGGGTAATCCGTATCTCAAGTGGATAGAAGACTATTCAGGCGATGTATATCAAATGGCGGTGAAAGCCGGACTAGGTGAGGATGCAATGAATATTCTGCCGATGCACGATTCCATGTAACTTTCAGAAACGCTCGAGAACCGTGCAGCAGTCGATGCGCCTTCCCTTACCAGGTTCACGGATTGGCAAGATGTCTGGGAACGGTGTACGCGGCTGGAGAAGGGTTTCTGGGACATGGCGATGAACCTTGCGTAACCACATTTTGTTATTAAACTCGCCGAAGTGATGCTGCCATAATGATACTCTCGCGGAAACATCCCATCCACCTTTCTTTGACCCATACTGAGTATATTCAAGTATTTGACACATGCTGATAACTTAAGGCATAACGGGAAAAAAAAATACAACAGAAACATCTGCAGGGTAAACTATCGTCCTAGTAGTCACTGTGACACTCCTTATGCGACAGCGAGCAGTGTAGTATTCGGAATGCGATATTGCCTCAACTCCACTTCCTCTGATGAGTCGGATTCCACACTACTAGTTGAGTTCGTAGCGGAGTTGGTGTTTGTGAAACGAGATTGCTCCATATTTATGAGAAGGTGGTTGGCGGTGATTGGAGGTATCACAATTGTCCAGCTTGCTCCTAGTTGGAGGAACTCGGGTGGTGCAAGCTGAAATATAAGTGTGATGGCCAAGTAGTTGAAGAAATTGCTATGTGCATGTGATTAATTTCTACGTGCGAATATGAATATTCCGAGCCTCACCATGCAAAGTAGATAAAAGAGTCTCTTGCCAGAGTCTTCATGAACCGAGCACCAGACCAATTTTTGTTGGGAACATGGCGGTAGTGCTGCACAGATTTGAAACCAGCAAGTGTCATGATGACGAAGTCAAAGGCCATGAGCGGAATCCTGTGATGTCAAATGAGTCATTTCGATAGCGGAAGCATACATATGCTATCCTTACCAGAATGGAAGGAACCAGCTTGGGGTTGATTCTGTGCATAAGCCAGATATCACATATTCATTGGCTAGATGAAGGTGTCAATTTGAGCTGAGTGCGTCATGACTGCCCACACCTTGAGAGTATATGCTCAGTGCAATAGCTATTCCCATCATAGTGATAAAGACTGCCAAAAATGATGCCAACATGGGGATCACGATCAGTCTTTCTGTGTAACGCACAGATCAACCAAATGGAGCGGCTGTCTGCACATGAACGTACTGTGGTCATAAAGAACGAATAAGCGTCGAAGGAGAATGACTATCGAAGAAATTGGTAAGTTCTGTGATTCAAAACGTGAAATCACTAACTTTCGATATTCAAAACGAGGAGAACTCCTATATATACTTGAGTGTGCAGTCTGGTAAGTTAGCACCTTGCTCACCAACAATGTCGAAGTTCGTGAACCCATGACCTAGAAGTAAGGGTTATTGGTGAATACTAGGTAGTGTGCTGGCGAAAAGATCATGATGTACATCTGGTATTTATGAATAAGGTTAATAGCTGAGGCAGTAATATAAGGGACCCTACATGGGTGTGGTTGGGTTCGTTTGAACATCAACTGCGACAAAAGAGATGAGTCAATATCAATGAGGTCACATGCCAGACAACTGACAGAAGGTAGAGGCAATGATTGCACCAAGTCCAAAATAGCGATTCTGAAAAGAAAAGGTTTAATATAAGGCAGTGGACTCAAATTGAACTACATGCGATGAAGAATAAAATCCTTGATATTGTCCACCTTGTTCCCTAACATAAAGTGGCTACGTTACAAAATAAGTCGGCCAAAATGTACATTGGGACACCTACCCATAGAATGGTAACCTGGCCAAAAATATGTCTTAGCTTTGTTCAAGCTTTGTTCGAAGAATAAAACAACTAGTACCTCATCATGAAATGTAAGAACTTGACGAGATCACATGTTTGTGAGCTGTTGCAAATCACCAAGTCTTTACTCACTAAAGTCCCACACGTACAATGCAGCAGCGGAGACTGGACAAATAGAAGTAGACGTTTGAGCACCAGAGCACCAACTACTTATTAGTGCTCACCTCCAAGTTGGCGGACAATGAGCTCATATGTTTCATATTGTTCAAGCTGCTGGAGCTCTGCGGCGATACTTGAACTGTTCATGAAGAGTGTGAGGGTGGGCTACAGATTCGTACACCGAGCTGATAATCATTAAAGTATCACCCATTTATGTCTGGTCTTCAAGGGTGCACACAGCCTGGGTGGTGTAGTACCATCATGATTGCCACTGCCAATATTTGACGAACAGTTGTAATCAGCTGTGCTGTGATAAGAATAAAGCCTTCAACCTGCAATATCTCAAAGAAGTCCAGAAGAGTAACTTATACGCTGCATGTTGCCATAGCACATCAGATGGCCCAGCGAGCCGCCCAGGGATGTTGATGAACAATCACGCACTAGTACAGAATCAAGAGTTTCAGTTTCATCATGCGAGGCATGCCAGTGGCAGTGACTACTCGCTTTTGTCATGGGCGCTTATTGACAGTCTTTCATACCGTGAGGGGCCAAAGCACCCAAGGTGCTGGACTGTGCAGCTAGTATGCTCAGTATAAACAACACTGTCGAAAAAGAGGGATCATCAAAGCCTTTCGACCAAACTATCTATGATCAAGAGGATCCGTGCTGCAAACAAACGGCAAAGATCCATCAAAAGCAGCCTGAATAGGTATACCTACTACCAGTGTGTCACAAAAGCATCAAATGAATCAGAATAACAAGAATAGCAGTTTCACAATACATCAATCTCCGAGTCCACTGGAGTCGGTGCATCAGCCTCTGCATCCGGAAGGTCTTTATCTTTCCCTGCCGGCTTTGTGTGGGCTCTGACTCGGGGTTTCGCAGCCCTCCTCGACTTCGTAGAGCGAGAGGCTGTGGCAACCAGCAATTCCTCTGTCTCCTCTCCAGCCACTTTTGCACTGGCACTCGGACTCCATCTTGCCTCCCCGTCCTCGCTTTCCTGGCGCACGGGATTTTCTCGAGCTAGCCGTCCTCTTCACGCCGGTGGATACAGGGCCCTCGTCCTGATCCACGTCATTGTTGGCATCAAAAAAAACTCATTACGCACCATTGAGCAGTCAAATGATGTTCGAAAGACTTCACCAGGCGTGGTCCAACCCCCAGGCTTGTGTAAGTAGTCAAGATTGTCGTCCCTTAACCGTTACGCCAAAAGGCAGTGATAATGAAAGCTCACGCTTCATTATCTCGGAGTCACCCGATTGAAAGGTAATCCATACCTTAAGTGGATGGAGGACTATTCAGGCGATTTATTTCAAAAGACGGCGATCGCTGGACCAAGTGAGGACACAATGAATATTCTGCTGATGGATGACTCCATAGATCCCTAGAAACGCTTGAAAGTCGTGTAGCAGCCTACACGCCTACGCTTCTCGTTCATGGGTTGCAAATAAGTTTGGGAAAGATTTACGCGGCTGGAGAATAGCTTCGAAAGGCTTCTGGGACATGGCGACGACCTTGAGTAAATCAAATTTCATTTATCACTTGCCGAAGTAGTGACAATATTGAATGGCCTAGGGTTCATAGCGCTAGCCTAGCCACGACAAATCATGGTGCTCGCGGAAATATCTCTTTTGAGCTATCCTTGGGTGTATTCGACTAGCAATATGTAAGAATAACTTAGGCCGTGCAGTGATGACCATAGAACTACATGTACAACGGAGGGATGTGTCCATGCAGAACCATTGAACACTTCACGTTTATGCCAGCAATGTAGTACTCTGGAAGTGACGTTGCCTCATCTCCATGTCCCCTGAGTACTCGGATTCCACGCTGCTAGTTGAGTTCGTAGCGGAGTCGCTCTTTGTGAAACGAGATTGCTCCATATTTATGAGAAGGTGGTTGGCAGTGATCGGAGGTATTACAATTGTCCAGCTGGATCCTAGTTGGAAGAACTCGGGTGCTGCAAGATGAAATATAAGTGTGATGGCCAAGTAGTTGAAGAAATTGCTACGTGCATGTGATTAATTTCCACGTGAAGATACGAATATTGAGAGACTCACCATGCAAAGTAGATAAATGAGTCTCGTGCTAAGGTCTTCATGAGCTGAGCACCAGACCATTTTTTATTGGGAACACGGCGGTAGTGCTGAACAGATTTGAAGCCAGCAAGTCCCATGATGAGGAAGTCAAAGGCCATGAGTGGCATCCTGTGATGTTAAATGAATAATTTCGACAAAAAATCATACTTGTGTGTTATCTCTCACCAGAATGGAAGGAACCAGCTCGGAGTTGGTCCTGCGCATATGCCCAATATCACAAATGAATTTGCTAGATAAGGGTATGAGTTTCAGCTTGAGACGTGAATCCAGACTGCCCACCTTGAGAGTATACGCTCAGTGCAATAGCTATGCCCATCATACTGATAAAGACTACAAAAAATAAGACCACCATCGGGATCACGATTACTCTTCCTGTGTAATAAGATCAGCCCAGTAGCAGTTCTCTGCACATGCACGTACTGTGGTCATAAAGAACAAATAAACGTCGAAGGAGAATGACTATCGAAGACAGGGTAAGTTCTGTGGTTCGAAAGCATGAAATTACGAACTTTCGATGTTCAAAACCAGAAGAACACCTATCATGAGATCTGCTTGAGTGTGTAGTCTGGTAAGTTGGAATTATGCTCACCGATAATGTCGAAGTTCAACCATCCGTGACCTAGAAGTAAGGTTAATACTGAACAGGTATTATGCTGGCGAAAAGAACATTATGTACATCTGGTATTCGTGAATAAGGTTAAAAGCTAATGGAATAATACGAGGGGCCCTACATGGATATAGTTGGGTTTGTTTCAACATTAACTGCGACAGAAGAATTGAGTCAATAACAATGAAGACACATGACAGACAACTGACAGAAGGCAGAGGCAATGATTGCACCGAGTCCAAAATATCGATTCTGAAAAGTAAATTAATATAAGGCAGCTGATTCAAGTTGAACTACGTGCAATGAAGAATAAAGTCCTTGATTTCGTCCATTTCGTTCCCTAACATAAGGTAGCTGTGTTATGAATGAGTCGGACAGAATGTATGATATCACACCTACCCATAGAATGGAGACCTGGCAAAAAGATAAGTCTTTAGCTTTCTTTGAAACACAAAAGAAGTAGTACCTCATGATGAAATGTAAGAGCTTCACGGGATCACAGATCTGTGAGCTCAACGTTGCAAGTGACGAAGTCTTTGCTCACTAAAATCCCACACGTACAACGCAGCAGCGGAGACTGGACAAACAGAAGTAAAGACTTCAGCGTCATTGATGCATCACGGTATCCTCACCTCCAAGTCGGCGGACAATGGGCTCATATGTCTCATATTGTTGAAGCTGCTGGAGCTCTGCAGCGATACTTGAACTGGCCATGAAAGGTATTATGGGGGCGGGCAGATTCACACATTGAGCTAATCACATCACCTCTCTTTATGTCTGATTTTCGGAGCAGTGCAAAAGCCTAACATATGGTCAGTTGAAAAGATACGATCAACTGTGGCGTGCGATGGGCATAAAACCTCAGCCTGTCATATTTCAGCAAAGTCAGGAGGGGCAATTTATACTCAGAATACTGTCGTAGTACAGCAGATGGCCCAGGGCCATCGATGAAACCTGTGTTCTCCGATCATGAAGCCAGTGCAGAATCAAGATGATCAATTTAAGATGCCCAGCCTATGGTAATGACGCGCGTGACCGCGCGTGAGATAGCTAAGGCCCATCTGATTCCTCAGGCAAAACGTACAGCCATAAACAGCGCCAGCAAGAAGAAGTATCACCGAGGCCTCTCGACCAAACCAAGATCTATGATCAAGAGGCTCTGAAGTGCAGACATCCATCAAGATTCAAGACAAGTAGGAATCGTAGGTATACCTACCAGCGTTTCGCGAATCTTTAGATCCTGACTGGAATAGAATGATGAGCATAGCAGCTTCACGATATATCAATCTCCAAATCCACTGGGGTCGGTGCGTCAGTGTCTGCATCGACAGTAGCTTCGAGGTCTGCATCTGGAAGGTCTTTATCCTTCTCTGCCGGTTTCGCGCGGGCTCTGGCTCTGGGTTTCGCCACTCTCCTCGCCTTCGTAGAGCGAGACGTTGTGGCAACCGGTGGTTCCTCTGTCTCCTCCCCGTCCTCTTTCGTACTGGCACTGGGCCTCGCTCTTGTCTTACCCCGGCCTCGCTTTCCTGGCGCACGGGGTTTTCTCGAGCTAACCGGCCTCTTCACGCCGGCAGATACAGGGCCCTCGTCCTGATCTACATCGTTGTCCCCATCAAAGAACTCATTGCGCGCCATCGACCGGTCGCTTCTTCGTTCTCCTGCGAGCGCAGTCCCTCGTTCCTCATCAATCTCCTCCTGTTTCCTTTCTTCATCGGCAAGCCAGCCTTCCAGGTCGGGCGGTATCTCCTGCATGGCAACACTTGGTGCACCCTGCAAATACCGTAGCTTGTTCCGAATGCTAATGGTGATTCGTTGCAATGATGCAGGAGAGTTTTGGTTCTCGACACGTCCTGTGAGGGGAGGATGAAGCTTCCACTGCGAGTCGCGGAAGAACGGATCGTAGACTGTGGCCGGAAGCTCGTCGGGTATCGTCGCCCCGACGAGGACGGCAGTTTCATATGTCCAACAGCGGCTGACGTTCTTGATGGTATAGCCTCCTCCTCCTAATACGAGCAGCGGTACATTGAACTTCCTAACAAAGTTCACACATTCGCCATGAGCTGCTATGGATAGATTAAATGCCCCAAGTCGATCGCATCCTAATGAGTCTGCGCCGCACTGCAAGACAATGGATGTCGGGCGGAAAGCAGTGACAGTGTCTTCAATGACAGTTTTGAATATCGTCAAGTACATATCATCGTCGATGCCGTCTTGTAAAGGCACATTTAGGCAAAAGTGCTTGCCCAGGCTTGCACCGTTATCGTCGAGCTTACCCGTCCCAGGGAAGAAATCGCCGGTGTATTTGTGGAAAGATACTGTCATGACACGATTCGAATGGTAAAACGCAAGCTCAACGCCGTCTCCGTGATGGATGTCGATATCTATGTAGAGGACCCTGGGATGATATCTGTGAACCTTGGGGGTTAAATTTAGGTATGCACCTAGTGAAACGACAACTCGCCTCAGAAGTTCAAGGATTGCTAGAACGATATCATTGACATAACAGAAGCCACTCGCTTCTCCACGCTTAGCATGATGGAGTCCACCCGACCAATTGATTGCAGTATCGCAAGCACCCGCCGTAAGCTTCCTTGCGCCTGCAAGGGAAGCGCCAGCATACATGCGACAAAAATCATACATTTCAGAAAATATTGGACAGTCTTCAACACAGTTGAAGGTGTCGATAAGATGTCGCATTTCGTTCTGGTTATTTGGCGTCACGCTGGTACCGCCATAAGGTGTGTGCTACTAATGAGAGATAGTGTGAATTACGCACCGTGAAAGAAAGTCGACGTAGTCGTGGTCATGGTACATCTCCAACTCAGCTTGAGTAGCTGGACGGGGGTTATATATGTGATGTATTTGTTTGTCAAGTCCATAGCCCATGACTAAGGCGTTGGTCAAGGTCAGTCTGTGTGGTTTCATCGGATGGCGTTCCTGCGATCAGTGCTTGATGAGAGCCAAGTATAGTATTTGTGAGATGACACATACCCCATAGTGATGTTCACCGACGTCTTTGGGGAAAAAATAAGAAACTATTGGACGAGAATGGGGCTTTATTTATCTCTAGGTAAAAATAATGAATTAAAAATGGAAGAAACTTACATTGACGTGCTCAGTTATTGGTTGAGCAGTCCCGTGCGGCCCCCGGTCGTCGAAGTAGGCTGAAGATGAGAAGGTAGTCGCCTGTGAAGCACGAACCATGGATGTCTATGGCAATCTGGATGCAATACAAAGGATGCACGGCAGTTTCTTGGTATCAGAACGGTCCCTGTGGTATTCTGGTAAGTACATTGACAAGGTGAATCCAAGGATGGGATACGAAACTTACAGCTTAAACAAGAACTTGCGAGATAGCTAGTTGGCCAGTGTAAAAATGCTTGTGCGATTCAAATATGAATATGGTGCGCCGCAGTGTGGAGATACTTGACGGAGGGGATTTGGTTCTTGAAGTTCTAGTCTAAGATTGATGCTTGAAGCCTAAGGCGATCCATGTCTAGTGCTTGCTTATGTAATGTTAAGACCAATGTTCTTTGTGGCAGTGAACCGACTTGTTCGCCATCATGTTGGGTACGGTTCGTTTGGTGTTAGCAATTGTTCCGTTCCTCGTTTTCGTGGTTGCTTCCTCCGGCGACAGATCATCAAACTTTCAGAATTGCGTTTCTGCATGTTATGGAGACCAGTGTCATCCTCAAACGACCCTTTCACTTGTCCTCCAGTTGACACGTTGGACGTGTACAGATGACTGCAAGTACAAGTGCATGCACATGCTGACAGACGCTGCAGTCCGTGGAAGCTCAACGATACACCAATATTACGGAAAGTGGCCTTTTTGGCGATTCTTGGGAATGCAAGAGCCCGCTTCTGTCGCGTTCTCGCTGTGGAATATGTACTATCACATCCAAGGATGGCACCAGCTTCGCAGCAGAATGCTGAAAGACCACCCAATGCGACCCTACTATTTAACATGGGCCATAGTGAGCATTAACACCTGGCTCTGGTCTGCGGTTTTTCATACAAGAGGTCTGCCCTCAAATCATATTACGTTCTCTCCTACTTATAGACTCCTTGAAGATTTGCCCAACACGGAAAAGCTGGACTACTTCTCCGCTGCTCTATCCATCCTGTATGCCTTGTATTGCGCGGTTCTGCGGCTCTTCAATCTATACCCCACCCGGTCGCGTGAGGATGGCCATACGCAGTGCACCCCCGCATTCCTCCTATGGTCCTCTATCTGCACTGTAGCTTACCTCGCCCATGTAACCTATCTCAGCATTCTACCACGGTTCGACTACACCTATAATATGGCCTTCAACCTCACTGTAGGCTTCACGCATAATTTGCTGTGGCTGTTATATTCCCTTCCTGCATCGTTACCCCTCATTCGACGCTTTCCTTCCAAACCACGAACATATAGACCATCATACGCATCTAAAGCGGCAGCGTTTGTCGCGCTTACAACGGCTGCGACTGCTCTCGAGCTCTTCGATTTCCCACCGTGGGGTCGCATGATCGATGCCCACGCCTTGTGGCACCTTAGCACCGCCCCTATCGCGAAGTTCTGGTATGACTTCCTGATCCAAGACTCATTGGATGATGGATGGATGGAATCAAAAAGGTGAAGACATATTTGTCTTTATTAAGGTGCACTAATCGTGTGGATCTAGTTAAAAATGTCCAAGTGTCCAAAAGCTCCCGCTGTTCCCCGTCGTGTCTTCAAAGACTATGCTTCCTCCGTTTCTTTGCAAGCACAAGTAGGGAAACTGTAGCGTTGTTAGCGTCTTCGTTTCCTCGCTTCAGCATACCGCACCTAGTATTGTATCCAGGGAATCCACCACAGAAGGCTCGATCTCTAAAAATGCACGCTGTGATATCATACCCACCATGACGTAGCGCTTGTGTGGGTAGTACGTTGCTATGGGTTTTCGACTCGGCGCCCCGCCTTCATCAATGCTGCGAAGCTGTCACTTGTCAGCTGCTCCGTATAAATCATGTTGTGCACATTTCCAAACCTCAAAATTTGGACCTGCTACAGCCCAAGAGAAATAATTCCCTTCGCCATCATCAAATTCCCATCGACTGCGTATTGCAGTCAAGCGCTTGTGCAGCATCACAGAAATGAGTATACCTCTGTCGATCGTCTCCCTCAATTTTTCGTAACCATAACTCTTCGTTCATGAACTCTCCGCTGTACATGCTGACTGCGACGGGTTTGCGTGATTGGTTTCGGATGCTGCCGATGGTGTCATAGCGTTCTGCACGAGTGTCAAGTCGGCGCACTGTCGTCAGGTGCGACTCCCAGTCAGGGGTTAACACCTCATAGTAGAGTGCGTCAGTTGGGTTGGAAATGACAAGATTCTGCATGCTAGCAGTGGTAAATGTAAGTCGTTGGGACATCGCTGGTATGGGAGAGACGTTGGCCTGAGACGGGATGTATGTCTTGCATCAATGCATTCCCTGGTTAAATAGGTGAGCGGTACGAGCTTGCTCGGACAGAAGTTTCGCACTCGATGCCCGTCTTCACACAGTTTGTTCCGACTTACACTCGGATCAGAAATAGCCATGTGAAGACCAAGCATGCAATCAATCCGAAATGATGAGAATGAGAAGTAGGTCAGTGGCAATACCCTTGTTGCGCAGTCCCCCATTCCGCTCGACCAGTGTTCGACCGTGGGTGGCCGCGGAGCTTCTGCCAGAACTGACACCCCAATCAGAATCGGAGTTGTAAGGATCGCGGTTGCACACGGGGAAGTCAGGAACTGGTAATGAACTGCGTTTCTAAGATACAAGCATTTACCGACGCGAGGGATAGGATCCGGAGCGAGGAAACAAACTAAATGATCATATCCAGACCTCTGCCGTCGGCCCATTCACCGAATAGAAGGCTAATACTTTCACCATTGTGTGTGCGACGTATGCTTTCAGCGATTGTAGAACTAATGTCCAAGGCTATCAACTTCGAAAATTGTTCCTTGTGCTCTTTTTGCGGAATGGTATTCGTAACCTGTGGAGTACATTAGCAGCACGGCGAAAGTAATGCATAACTTACCACAAGCTGCTCTATGGGGAGACTGTTTAAAGAAGCCATATGGGCTTCTGCGAAAAGTCCTTCGCAAATCGTCAGGTGATCGGCAAATTTCCTCCTATATGACACGCACCATGCGAAATAAGAACGTAAATGGTTTTTGCGCCTTTCTCATGCAACGTTCGAGCAGCGAGTGTGAGCGTGTGGCCAGTATCTATCATGTCATCCACCAAAATAGCCACCTGGGGTAATCATTAATGAAAATTCGGCAAGAGTACAAGAAGCGGTAGTTCCTTATCTCGAACGTCTCCGACCAAAAGCTCCATGCGTTCTGGTGCATTTTGAGACTTCCCATCGCGTTTCCGATGTATAAGGGCGAACTCGACGCCAAGCTTGTCTGCCATGGCAGTGACCCTATTCACAACTGAGCAATGAGCCAACTTCAATCCCAACCAAACACAGACCTCTTTGCGCCACCAGCATCTGGACTGACGACAATGCCGTTCTGCCACCCTTCAATGTGCCTCTTGATGTATGAAATCATTAAAGGCTCTGAAAAAAGGTTGTCCACTGGAATGTCGAAGAATCCCTGAATTTGGCTCGCATGCAGATCCATGGTGATAACGTGATCGCATCCCGCGCTGACAAGCATGTTTGCCACCAATTTTGCAGTGATCGGTGCTCTAGATTCGTCTTTCTTATCCATGCGGGCATACGGGAAGCACGGGATGACAGCGGTGATGCGGCGGGCGGAAGCGGTTTTGCAGGCAGATATCAAGATCAGGAGTTCCATCAAGTTGTCGTTCACATCGCTACACCCTGACTGGATTATGAAGACGTCCTCCTCGCGGACGGATTCGGAAATTTTGACGTTGATCTCGCCGTTGGAGAATTTCTGGGGCATGCATGGTGTGAGGGGCACTCCCAGCCTATGTGGGTGAATCACTAGTTCGTGGGTTGTTTGGCTGCATCATGTAAAGCGGCAGCTCACCGCTCGGCCACTGCTTGGGCGAGCTCTGGGTGACTATTGCCTGAGAGGCCAAATCAGTGGAAGGAAAGTCCTGGTACTGGATGAACATACCCGCAAGAAGTCTGATAGAGTTTCCGTGATACATAATTTAGAATTTGCTGGTTTGTCTATAACATAGAACAAGCTAGAACAGGATGACGATGATGATGGTGATAATGGAAAAAAGGGTGATTCGGTTGGGTGACTGGCACAGCAGCCTTGCTCGATCAAAAAAACCATAGATAAAATTATCTTGTTTGCACAGCACAAATAATCTACACTGCCACATCATGCAGAAATTCTAATGGTGATGTTCTCTACAACGTATTCTGTGTCCGCATAGCCAAGGAGCTGAACTATGCGAGAGCTGAAGACAGCCGCATGAAAACAAGTTCGAAAGCAGAAGCGAAGAACCCACCTATTTAGGCCCCTTACTCGAGATATCTGTGCAGAATTGTAGTTCGCTAAACCTCGTCCCACTTCTACGCAATCCCAGACTTCGCATTCGTTCGTCTTCTCGATCAAAGGGATTTCATCGTCCGTAATCGTCTGGGAATCAGATGCCATATCATCTGCCAGGGATGAGGACGACCCGGAGCGCGAAAGTGGAACAAGGGATATAACTGAGGCCGTCACCGATGCTCCAGGTTCTAGGACTGGCGTGCACAGGGTCGTTGCTGCCACGTTGGAATATGACATTTGCGCAACTTCCTTGACCTCAACGGGAACTTCTTCAGCACAGCGCCGGACTAGTATGCGGACTGCTTGGCCGGAAGCAAATGAACCTCGAACTCCAAGCACCCCAGCAGGCAGCAGGCGGCCGCCAGACTCTCGACGAGACAATACAATATGTGCCCCAGAGTCAATAATCACGCTACCTGCTGGATAAAGGGTATGGCTCGTCCATGCCTTCAGGTCCCGCATGGGAATTACGGAAGGCTTAAAGACAGTATGCGGAGGTCTTGGCCAACTAAGGGATGCACTGACTTCATCCAAATCGACCTGATTAAGCTTTTGTGGAGGGACCGGGCTAGCGGCTCCTGAAGTGGGCACTGACGTGCTTCTCAGCGCTGTATAATAGTCGATGGTATCGACGATCACTGAGGGTTGTTTGCTGGATGCGATAACGGTTGTTACGCCAGCGCCAGTTGCTATTTCTGCAGCAATTAATTTTGTTTCCATTCCGCCAGTTCCAAGGCTGGATCCTAGCGTCGATGTGCTTACTGGAGCAAGGGGTTAGATTCGATCAAAGTTAATTCCGTATGGGTAGATCTAGATCCTTACCTTGTGCTCGGATAGCAGCAACAGAGTTGACCACATCAATCTTTTTCGAGGAGGGATCTTTTCGTGGGTTGGATGTGTACAGACCATCAACGTCCGTAAGGAGGAAAAGGTAATCGGCATGAATCATGGAACTCGTGATGGCAGACAACGTGTCATTATCGCCAAATTTAATTTCCTGCAGCCAGTTAGCCCACCCGAGTTGTTACGCGTCATATGGAATAGATACTTACGCTGACGGATATTGTGTCGTTTTCGTTGACGATGGGCACCACGCCCATGGACAAAAGTTCATTTAATGTGTTGACAGCGTTCAAATATCGTGTGCGCTGGGATAGGTTCAGCGCTTGAAAAGGGTGTCTAGAAAACATCTTACATCGGATATGTCTCCTCTTGTTAGAAGAACCTGAGCGGTTCGCTGATCAAACTGCCCGAAGAGGTTATCCCATAGTGCAATGAGACGTCCTTGTCCTATCGCTGCCAAGGCCTTCCGTTAATCAGTCCTAATCTTATGACGATACAGAAGGAAGATGCACCTGCTTCTTAGACAGACTTTTTGGTCTCTGTGGGATATCCATCGTCCTCAATCCAACTCCAATAGCCCCAGAGCTGACGAGCACCACTTTGTGTCCATGGCTGCGAAGATTGACAACGGTCTCAACAACCGCAGAAAGTATGGATAGAAGGGGTTGATGCGTTTCTTCGTGGACGATAGAGGATGTTCCTATAGGGTTTTACAGATCACACATCTGTGGGAGGCTGGGCGAGGATACTACTAGTACTCGCCGAGCTTGATAACGATCGTGCTAGGAGGTGCACGTTTTGCTGAGCGTGACATTTTGCATAGGCCGATGTGGTAGATGTGGTTGCGTCTGGAAGATGACGGGCCAATTTATGATGGATGACTTTCTATGACGCGGCGGGTCGCCGACTCGGAAACACAGCGAATGAGTCACAATGAAATGACCTTCTGACGGTTTCAAGTGTCGGCGAATTGTACATCCACTAGTTGTATGTCGAAGGACGAGCGAGATCGGAACAGCAGCGAGGGTAGTTGACATTAATATTGGGCTTGATGGAACGGCGGTCGAGTCATAATTGGCACCGTGCTAGTCTACTAGTCATCTTTATATCATTCATCTGCCTACAGTTACACCAGAACATCATAACTAAATATCCATGGAACACCACCAGACGTCGTAGAGCTAACAATTCCAACCATCCGCCAGGCCAAATCGTTAATTCATGGGTACCCTGGCCGCTTCCTTCTCGCCCTTCAAGATGCGCTCGACGTTAGCACCGATGCGACGGCGCTGATCAAGAGTATACTCGGGTTCCGTTGCAGAGTAACCAAGTTCTGTATGGCTCGATTGGTATGATTGCAAGGATGTCTTTGTGGTAAGAAACTCACTCAGACTCGGGTATTGAATGTGTACCTCTTCACTCTTCGCTGGGAGAGTGGATAGATCAAGAGGGAATGAAGGACCAATCCACGCATTCCGAATTTCATGGTCTCTGCGAGGTGATCATCAGGTATGTGTTGCACAAGCGATCCACTATACTCACTTTCTCTACAAAGGCGCCCACGCATTGGTCAGTCAATAAAACACTCGATACGCAAATGTAATTACCACTTCGCTGGTCAGCGGGTGCACGAAAATGCTTTGCTTGCAATGAGACGATGAATTGACAGAGGAGAAGTAAAGAAATACCTTAAACTTCCCCTGTTCATACAAAGGTACGAAAATACAGAAGCAAACGAGGTCGAAGGTACCCAGATCTCGTATGAACCTGACACCAAAATTGAATTCACTCTAGAGAGGGCTATGGCCTATGGGGCACTTACCGACCGGATGAGGACCGATAGGGTCGGTGTTTACACGAAATAATGGCACAGCGACAAACGCCCCATCACGCCTTAGGCGCAGGACAGCATCGCGCAAGTCCAGCGCTGCCTGGTGCTCATCAGCGTTGCGCTGATGGAAGTAAATGTCTGTCCAGAATTCTCAGCGACCACGAATTTCCACCTATGCACCAAACTCACGGAAGTGCCACTCTCTGAACATTGCGCTGCATGGGAAAGAGTCGATATTGATTATTGATCAGTGGTCAAGCCTATCAGAACTCGGATCACTTACTTGATTTCAGAGTTTACAACTGCTTCAAGGTCGGTGGGTGGATGATAGTTTGACATTATGACGATCGTCGATGAAGAAATCTGGCTCCGCGACAGCTTTTAGCTACTTGTGCTAAGGATGATGTATATGTAAGTGCGAAAGCGCCACGTCATTGAAAGCCGCTCAGAAGATTGCCAGAGACGCTCGTATTACATATGCCGCCCCTGTCTCGATAAAGGCACGAGTTCTTAGTTCTAGTCAACACACGGGTGAGGGAGTGGCAACTCAGGTAGGTTCGTGCTCAGACTCGCACACTCACTCTGAGTCCTGTAGCAAACCCCTCGCAGCAAGCGTTTGCAACGACTAAGCAATACTTATCTGGGCGCCGGGGATTGGGTCATACATGCGTCATTCGCAAGCGGAATGCCCAACAAAGAGGCGACCAACCGCCAACTGGCCACCACCAGTCTGAATCTATCTATGGCCTTGCTTATGCGATGGTCCGCATGACTTCTGGTGGCGGGACATGACGGGAAGTTTGAACTAGTCAGAAGACATCTAATGAGGGCACTGACTATTATGTTTCAGCCCATTTGAGTGGCTGCATATGCATGTCACGCAAATAACAGCCGCGCATGCCAGCAGGCATAGGCATGTTCCAGTAACTGTGTATTAACCTTCTATGGCGGTCAAGTGCATCCAGAGTTCATGTATTAACCATCATCATTTTCAGTACAAGGGCATCAACTATACACTCTACTGATCGTTTGTCCTCCTGCGTACCAGGCTAGGAAGAGATGGGCAACAATACACAATTTACATGGTATGACAAGGCCCAATACCGCGAGTCCTAGAGTGATGCTGCGTGGTTGAATTGGTGGTTCGCCTCGAACCGGTTCTTCATTGTCTCCCCAGACGTTTCTCATGCAACCTCAGGATAATTCTGCATCATCCCCTTGAGCTCTGTTTCCGGTATCCTTGTCTCAAACTCAATTGTGCACGGCTGTTGTTGCCTCGGCCCGCTCATGAACCCCATGTCATCCAACGGCTTCGTAGGATCCAGAGCAAGCTGGAAGGCCCAAAGGATAAGGGCCGAGTTGATGAACACCGATCTTTATTGGTCGAAGTAAGCTCGGGAGACGGTGTGCGTGGAAGGATAGCTTTACCTGTTCGCGATATGTTGACCGGGGCATGCACTAGATGGAATGTCATTCAAAAACGAATAACTGAAAGATGGTGCATACCGCCGACCAAATCCGTAGACAAAGAATTTTAGATCGTCTCTCAGGAGACCTTGTTCATCAATCCAGCGCTGGGGCTTGAACGCGTAAGGCTCGGGGTAGACTTCTGGATCTCGAGAAATAGCCCTAAGGCAACAACCATCAGTTCTGTCGTATCTTGAAGCACGATGCTTACCAATGATTGCCCACTACCGTAGTCCCCGCTGGAATACAATAGTTATCCTGGTGCCAAATCATCATTTGTACGATAGGTTTTTCGGACATTACTTACCCAAATCACGTCTTTGGTTGCTAGGTGAGCCAATCCTGCAGTGTGAATGTAAACTTCAGGGACACACACACAACGAAAGTACACACCGTTGGAAGCCAGGGGTCTCCATCTCAAAGCCTCAGAAATGAAGGCGTGCAGGCGGGGAAGAGATTCTTGGTCGGCGAAGGTCGGCGCTTTAGTACAGAAAATGAATTTACAGAAGAACTGCAATGGGGGAATTGAGCTACCTCGATGCCTTCCGATGACCGCATCGAGCTCGGTCCTGAACTATAGCTTGCTCCTCCGGGAAACAAGCGGCTGCCATGAGCACCGTGCATAGCGCCACAGCACTCTTTCATCTATTTTCAGTCACATGTCTTCAGAGACAACGCAACAACACCTCACCGTATTCGGTCCAGTTCCAAAAAAGGCGCCAGTAAGAGAGGCTATTTCAGCCTCTGTGAAACCAAAGATATCGCTACTCTCTAGCATATATTTCGCGAAAGAAGGGTAGATGTTTACATTGCTCTGCTGCGGAACAACTCAGTCACTTCATGCAAGAATTGGAAAGGCAATGCGTACCATTTGCTCTTTCACGCGGTTCAGGTGACCCATGTAAATGTTCTTTCTCCTCTCAAACCCCTGTTTTAAGTCTCGGCTATACCAAGGAAGGTATTTGAGCCAAGGGATCGTGTTCACCAGATAAGCACTAGTGCGGATGACTGCACCAGTCGTCCTGATAAGTTGGCTCATCTCAATGACTTCAGGATCAGTTGCAAGTGTGGGCGTAGTCTTCCCATATGCGACTTTCATAGTTGTCGTGGCATCATAACTTCACAACACAGGTGAGCAATATACTGTCATAAGCGAAATCGCTTACGTTGTCAGATGGTTCTCGAAGTTGGACGGATCATCAAGGATGTCGAGGACAGTGTTCTTCGCGTGTGACATCTGCATGGGCTGATAAGCCTCAGCTGCTTTAGGCTGGAGATGCGTATGAAGTGCTCTACATCAAGGTGAAAAGTAAGATAGGATAAGGGAAAGTATCGCGAACTACTAACCTACGCATGCGACGAAACTTTTCCCCAAATTTGGGTACAAAGGGGATGCCCATTCCGTCGCCCAAAAATTCGCCAGCAGTACGAGGACGATCAGCTAGTGATTTGCCCTGATTCTCCATGATATCTACCGCGGCCTGCAACAGAATGTCAAGCCTGGGTATAAAAACTCATGGTAGATGGACTGACTTTGTAACGGCCGATGACAACGACGTTCTCAAGCCCTGACCGAATGGTGATTAGAGGACCGTATTCGTCAATCCATTCCTCTATAAGGAGGAATAATCTGATCAGCGATAAGACACAATCAGCGTTAAAATCGATGGGTCAATGTTAACTGTGAAACTTTACTTGCGACGCGGAAGGAAGTGCCCGCGAAGTCTCCGAGCGGGAGGGGATGGTGGGAGAGGGAGGCCACTCTTTGATTTAGGAAGGTAAACCCGAGCAATTACACCTATTATCCCAAGACAAGCCGCTGCACGGAGGACGAGCTGCCACATGTTGACAGAGAGGTCCAGGTTAGGCGACCGCGCCATGGCTGATGCGGGGGAGGGCAAGGAAGGGTTGACAAATGACGACGTGTCTCTCCCACAGCGAACCTTTCAAGGCCACTCGCAAGAATCATGATTCATGATGTACTATTTACCCTGGTATCACTCGGACTTTACTCGGTTCTTGTAATCCCTGAGCCAACGAAGGACTGCCACGGATATCACAAAGACCTCGGAAACCGCCTGTAGAGCTGTTAGAGAGCGCAATTGAAGCTGAACGAGGTACAGTGTCGAGTAGAATCAAATAGACAGTCAAAGCGAAAATGCTGTGTGCACGTCCGACGGATACGTTCAGGTTGGATCTGAACTGCAAGTCGATTCGATAATTAAAGCTACGAAGGAATATATGCGCATCTATTCACAAGCTCGAGTGGTTTGAGTGCCGTAGTGATCGTACGCGAGAGCCTGCCTGATGATAGAAACTGCAAGAGTTAAAGGGAAGAAATAAGTGATTTAAGTGCTGCTCAATTCTAAAATATCGTTGTCGATATTGACACTTAACCTTACGGTTGTTGTCGTTCCTAGAACCGGTTGGTTCTGATGATTGATAGTGTGCACTGTGATGATTCGGAATTCCTAGCACGACTGTTGTCCCAGTCACAGTCCGCTTCATATGCTGCCGTCACGAAGGCCGCCATAATCATAGCCACCGACATCGTGACAACCACTGTGATCACCACTAGCACGCCATGGCCATGGGCCGATCGCATAACATGGGCGGCTCCTCCAGAAATGACAAACTTTCAATAGGACATAAATGGAATCAAGAAAAAAAACGACAAACTTATCTGCATTTAATGTCCTCTGTGAATTTTGAAAAGAACTGTAATTGTACAAAAATAAGGTATGTATGCGATTATGATAATGCCTAAGACAGGCTGACGTAAGTACTACGAGAGAGAGAGAGAGAAATTCTATATTTATATACCGCAACAAACAAAGTGAGCTGTTAAGACGCGGTGCCCTGTTAGGGCTGTGCTGGGGAGTGTTGTAACAGGGTGAGGGATGTAGGTATAGTACGAATAGCCAAGCGGTCCGCGTTTGATGAGTTTTGGTGTGCGTGTGGGCTCGTTTGGTGTCCAGGCTTAGTATAATATGATACACTTTCTCTCCTTCCTCCTCCTTCTGATCTCTCCTCGTCTCCTCCTTCCCTCGTCACTTCCTTCTTTGCCCTTACTCAGGCTTCTGTCCCTCTCCTTTCTTCCCAGTCTCCTTCTCGTTCCAGTGCGACCTTCTTGAATGCGCTGGATTCTTGAATAAACTTCGCTAGTGCCTTTATGCCCTTCTCCGTACCCAAAATTTCGTTGAGTATGATGTTGTGTGATACCTCACGCAGATGGATGCGTTGTCGCGCAAATAGTGGGCAGTCACGTATGATATGTTCTCGTGTTTGACGTGGTTCTCCACATGGGCAGAGGGTGGGTTCGGTTGGAACGAATGCAGCGTAGTATTCTCCCATGAATCCGTGTCCTGTGCGGCATTGTATAAGACGGCCGTATACTTCTCGAGGAGTGTGAGTGAAATGTTGGCGGGGTTTGAGCGTTGGTGGGAGTCGATTTGCGAGAGCGAAGCGTCCAGTCTGTGCTGCCACGTCTCTATTCCAACTCTCTGTCCATTTCTGCAAGATCCCTTCCTTGTTTCTTCGGCGCGCATTTGCATAGGTCGAGTGGTACGAGTCGTTACGTCCAGTGGCTTCTTTTGCAAGCTCGTCGGCACGTTCGTTGCCGATGATGTTGTGATGTCCTGGGATCCATGCAATTTGGACATGATGGAGGGGGGATGTGGTTAGGTAGTCTTCGATCGAGCGTCTGATCTGTAATGCAATGTATTGTGAGGGTCCGGGTGCAGCTGCATATGCAGCCTGCACCACAGAGTTGTTATCGACGTAGAAATGTAAATGGGTCACCTGGGAATTTTGCACGAAGCTGATAGCTCGCGATATTGCTCGAAGGAGCGCTACCATCTCTGCATCATACACCTCTGCTTTGGGACCCATTCCTTCCTGACCCCAGAAGACTTCTCTTCCTCTGTGATAGCCGGCCCATCCTGCTCCAGCTCTTTCCTCCTCTCTGACTGATTGTTTCGATCCGTCTGAGTAAACGAGAAGGTGCGTGTCCTCCGTTCGTAGATTACGAGCGGTTTGTATGTGCGCTTTGGCGGCTTCTTTCTTGCCTCCTCTTTGCTTGTCCGAGATCGTTAGGCGGCCGCGGTACGTTTCCTTCGTGTTTGCCCAAGGTGGCAGCGCAAATATGTTGATGCGTTCCGCGTTCGGGGATGCTCGTTTTGACAGACGGGTGAGTCTGGTCGATTTTGGTGGTTTGCGGCTGCGAGGACGGTATTTGTCGGTGGGAAGAGCGGGTGGGGGGTCAGCGAGGTTAAATTGTCGCCAGGGTTGATCAAGTCTCTGTAGGATTGGGTTGAACGAGGGGAGTTTGAGTAGTCGAGTGGCGGCGTTATCGTTTGCGTGTTCGAGGAAGAGGTTGATGGGGGGGATTGATGTCTCTATTTCTAGGGCCTTTATTGGGGTGGTTCGGAAAGCGGCACAGATATGTCTAAGGGATTTGTTTTGGACGCGGGTAAGCATGTTTGCATGGGTTTTCACGCCCGTCCACCAAACGGGGCTTGCGTATGTCATTACACTGCGGACACAAGCCGAGTATACAGTTCTCAATAGTGATTGCGAGAGACCTCTTACCGTATTTGCAAGCATTTGTAGTCCTTGGGCGATATTTTCCGCTTTGCCTGCCAGTTCACATACATTCCTGCGAAAAGAGAGTTTAGAGTCGAAATATATACCAAGCCATTTGATACAGTCACGGGGGTTAATTGTCACCTGTCCTTCGTCACTAGGCAGCAGGATAGGTGGTCGATCCGGTGCACGACGCCATGTGAAATGGATGAGCTCAGATTTGTCAATTTCCGCCATCAGTCCAGCTTCGCGAAGCCAATTGTTCACAAAAATGAACTCCTCCCGGAGTATTGCGACATTGTTCTCCAAGGATGGAGAGGAGACATATAAGTTTCCATCATCGATGTAGCATGCTAATGTGGTCGGTGTGGCTTTGTCCGGGCGTAATTCACGAGCTCGAGTTTTCGCATTGTAGGCTTCGTTTAGTGGGCTTGTGCAGATAATCGAAAGGGCCGGTGATATTGGGGATCCTTGAGGTATACCGTTTTCGACTGGTTCCGATGGTGACAGTACTCCGTCCAGGCAGATTGCTGCTTGTCGTTCGCTGAGGAAGGATTTCACCCACTTTACCATAGGGAGCGGTAGGTGCTTGTCCCGAAGTATTCGGAGTAGCCGTGTATGATTGACGAAGTCGAAGTATCCTTTGATGTCGAATGTGATGCACGACGTGACAAGTCCGTGATTACGGGCTGCTTCGATATCATGAACGAATGATAGGGCTGCGTCGACTGTGGAGCTTCCTGGGCGGCCTCCGAACTGTGAAGAAGGTACCAGCAGATATTTTGCTGTGAGATATGCTAATCTACTTGCCTGTACGCTTTCGAGGACTTTTCCAAGACATTCCTCTAGCTGGATTAGTCTATAGGCTCTCGGGTTCGAATAGACGTAAGTACTACGACTTTCGCAGAGAGGGTGGTGTAAGCCGACTGCTTACCACACGCTTACTTGATCATACTGTCATGTGACCTATCCCCTTATATTCCGCCATTTTCGTACTGTTCATACTTATCAGACTCGGGTCTCCTACCTACCATCATATATCCATTAGTACAACGCTCAAAGAATCCACAGTTTCGTCCTGTTACTTTCGCCCGATTCGTTTAGTGTTCCTTGTCGTTTCCCCGACAAGGTTTCAGGTGGTCAATATATCAAGCGCCCCCAAGTTATTATGCTCCTTCTGGTCCTTAATACATATGTCTAGCACCGCCGTAACTAGTGCTGTCTCGTGGGCGTTAGGCAATCTATCAAGCAGGACTGCTTCACATTGCTCCCCGCATGACCCTCGATGATCTTGGAGGCGCCAGCCTCGGGCACTCTACTAGTTCTCCGGCAATGGGAATCAACTGTTCGTGATCCTCTTACGCGTTCCAAACGCATGTCCTTTGTCACAATTTATTTTGCCCATAAAGACTTTCATACTCAGGTAGGATCAGGCTGGCCTCACTTCGCCCGTATCCTCAACACATTGTGACTAGATATGCATTTCGTCGTCCTTACGATATCAAGCCCCAAGCTAGTATGCTTCTTCTGTTCCTTATGTATGTCTAACACCGTGACTAGTAGACGTCAGAAAATCTATCGAGCGGTCTATTCTTTTGCTCATAAACCATATTCCTGAATGTCAAGGGGCGTGGATTGAATATTACTGGCAATATTTTGATTATCGCAGGCGACGTCAAGGGCAAGGTAACTGTCCGAATCCTTCAACGATGATGATATTTGCACCTATACCCCGAAACCACGGAAGTGTCACTCTCTGACATTGGGTGAACAAGTAACAGCCTAACAGGTGGGAAAGAGTTAATATGATCAGTATTCCGTGGTCAAGCCATTGATATTCGAACTTCCGGTCACTTACCTGACTTCAGAGTTTACAACTTCTTCAAGGTCGGTTGGTGGGTGATAGACTGACATTATGACGAAGAAAGCTGGCTCCGCAGTAGGTCATAGCTACTAGTGCTAAGTATGATATATATCTAAGTGTCGATTGCCACGACATTTAAAGGCGCTCAACACGTATTAGCATTCTAGTTTACGCCGGTTGAAGGTAGTGGCAACTCAGTAGGTTCGTGCTCACAAGGATCATCCTGAGGGGATTACAATGCGAAGATGTGCATGCGAGAGTTTATATTAGTAGTATTTCAATCTCGTCTGCTTACGAACCCACCAATATCGTTCTGGACTGCCAGATTCAATTCAAATCTCGTCTGCGCATGTGTGGTGCAGGTCGCACGCATGCGTCTCCAGAAACACTGATATTCTCTGCAGGATGGTCTCAACGGCTCTGCTGTTCATGATAGTGCTGGCTATACCAACTGTTTTACCTGCACCTGCGGACCCTGGGGGTGTCAGTACTACTACCACAGCTGTCCAGCTGGCTTCAGCAGTTGTCTCTCCTCCGTTTAGCCAGTCTTTCCAAAGCCCCTCGTCATTATTCACATCTGTCGATACAACCTACCTGTTGTCCCAGTCACCGTCTCCTTCACAGGCTGCCGTCAAAACAGCCACCACAACCGTAGTCACTAATATCGTGACAACCACGATTGCAATCACTCCGACGTCTACGACTACAGTCGTCGAGACAGTGACTGCAACAACCACTGTGACCACCACTAGCACGCCGTGGGCCGGTCGTACAGCATGGGCAGCTCCTCCAGAAATGACAGACTTATCTGCGTTTAACGTCACTCACTTCCCCAGCGGGAAGCAAAACGTCGCCATCATCAACGGCTTCTCTGCGCTTGCCAGTGACCCAGGAAGATCTGCGTATGCGCAGGATATAAACGAGTCAAACAACATCACGAACTCACAGAACGTTACGGGCTTTACCGCAGCCTTACAACTTCTTTACCCAGCGGACTCCGTTAACCCTTCCAGCAAATCTCCAGGTGGGGCCGAGTTTTATGCGACGCCATTGAACCTGAGCGATGCCAAGAATGTCACAATGGAATATAGCGTCTTCTTTCCCTTGGATTTCGACTGGGTGAAAGGCGGAAAACTGCCTGGCTTATACGGTGGCCATACAGGCTGTTCCGGGGGTGCTGCCGCCGAAGACTGCTTTAGCACACGACTATGTGGAGGCCGGGTGGTGCCGGGGAACTATATCTCGTCTGTCTATCTATTCACATTATTATGTAAAGAGCTGACCTGGTTCATAGTACGCTCCGAAAGAAAAGCAAACAAAGGCCTTGTGTTCCAATCCCCAGTCAGTCTGCGATTACGAGTATGGGCTCTCAATAGGCAGGGGGTCGTTCCACTATAGCAGAGGCAATTGGACGAACTTGCGCCAGGACGTCGTGCTCAATACACCTGGGAAGCAGGATGGGACGTTCACTTTGTTCGTCGACGGGAAGCAGGCGATAAACCGGACAGACATATTTTATCGTGACGCACCTCAGCAGAAAAAGAAGCCGAAACCAAAGACCGCATCCAAGTCTTCCACGCCGCCAACTCCACAGCAAACACAAGGTGGTCTGCTGGGAATTCTGGCGGCGGAGACTGGCTACAGCACAAGAAACAGTGCAGTCAATCCTCGTCACTGACAGGATCTCTCTCTTGAGTAATAGTACTAGTGATTCCAGCGATCAACAAGCAGTCGGCTTCGTTGGGCTTTTCTTCAGCACTTTCTTCGGCGGGCACGGAGACGGCTGGGCGACTCCCAAACAACAGTATACGTGGTTCAAAGACTTCGCCATGACGCGCAACTCCTGATGGGATCTTGACCTATCTAAAGAAATCCTGTCCATTCGCAATCAAAGAGCTACCCCGAAAACGATCCATACCGAAAAGGCCACCAATAACCCTAGAACCGCAAACATCACGAACCACATCCCCGTTCTTGAGACTGGTCCCATAGATACCGCCTCTTGCAAAACTTCCTCGAGTGACTTCGCCATCGTCTCCATTCCGAACATCCTCTGGGCACGGTCCCGAGCTCTCTGCGAGAGCGCCTTCCTATCCTTCTCTGAGAGATTACAGATTTCCTCTAATGCTTGAGCCCACACCGATGGCTCGGGACGGTAGAGCCATCCCGTCCTCTGATCTACCGGCTGGTCAACAATACTCTCCGTGGGGCCACCGCTGTCGCAGGCAAGTATTGGCAGACCGCATATCATTCCCTCCACCGGTCCAATTCCGAAGTGCTCATTTGCTGGGGTATATAATAGAGCGACTGTAGATTGAGCCTGGAGTAGACCCGAACGCTGAGCAGTGGTAAAGTTTAAGAGGAATAGTATATCTGGCTCATTCAGGGTTATCTTTGGGAACGACGGTACTGCCACGCGAGATTGCAACGGGGTGATGACGTTATAAGTGAGACCACTGAACTGTGCAAGTTCAACGAGAGATTTTAGGGTTCGTATGTTATCCTCTAGACGAGGATCATAGCCACCTGGGAGATGGTCAGTTACGAGCTCGTACAATAGCTTGAACTCGACCGACCGGCAAGAACCAGTCTCACGTCTGATGTATTCGAGTCCTTGTTTCGCAGTATCGCAAATGCTTCTATTGCCAAAGCAGCATTCTTCTTCATCTCAAACCGGTTTAGAGATAACAATGTTCGCCGTTGCCTTCATCAAGATTATTAAGGTATTAACAGATGCAGAAAAAAACTTACGAGACGACTTGAACGATATCAGGATCTAATGAGTCGACCGGTGAAATATAGGCTTCGATATTAATTCCCGGATAGACGACTTTCAGCTGGTGTCTAAGGGAAGAAAAGTGCGATTTGGTCACTCGGGCGGTAAACTTTGAGTTGGCGAGGATCGTGTCAGACTGTCCTAGATCTCCGGTAAGTGTGAATTCCGGATAAGTAATGGTACGCATACTCGTAGTAACCTCCTCTAGCCAATCCATTGGGAAGCGATAGATGGATTTCAGGATACTGACATTAATGTTCCGCCGACCCTCTACAAAGGCCCCATTTGCGAGCAGCTTGTCGGGAAAATGGCAGTAGAAAACGACGCGCTTTCCACAGAACATTCGGAGGAAGGGTATACAGGTAGAGAGTTGATCGACAAAGAAGACGTCGTATTGGTGCGCTGACGTGCGCATAAGGTGTATTGTGAGGTGCAGCTGCCTTGCATGCGCGAACATGATATGAAGCTTTCCCTGTATAGACCGAGGTAGCGGTGGAATTACATGATGGACGCGCAGTCTTCCTGTGCAGGAGCGCTATATAACGATGATACAATAAGCGAACGAATATTTCCTGACGTACCGTCTCTCGTCTCGTCAAAACAGTGGTTGGGGTCGTGGTGAGATGTGTATATATCCACGGAGTGACCCAAGGATTGTAAACCCAGTGCAGCATCTACAACCAGCCTTTCGGCTCCTCCTACGTGTCATATGGGTGAGTGGGACGCTATATTCAAAATCACCATGACATACACACCGATTCCTAAGTCAGGATGAATAAACGCAACGCGCAACTTTGAGTTTTTCGCCATCGTTCAAATTCGACGAAGTAACTCGTGTATGCATTGTGTCAAGCTCGTGCCAAGAGTCGAATATAAATGTGACCCCTCGTGACTTGCCTGTCACGCTCCTCTTCATTTGACTCTATGTGCCGTGGCGACCTCAAACATACATTCCCTTGTTCCTGGTGCTCGAATCAGATAGAGGCTTAGTGATACTCTGACTGTCTTGTTCGTTTCTATGTGCTAATATAGAGTAATCCTGCAAGGTCTGGTGAACTCAGATCAACTCACGATGATTCCAAACTAACGCACTACCCGCGTCTTCGCCGCCTTACAGTTACGATTGTCCTTCGGAGTCGTTCGAGTACCTGTGTCTGCGCTGTTGGCGACGCCGATCGTGCACAAAAGCTTATAAAATCGCCTTTTTTGCCCTTGCACGTTTTAAGGACGCCATACCGACACTGCTACGTATCATCAGATTCATAGACTCTTTGAATGTAAACAGTTTGTTGAAGTATCATCGCAAAACACTCATTCACGCCTTGGAACTATTTGGTGGGTGCAAGCTAATGCGCCTAGCTGGTAGACTCGTAACCAGCACCACTCGATTTTGTCCGTGGTAGTATACGCCAGGCTGGTCACGAGCCTACCTAGCTGGCCCATGGGTTCAAAGGACACAGGACAAAGTTGCTGAACAATCCTCAATCAAGCCTAAAGATGACTCACCAGAGTCCGAGTGAGATGCTGAGTGTGACATTGTTACGCTCAGCGTCGTCAGACGTCTTAGCAGTAATCAAAAGTAGTCGAAAGTCTAGCTAACACCCTAGTGTTAGAGTCGTGCAAGTAAAGCAGTGATATTGCAGGCCCTGGTCTGCGTAGGTCAAGTTAAAGAGTACAAATGGTAAAGACGAGGTATATATAAAGGTATTGAAGAGGCGAATGAATAATAGAAGCGGAGCTTCAATAATAATGAGCCAATGAGAAAAAGAGAAAGGGAATCGTACGATAGAATGTTCTAGAAGTACACGTAATAGAAGTGTGACAAGTGAAGATGTGAAATGTGAAGATGTGACAAGGTGAAGGTGTGAAAAAGGGGAACTGTAACATTACCCCTGTTTTAGGCATATTTCTGAGTACTACGAAGAAGATTTAAAGATGATGTGCTCGTTTGTAGGAAGAAAGAATATTGGAAGCGTTACCCATTTGTCTCTCTGTCATCCATTCGTTCTCAGAACTCGGGAATCCCTTCCATTTTACGTTATAGTATCTTTGTGAGGTAGAACCTCGGTGACTGACGATGGCCTCTATCTCTTGTTCCTCTTCTCCATCAATTAGGTCAGGTGGTGGTGCGACGAAGTTAGGACCGTGAGTATCGTTTTCTTTATACGGAGATAAGAGAGCAGCGTGGAAGACAGGATGAATACGCCATTGTGTAGGGAGTGAGAGGCGGTAAGTGACTGGGGATAGAACATCGGAGATGGTGAATGGTCCTTCTCATTTAGGTGCGAGTTTACGATTAGGGTATCTGAGGTGAAGGTTCTTTGATTTGAGCCAGACTTTGTCGCCTTTATTGAATGGTACGAATTTAGAGGTGATACGTTGTTTCATGGTGTTGCGCGCTAATTCATGAGTGGCTAAAGCTTCGTCACGTGCTTTATTGAGGATGAAGAGACGTTGTTCGACGTTAGGGATGTCGCTCTTGGGATGTAGGTCTGGTAGGTGTTTGGGTGATAACCCATCATAAGGTGAAACAGTGAAGTACCGCGAGCGGAATGATGTCGGGAATTATGGACAAATTCTGCGAGAGGGAGCATGGATGCCCAGCCTGTCGCGTCGTTGGCACAAAAGATCCGGAGGTAGACTTCGAGCTCTTGGTTAACTCGTTCGGTCTCTCCATCACTTTGAGGATGAAACGCAGTGGAAAGGGAGTTCTTATATCCGAGGAGTTTTCCGAGTTCGATCTGGAATCTAGAGGCAAATTGGGGTCCTCGGTCAGAGATAATTTTATCGTAAAGTCTGTATCTAGAGAATACTTTGGAAAGAAAATGTTTGCAACGCCTTCAGCGTCTATAGTTTTGTTACATGGAGTGAGAATTACCCCCTTCGAAAGGCCATGGTCTACCACGACCATGATGCTATTGAAGCCGTTAGAGGGGGGAAGGTCGGTGATGAGGTCAGTGGAACAGTGAGCAAAGGGTCGGTTAGATATAGGAGTGGGGATAGGATAAAGAGGAGGAGTTGATGGGTGTGTATTAACTTTGTTCTGTTGGCAGATGCTACAGCCGTCAATGAAGTTCTTTACGAAGGTGGAAAGGCCTGGCCACCAATAGTCTCGTGAGAGAAGTTCTTGGGTTTTGTATTGTCCTGGATGGCCGGCTGTGGGGGAGTCGTGATGAAGGGAGGTGATACTGTGACGAAGGTCGCCGGGTGGTACATAAGTAAGTCCTTTATACGTAAGGATGCCATCCGATAGTTTCCAATCAGAGAGGGCGGAGCATAGAGGAGGAGGGATAGAAGGGTTTTGAAGCGCGTTGAGCGCTATCTGTACTACTGGGTCGATGGAAGATGAGATACATAATTGTTCAGAGAGAGAAGCGGAATTGATGAACATAAAATCAGGAAGAAGTTGAATACTGGTATTGTCCTTTTCGACACTATCGTCAGGAAGGTGATCCGATCTACGAGAAAGAGCATCTGGAATAGTTAAATCTTTGCCTGGTACAAATTTGAAACGTATATCGAACTGAGAAAGGAAAGTTTGCCACCATGCTTGGCGTCTATTGAGGTCTTGTACGTCACGGAAATAGGTTAGGTTTTTGTGGTTGGTTTGTACTTCGACCGGGAAAGGGGATCTGAGAAGATAGTGGCACCATGCTTTGAGCGCACGAATAACGGCGAGAAGTTCTTGGTCATAGATCTGATAGTTTCGTTCGGCGGGGGCAAAGGATTGGGAGAGATATGAACAGGGGAGCCATTCGCCATTTGGATCTTTTTGGAGGAGTACTGCGCCAGTGGTGTATAGGGAGGCGTCAGTGGCAATGGCAAAGGGGGAATGGCGATCGGGAATTTGGAGAATAGGGGCTGACGTGAAGATGGTCTTCAGTTTACGGAATGTGGAGTTGCGTTCTTTGTTCCATTCGAATGGCATATCTTTCTTCGTGAGATCTATGAGGGGACAAGCGATTATGGAGTAGTTAGCGATAAAGTGGCAGTAGAAGTTAGTGAATCCGAGGAAAGATCGGACTTCTTTGACTTTCTTTGGGGTTTCCCATTCCGAGATTCCCTTTAGTTTAGCCGGGTCCATAGCTACCGATCCTGGTTTAATGATCATGCCGAGATATTCTATTTCTTCTATGTTGAAGGTGCATTTCTCCGGTTTGAGGTAAAGACGGTGTTCGCGAAGTCTTTCTAATACTCGATGAGTTCATTTTTGGTGAGTATCAAAATCGTCTGAGAAGATTAGTATATCGTCCATGTAGATGATCAGCCATCCTTCTTGGATCATATCTCCGAACGTGTCGTTCATCATAGATTGGAAGGTGGCGGGAGAGTTGCACATGCCAAAGAACATTACCGTTGGTTCGAAGAGTCCCCTTGCCGTTGCAAACGCGGCTTTCCATTGGTCAGTCTTCTTGAGTCGGACATTATTGTATCCCCAACGGATATCCATCTTGGTGAAGATCTTCGCGTTTTTTAGCTTATCTATAAGATCAGAGATTAGTGGGAGCGGATAATTGTTCTTAACTGTGTGTTCGTTCAAGTAGCGATAATCTTGGCAGGGTCGTAGGGAACCGTCTTTCTTTCCGACGAAGAAGAATGGAGATGATTGTGGCAATTCGGAGGGAATGATAGTGCCTTTGGCAAGGTTTTCATCGATGAAGTCATTCATGGCTTTTTCTTCCGCGGGGTTAAGTGGGTAAATTTTGCATTTACGCGGTTCGAAAGTATCCTTGAGGTCGATTTTATGGTCGAATTTGCATTCTGGTGGGAGGGTTCTGTTAGCTACTTCTCTGAATACGTCCTTATATTTTCTGAAGATTTCAGGTATGAGTTCTTTGAACGTTTTCTTCGATTTGGCGGCGTCTTGGGCGAGGGTTTGAGAGATGTTGTCGGCTTTCCTGACTAAGGTTCCACGGGTCGAGAAGTATTGGTGGTCGGTTGGGATGTGTTCATCTGTGAGAGGGGATTCAAAAGTTTCATAAGTTCCAATGACGTGATCGCCTTTGCAGTATGCGATCAGGAATTCGTCTGGTTCTAATTCTTCTTCTGTGTCGTCAGCAGGTTCGGGATCTAGGAGTTTAGGGATTTCGGAGGAATACGGAATACTTTCCACAGCAGGATCCCATTCCTCGTCAAGGGATTCTTGCGTGTCGAAGAACGTTTGTTCTTCTTTGTCTTCGACTTCTTCTATGTATTCGCAACGTGACTTCTTCTTTCGTCCAATTTATCTGAGGGTTTTCTTTCTTTAGCCAGGAAATTCCTAGAATGACGTCCTCTCCTCCTAGAGAGGTTACAAGGAAACGTCTTTTCATATGGATTCCTTTGATTTCAAATGATAGATTACAAGCATGCGTGATCTGACCTTGCTTGTTGAGTGTCCCATCAACATTCCTAACTTTTATTGGTTTACTGAGTTTTTCTGTGGGGATGGAGTTCTGTCGTACGAACATCCAGTCAATAAATTCCCCTTCTGCTCCACAGTCGATTAGAGCTGCAGCTTCGGCAATGCTAGAGTCAAAAGTTAAAGGCAAACGCATAGAATTAGAGTCGCCAATCGATTGTACTACTAGTCCGATTCTAGGAGATACTGATGCCGGTTCAGTCTCCTTTAGGCAAAATCCTTCTCTTCCGTCTTCTTTGCCTGGCGTGCTTTAAACGCCTTCCACTCCAAGAACTCCTTGTAGTCTTCATCGTCATCTTTGCTCGCCTTCTTGGTGGCGGTCTGAGTGCGTGGTGTAAACGCTGGATGGTTTGTGCAGTCTTTGATGAGGCCTTTCTTTCCGCATTTGAAGCAGAGGCCATTCTTTCGTCTGCGCTCTCTCTCCTGCGGGGTTAGGTAGGCCTTCTTTACTTGCCTCTCTTCTTCCTCTCCTTCTACTTCTGTCCTATCTATGTCCATAGCGTAGGGGTCTCGGGACTTGTAGTTGGTAGGTGCTGTAAGACTACGTCGCGATTCTACTTCTAAGGCTTTTTCAAGCCATGTATCGATGGTAGTAGGTACGTTTTTGAAGTTAAGTATGGTGTTTACGATTTCTTTCTTAAGTCTGTTTCTAAAGAACATGATTTTCATACTTTCTTCGGTAATGCCTGTGTCTGCTAAGATGGTGCGGAATATGGAGGTATAAGCGGGAACACTTCCTGTTTGCCTCAAGGTGGAGATGCGACAGATCACTGTGTCCACGACGTTCTTTGGGTGAAACGTCTTCTTGAATTGTTCGAGGAAGTTTTCGAACGTTCCGTACGCTTTGGTAGCGCTAGCGTCTTTGAGCTGTCCTTCCGCCCACTTAGTGGCTTCTCCTTTGGTCATGAGGGATAGGATGAAGACGATCTTCTGTTTGTCTATGGTGTAGACGGAGTCGTTGATATCAAGGTAGGCTTCTACCTGTAAGAGCCATCCTTTGGCGGCGCGGGTATCGCCATTGAAGGCGGGGAACGTTGCCGATTAGTTTGGCCATGTTGTTGTTGTCTTCTTCAGAGGATTCAGAGTCTGATTCGTCTAGGGGGGATTGTTCTGCTGGTGGAGGAGGTGTGCGGGCTGGAGGAGCTTGTCTATGAGCTGGGGGGAGAGGTGCGTGTGCAGGGATAGGTGAGGCGAGTGGTGTTTCTGGGAAATCATTGTCGACGTAAGATTGGGTATCGAAGTCCCAATGTGTTCCTTTCTTGGCTGCGCTGTTTCTAAAGGTTCTCCACTGATGGACGGTGAATAAGGTGCTGTCCGAGTCTGGAGCAGTCCAAGTTCCTAATAATGCGTCCCAGGTGAAGCCGAGGTGCTGTTTTCCGTGGGTAGCCGTTATGACTTATCGGGTAGCAACAGCAGTAAGAACCGCGGATGCTAAGTCAAAGGTTCGTGGTGGTGGTCGTAGTCGAGGACGGGCGGTCTGAAGATTAACTTGACCTTTTGTTACGCTCAGCGTCGTCAGACGTCTTAGCAGTAATCAAAAGTAGTCGAAAGTCTAGCTAACACCCTAGTGTTAGAGTCGTGCAAGTAAAGCAGTGATATTGCAGGCCCTGGTCTGCGTAGGTCAAGTTAAAGAGTACAAATGGTAAAGATGAGGTATATATAAAGGTATTGAAGAGGCGAATGAATAATAGAAGCGGAGCTTCAATAATAATGAGCCAATGAGAAAAAGAGAAAGGGAATCGTACGATAGAATGTTCTAGAAGTACACGTAATAGAAGTGTGACAAGTGAAGATGTGAAATGTGAAGATGTGACAAGGTGAAGGTGTGAAAAAGGGGAACCGTAACAGACATGGGCACCGGAACTTTCTGTGGTATTCAAACAAGGAGTTGGATGCTCTCGCGATCTGAAGATAAGTAGTGGATCCCAATGCTCGTGAAGGGCTGCAACTGGCCACGGGTTTGCGCAAAAGGTGGCGAACCAATCGAGGTAGGGGAGAAGGGGCATAATAATATGCTTGAGGATCTCATTGGATCTGATGGGGCGCGTGTTTGGCCGAACGCGCTGGGACTGTGCGAGGAAGGTGAATAATGGCTCTGTTAAGTTCAACATGTGTATATACACAGAAGGAATTGCTCACCTCCGAATCACTAAGAGCACGGCGAGGTACTTTGCGTCTGCTGGCGGGTGCTAGACGCTTTAACCAGATTTGGGGCGCTGTGCGACGTGTCAAAAGGCAGAGCGACTATAATGATCTAGAGGAACGGATAGTAGAGGAAGATGCGGATGTGGACTTGATGATGATCTCGACGAAGACGGTCAAGGCATAGTCTAAGTACTGCAGGTAGCTAAGGGGATTATGTCGACTACAGCCGTGGCGAAAGTATCAGAATGTCCAGGCCAACTTTATTACTGCAGTGATTATATTAAGATGTGCACGTCATGGACTTCACCCCAGTCTAGATGAGGACATCCTCAATGCATTGGGACATATATATAAATTATACTAAGCAAAACAGAAGCGGAAACGGGTTGTATAAAGTTCCGTTGTGAAACGAGTCCTATAAGTCGACGTGAAATGGAACTACACTCGTGACAGTCCTGACACAATAGATACACGAACCATATAAATGAATTAGACAGGAGGATAGCAAGGTATCAAAAGAAAAGAATGAGCCTAGAGAAGCAAGCAGCGAAGGAGCCTGTATTTCTACCTGATAGTATACCTAGGTCACCTTTCTGCGGTGCCCCAAATGAACTTCACGGATATGACGCCACATGCAGCCGCGCAGCATGACACAAATTGAGGGGTGACCTCGCTTGCGATAATTACATCCTTCCCAGCAGCATGCAATCGATGCGCCTTGGCACTGAGGAAGATGTATGAGGTGCCAATGCTGCTTTAACTCGTCCTCCGTCCCTTTATGTCTGCAGCATGTGTCGTCGTTACGCAGCCACAGGCAAGTGGGTGGGAAAGATGAGGGATGTTTGATTGGACATGAGTCGGTTGGTAGCTGCGACTGGCTTGGGGGGGACTGAGGGATGACAAAATTCTGTCGCTGATGTGACAAGCTAGTATGCTCCGAGATGTCATGTGGGGGTATGTCAGGTTCAGGGTTATATGAATTGGGCATGATGTATTGCGAGAAGCCATGAGATAAGACATCAGTCCTGCCCCATGGGTTGTCTGACGCTGACGTCCACAGGGTAGCACTAGTCATGGCATTAGATGTATGCAGGGGGCAGAAGGAGCATACTAACGTGGGGCTTGATATCCTGGGGACAGTGAAACACATATCTGGGGTAGTCAGACCGTATTGCGAGGACGCGGTAAAACTGTGGTCCTTCATATTCTGCCTGCGTGCGGGAGTGATTATCAGTAGATCGTGGTGAAGGGCATGCATTTAAAGTGCGTACCAGGACGAGGCCATTTCAGAAGAACTTAAATTCTTGAAGCTGGCGCCTTCTCGGCCATTGAGGGTTGGTGGATTATGCGAGGAGCCATGATATGAGACACCAGTCCTGCTCAATAGATTGGTCCACAGGGCAGCACTAGTCACAGTGTCACATATATGCAAGTGATAGAAGGAGCTACTAACTTGGGGCTCGAGATCGTAGGGACGGCGGAACGCATAGCTGTGGTGACCACACCATATTGCGAGGACATGGGCCAAGTGTGGCCAATCAAATTCAGTCTGTGTATGAGAGTAATTGTAAGTAAATTGTGATGGGGGACGTATATTTGGCATGCATACGAAGTCGAGTAGTCGCTTCCCATTTCCAAAGCACTAGGGTTGCAAAAGCTGACGCCTCCTGCTAGACTGTCGAGGGTTGATGGATTATGCAAGGAGCCGTGATACAAGATAGCAGTCCTGCCCGATGGATTGTCCGACAGCGACGTCCGCGGGACAGCACTAGTCATGACATTAGATGTATGTGAGGAGCGGAAGGAGTATACTAACTTAGGGCTCAACATTGTAGGGTGTCATGAATATTACCAACTGCATCTAAATTTCGATTATCAAACCCTAAGTCACCTTATCCGATAAGATTAGATTAGATAGATCCCTGATAAGATAAGATGGATAACCGATTAACGATCACTATCTTTACATCACATCTATACTATATCGACGTCATCCATCTACATCGTAACCCTAGATAACCGAACTCATCATATCCTTAGAAGTCCTACGATTAGGCAATGGGTTACATCATAAGCATCTACACGCCTCTATGATCAAACCATAACCGAGAGTCCCTTACGAAGTTATCTCTCGAAGAATCCATCATCCCTTCACATCGCACACCTTCATTTCTCATGACACGTTAAGAGTTACCTCTGTCATTCATCGAACCCCTTACATTAGAACCTGTTGCACAGTTACAGCTAAACCCTAGATCCCTATCACAGAAGCATCGCTCATAGAGAAGCATGTTCATTACCGAAGACCCTGGAGAACCCTTAGATCCGATCGTACCCGATACATCTCCAGATCCAGATCCTATCTAGATCCTTCAATCTAGATCATCAGATCCTATCTCTAATCGAGATCCTTAATTACCGCTCGAGACTTCTTGTCACAGAACTCTCTCACACCCTTCTTAATCTCCGTCTACCCTGAATAGAAGCAGTCCCTGAGAACCCTGCTTAATCACCGATACCCTTGGCCCTATGAACCCTTTACCCTTCTCTTCTTGTAGTTGATTGGTTGATAAGACGCCCTATACCCTAGGTGCAATGTTATGACCGAATATAGTTATATCACATACCTTTCATACTCAGATAGCTCTGCTCCAATAGTAGTATATAGTCTAGGTCGTAGTCAGTAAGTACTCCTTAGACTTAACCTCCTCGTTTCTACGTTATCGTAGGGCCTAGACGTTCCCTCTCAATTCTATCTCGCTTTATCCTTCTTCAGACTGAGTCCTGTGGTGTGATTGATCTCCAAACACCTACTAGTTAGGTTAAGGGACGTTGGTCATAACATTAGGTTAAGTCTTCTTTACCACCCGACTCGATTGTGTTCGCCCTCTTGTACTCCAACCTTCGGGCGACTATTAGACGACGCTCCTATCATCATCCTTCGCACGATTCTATTTGTCCTTCGACACTCGTATACTCCATCCTCGCAAGAGACGACGATCCGACTTTCGAACGGCACTTGTGTCGATACCCATCCTTCCAGAACATCGGCTGTTCTGCTGAGCTTAGTCTCGCGGATCACGTTTTAAACCATCTTTCCCAGACCGCAGCCCCGCACTTCTTTTGTGCACATTCCCTCCCCTAAGTTAGTAGAAGTAGACCAGGCCCTGCCTTACTGCAGCCGCCAGTCTATAAGGAACAGTGACATATAGGTCCTGTATCCGTCGCCTTGAGTGCTGGCCCAATACCTGCCTGCTCAACGCTATATCCTAGAACCCATTTCGTAGAATTAGAGAACGGCACTCGCGAGTGTAGTAACAGTATTGCGTTGGTTCTCACGCATATTGTTTACCGCATTCTAGTATAAATTACCATAGCCTTTTATCTTAGAACCTAGTTGGCCAAGAAGCCGGCAACTACGTTACTATACGGGCTTAGGTCGCCTCTCTATTATCATCTTCTTTTTCGGTCATATCTTACGAGATCCCTGACAAATCAAAATATACTCTGTTGAATAGGATTCCGGAACGCAACCGGCAACATGAGATATTCCGCCCCTACCATTGATGACTATGAAGAGCTAGCTTCTCAAATCAGAGAAGGCTTTTGCTTTAATACGCATCATGCAAAGGGACCGCAAATCACCCATTGGATAGGTGTAGAATTTGAGGACGGAGAAATCTCCTTCCAAAGCCTTTGCAAGAATTGTGCTAAGGCAAACAAAAAGACTGTAGACACGTTCCGAATTAGGTGTAGAGGCGCAATGGCTGAATTGCCATCCCTCGCTATCCGAACCGCATACGTCGACACACTCCCATCGTCACCTAGATCCACACCATCATCATCGCCTACATCATCTTCTCAAACATCGCCGTTACTGTCATCGAGAGAAATGACAACCCAGTGGCCCAAGATTGCCAACGTACAAAATCCCGAGCCCAAGGTTGCTCCGAAACCCGTAGTAGTCGCGCAGTCCGTAGGACAGAAGATACGCGACGAGCCGAAAGGCAAAGGGAAAGAAACCCTTAAAGAAAATATCAGGATGTCATCGGGTTCCTCTAAACCTAAGGAGTTGACTGGTACTCAGAAACCAGAGAAAGTAACATCTTCAGAAATCAAGAAGGAAACCTTCGCAGAAGAAATCTTGAGAATAAAAAGAGGTTACGGAATCAAGGACAAGACCACTGAAGCGACTAAAGTAGAAGTCGTGGAAGTGGAAGTCGTTGAAATAAAAGCAGTAGTCCCTGCTGAAACAAAAGACGAGAAATCGGAGACAACCGATGAAACAAACAAAGGACCAGTCGATTCTGGTTTATCAAAATCACAAATCAAGAGACAGAAACAAAAGGAAGCTAGATTAGCGAGAGCTTCCTTAGTGAAAGTCTCAGAGCAGAAACCTACTGCCGAAACAAATAAGGAGCAGATCCTCCCTGCTTTACCAAATGAGAAGACGGAGCATGAAACCGTAGAGAAGGTTGCAAAACCTATCGAAGAGTCGTTGTCCGACCTAGATAAAATAATCGCAGAAAACATGCTAAAACGCGCTATGGAAACACTAGAGGCGCTTAGAGTTGCTGAACGCCGAAAGGCCGAGGAAGCAGCAGAGATACTCCGACAGATCAAGGAGGTCTCAGAGGTTGTTATGCCACCAACGATAGAAAAGGCAATGGGTGTAGTCCGTAGGACAGAAGAGACATCCAAGGTTGAAATACCTATTGAAATAGAAAGTGCAGTCCGTAGGACAGAAGAGGCACTAGAGATACCGGTTGAAAGTCCGAGGACCCCAAACATCTTATACTGTTCCCCACGACGAAAGTCTGAGCCATATCCCGAAGGCAAAGACGAAGTCCCAGAGAGCTATAAAAGAACCGAAGATAGAGATCGTCGAGAAGACCAGGAATGGAATCACCTGGCAGTAATAATCCATCCCACGATGAATAAGAATGCTCGTGGTGCAATAGAGGAAGACTGTCGAGAATTCCTGGTCAACGATGTAGACCATTACATCCTATACAACGATAAAGATGAATCATACCGCCTTAAGCAAAAAAGGAAGTTCGAGGTAGATTCATGGTTCACCACGGCTTATGGCCGCCTAATCGCTCAAATGGACGAGTGGAACGATGCCCCATGTACTTGGGATGAAATAGAGGTAGAGATGCCTCTCCAAAGAACCATCTATGAGAAGAAGGAGGAGCTAGCCGAAGTAAAGGCTGGTAAATCAAGGGAAGAACCAATGGAGGAAATAACGACCGCTGGTGTAGAGGAGTACGTGATCAGAATCACTCCCTCACCATGTCCGATCCCCAGAGTGTTCCTACCAAGACATAGGTCCTCTGAGAAAACTCAGAAGTCGCCAAACGAGGCGCAAAAACCGGTTAAGCCACCGGTAGAGAAAAAGGCAAATCCTATCCCTAGGGCTTTTAAACCGAAAACAGAAAAGAAGGAGAAGACCCCAGTCACAGTCTTCAAATTCAAATCCAGAACCCTATGTAGAAACGGCCCGAAGTGCCGATATGGTTCTCTTTGTGCATTCGCACATCCCGAAAGGAGTAGTCCCTCCTTTAAATCAAAAGACAAGATCGGTGTAAGCCCACCAAAACCAAAGGCAGTTCCGTCTGTAAAACCAAGGATAGTAGAAAAGAACGTAGACCGTAGGTCAGAAGAAACGTTCTCTATCAAAGGGTTCTCTATCAAGGGAGCAGCAGAACGAGAACGCAGAAGGAAAACTGCTAAAGAAACCAAAGTAAACTCAAAGAAAGAGATTGAGGAAATAACGCTGGAAGGTCTAGAAGCGTTATTAAAAAAGCTTATCGCAGAGAAGGCGAAGCAACCCTCAAAGGAATCTACGAGTAAGGGTAGTCCTCCCCCTAAACAAAGGAGTGAAACACCGAAACCGAGTATCGAGAAAAAGCTATATGCTATAGAATGTAAGACCCAAGCGAAGGGCATTCAAGCTACGCTTATCGAGAGAAAGGAAGATGGGAAAAGGCAGTCGATTGCCATGTTTACGAAACCGATGACCGACAACGAAGTCGCATACTCAGCAGAAGACAAAGATTTGCTCTCGATATATAGAGCCCTGCAAGAGTGGAAGCACATAGTTGAAAAGTCACCCCTACCAGTGGAAGTCATCCTAGACTCACGAAACCTGGAAAAAATAGACAAATTGCACACATTGACTAGACGTCAAGCTAGATGGTGTTTATTCCTAGCGCAATTTAATATCATATGTCTATCCAGGAGGCTAGACCACAAAGGGGGGGTAAAATCCCATAT